TTTGATTTAAGTTAAATTACTCGTATTTAAATATTAATATGAGTGAAAAATAAATTGTATTTATTATTAGGTGCCAAACGAATACAATTAATATGGCTTATTACTTATTTTCTATATTTTGAACTGAAATTTCATCATTAAATCTTGTAATATAGTTTAGTTCTGCATAGCTTTTTTTCCTCTCATTGTAAACTAATTCTGTAAATTAAACTGTCATTTAAAATTAAAAAAAAAAAGTTAATTGTTTTCGATGGTTGAGGTAATGCTCATTCTCTTAATAAATATTGCATTGCTCATATTTTAAATTACAAGTCTAATTTTTCTTTTAAGGTTATGCAGTTGTGTATAATGTAATTAGACAGGTGCTTATTTTTTCCTTAAAATGTGCTTGAAAAGTGCTTATTTTTTTAACTAAAATGTGGCTACGAACCCTGTATAAGAAAATTATGAAAGGAAATTAACCAAAGAGTACAAAATTCAGAACATCTAATTAAGTATTATATTTCGTACTGGAATTATATTACAAATAGTTCAATAACCTGAAACATGCACTGTGAAGTGAATTTAAGTCAATTTGGAATTTTATTGAAATGATGGCATTGTGTAGTATAAAAACATCTTGGAAACTTTTGGTCACTTAGATATTTGTCAAATATCATTTCAGAAGATGAAAATACTTTTGCTAGATCAAGATGTCGGAAATATGAAAACGTCCACATTCTTTGTGATGAAATAGCTGAATGGCTAATATTCATTCTAGACAAATGCATTAAGTCGCAAGTGTACGGCATTGCAACCAATGAACTCTTACAAAAAAAGAAAGTTGCTTTCTCTGAAAGAGAAATCCAGAAGAAAATGAAGTTATAATGAATTAATAATAAATAAATATGAATGACTATTAACAATTAATTAAAGATATTAATATAAATTCATAATTTATAAATATATATAACTGTAAAACAAAACACATAAAAATGTTCAATTGTCCTTTCACTACTCAACCTATGTTTTGGGAACCATTGTTCTAGTTTATAGGGTGTCTGAAATCTATTTCTAAAAAGCAGGAACAATTGAACGAAGAATTCAAATGCACATCTTTGTGAAAAATGCTGGATTGGCAGAAGGGTGCCAATCAGTTTTGCATGCTCCTTTATGCCATGGTGCCGTTTTGAAGATTTCTGTCTTTTCAAACAGTAGCCAATTTGCGTAAGTTTGTGGCACCATTGAGCAGTCCACACACAAGGCCAGGATTCTGTTCATGTGATGCCAAGAGACTCAAAGTTCGACTTACTTCCCTATTACCCAATTCCTAAGATATGAATCCAACTGAGTATCTGTATAACAGCATGGGACATTTGTGATCTATTCATGTGTACTTTTTATGATCTGGAAGATCTGTACATTTACTATCTGTTACTATCTATTTACTATCTGTACATTTGGATATGGTTTTCCTGCAGACATAAAGAAGCTCAGCAATTCAAAGCCTGCACGTATTGATGCTGTTTTATGAGCTAAAGGTGATTAAACAGTATTTCAGATAGGTGCTCAGAATGTTTCAGTTCTTCAGTGTATATCTTTCATTATATATCTTCTTCTACAGTTTTCAAAATGTGTTTCTTCCATTGTTAAGCCTATAGTAGTTTTGTAGTCTTGTAGTGGCCCAGTTATTACATGAGAAATAATTATTTTTTATTTCATATATTTGTTCATGTGTTTAATTATTTTATAAAATTAACTTTAATATTTTGTTAATATTCATATTTATATTTCTTTTATGCTGAATGGAAACAAGTAGTGTTCATATTTATATTTAATTTTTTTTATGCTGAATGACAACTAGTTCTGATTCATGATTGCTTGGTTTTGGTTTCCAAATGTTGCTCGTATCGTCGCATTTTGATAGCTGGAAAATAAAAAGCAATAAACTTAGCTATTTGTTTATAATTCATGCTGTTCTTAATCATAATTTAGTTTTGAACATTAGTATGCAAGGCCCGGACGTGGTGACCCGGACGTGATTTGAACACGCAACCTTCTGATCTGGAATCTGTCATAATTTAGTTTTGAACATTAGTAGCCAAGGCCACATCGTGGTGAACCTGATTAATTTTCGAAATGTCAACAAATGACTCCTCTGAAACTGCTACGAAAGATACGATGCAGTCACCAGAGCTTCATTAGGTGAGTGTAAAAATACCTCCTTGTTCGACTGATAAACCGGGAATATAATATAGTCTTTTTGAGTTGAAGTTCAGTTTAAAATTAGTAATATTGTTTCGGAAGAAACAAAATTTAATTATTTAGTTTTACAGCTTGACCCTAAGTTCGTCGAAAATATTTGGGACATTGTAACGAACATTGCCACAAAATATACGGATGCTAAAATTAGGTTATTACATTTATTTAAAGAAAGTGAAAATGTACGGATTAAATGTTTGATTACTGGTATCGAGCTTGGAGACATGAAACCAAGCCAACGGCCCAGTTATTGCATGAGAAATAATTATTTTTTATTTCATATATTTGTTCATGTGTTTAATTATTTTATAAAATTAACTTTAATATTTTGTTAATATTCATATTTATATTTCTTTTATGCTGAATGGAAACAAGTAGTGTTCATATTTATATTTAATTTTTTTTATGCTGAATGACAACTAGTTCTGATTCATGATTGCTTGGTTTTGATTTCCAAACGTTGCTATTCTAGTAGCGTCTCATTTTGATAGCTGGAAAATAAAAAGCAATAAACTATTTGTTTATAATTCATGCTGTTCCTAATCATAATTTAGTTTTGAACATTAGTAGCCAAGGCCACAGTCTCATTGCTGTCTTGACCTTTTCTGCTAAAATTGCAAGACATTTTTCAGCAGTATAAGCAAAGTTAATAATACCTGGGTTCTGATATTGCTTATAAATTCTGATATTAATTATGGCATAGCATGTGAGTATTACTTGTTGAGGATAAAAAAAAATGAAGGAGGCTTCATGGAGGGCCTTTTTAAGGAAAATTAATTTGTTATACATGGAGAAAACTGCAAAAGTAAAAACTTTAAAAGTAACAAAACATCCTAAGTTTATGTTAGAAACAATTTTATTGAGCAATAGCTCTCCTCATCACCTCTTAATGAACTATTGCTCACTTTTCTCTCTAGATACATTATTGTTCTGTTTTTAGAAGTGCAATCGCCCTTCAGAAATGAATAATGAAAGTTAGAAATTATTACATTGTGTAATTGCATGATATATACACACTCGCATGTCCACAAAAATCCTTACCTAGACTTTTTCACAACAAAATACTTCTATGACCAATGGTTGTGGTTTGGTGTGAATGTTAATGTTGTGGCATTTTCAAATTAAAAAATATCAGTTTTATAAAATTATAAAGTAACTTTTTATACATTGGTCCTGATGCTTATATTTAGGAAAATGTTATACTCATTATAAAAACCGTTTATACTTTTCTGTTCTACATTTCTGTTTTTAGGTTACTTATGTAGATAAAAAAAAATTGTTACTACTCTCTTGAGTTTATTCTATATCATGCAAAGACTTTTCAAAAAATTACTGGAAGGGAAATTGAAGACAAGTAAATATTTATTTAATTAGGAGGGGAAATTATATGTAAATTATAAAATAAGGCCTGTAACACTATTGCATCAATACAGAAACACCTATTTTACTTGATTTCTCTGATTATGGAGATTAGTGTAGTTCTGTCAAAACTTAGGTTTTTAATGTCTTTACAGCTTCAGTTACTGATATCTTGCTGTTTAGATGATTTAGAACCTTGTCAAAAGCCTTAAGGACTTTATTAGAAGCAGAGGTGGTGTTAGTCTCAAATTTTACTTTTTAACATTTATATAACTTATCAAATATAGTCACTAAAAGTTATCACCATGTGATATTTTTAAAGAAATAATATAGTGCAATGGTTCTCAACCTTTTTTGCTCTATGCACCCCTTTCACTATTGCTAGACAATCATCCCCCCCTTCGTTTCTAAAATTCAAAAAGTATGTGTACAATTATTTAAATTTCGATTATTTTTTAAGTGTTTCATAAATTAAACAGGAAAAAACATAGAAAATGTCGATAGATTCCAAAACTTTTATAGAAGTAATTTTTTACATTCATAAACTAAATCCAAATATTTAACAGGTTAAAAAAATTGCTGACCTCATTCCTTTCTGGTTGAGAATCCCTGGTATAACAAATATAAAATATGTATAGCAACATTTAATATTTTGTAACATCTTGTAGGAAGATCTAAAGATATTGGGTATTAACTTCCACATGACAGTTTGTTGCCATCTAGGGAAGCATAAGATATTCCTTTTTTTTTTTTTTTTTTTAATTTAATCTGCCTGTTATTGATTAATAGACTAAGCAATTTAAAATTACTAAATGCTGTTCTTTATTTCTTTTATTAGTTATTGTGAAATTAAACTAGTTGGATTCATTAAAAGCATTATATATATATTTCTTTTTTATAATAACTATTTTCAACAGCTGCTCACACCAGCGACTAGTTATTTGAAAACTGAAACAGATAACAAAAGTGAGGTTTGAGAATAATAGCCTTTTTGGGCTCAAAAAATGTGTGGTAGCACTTATCATTGCATTGGATATTCTGAAGATATGCTTTCTAAAAATTTTGTGATTTTATTGTGGAATTTTATGCAGCATTAAGTGTGAAGAAAGTGAAGTTTAATAATAAAATTAAATGATAAAAAAAGGTGCCAGCAGGGATGAGTCCAAGAACAGATAGATCAACTGTAAGCTCAACAAAGCATATGAAAGGGGGGGTGCAATGTTTAAATCTAATTTTTTTCAGATTTTCTTTTTTATTTTTTTTTTTTAATTCTTCCTAGTTCTTCATTCCTTTAAGAGAGAAGCAATCAGTCCCTGAATTTGTATCCTTATAGTATGATATCAACTTGATAATGTATGACATGTAACTTCAGAAATTTAGTAATAACAAAGCTATCAGAATTAGGGAAAAAAACCTTTATTGATATGATGGTAGTAGCAAAACTATACACTTTTCAATGAACATTAAGTATCACTTGTAAATGCACCGGAAGTTGTTCTTAAGCTCACGTGATAACCATTGTTTCTTAACTTGTCATTTAAAATTAATTCTTAAATAAAAAGACAAGCATTTTATTAGAAAAGTTAAGAAAGATGGTTTCAAATCCAAGGTTTTTGTAAAACACCCCAGTTAGCTGCCTTTAATTAGAAGAAGTTATTAAAAAAAAGTATTAGGGGTGCTACAAAGCCTTTGAGGCAGTGTGAGCCATGAGTCTAAGATTAGACTGTTACAAAAAAATAGCTGCCTGAGTATTAAAAAACAACCTTAAGACATTTTGACATTGTTATAAAACGACTGAAAAATATACAAATGCAGAAGCATGTTATCAATGCATTAATTATAAATAAAAGAAGTGAGACATTTGTTGAAATGTTGGTCTTTCATGGCATCAAATGTGGTTTGAAAGTAAAAAGCATTAACCCTATGGTTAGAATTTCAATTATCTAGACTTCCAGTTTCACACTATATATTCATCATTTTAGGCCAAACAGAATTTCAAAATAACAATTTATTAAACCATTAAGTGCAAAGATTTAATGCCATATAATAATCATATATTTTGAAAGTTAATATCTTAACTTTCAGAACTATAATTAAATAGAAATAAATTATTGCATTATAAAAATGCCTTTTGATATTAATATAGGAAAAAATACAAGATACAAGATTACCTTTTATTATTGATCATTAATTAAAATAAAGCATGTTTCGTACTATTTTACAATACTACATATTTTTTAAATTTGGTTTTTAATCTTTGAAATAAACAAACAACAGTATAAATAAATATCCAGCATTTGTAACACAGTAAATTCTTATTTGACCTACAGAAAAATACAATCCAGATGGATTATGGTTTTAGTCAGTCTAGATATTTGAAGTTCCACTGTATTTGTAATTTTAAAATTAATTCCTAATTTATTAACTATACGTACTAAAAATTGTATTTTAAAAATCTTTAAAATGACACACTTAAAAACTTAAAAAATCACTAAAAAGCATAAATGCTCAATAAATAAATGCTTATACAATTGCAAAGTTTACTATACTTTCCTAAAAATTAATATTGGCACAATTTTATTAGCGTGCCGAGTAAAAATTTTGAAAAATAATAAAAATATATAGATTACTTTGCAGATGTATAAAAAATTGTTTTTAAGTGTGTTTTGGTGCCATTTGTACTTTAAAACTACATTTGAAGACAATTCAAAACACGGTTCCCAAGCACCAAAACCTGGCTACGTTAAATTCCCTGTTCCACAAAAATATACAAAGCCCATTAACAGCAGCAATAGCTCATTTTCCATACCATGTAGGTTTCACAAATAAGAACTCGGTGCTCGTTGAAAGAAGAACACAAACTTCTTGCCGTTTTCCAATCTGTGTGAGACAGGTGAACAGTTTTGGCACATGAACACTATACCAGCTAGTCGAGGTAAATCTTGCTCGTAGGAGTATTTCGAAACCCACAGGGAAAGCGAGCTATTTCTGTTAGTGCACTGCATCCTGTTTTCATATGGGTGATTGTATAACAAGCATAACCACAAACACAAGAAAACATCGAGAGGAACTCATGATGCACGCAGATTAAACAGAACGAAGTTTTAAATTAAAACATTAAAAAAATAAAATTTTGACAACTCGCTCATAAATTTTGATCTTTGCGACAAGATATTCTGAAAACTTCGGACACAATCACCCAATTAATTTGTCTCACAAGTCTGTCCATTTATTTCCAACGAGGATGCAAAAAATCTCACTGAGTTACTTTTCAAAAAGTTGTGTGTGCGCGTGCTTTCTTTTAAAGGCTGTTGTGAGAGGAAGGATAATAGTCTGGCGATGGCTCAGCCACCGGTTCTGGTGTCGTATACAATGGGTTAGGAAAATCTGGTGGATGTGGAAGAGGGCCCGCTGCCTTTGGCCGCCTCCTGTATGCCATCAGCCAGCAAGAGATGGCCACTGCAACAGCAACCAAGGCAAGTAAAGTTGTTATAATCAGTGAAATAATGAGTCCCAGTTTAGGCAGACAGACATTGTCAATCTCCTCAATAGATGGTCCTGAAAATGTAAATCAGTGATTCAGTATTTTGAGATTTTCATTTAGGAAGCATACAAGGTAAACATGTATTAAGTTGCTACAAGTATCATTTGTGAATTTTTGTGCTTTTAATGTTTCTTAACTACAGTCATATCTCTCTCATTATTCAAAAAATAATTTTAAAAAATTTAAAGCATTAAAATTTATGTCTGACTTAAAAAAAAAAAAAAAAAAATGCTGGGATCATGATGTTAAGAAAGCAAGGAATTATGCACAAGGTAATTGAAAAAGAATGTCAGGTATATGCAAGTATGAAAGTTTAAAACTGTTAAACATACTGAAATTAATTTTGAGTTAACAAGAATCAGTGTAATAGTCATAAATTTGCAGGACTAATTTTGAGGGCTTAAATATGCTCATAAAAATCTTTCAGTTCTAGCTAGTGATCCCAATTCCAATTTGTCTTTATCCGCAGCTTTTAAAAAAATTATTTCTTGTTTTCATTTTATTGTCAATAGATGGCAACAGTAGCTTGGCTTCCTTCCTGTCATTGTTAACACCTCAGCACAGGCTTCTCTTTCATCATTTTTTTCCCTTCTGCAGCTGAAAAAGAACATCAGAACTAGTTCTACAAATTTAGGACTATTATGCTGATTCTTGTTGCCTCTTCAACCCTAACAATACTGAAATTATTCAAGTATTGAAATGAGTAAAAGGTTTCTTAACACTTGGATTCAGACAAAAGATGTTCCAGTCCTGCTTAAGCTCTAATTTTACCAATTCCAGAGAACAGTTTCACAGTTATTTCTTTTAAGGAAAAAATCATGAACTCTACATGTGATCAAAAGATTTGTATGACCTTTCGAGTACATATGCTATTTTTCACACTTTACATAGATAATCATGACTGAATGTCTAATGTATACCAATGATAGCTGTCCTTCCATGTCAGCACACTGCATGCAAAGATTGTTTCTGATTGCAGTATACGGAGCATCAGCTGAAGGGTTAGCTTTGCATTTTAAAATAAAAAAATTAAAAGAGATTTTAACTTGCAGTCAGCAGCTAAATTTATAACAACCATCACTCAACCAATCTTTGGAAACCTGAAAAGATATTTTCTTCATATGCAGCAAAAGTTCTTTTGGAAATTTTCTACCACAGGAAGCCAGTCTTGTGCATGTTAAATTTATTTTAGTTGCTACAACCACTTTCCTCTATCTTGGGAAAAGATTGCACAAGTTTGTTACAAATGCCAGGGTTTCGTTGCTTTTGATTCTATTTGTACCAAACTTGGTGACAATGTATTTTGAAAATAAATGCTGAGCGCAAAATTAGCAAGAGAAAACTTGTTGGTGTGATGAATATCATTTGCTTACAGCAGGTCAAATCAGTGCAAAAAATAACTGTTGGCAACATAGGTTCTCATAATACATTATTTATTAGTTATTCCTCTGTTTGAATAAAAAATTTAAGAATGGAAGAATAACCTCTATGGTTAACTCTCACATTCCAGTTGCATACTTCAATGGGTGTAAGTGAACACAACTTGTATTACAAATATATGACTGACAGATAGTGCACGTATTTGGGAAGAGATAATTGCTTAATCTCGCAACTGTGGAAGGTATGATGCAATCCACAAAAAAAAAAAAAAAACAATCACAGGGACACTGTATAACAAGGACAAAGATCCATTTTAACATAGTGCTGTTAAGAAAGCCATCATGAACTTGGTAGCATGGCCAACAATCTTAGTAAATATGTGACAAGAAATCGCCCCCCCCCCCCCCATCTTTAGGAAGTTGTTTCCATATCTGTTGAAAGTTACCCATATTATCAGGGAAAACCACCTTCAGTAAAGAATTCAGCAGCCATTATGTCAGATTCCATAATTGAAGGAATTCCATATGAGCAAAATATTAGTTTTGAGGTCTACTGTGCAACAGCACATGGAGCCTGATTAAGTAAGAAAAAAATGTTGATACACATTTTGTCATTTGAATTATTCTAATATATTTAAAAGTTTCTGAATGGAATATTTTTCTAATTGCTACATTCTTTCTTAGTGACTCTGTTATCTGATATTTTATTAATGATTTAAATAGAATTTCAAAACAAAAGTATATAGTAATCAAAATTTTCACTAATTGTAATGGTAAATGCACTCTTTAATGAAAGCAAAATTATTTACCTTCAGTTGGAAGAGCCACTTGATTCTCTTTCTTCTCAAATGTAAGAATGGCATTAGACTGCACCATGATTTCCTCACGAAGCGCACCTTCTTGGAACCCTTCCAGTGCCAAACTGTTGCGCTCTGGTGCTTGACGTTTCTTTCTTCCAAATGCATCTACTCCATCACAGTTGACCTACAATATCAACAAGAATGAACAGAGCTATACAATAGCTAAAACATTATATTTTTTGTATATGAGATATTCAGTAAGAATTGGGATCATACTAGTCAAAATACTTGTCGAATTTGTTTTCATGTAGAAATATATTTAAAATTACTTTATCAGCATTTAGGGGGGCTCACCTTTCTGGTGCCTGCTATATATGAGGGTAGTCCCAAAGTTTAAGTCTTCTGTTTTTTTTCGAATACAAAGAAGTGTTTTCTTTTTAGCCACTGTGGTAATTTTAGTATGTCCAAGTCATACCAGCTTGCCACGATGTCACTGAGGAAGCATTAAACCTCATCTTTACCTCCTCATCATTGTTGAAGCACGTTTTGGCCAAATGTTCTTTGAGCGTAGGAAATAGTTGGTAATCACTGGGTGCCAAGTCCACATTATAGGGTGATTGGTTGTTCATCCAAACTGTTGCAGGAGAGTGTTTGATGGACAACATGAAAGGAGAGCATTGTCTTGTCGAATGCTAACATTCTTGCTCAACATTCCTCTTTGTCAGTTCTGAATTGCCCATCTGAAGTTTTTTACAGTATCTCATAATACCTGCTGGTATTTATTGTGGTCCCAGAAGCCATGAAGTGAACCAACAATAGCCCACTTTCAATCCCAAAAAACTTGTCATGATTTTACTGGATAGACTGTTTTCGTTTTTAAATTTTGCACGTTGGGTGAATAGGAATGTTGCCCCTCATATCATTGAAGTTTGGTTTCAGGCGTCAAGGTAAACAGCCATGTTTCATCACCCATAGCAATCGAATCCAAAGGGTTTTCCTTTTCATGTTCAGGGAAGAATCAACTCTCGAATGCTCGGAGAGGACCACAAATGGCAATTGCTGTTCTTCTCTGAGCATTCTTGCGATCAATCCTAAGCATACCTTCCGATACTGCAATTTTTCCATAAAAATCCCATGAATATTGCTTCAGCAACCAAAAGGCAGAGATCATCCAGAGTGATCCACCCATCTTCACCCATGGTTTACTCAACTTTCTTACGGTCTCCCACTTCATTCTTCATTGCGAATTTCAGCATAACCAGCTGCTTACTCCCTACACCATTTTTGCGAATGTTTTTGTCATCCATGCATGACTCAGCATAACATTTCTATCAATTGGTGATAAATTCCAATTTGTATAATGCCTTTTGCATTCAAAAAATGAATAACTGCATGAACTTGATGATAGTGACAGATGGGAGCATTATTGCAAAAGGCTGCCTAGCCAAGACTGAACGTTCCAGTCAGATGCACTCAGGCTTGTTTGGGTGTAGGGGAAAAAACAAACAAACAAGCACAACAGTGTTTTCAACAGTCACACGAGCAATTTCTCTGCATTCCCAGCACTTTGGAGACTTTACTTTTGGAATTACCCTTATAATTATTATATATAAAATATGATAAAATTATGCATCTTCTCAATAGGGCTATAGTAAATTTGAATATAATATTAGTAATAAGCTTACAAAATGACATCACATATTACTGCACTATAACATCATTAGTATTCATATTGGCCATAGAGGATGGCAGCGATTAAGAAAATGTAACAGCTTCACTCGCTAATCAGCTTTAGCTATTTAATATTAGTGGTATTTCTTTGATTAGTGTAAATTCGACCTAGTCAGTGAATAAACATTATAGTGAATTTTACAGATATTATTTCTTTGAAGCAAAATACTCACAGGAGGACAAGAACCAAAGCAAACTCTAATGTTGCACTGGAATCTCAAATTGTTACTAGTAGGGAACTTAAAGGCATTGAATCTTGCAACTAATATCTTCTTGTCTGGATCCAGTTGCCAATTTCCAAAAATGCTCGGATCCGTTGCACAACCATTTGAATCCGTCACTTCATATTGGATCTCTTCATTGTCTTCTATAGTTTTTGCTACACAACTTCGTGCAAATCCTCCATAGATAACTAAAATTTAGAATAAATATAGATATATAAATAAAAGGAAAAATAAAATATTATCACATCTGTAACAGACAGAGGAGATCAACAATATTATAAAAAAAGAGCATTTGAAGTATTTTTCAACTTTTCCCCCTTATCAAAACACAGGAGTAATAAATGAATTTAAATGCATGTTTAGGAAAACTAATTCAAATGCACAAAAAGACCAATAAAAAGCAAAATCATAATACTCATGTCAAAAAAATAGTCTTACATCTTACAAAGTTATTAAACTATGATAAAACTTGAGTAATCTATTACATAAATATTTAACCTATTTTTTAAGAAACATAAAACTAAGACCGTTACATAACAGTTTAACCTCTGGCAGTAATGCCTGAAGATTTTTGGCTATTGCTTCTTTATATTTCTTTATTCTGGTACAAGTTTGTGCTCATTTTGAGATCACAGATCAATGTGTCGCACATATTCTCAGTTACAGAAATATCAGGAGAATTAATAATGCAGTGGAAGCTTATGGCCCCACACAAATATTTCTTGAAAATGTTCCCATAAAAGGTTGGCTTATCATACTGAAAATGCTCTCCTGATAGTACAGATTAAAGCAAGATCAGTACCTGTACATTCCCAAAGGTCGATTAGGTATTGCTGTGCCTTGCTAATTGTTAAGCTCTGTCCCAATTCTGATGGAAAACACCCCAAGGGACAGTCTGAGGGTCTCCCACTGCTCTTCTTTCTTTACCACAACTACACAAAATGATTTTCATTTCGCCATGTATTTTGAGTAGGCCCTTGCTGCATAGGTACCTTACAAATATCCATGCCATCTTCGGGATGTCAGCCCAGGACTTTCAGTACTGCAGTTGGTGTCACTAATCACTGTCCCATCTGTGGCAATAACAACAGTATAAAAGTCTTCATCTATCAGTAAAATGTTTGGTTGTTAAACTGCTATGAAGAATCACCAAAGATGTTCATGTATTCAAAGGTAATGGCTCTACAAATGGTAACCCTATATATGATGGGTGGAAGGCACGTAACATGATAGACATAGAGTGAGTGAAATTGCTTAGGCTGCCTATATATGACTTGTTTGGCTTTGTGACCAAGGAAAAAAAAAGATTATATTGCCTCAGTCCAAGTTTTGGAGCTGCAATTAGCAGAGTGAGTACAGCTGGTAATACTCAGCAATTAGTAGTAGATGCCTTAAGGAATGCTGACGGCAGAGTTCCCATTTTGCCAACCTTCTTCCTTATAGTGTTTTGTAACACTAAACATTCAGGAAATTAAGACACAATAACACGCCGAATAAATACTAATTCAGAAGTCAAACAACAAAAATCAGCGTTGTATTTACAAAATTTTCACAGGACTAGTTTCGATGGTTTTACCGAACCACCATCCTCAGCTGCAAAACCGCAAATGAACAAGATAGGAAATAATGATAGGACACGTTTGTAGGTATAACGCTGATTTTTGTTGTTTGACTTCTGAATTAGTATTCAGGAAATGTTGACTGATTCTAAATGGCAAGTAGCAAAATTCTCAGTGTACTAATAACAACTGTCGCTATACATCATCTTTCCAAGAAGCTAAGCCTGATGCTTGCTCCACAATATTTATAGACATTTTGTTGGAAGCATAGGTAATAACATCATCTGATTGTGACATCAAGATGTCATCTCTTCATCAGAATGAAGAACTTCCATTTATGCAACAAAACAAAAATCTTAGTATTTTTCATATATTTCATTCATTTGCACCAAAAATTTACTTTTAGTATTTGGTAACAGTTTCATAATAAAAAACATTTATGCTTGTTAAAGAGGCATTTTTTAAGATAATTACATATCATCGGACCTACAACTGATTTGTAAAACAAAAATTTTAAAAACTGTAATCAGAGTTAGCAATTTTATCTGAAGACTGGAATTAGTAGATTATGATTTGTTTTAAAGGTGAGATAAGAACTTATCTCATCTTTAAACGTGAGATAAGAACTTAAATCCTATAAAAAATACATTCCAAATGACAGCCAATTTTATGTGAGTAATATGCCACATAGATTACTGATTTATATGGGGATTTTAGCAAATCTCACAATAAATGTGTGATCTTGAATAATAATTTTTGGTTTCGAAAAATCTACATAATTTTCCAAATTTTGAAATAATAATTGATCAACTTACAGTCAGGCTGCACATCCACTCTTAGCAGTAAATCATCTCCAATTTCAGCACTGGTCACTTCTCGGCCATCAGTATTTGAAATGGTCATGATGCAAGTTGGTGGAGGACCAGTGTTGGCAATGGTACCCGAAGTTGTGATCATGCTGTAACATAATAAATACATATAATTTTTATAACAAAATAGTAAGTTGGTTTAGATATTTTAAAGCACAGTATAAGAATACATTGAACTGTCATAAAGACTTTTTTTTTTTTTTTTTTTTTTTTACCTGACATTGAATCCTAAAGTGATGGTCTTTTCACCTGTGTTGTACACACATTTGATGTGATAGGCCTTGGCACGATATGTCATTAATTTGGGATGTTTCTGTATAACTAAAATGAAGGATGCATCTCCCTGAAATATCAAATAGGTGATTAAAGATACGTGTATCAAAAATAATTCCCAAACATGCTTTTAAAATAATGTGCCAGACAAAGATCATTTGCAAGAATCTGAATAATACACAGGATATAGGATAGCAAACTTTTAAATAAATCCTTATGTGATTTTCTTGAAATTAGCATTAATTTTAAAACTGCATTCTTCGATGATACATTTAATGGACTAGTACATTCATTAAATGAACTAAGGCATTTGCTATATGGTGCATTGAAAACTTGAATACACTAGAAACTTAAATTTATCCAAGTTGCATAATTTCTTTTGCTACACTTGCTTCTTTCTTCTTACAGAAAATAACTGCTCATAATCTAAACATAAATAAGCACTCAAATCTAAACACAGAGTTGCAAAATCTGTCAACCTATGAAATGATCAAGCAGCCAGTCACAGAATATCATTTTCAAAATGTGATGGTGCCTCACCACTGTAGACTTGTAAATGAAGTAAGATTAACTGCATGATGCTGGCAGAGAGACAAACTGGTGTACGTGATGTTATGCAAATGGCTTGTTCAGAGCTGAATCCTTGCAATCATTGTTTTCTCTGGGACAAGAATGTTAGAACTAGAAGCATCAATATCCAAAGTGCTGAATGATATTTCACAAACATTTTTTGCAACAACAGCTGTATCGATTCATTTAAGAAGATGCACTGATAATGCTGGAGCTTATCCAAGTTGGAAACATACATGAAACAAAACTATGAAATATATAATTAATTACTCTTATTTCAATAAAATCTGCTTACAGTTAAATTATAAATCAATTAAAAAGTGACTTATTAGAAACTCTATATATGAATGAAATTGCTCAAACACTGGCGAGTTAAAAATTTTGTTCCATGTAATCAAGTACTAAATGCTACTTACATTAATATGAATCAGACCACACGTGTTGAAGAGAACTTTGAAATTTATGATATCTCTTTCCCTGTTGTTAACAACACGTCTGCATTCGTGATCTTGACTGTGTCCTTTTACATACAAGACACCATCAAAAGGCTCCAATTCAACATCCACTTGGATGCCATCTGCCAAGCACACAACTGGGGGAAAAAATGATTAAAATCATGACCTATTTAATTTAAAGTGAATACATATTTAATATTTAATGTAATTTAATTACACTATATATACATATTCTAAATTACATGAAATACTAAAAATATAATTTTCCAAAGTTTTACAAAAGTATAATAGAAAAAGTTGAGTATTCACAAAAATGTTTAGAACTAAAGCAAAATGAAGGCCTAAAAACCAGTCTTTTCATATAATATGCACAATGTTTCAAAAATGTAGTGACAAACTTTTAGGAAGGCAGGGCACATCATAAGGATTGATAACTGCATAGCAACCCATGATCGGAAACGTCGGGTAGGTGGTAGCAGAGGTAGATCAGAAAGGACACAAAAGAGAGATTAATTTGAAACGTTTACTTGACATCATGAGTATAAATGTCATGTAAGATAAATACAGCTCTAGTGTTACAACAGGATGCTCGAAGTTTGCACCATCAGACATCAACACTGATGTAACATTGATTGCCAGACACGATTGAACACGCTCAGAATTTCTTCAGCAGCACAGACCAGTCTTGCAGAAGATCCATTTTACATTTCACAGTCATAATAGAGGATAGCTTTGAAGGCTCCCCACAGAAAGAAATCAAGGCTCAATAAATCGGGTGAGTGTGGAGACCAGGAAACTGATCCACCATGCCCAAGCCATCAATGCAGGAATGACCTGTTCAAATTCCTACGAATAGACAATCCAAAATGAGCAGCCGCCCCATCATGTTGGAACCACATGTTGTGCCTCACATTTTCTGAAGCACCATCAAGTAAGCTGGAATTAATCTGCCCCAGAAAGATCGAATAACTTGCAGCGGTCATGTGGAATGGTAAAAGGTACAGCCTTTCTAAGCAGTCACCAACCAAACTTGCCCACACATTTACTGTGAAGTGATGGTGCTGCACACCATGGAGGTTCTCTCTAGCACATAAATGAACATTATGCTGATTTAATATGCCTTCCCTATTGAATGCAGCCTCATCAGTGAGCAACATATAAGCTGGGAAATTCACATCTCGGACATTTTGTTACAGACAAAGTGCGAAACACACAGTGGTGTTTGAAAGGTGTGTGACACTCTTAAGGCAGAAGCAATGGCACGTACTAATGCTGGGATTAATCTTCGTGGCATCCAACACACTTTCTTCCATAACATCTGAACACAATGATCATGGCCAATGCTCCTGCTACTTCTTAATTATGCATATTCACACAAACTTTGATGCACACAGCAGATTTAGATTTATAGCAAATAGTGTAAAAAAAACTTCAAGAAGAATTTTGATAACATTTTCACAAATCTGCTTAAATCAATATGTGCTTTCATTTCTGATAAAAGATACTGTAGGATTATTCACAACAACTTCAAATAATTGAGAGGATTAAAAATCTAAAAGTTTGAAATATCAACTGCTATGACTTTAAAAATCTCTACATGTATCTTCCACTTAAGGAAATCTATAAAAGTCTTCTTTAGTTACGAACATTTTTTTCCTGAAATGCTTACTATTCTCTGGATTTACAAAAAATGGAAAGAATATCTCTATTTTTCATTTCTCAATAACTAAAGCACACAAACAATCTTTACCTACAAACAAATGGTATTGCAATGGGCAAAAACCATCTGCCATATAATCATGATGTAGTGCTTAATTCTTTTTAGCTTCCATGAATCCTCTACATGAGCACTGGTTTTAGACTGATAGGGATGTCAAAACTTGTACATATTTCACAATTAAATCTATTCACTATCAATTGAAAATAAATAGAATCTAGATACATGATAAATGAATTGTAATATATTTAAATCCTGTTTAAATTGTAATGCAATTTAATGTCTATAGATGTCATTGCTGAAAATCTCCAATTGGAATTTTTATATCTAATTCTTAATTTACTTTTCTATATAAAATATGCTTGATGCTTACCTGATAATTCAGTGAGTGGAGGCACTGTCCTCGGTAATTCATCTGTAAGTAGAAGTGAAATTCAGTCAGAAATATATAAATGACATTGTAGTTAATATAAATTTATTGATTTGATTGCAAATAAATATACTTCTCTAGCATTAAATATGTATCTCATGGACTACAATGTATAAAATGAAAGGCACTTTTCTGTGCCAAATGGGGTTGCTTGTTTATATGTTATGAACAAATGTGTAATGTAATATATCCAATGCCAAGGTTGTGTGTGAACTGTTGTTCTCCCCATGTACACAGCGATCTTAAAATTGCAAAAATTCAGCATTGTGCACATTAAGCATTATATATAGTATTATATGATACATTACAGTTATTAAAAGTTAATTTTTTCGCATAAAGCTTTATGTATCATTAGGCTTGCCACCATTTAGTTTAATTTTGTGACAACATTTATTTATGGTTTGCACTAAAAACCCCATTAAAAGAAAAGTACCAAATGAATTTAACTAATTCAGAAAATATAGTAGTGGTAATAACAAAAAGTTTGCAAACCTGGTATGTAGCATCCTCTTTCTTGATCATAAGGGTTGCCAACATAAAGTGGTGGACAACTGCACAAAGCTTCATTGTTCCTGGCTGTACACACAGCTTTTTCTCCACAAACATAACATGGGCCTGCAAAATAGAAAATAAATCAGGACACAGCATTTCATAAATCATTTTCATATGCCATTAATTCATAAATAATGAACTGTAACTGGTTGGATGGAAACCTCAAATTTTTTATCAAATAAAAATACTGTATATTTATTTTTTGAGTATATGTTTAAAGATGGAAAAGTTGAAACAGAGACCCTTTTTCTAAGAAGTTAAAATATTGCTCTGGTTTATTAGAAATAATCCACTCTTAAGAGAAGAACATCTTAAAATTCTAGCAACCATGCACACTTTTGTTTCTGAGAGATACTAAAAAAATAAAATAAACAAATTTATGTGGAATAAAACAAAATGAGAAATATTTCTAAAAAGCTTCACAGATAAAACTTCATGTTTCAAAATTAGGCATTAAAAAAAAAAAAAACTTAAAATTTTATTGATTATAAAATGGCAAGTTATGGAAAAATTCTAAACATGTACCTATTAGAATTTTAAGAGCACTCGAAAATTAGTTGGATATCAGATAACTAATACACTAACAGTAGCTAATATTTTGCAGTCTAAATGAGCTTTGGAAATCATATACTGAAAACACTTCAGGATAAAACATAAGTATTCCTGATTTTTTAACAAATTAAAATGCTTGAAATAAAGTATGAAGGAATTTTTGACAATAATTATGCTTGGCAAAATATTAAATTTTAATTAAGATAATGCCAAATATTGCGAGGTAAAATGCCGTCTTTAACAATACCACAAAAAATAATTATTGTATATGAAACTATAAATTCGATGAACTTTTCATAGGAATTCATTTCTCACATATTAAATACAGAAAGAACTATAGTAACAAAACAACATTGCATCACAATATATGCTAAAAAATACATATGTTTCACTTACTTGTACACTGGCCTGTGTTCAGATCACATTCTTTGTCTGATGGGCAGTCAGTATTAGATTTGCAGTCATTTTCAATGCGCTCGCCTGTAATGCACGCAAAAAATGTATAATATATTGCTTTGTAAACAAGACAAAGGAATTAATTTTTTTTACTATTATTATCATTATTTAATCCTTTGTGCGATTATTGCAGGATTAATAGTGAATTTGCAAATATTTTAACAGCATAGTTTTATTTGAGTGATATCATTATTCAGAAAGGTTTTTAACTCTTAGTTTATGTAAAAAATCTACTTACATCCTCTTATATATGGGTCTCCAATTGTATCTGGTTCACATTCACATCGATAGCCACCCTGTGTATTTGTACAGATTGCATTTCTTGCACAAGGTCTTTCCAAGCATTCATCAATATCTAAAGAGAAAGGTATACAAACAAAAAAATATTACAGCAAATTTAAAAAAAGGTAAAAGCTTATATTTCTATATAGTACATTTAATTGATTTAATTACTTTTTGATGTATGCTGATAAAATTCTGGATTAATAATAAAAGTACGAACACTTTTAAGGCATAATTTTATCATTCATAAGATGAAAAATGAGTCTAAATTTTGCTTAGTGGTGCTAATCACTAAAAATTAACATGGCTCAAAACTCTCAAATCTTTCTTATTGTTTGATAAAAGAAAATGCAAACTTTTTATTTCAGTATAAGCTGCTATGTATGAAAACTTAACTTTACTTAAATGGGATATTATCATACAAATAAGCCTATATTTGAATTTCATTACATGAATCAGAAGTTTGCAGGTTAATAAAAATTCTAGACAATCAGCATACTTAAAACAAAAACAAAAAAAAAATTAATATTTCAGTATAATTTCAAAACATTTATTCACCAAATTCCAAAAATTTGTTCACTATTTGTAATACTAAATTACAAGTAAAATGAAGGATAAAAACCTAGCAGAAGATTAAACAAAGAAAAAGATGAGACATACAATTAAAAGCAACAGCCATAGAAGCCAGTGATATAGGATTTCCAATGCAAAAATTCTGGCACTATGAAACTGATTTAGAAAAGAGTGAAAAGTAAGTGACAGGCAGTGATGGATGACAGGACCAAAGACCATTGATATGACCATTTCTTCATTCCACATTTGGTTACCATCATTCTGGTCATACATGTCGAATGAAGAAATGAACTGAAAAAAGCTGAGTGACAGGACCAGATATCACTGATAAGTCACTGATGTCTTCATTCCACATCTATGACTATTTTTATCATTTTAGTCAAGAATGTGAAATGAAGAGATGGACTGAAACACAAAGCTGGATGACAGGATCAGAGAACCATCTCTTTGGTCACCTATGTGGAATGAGACTTATGGGCCAACTAAATGTGGAGCACATGATAATGAGGCCTATGCCACTTCAGCGGGTGAAAAACAAGTCACTTACAATAGCTTTTAACTCTTAGAATGTATGGTTCCACTGCCTTTTATTTATTTAAATAGATGCCAAAAATATGCAATGACCAACATTCTTGGAAATATCCAATACCAACAAATTTTATGAAAATAACAAAGGAATTGATACTTTCCTGCACTACCAAGAAACTGAAAAGTACTTCATTAAATATAATTCATAAGTTTCTTAATAATGTGAACCCACCTCTACAAAATCCATTTGACATCAATTCAAATCCTCTAGGACAAATACAGAAACCTTCTTGGACACCAGTATACAAACATTCTTCATTTGTCGGACAAGGATTTGTGGTTGTGCAATTTCGACTTGTTTCTGCAAAGAAAAACATATTATTCAATTCTTAAACAAATGCAAAGTTACCTTAATTGAATGAAATTTAAAGTCTTTGTTAATGCTATACTTAATATACTTTTTTGGGGTAGTTGTTATGTAAATACGTACTTCGGCAATAATCACCAACTCTATCAAAGTTGTTAGGACATCCACATTCTTTGCTGTTGAGACATATTAAGTTTCCAGGACATGTAAAATCAACACCACATTCTTGAACTAAACCGGAAATAGAAAAAAAAAATGTGCTATAACCATGTGAAGACATAATGGAAAAATTGTTTAGATAGCAAAAATATTAAAAAATTATGATAATTTTATATCAACACCACATTCTTGAACTAACCCGGAAATAGAAAAAAAAATGTGCTATAACCATGTAAAGACATAATGGAAAAATTGTTTAGATAGCAAAAATGTTAAAAAAATATGGTAATTTTATACCAAATTTATTATTTATTACTTTGATGAATTATCTACATTTAAGACCATTTCCATTAGAATGACTAATTAAAAAATGGTAAAGAGATTGAAAAATGAATATTTTCACAGCCAAACTTACCATAGAAACAATTAATTTTTGGATTGCCTCTGTAACGAGGTGGACATGTACATGTAGGATTATGATTTTCACCTCTACATACAGCATTGATTCCACAAGCATCCCTTCTGCACACATCTGCAAAGTAAATAGTATTTGTTACATATATGAAGTATTATATACTAAAACATTAAATACGAAGGTCCTTGTAAGATTTATTAGCATTTATTAGATTTATTATTATGTATATAATAATTTGGAATTCTAGAAATTTATCTTCATGGCTTTTTTATTTTTAATTTAAATTAAACATACTTGTAAAAAAAATTTAGATGGATAGTGTTTTCTTCATGTAAGATGGAAAAGTACTTAATGCTCTTTAATTAAAAAAAAGGGGGATCATTAAAATTCTACATTTTTTGAAACTTTTTAAAATCTACATTCAGAATTAATAGCATGGTATACATTTTTCAAATATGTACAATGCTGCTAATTTCTAATAGATATTTGAAAGAAATTATCAGTCTTATCAAATTATATCATTAAAGCATATCATCTTTATAATCATGTCACATGTGTCAATATACAGCAAAAAACTGAGTTACTAAATTTCAAGATACAGTAATTTTTTGCACTTTTCTTTCTATTTCCCTATAGAAGTATTATTAAGCACGAGTTCAGTTTTAATTACTCTGTGTATGGATATTTTCATGTTACATTTATTAAACTTTATGATATTTTTTAATCAAAATACATGCGATATTTTAACATTTATATATTATAAAAAGGCATTTGCTATACAATCACCTTACTGGTCTTGGTCAAGAAGCTGTAAATTTCATTGATATTTTTAATATTACATTAGCACAACTGTCATATTTCCTTTCCCCTCTTTTACTGTGTTATTTTAAAATTGTTAAGTAGAAGGAAATAGCTGTGATGAAAATGGTAAGTCTTAAAATGTGGCAGGGTAAGCTCTCATGAATGTGAACATGAATTTACCTATACATGGATTAACAGAGGTGGATCTCTTTATTTCTGCTTTCATCTTATCTCACCACAGAACAATTTCAAAGTATGCTGTCTTATCCTAATTAACTTATTTCACTAATATAAGCTTTAAAAGTGCTTAAAGAAATACATATGAAGTGTTGAATGTTCCTTCAGTTTTGTTTCATCCCTCAAACAGTGCATATATTACAGTTTCATTTCTAAGTGGAGGAAAATTCAATAATGTCTGTAACTGCTTTGGCTTGTAGAATCACACAAATTGCGAATCTTCTGCTCACGAACTTGACTCCAAATTACTGCGCACAGTTTGCAAGTAAACAGTTTTCCTTCTACATCAGTTAGAGGAAATTCTCTGTTTTACATATATACATACTCTGTTTCTTTCCTTGTTTATGATGTATAATACTATCAGTGTAAGAATAATTACACTGAGAACAGTTCAACTGATTTTGAACATTACAAAATCTGCTTAAACAACCTGCTATTTTAAGACATGAAAAACATGCACCTTTCTTTAATAATTTTCAGTTTTTTTTTTTTTTTTTAAATCATTTAAGTCATTTTTCTTGCTTTAAAACATCTTTTGTTTGGGTAAAACTTATCACAAAAAATAGAATTTAGTCACTTATCTCTATTGTCATCAAGGCTTACCTATGCAGAGGCTGTTACAAGTTCAGTTTGCCCTTTTTTTTTAGAGCTCTTCTTTTTAAAATTATGGTGAGAATCAAACACTTTTTGTTAACGACACCATTTCTTTACCTCGAATTTCTTAGCAAAGGAAATTAATCAACTGCTCTAAAGTATGAAAACTCCTGAAATCACCTGACTCATAATCTCTCCTACTTTCCCATGTAAAAAAAAAACTTCTTCAGGGAGGCAGCTGTTCACTAATGGAATTAAAAAATCCCCAAACATTTCTTGCATTCTTTCTAAGGTCTCCAGAGCTCTTAGTTTAGCTTCCAGTTCGTTACATAAAACTGCCAAATCAGCCTTGGTTCATCCAGTCACGATGTTTTTTATAACCATGCTTAAAATTCCCGAGGTTAAATCTGGACAAGCAAATCATCTCTTCCAAATTGTTCTTTTAAAATTTCGATGGTCTCTGGGTAATTCTCCACTGTTGCCAAAAACTCTGAAAGAGATGCATAGCTCTTGATTTTTAGTCTGCCGTCTGCACTAGATATTGCATCTTATTTTAATCAGGTAGAGACTTGTCTTCATGAATCTTCTAAAATAGGCTCCAGAAAGGCAAGTAATTCTTTGGATTATCTAAAAATTTCTTCAGCTCACTTTTGGTAATTTAAAACTTTCTTTTTTCCTTTCTAGATTAAGTTTTGCAATTGCTTTTGCAGTTTAATGCAAATTTCTACATGGCTATCTCTGTATATTTTAACTTCTTCAAAATCACCGATGTGCAGTTTCTTATCGTTTTCAGTCTTCACTAAACTTTCAGCAGTTAATGATTGACAACCTTCAAGTCTCTGGAACTTATCAATTAGTTGCACTTTAAAATAGAAACTTCATTTATACCTAAAACTGATTTAACAGTTCATTTTCAGTTTTCCTCAAACTGAGAGTAAATGATGTTCTCAGTCCCTTCTGTTGTGCTTTTAATGCAGTCAAATCCATCTCCAGAGAATAATCGAAATTACAAAGTTCTAGATACAAAAACACGCACTGCCAAGGGTACAACATTCTTATGTTAAGAACAAAAAGCCAAAATTTAATTCATGGGTTCGCATCTACCGAATGCAGGGTGTTTGAGAAAGTCCAGGAAAACAAAAGCCATTCCAAAAAACATAAAAACGCTTTATTGAAGCACATGAAATACACACAATGACAGACATAACAACCAAAACTTTCTTTCATGTTTTAAACTAAAGACTAATTCTGATTCTCATACACCTGACGTCACTCTAACCTCAGCTTCAGTCAGTTTGCAACAGAGAATACAATCAGCCTTTTATTTAACTATTTAGTTTCAGTTAATGAATATTAGAAACTAGTTTTATTTAAGTCTTAGATTTTTCAACATCTTCTATACTTCTTTTTGTTTAATTTTTAAACGCGTTAAAAAATAATCTAAATTTAAATAAATGTACATGTATTTTTCGATTTTGGGAAAGGAGGGAGGAGGGATGATCTAGCAAGGGTGAAAGTGGTGCATGGGGTAAAACAAGCTGAAAAACCACTGATCTAAAAATTTCAAGATCTGTGATGCGACAGTGGAACATACTATAAAGCAATACGAAAACTCTTAGCACTAAAGACTTCTTAGCACTTGTTAGCATAATGTTAAAATTATTTCAATATACTAAATAATTTTTTCAATTAGGATTAAGATTATTTTAGATTAGAGCAAAAGAACTTGAAGGCCTACAAGGAAAGACATCTTTGTGGAGGATATTTTTGTATTACATATTAACCATAAAAGCTCAAACATCATGAATAGCTGTTGACTGCATGGAAGTTTTCATGATGGAAAACCATGAAAACTTCTATGCTGCCAGCTCATCCACAGGGATTTGAATCCATATTCAGCAGTTTTACTGTTCAACCACTGATGGACCAATATTTTTCAGGCATGCACTATAATAATCACATTGTTCAGTGTTGATGACCCTGTATGTCAAAAGGAGGGATTACAGTTAACTTTTTTGCTAACAATTAGCAAGCAATAGTATTTTTTATATATGAGAACTGCAAAGTTGTAGATCCAAAAGTAGCATGTTATCTTACCATAGCATGAACGAGTATATGTGTCACAAGCTTCGTTGTACAAGCAATCTCTATCACTCTTGCATCCTGTCGGTTCTTCTCTTTCACATTTGCCTCCATATGGTTCACCTCTGAAACCAGATGGACAGCGACATTCGTAGGATCCGGGAGTATTGTGACACTCTGCCTGTTCACCACATAGATGGTACCCATTTTCTTGGCATTCATCAATATCTGAGAAAAAGTCATTATCTGTGTTTAGAAATCTTCAGATATAGTGAATTCAGAATAAATGCAATATATATATCACAGAAGCTCATTAACTAATAATTTAATAAAAGCGACTGAGTATCAGATGAAAGTAACTGAAGATGGTGAAATATTTTGACCAACAAAATTGAAACAAAAGAATCATTATTTAAGGACGGGAAATAAATAATGAAAGATATAATATTTATACAGAATGTATTTGTTTTCAAAAATATGTAGTTAAACCCCATCTGACTGAAATATAAATATGTGAATATAACCTTTAAATAGAAACATAAGCCTGCAAGACAAACAGAAAATAATGCATTTAAAGAACACTTTCATAGTAATATTTCATTGCAATTTTGCATATTTAAATAAGAAATAATTATCTAAATTCTATAGATAAAAAAACAAATATATCTAATTTTCTTGTTCTAAATTTTATCTAATCCAGTTCTAAGTTATAAATATAATCCAGTTCATAATAGGTGAATTTTACATCAAAATTTCAATTATAAGATTCATTCAAATCCAAACAGAAATTACTATCATCCTTGCCTAACCTATACATAATCATTTAAGGTAATTATTTAAACTTACCAATACAGACACCACTGACGAGCAGTTTGAAGCCCCGAGGACAAATGCAAATGCCAGCTTCACGACCTGTATACACACATCGCTGGTTATCTGGGCAAGGATTGGTTGTTGTGCAGTTGATGCTTGTCACTAGAAAAGGATATCAAACTATTTATTTTCATTTACAAAAAACACCTGCAATTCATACTGACCTTTTGAGTAAAATGTTTATATATTAGTTACAAATTTACTTATCCAGGTTTTTATCATTGTTGTTTTTCTGCTATATAAATTATTTTGTTGATAAATAAATGTTCTGCACTTTTTTTTATTTAAAGTACAATATGTCCATAAAATATGATAAATTGAAGTAGAGACATATAAAAAGTTTGAATGTTTTAAGTCTTTCTGCAAAATTTCAGCTAGAGGGGTTTTTTTTTTTTTTTTTTTTTTTCCAGAATCCTTCAAGCATAAATGGAAGTGGCAGGTCTCTTGGTCTGTTGTTCCTTAAGCAATTCATCAGAAATGCAAGACCACAACCTCTATATTTTAACTCACTTAACCACTAACTTGAAGACTGTCCAGCTAAATTGGACAGCCTCAAAGATATGCATCGGACTTCCGTTACTGTGCCATTCTTCACCTTGACATGTTTCGAAGAACCAGAGAGTATTGTATATCCTATTGACTGGACTTTGTATACCCTATTAAATTAGCACATGCTGAAGTATACTAACTTTTCTGAGAAATTTAACAGGTGATTTTTCTAATTTTTATAAATTTGATGTCATTTGTTGTCAAATTTAACCAGCACACATATGCTAAATTAAGGGAAGTCCAAGATAAATAATTGTATTAAATACCCAACAGCTAACTTCTATATTCAAGTAAAACAATTACTTTCTCCTGAGTATCTGCATTTACAATTAAAGTCTGAAAGAATACTTTAAATCTACTATAATTATTTATAAAAATAAACTTACGAATGCAGAAATCAGAAACTCGTTGAAAATCTCCAGGACATCCACAGGTTCCATCTCCCAAACAGAAAAGATTTCCTGGGCAGCCTAAATGATTTTGGCAACCAGGTCCAACTGAGAGAAAAACAAAATACATATTGCTAAAATTTCCATTAATATAAACAATAACAAATATGCACACAAATAAAAGAAATTATGTATAAAAAGATTGCTAAGAAAAAACTGCATTGAAAAAAACTTAAATGATTGCAAATTAGAACCAGAGTATGTATAATTAACAAAATGTAACAGTGTAACAAATCTGTTGGGATGGGGGAATGAAGATTTTTTTAATAAATTATTTATATTAATACAGTTACTTTCAAAAACAAAATTAAAATATTAAAGAGGATGCAAACTATTTAAAATAAAAGCACATACATTTCGAATAGTAACTTTTGGAACAATCAGTAAAGCCCTCTAAAAGTACTGAAGAATAAAACGTTTTCAAAAATAATAATTTTAGTCAGGTATTTAAATTAATTACTGAAATAGATTTTTATTATACACAAAAGCTTTTAGTGATATAATAATAATTAATTATGCTAATAATATAAATCTGTAATTAAATGTCACGGCAGGAGCTCTGTGCATGTCTTTTCAAATACAGATTGCTCGCAAAACAATTAAAACCGGATAAATTCAGTTTACATAAAAGGGGAAACTAGAGTTTTGTAGCAAACGAAACCTGTGGAAATTCATTGTATTTACAAAAAATTAATCTTGCAAAGAACAAAAAGTGAGAAATTAGTTATTTGTACCTATCCTTGCAGGAGAGCCTTTATGAAGTTATTAATAGTATTATTACTTCTAAATATGTAGGTTTCAGTTCTCAAAAATAATGCTTCAAATTTTTAAAAAATGTGTCTTTTCTTGGAGGCCAATATTTAGCCTGAAGTTAAAAACAATCTGACAATAATAATTAGTGTTGCTAAATTACAAATATATTTAGACAGGCATTATATTAGAAAGCATTGAATGTTTTGTAATTTAGTTTTATAAATATGATAATCATTTATGATGAAAATGTTTTCAGATTCCAGATTTAAAATCAGTTTTAGCTGAATTTAAAAGATTTTGCAGACATACTTGGATAACAGTGTTCAAGTGGATTGCCTCTGTAACCTGGGATACATTCACACTGTGGACTGTGATCCTGCACGCTGCACTGTGAATTACGGCCACACGGGTTGCTCACGACACATGGATCTACAGAAAATATTTTATATTCATAAGAAATTCTTATGCAAAGCAAAATTAATAAGAGAAAAAGAAACCTAAATGCTTACCATAACACTGTTCAGCTTCGATATCGCATGCCAGGTGGTTTGGACATTCCAAATCAGACTGACAGTATCCTTGCCTACGTTGGCCTGAAATACAACAGAAGCATGAAACATCATTCCATTAACTCTATTTTTTGCATGCTATAAAGTATACGTCAGGGGTTCCCACTGGGGTTAATACTAAAGCCCTGACTTCTGAGTCAATGGGTTGATAAAATTTTAAAGTGGGTCTGTCAAGATCAAGGCATCAATAGCCAAATATGCATTGCCAATTCATTGATTATACAAAGAAAGTTTATTAATCAAATCAATAATTTATTGTTTATAAATATAAAACTGTATAATGCAATATGAAAGAAATATAAAAAATATAAGGGAAAAATATACTAAAATTATTTAATACATTTTCAAAGTCAATAATATTTGAAATACATGAATTATAAATATATGAATTTTTTGTGCCATATAAAAAAGTAAATCACAAGAAAGCATATGAAGAATGGAAAACAAACGAAAAAAAGCACCTTCAATATTTTTGAAAAAGTTATTTAAAAGTTAAGCACAGCCATTATATTCATTAAAACTGAACTTTTGTAAAATTAGAATCTATAATTTTCTTTTAGAAAAGCTTGTTAACATTATAAAATTAAAAATTTTATAAAAAATAAACATAATTCTACAATACAAAAAAATTAAACATAATTCTAATAAACCCCTCTTTAAAAACTTAACTCCATTTAATTGAATAATTATGTTTAAGTTACTTATGTGCATTTATTAGTACTGTGGTTATATAGTATGTTATATATTAGAGAGGAAATTATAAAAAGATCAGCCAAGAAAACAATTCCTTTAAAAGGGGTCGGTGCAAGGAAAGATTAGGAATACCTGATAGAAATTCTTTTAATTTCATAAAGTCATAAAAAGTAAATTAAAATTACTCACATCCAGAATAAAATGGTTCCCCGACAGTTCCAGGTGGACAGCGGCACTGATAGCTTCCGATCGTGTTGAAGCACTGGGCTCCAGTACCGCAAGGGAATGGACTCTGTTCGCATTCATTTATGTCTGTGAATATCAAATATAGTTAGTCAAAATAGCTTAAATGAAGTTAAAATGATATTTGAAAGAAGTAAATTAGAATACATAATTGCCCCACATACAAAAGGCCATACAAATAATGATCAAATGATGAGGTGAAATGTTAACATTTTAAGATTTAATTGGATACATTATATCCTGTTAGAAATGAACATAAGTAATACATAAAAATTTTTAATGACACAAAATGCATGTATGTACATGATACTATGAATACATATGTTCAAATAAAGCTAAATAAAAAGTTATCTAGCCTTTTAAGAAATTGATATTGATGTTATGTATTACTACTAATACAAAATTATAATGTTAATTTAATTGCATAAGCTATTACAGTAAAATTAAACAAACTATTGAGCTACCATGTTGTGATCATAATTATAGACCAACTATATTGAGTCAGTCCATAAGTTTGTGCGCATTAAGAGTATGAGTGGAATTCACCTATGACGCATTTACTAAAACAATACAATTTTGAACCTGTTGAAACTTGTCATCATTTGACTAACATATTATTCAGTTCAACACCAACTTTCGTAACTATCAAATGCAATTTAGTACCCACAGAAGATGAATATAGATAATCAGTACAAACGTGCTGTGCTACACTTTTTTTTCGTATGGTGAATCTGCCAGGTTTGCACTGATAAAAATTAATAGTGTACATGGTAAACACACTATTAGTGTAAGGACTGCTCAGAAATGGTTTAAAAAATTTAAAATCGGAAAAAGCAGCAATGATGATAAACCCCGTTCAGGACATTTTGAACTGTTAGAACCAAATCAAACGATTAATTCAGAAGTTTATAGTGAACAACTTGCTGTTTAAACTCAGAATTGATCAAACAATGCTCACGATTGATGAATATCAAGAAAATGTTGTTTCATCATGATAATGCTAGATTACATACGGCTCGAACAACGCTGCAAAAAATTAGTGAATTTAATTGGGAGCTTTTGCCACATCCTGCTTACTCCTCAGATATTGTTCCAAGTAATTTTCACTTATTTTGTGCCTTAACATTTTTTTTACTGGAAAAAAATTAAAGTCTAAACAGAATGTACACAATGAACTTTCAAGTTTTTTTTGCATCAAAACCACTTTCTACAGCAGTGGCATAAAAAAGCTACCTGTAATATGGCGAGACACTGTAATAATGGAGGAAAAAAAACAGTCAAAAGTCGTTAATCCGGACACCCATCATCCGAATAATCTATAATCAGGCCTCAAGCTACAAATTCTGCGCATAATGCGGAGCATGCGCATAATACGTTAAGCATGCGCGTTTAGTATAAGGACGGTATAAGCTAGCTCAATATCTCATTATCTATTTCAGTTAATGTTGCAGATTCGTTGTTCCTTAATCTCTAAAGGATGGCTTATATTTTTTGCGACTGTTAGAGCAGTTTTAAAAGTAAGTGAGATTTCGATTATGTAAAAAAGAATTTCGATTCTGGAGATGCCAAAGGATTACAAGAGAAAGCAGGTTTCGATGTCATCAAAAAAAAGTGGATTGCTGCAAAAAATGGATAAAGGCATATCCTCGTTTCTAACTTCCAAAACTGTTTATCAATTCACGCGCTCGGCCGGGGGGGGGGACGTTGCAGAAGCAATTTTTAACGGAAGTTGATGCCTCAGCACTACCTATGCAAGGCAGATGTTTTTATTTAATTCAGCTTATAATTCCGTATTAAATGTAGATTTCATCTCGATGTCTCTATGATATGATTTAATCAAATCCTCATCATTATACACATGAATACACATCAATGGTTTCAATCAATTTATTTGCAACTATGCGGTAATTAGCTTTCGCATGTCGCGTGTAGAAATTTTTAAGTAAACAAAATAAAATATTAAGCTTTTTTTTTTTTTTTTAAATTTTGTTTTTTAAGACCTTAGATCATAAAGCCTTATTCATAATTACGGTTTATATTTTAATTTATAATCTGCATGCATCTACAGATTTAACTGATGTCTGAATCCGGATCGCCGAGTCCCAACAAGTCCGGATTAAAGACTTTTGACTGTAATTGTTTAAAATGTTAAATTGTGTTTTTTTTATATTGTTTAAAAATTTACCAAAAAAATGGGCACGAATTTATGGAATGACCCAATATTTTCTAGAATTTCTTGGGACCACAGCATTTTTTTATTTTTTTAATATTATTATTTTTGATAAATGCAATATTACACATGACAATCATTAACTAGTGATGAATGTTATAACCTTATGATAACATATAGAATCTCTGGTTAATCTAAATTATACAAAGTATGTGAATTTGTTCATATTATCAGAAATTCTTAAGAAAAATAATAGATCACATCAGATTTTTTCATTTCTAATGAAAAAAATCTGATGTGGTTGGCACATGACCTTCTGCTCACTTTTAACAGCAATGGACTTTACAGCAAGAAGTAAAATATTACTTCTTGTTGATCATTTGTAAGCAAAATATTACTTCTTGTTGATCATTTGTAAGCAAAATGAAACAAAGAATTTGTTATTCCAATAAACAGAAAAGTTTGTCATATGAAATTATGGATTATATTTTATTAGACCTAATGGGCCACTTGTAAAAACTGGTTTCTCTAAATTTATACCAACATAACCCAATGTTGATATAAATTTCAACCCTTTAAATTCAACAAAATCCCTTTACGTTTTTTAATTAAAAATCATATTTTAATGGGCAGCTGAATAACATATAATTTAATTGGTTTTTAATTAAAGAAAATTGAGTATTTTTAATATATATTTAATATACATTTAAAATAAAAATTTTAAAACAAATATCATAATTTTTTTTCTGTATTATTTCTATAATGAAAACAAAACTAAATTTTTTGATTGCAACATTTATCTAGCAATATTAGGTTTTAGTAAAAAATGCTTGTTAAAAACAAGAATTGTCCTTTTATATGTATGCAACAATAGTCCAGTGATTGGCAGTATATGGTTTCAGCAAAGCACCATTCTGGTATCATTTATTCAAAATTTAATCAACTCTTAATGTGAATGCAGAAAGCTTATATGTGGAATTTTTTTTTTTTTGGGGGGGGGGAAATTTGACATAAGAATTATCATAGACAACAACAAACAAAACAAAACAAAAAAAAATGTCCTACATAGAGAAACATCATTAGTGAAAACATATTGTGGGGACCCTAATTTGTGCTCATTCACTATAAAACTCAATATCGAGTTTTAGAACCAAAAAGATTACTATGTATACAGGTTGGCTAGAGGTAAAAAGGGTAAATACCAATATTCAGATAGATCTCAATTCGAATATCTGTTTCAAACTAAAGCAAATGTTTACCTCTGCAAATTCCATTCGACATCAACACAAAACCTCGTGGACAGACACATATGCCAGCAGGCTGTTCTGCAGAGACGCATTCTTCGTTATCTGGACAAGGATTGGTTGTGCTGCAATTTCGACTTGTTTCGGAGACTAGAAAATGAAAAGAAACATGAACATATATATCTCATATATTCAATAAAAATACAAAAAGTATGCAAAGCTGGTATTCAGTAATTTATATGCACATATTACTCACTTATACAGAAAAATCCTCTTTGTTCGAATGGAGCTGGACAGCCACATCGAGTACCGTCCAAACATACCAAGTTGCCAGAGCATGGATTATGTGTACCACAAGTTTCCACTGCAAACATTAAAACAAATTAAATTACTTCTTACATGAATGAAATAAAGTGAAGCTATGTTCAGAACCAGGAAATTTTCTTTATGGTTTCCTTTAAGATGAACTGGAAATTTCACTTACATATGCTGCATTCAATGTATGGATTTCCAGTATAACCTGGTGGACAATAACATTCATGATGATGGTTTGCAGCCGAACACATTGCACCTTTACCACAAATACCAGGCCTGTCACAAACCTCTGTTACATAAAAATTAAACACATTTCAATATATCATTCCATAATATTTTACAAAAGATTTGCTATAATATATTAGTGCACATTCAGTAAGTATAACTAAGAATAATTTATGGTCAGTATTCTAAGACTTTCTGGAATTTTATTAAAAAAAATTCGAGATTTTCATTATAAACACAAGGCAAATAATAAATAATGTATTCATACCATAGCATTCACCAGTCAGTCTGTTGCAAGCCTCTATGAACTTGCAATCTTCGTCTCTTCTGCACACCTTTGGCATTTGTCGGCCTGTAAAAAAAATCCAAATTTAAAATTGCAGTAAAGTAATAGATAAATTTAATCAACCAAATGTTCATTTTTTAATGGATTAAAATGAATACTTGCCAAATGTTTAATTATATTAGATCGTGTTCCACGTTTGCTATACAGCAATAAAAATAGACTGCCAGTTCTATTTGCAACATTACTACATTTTAATACTTTACATCATTTATTATTTATTTTTCAAAAGTTATACTTTCCTATTAATAAAAAATATTCCATGAAATTTAAAATGAAAGCTTTAGAAAAAAGTGAGGGAAGATTACCATAAATCAGGATAAACTAGCACATAGTGCATTTTATTTTTATTATATCCAATAAATATTTTTCCCCTTAAAAGACTAATTCTTTTAGTCCTCAAAAACCTGGGTTGAAGCTAACTTGAGAACACTGATAAAGATGAAGTGACCAATTCATTGCTATATTCCATGTGTTTTTTTTCACTCAGTACTGTTTTAGAAACTGGTTAATTACTGTTTTATTCACCTCAGCATAAAACTTTTACCTAATAGATCTGTTGTTGCTTTGCAAGCCCCTTTCTCTTTCTTTTTAATGGACATTCTTCCAAACATTTAAAAAAAATAATAAAATTAATAATCTCTAATGAACTATGCAAAGGCTTTGCAAATGTATGACTGGAAGACATACATATGCAGCCCATTAGCCATTCTAGCTCATTTATTTTACACTTCATTTAGTTTTGAAAGAATTAAAAAAAGTAAACTGGCAGCTGTTAACAGGCGAGTTTATAAAATGCTTAAAAGATTAAGATTCAAAATCGTACCAAATATTTAAAACAAAATTTTTGGTTGATATAAAAAATTAGCTACTAAGTCAATTAAAGTAAAATCAATGTATTAATGAGGATTTCTTTGGACCATAAAAATACGAGTTAATAAAGAAATTACATAGAATGAAAAAAATTAATTTTAATGATTAATTCAATTTATTACTCACTTTAATCTACTACATTTTGGCTAAAACACTTCATGTCCATAAATTAAGGATAATGCAAAATCAGGCAAAGGAAGAGTTAGAAGCAAAACAAATTTGACTTATTTGTAAAGCTTATTTATTAAACAAAAGGTAAAGAGCAAAAACAGATGCTATATGTTTGATATTATTAAAAAAATTAGCGATTTTTTCTCCCTGGAGCAAATTACAAAAAAAAAAATAAAAAACATTTACAAAAAACCAATATTACATGGTTGGATGATTGTTAATACATTGTATGTCTCCCAGACGATGCAATACAGTCCGTACAACGCCTAGGCATCTGAGTATCAAATTATCGATCTGATCTTGGGGGATATTACATCACTCAAAAAGCAATGCACTCCGAAGTTTCCGTAGACATGTAGAAGGAGGTTGACGGGCTGCAACTCGTCGGCCAAGCATGTCCCACACGTGTTCTACTGGTTCAAGTCCTGGTGAGAATGCTGGCCAGTCCATGTACGGGTGATATCCTCCGATTGAAGGCATTCGCTTACGATATTTGCACGGTGAGGACTGGCGTTGTCATCCATAACACAAATTGTGTGCCCATGGCACCCCGAAACAAATGTACATGTTGTTCCAGAATGACGTCCCGATAGATTATGGCTTGTCATGATTCCAATTTGAACATGAAGGTCAGTTCTGGAACCCAGAATAATTCCACCCCAAATGAGCACTCCTGCACCACCGTAACGGTGTCGTTCAATGATGTTTTCTTTGGTGGTAACGAATACCTGGAGCTCTCCATATGAAAGTCCGGCGAGAATCAGACTGCAAGCTAAACCTGGACTCGTCGGAAAACATCACACAAGCCCACTGTTGCGGTGTCCACAATGCATGCTCTCTACTCCAGGCTAACCGCAGGCGACAGTGAGTTGCAGTAAGTGGAACGCATCTGACAGGTCTACGAAGCATATAAGACCAATCTGCCCTAAGCGTCTGTACACGGTCTGCCTTGAAATTGTCGTACCAGTGGCTGAAGAGAGCTGACGAGGACAGGTCTGAGGCTGTGCTCCGCCTGTTTGTTTTGGCAGTAACTGCCAAATACCGGTCCTCATTCGGCGTTGTAACTCTGGGGCGACCTGTGCTGTAACGTCTACTCACATTACCATCATCTTGGAATCGTTGCCAAAGCCTGGAGATGACACTCTGGGCAATTCCAAGTTTGTCTGATACTTCCAGTTGGGTACCCCCACATTCCAGACGGCCGATAATTCTACCACGTAAAAAATCATCCAAATGCGTCCTTTGTGTCATAGCTATTTGGTTATTGCACTGAAATGCTTATAAAGTGCCTGCGAACAATTTTACTTCTTTGCCTGTATTCCTTATATATCACTCTCTTACACTCTCGTCATTGTGACGTACCATCGGTGTCATCTGGTTACTTCCTGAAATTTGCATATGATTTTTGAAGATGTGTGCAGTGATTTTACAGATGATATATTTATTTTAGAGTTTGATTTCCGTGTGACTCCGAATTATCCTTAATTTATGGACATGAGTGTATATCACTTGCTGTATACACCAGTATACCTGCTTTCAGATTAGTTCTCTCTCAAGTTATGTATAGATGGGCGTGAAGTTAATCACAAATGCTTCTTTGATTCTGTATCAGTAACCAATTCTCAGTGTTTTTATGATCATTGTCAATAAATATATGGACTCAGTATTTCATTATTAAATTTCATAGATCTTAGATTTATAGTTGGTTGTTACATAGAAGGACAATACAACAAAAAAATGATTACTCACATCCTTGTCCATATGGATCACCATCTAATCCTACAGGACAGCTACACTTGTAGCCACCTGGTAGATTGGAGCACATGGCTCCCAGAGCACATGGACCTCTGCCTTGCAAACATTCATTGATATCTACAGAGAGAAAGAATCATTATACATCAGGTGGAATTGCAGCATTAAAAAATACATTCTGTGAAATGCCAGCAAATATGTATATGAAAAGACAATCTTTAAATAAAATAAGAATGTTTACATATTGGATGATTCTCTCACTTAGAATTACGATGCACTATCTGTAAATAATTTAATAAATCAGACTTTTTAATAATTGATAAACATTCATTAAACATCTACTTAAATTAATTTAAATTACTGTTAATTTATTATATTAAACCAGTAATGATGGTAGGATAAAACTCATGGTGAGTTTTCCAAAAGACATTGTCTCATACATGCAAAAATTTTAAATTGCCAACTTAATTTGTTAGAAAGTGAATACAGATTTTATATTCTCGACCTAAGACCCATTTTTTAAGAATTTCTTTCTTCAATTACAATCCAGTTCACCAATTAATTTAACCCAAATTACCTATCCATATTTAAAAATTAAAATACCTACTAAAATAATTATCCAAATTTTATTTCTGATTTTATGCAATCTAAACATTATTACATAATATTTTAAACGTTTCTTACCTTTACATTCATGATTGACGCACACATAATTCCTTCCACAATGACTGTCTGTTTCACACTCATATTGAACTAAAAAAGAAAAAATAATTTGATTAAAAGAAAAATTAATTAGAATATATAAAAGAATTTAAGAATAAATTATGTAAGAACTGGAAGTATGCAGAAAGATGATTTAATGCACTTTTTTCTTCTTTTTTTAATTGCATTTTATAATCCTTTAAAAATCAAATTATATGTCTCAGTTACCATTTCCATTAATCTTATTTATCAGCTTTTTTTTTTTTTTTTTTTTTGTTTTGCTTAATCTACTACTTTTAACTTTTTTTTTGTATTATTTAGTCAAAAATACAATTAAAATTAGTACAAATAGTCTTAGAGTATCCATTATTCAGTATTTCCGTGTTAACGGAGAAGGACATCAGAGTTAAGTGCCAATCTGAATGTTGGATAATTAACTTGATAAAATTAGCTTTTCTTTATCTCAGATGGAAAATGTTTGGCAAATTTTTTTTAAATAGCCTCAAAGGATTTTTTTAACCTGAGCTTCAACTTTCTGATGCCTTTCACTAAGTACGACTTCAAATAGTCTCTTACTCTAGCAACATCACTGTGCGCTCTGTGATTATTGGAACACTGATGGTTACTCGGCAATATATTATACTCCCATAAGAAACTACCGCCATCACCTTCATTGTTTGGTAGATTCTATAGAACCATGATCCATCTATACATTCCATTCTTAAAACTGCAGCTTATACGCATTCTTAAAACTTAGCGACATCACATGTTTGCAATGGTGATTAATTTGTGTTATGGTGTCAAAGTTGGTAACTATTTTTATTATTTGATGATTTTTTTTTTCCTCCATTAATAGATAAGTATCCATTGTTCCTAGTAATAATACGATAATTGGCTACATGTTTTTCTCAATGAGATCATAACTAGAACTTACTTCGTGTGCACTGTCTGAGTGGATCTCCAGTATATCCTGGTATGCAGGAGCAAATAGCTTTGTGGTCTGAAACATGGCATTGCGTATTCACTCCACAGATGCCACCAATAGTACATGGGTCTTGACATATTCTGTTCACACAAGCCTTATCGAACGGGCAGTTGCTGTGTGAGCGGCATCCCGCTGCACAATGAACACAAGAACAGAGTGATGTAATTTTAACAATATTCATGACATGAAAAAAAATTTAATTTTGTGTATAGAATTAGTATCTCAAAGTCACATATGAGGCAAATAAGAAATGGTTAATTAAAAATATTTTGCATGAAGGATGAATGACTTGAAAATAAGCATATCATAAGCAAATTTAGATGAGAATAGTGAAAGAAGGCAAGAAATGGCAACACTTACAGACACATTCAGATTTGACACAAATCTGGCTCACTGCACATTCAGAATCACGACGACAGCCTTGTTCAGGAACTATAAGTATATTAAATATTAGATCTCAGTTTATATACGCATTAATGAGTTCAAATTTACTAAAAATTTACTGCATAATGTTTGTATAATTTAACCAAATAAATTACAAAAAACTATTTTGCTTTTATTTATGTATTTAGTTTTATAAAAACAAGTATTTTCAGAGAAAGTTACATTAAAAAATTTAAAATATTTTATAGTGGAAAAAAAAATTTCTTTTTAAATCCTTCCCACACATGTTTAAGAAAGAGCAAGAAAATAAAGTATAAAATTCTAAATTTAAAATATATAATGTGAACTCCTCTGATTATCAGCACTGCAATTTAAATCCAATGTTTTTTATTTAAAATACTTGAACACTGCCACCATGGCACAATATGCTTTAGCAAAAGGATTTTAATATATGTTAAATAAACAATTTCAGTTGCTTGCTGATTTTGATGAAGTTAAAGGAAATCTTTAACAAAAGTTCCTTTAACCTTTAAAGTACCTGTAACTATGTACAATTTGGATAAAAATTGTATTACTCCTCATATTCAAAATCAGATTTAATGTAAGTTCTTTAAGCTTCTCAAGAGACAATGAGTCTTGATTATTTCATGGGTCTTTAATAACATACTGTTTTTAGTTAGACTGCATGAACATTTCTGGATGAAAAAATTATTGCAGTATATAATAAAATTTCAATCTTTTTCAAATAACACTCAAAATGAATTAAAGGTCTTCCCACATATTTTAAGTTTTTGATTCATTAATTTTGTTCATTTTGACATCAAGTTTTTGTAAAAAATCAATACATATATGCTTCAGTTTCTAAAATATTAAAGAATGAAGTATTAATAAGTTTATTTTTCTTATTACTAACCCCAATTTGGTTATGTCAATAAAAGAATTACAGTTTACAACAACAAAATATATCCATCAGGTTATAAAACTGTTACAGTGTTACATTTAAAATAAAATATTTGCCACACAATGAAGTAATGCTCACTTGGTTGACAAGATACTAGAGGATCACCAGTCAAATCAGCTGGACAACTACAGTGTGGCTGATGACCAACTGCAGTACAATGGGCATTCTGTCCACATGCTCCACTGAGGTCACAAACTCGTTGACAATGGCTATGTAGACAAGTTTCATCATATGGGCAATTGGCATTGGTACGACATCCAACTATCATGGAAGGGGGAGGTGACTTAATTCATTCATTCATTGAATAAAAATGCATTGTCTGTCAAAATTAATAGGAAAAATAATGCCAAATTTGATAAGTATTTAAAACTTACCAACACATCTCTGGTTCTGGCAAATTTGTCCCAGAGAACAGTCTCTATCTACAGTACATTCTGGAAGAACTGGAGCTGCAGGAAGAAAAATATAGAACTTAATAATATTTAAAAGTGTTTGGTAAATAAAAGATAGATTATACACATTTTATACACAGGATTAAGTGATGATAAAAAATATTAATAGCATCTGTACAATGGAAAATAAAATTAAACCTGAATGAAAATATAATTTTAAAAAAAAGAGTGCAACAAATGCTGAATGATTTTTTTTATTTAACCCAGTGGGCTCTTCTGATTAGAAAACTAGCTAGATTAGTTATATGCATTTAATGAACATGATTGGCCACTACATTCTTATTTCTATTGCATCCTTTCAGAATACTGGCTATATAACAACAGATACTCCAGCAGCACACAAAATTAAGCAATATACTTAAACACCTTAGCAGCAGTTTCCAAATCAAAAAGTAAGTAGAATATAAAATTAATTCAGAAATAAAGAACTGATAACAATTATAATTAATACTATTCAAAAAATGTTTTCTCGAGATATTTTTTTTAAAAAAAGGTGTTTGCATTCTATACATTTAACAAATTAAGTATGTATTAAGATTAGGCTTATCTTGACTGTTTACTTATTTATTTATTCATGTACAAGGAAACTGTAGCATTGCAAATAGTTTGTCAAAACTCTGTGAGCACTAATCATAATCATGTCAGTTTTTATTTTTTATGGTTGCTTTTTCCTTTTTTAAATAATTTTTGGATAACAACATTTTTGGGTAATTACTCCAAAATAGAGCCTGCCCCCTTCTTGTGCATAGCTCTGAACTATTACAGTCAAAAGTCGTTAATCCGGACTCGTCGGGACTTCGGCGATTCCGGATTATCGATTTTTCCGGATTATAGATCATCAGTTTAAATCTGGTAAGATGGCATGCAAAAATTACAAAATTAAAAATATGAAACCGTAATTTATGAAATAAAGAACAATTATGATCTAAAGGGTATCAAAATTTACAAAAAGAAAAAACTTAAATTTATTTGTTTTACTTTATTAAACATTTCCTTCAATGTAAGTTTTCAATGGTTTCATGTGATAATACTTTCTCTTTAATTCCATTAAACAGACTAATTCTTGTTTAGTTACAAAGTCCGCTGTTCAAGTCCTATAATTGCTGTGTTGAGAATACCGACTAATTTGTCAATCGAAATGTTTTCGTTTTCAATAACCTCTGGGTCACTTTCTTCACTATCGGAAGCGAATTATAATGACGAGGAACTTGATTTAAATCATATCAAAGACGGAGTACATCGAGATGAAATACTAAACTTAGTACGGAATTATAATCCAATAAAATAAAAACATCTGCTCTGAAGATAAGGATAGTGTTGACAGATCAACTTCCAATCCGCGGCGTGAAATTGATAAACAGATTTCGATTTCAAAAACATACTTCGCTTTGTAGATACAATACATATTAGTAAATATTATATTGGAAAATTCTATTTGACATATCTTTCTAAATCTATCATAATCTATAATGACGTTTCCCCCCCCCCTCTGCCGCCGAGCAGCGTGAAATTGATAAACAGATTTCGGATTTCAAAAACATACTTCGCTTTGTAGTAAATATATATCGGAAATTCTATTTGAATAATCGAAAGTTCAAGCTTACTTTTATAAAATGCTCTATACAGTCTGCAAAAAATAATAAGCGGATCCAATTCGAAGATTAAGGAACAACGCAATCTGCAAACATTAATGAATTAGATAACTTAGCTTAAGCGTATCCGTTACACATTAAACGCGCGGCGCACAAAATATTCGCAGCTGTAAGGGTCTTACGCGCTCTCGTAAACGCCTGTGCGCATGGCGTGAACGAATGCGCAGAAAGTTTGTAGCTTTGAGGTCCGGATTATAGATCATTCCGGATTATGGGTGTCCGAATTAACGACTTTTGACTGTATTAACTAATAATTGTGATTCCAGCAATATTTATTCCATCTATATATCTTTATTATCAGGGCGCCAATTCTATAAAGTATAAAAAAAACTCACTAATTATACAATAAAAGCATGGTTTTCGTATTATTTCTATTCCTTGAAGAAAAAAAATATGTTATGTATAAAGGTTAAATATTGATGGTCCAACCCAATTCTTAATTTATCATCTTTAAGATAAAAATATAATGTTCTTCAAAATTAGGACTTATGTGCATAATTAAATAACATTGTTATGCCAACAACTGCCTTAAAAATAATCATATATTAGCAACAGAATTCTGTTTTCCATTTAAGGAAGATAAATTGAAGCTCACAAAAGGAAAGCATTAAATAACAACTATTTACCAACTGTAGGAATAAAGTTAAATCATGAAAAATCAAATTAAAATTATAGTTTCATATTATATTAACACAGTTGTTAGAAAAATATCAAAGAAACTGCACTCACTCCTGCTGCATAATGTGTGTGGATTTCCACTGTATCCTGGTGAACAAGTGCACACACGATCGTGGTTAATAGCTTTGCATTGAGCATTTTGTCCACAAGCTCCATACACTGAGCAGGGATTTCGACAATACCGATTGATACACGTCTCATCAAATTTACAGTTGGCATCAGTTCTGCAACCCTCTGCAAGAAATTTAAATTTATTAGGCAGGTTTACAAACATCAAATCAAAGAATGTTTGAACATGAACTGCATTAGTATATTTTTTAGATTAATATGTATGGTTTATTAAAAAGGAAAAAAATACTTACTGACACATACTGTATTTTCACATATTTTATCAACAGAGCAATCCAAATCATGCTCACATTCAACATCAGCTTTCACTAAAATACAGAGAAAAGTTTTATTGAGAAATTGAAATGCTTGTAAGTAGTTTTAGATTAGATTCAGATATAGACATAAATATTTTATTAAGCAGTTTTTCCCCCAAAACTAATATACTCCCAAAAAACTAAATTTAATGCCATGTAGTAATTTCTTTAAAAGACTAAACATAATTTTTAATACACTGTTCCTCAAACATTTTAGCTTGTAATTCACAATGCACAACTGCAATTTAGTACAAACTATGAAATTGTTCTGGGGAGAAACAAGAAAGAGATTACTAGAAGAAAGTAATGTAACAACAAATAATAAAAGATAAAGATATTTTAAATAAGAGTTCATAAATAATTATTAATTGATTATAATTATACATAAATATATGTTAATAATTTACTGTTAAGTAATGAAGAATTTGTACATATGTATGGAGGTTCCTCACATCATAGAAGAATGGCAGTATGTGCAGCAATAAAATTTTGAACACATGGAAGTCCTCCACATTAGCATGTGCATCTCAAAGCCAGACTTTTGAATTTCAAATTTATTTTTTATTTATTCCATACTGAGAGCACATAGAGCTATCCAACTGTGAACACACAGTCTTCCACCCAAATATGTGTACATCAAAATTTTAATTTTGAACTTAGTTTTTTATTTTTATTTCATGTTTTGTACAGATTTAATAAACTTTTGATTAAAAACTCAGCAATATACAAGCTGTGTGTTGCTACTTAGCAAAGTGTAGGATATGTTTCTTAATCAGAAAACTCAGTAATATGAAAGAAATGAACTGCCACTTGGCAAAATTCAACAGATTTTTCTTTTGAATTTAAGTGTAAGATAAATAATTTTTCTTTCAAATTTTTTCTATTATTAACTAACATATTAAGTGATTTAACAGCAATAAATGTAGACTCATTACAATTATTATTAATTACTGGCTTAACCTGTGAAATTACATTAGTTGGATTCATTAAAATCATTTTACAATTAAAAAAAATAATAACTATTGCAGGCAGCTTGTCACTCAAGTGGATAATGTAATATAAACAAATTAAAACTCCCAATATTTTTTATGACCACAGTTTTGGAAACACTTTTATTAACCATTTAATAATCACATTAAACAGAGATTCTTTGTCATCCATAAAAGGTTGAAACAACAGATTTCAATATCAACTCACCAAGAGAGCACTCAATGTATGCATCTCCCCGGAAGTTGCTGGGACATGTGCACACAGGCCGATGATTATCAGCATGACATTCTGCTTTCTTACCACAACTGTTTGGCAACAAACAAGGATTTTCACACTGGCGGTTGACGCAAGCCAAATCGCGAGGACAGTTGTTGTCGTGTCGACAACCAGCTGAAAGAAAACAGTGTCAGGTTAAATTACTTATTCCTATTATAATAAATGTAACTAACAATCTTTGACTATTTCTGTGTCTGCAAAATTGTTATTTCTTGAAATCACACATTTACATGCTGAACAAATTTTAAATCTTTAAATAAATAAAAGTCTTTGTAAAAATATTATTTTTTTAGGAAAACTGAAATATCCTTTAGACATTTAATAATGGGTCTACCAGCAAATTTTGTCTGTTAATGCTATTTCAAGTTTCATCATGCATGCAGATATTCATTTGAGACATATATGACTGTCTCTCTTTATCACTGCTTTTATAAACATCTGCTCTTCTAAATTAAATGAAACAAAAGTGTCTCATGTCATTATTGAGATGCCATTGTATAAATATGGCTACCAATAGATTTCATTTACTACATTGTAATTTGCACAAATTCCAGCAAGGAAAAAATGCTATAGAAGCGTGTCAAAATTTAATGACAGTTTTTGGTGGAGATGCAGTTTTGGATAGAACATGCAGGAGATGGTTAAAATATTTGAAGCAGGTGATTTCGACTTTAATGATAAGCCACGCTCTGGATGGCCATCTTTGATCGATGACGATGTTGTCAAGACCATGACAGAGCAAGTTTCTTTTCTTTGGAGACTTCTTGACTCAGCTCAACAAACCGTTTTGGACTATATTCGGAAACTAGGACTGGTCTATAAATATTCCAGATGGGCGCTTTGTAAGTTAAGTGAGAAAAATTTGAATAATCGAATTATCTATTATTGTATAACTCATTATACAATAATTAGTGAGTTATCTGCTTGTTCAGAATGAAAACAAATTCATTTTGGACCTCCATTTTGGATCCAAGGACTTATACGTTATAACTGAGGAAGAAAATGTGGATTACCTCCAAAAACATCATCAGAAAAAAATCATACTGTTAGCCAAAGCAACTTGCCCACTCCGTTTCTAAACCAAGTTTGAGCCTGAAGAAGAGAATGCTGTGTATGCGATGGGACATCCAAGGACTTATACATTACGAGCTTTTGAAACCTAAAGAAAAGTTCGGTTAAGAGAAATATTGTCAGCCAATGGATGATTTAAAGAAAGCAATCAAAGAAAAGAGGCCGATGATGTTCAACAGGAAGTACATCATATTGCATCTTGATAATGCCAGACCGCAAACTGCTTTGATGACTCATAAAATAAATCACAGTGCTAGGGGGGCAATTCTGCCACATTCACCATATTCCCCAAACCCAGCACCCTTTTATTATCACTTATTTCTCTTCTTACAAATTTAAAAAAAAAAAAAAAAAAAAAAAAAAAAAAATCAGTACTGAAGCAGTATTTGAATTCTTCTCCTAAGGAGAAGATATTTTTCAAAAATAGTAGCTACAAATTATCATCATGCACTGCTAAGAGGTCATAATTAACAACAGAATTTTTAATTATGGAATAAATAATATTAAAGGTATGGAAAATGCATTTTTTTTGGGGGGGGGCTTTCCAAAAGGGCAGAATTTTTCAGTAGATACAACACAATGACAGAATCTTTTTATATATTATGCAAAATGCAGCTTACCAACACATCGAGTATTTTCACATATGTAGCCAACACTGCATTCCTGATCAATTTCACATTCCGGTTTAACTTTCTCTGGAGGAAGAAAAGTACAAATGTTAAAAAATAATTCACCATTTTTTGTAATAATTTAATTAACAGTTTCATTGGTTGAAAAAAATATGATGGCAGTAATAGAATAAAAATACAATTTACAACCTATTTTTTACTTTTCTAATTGTTTATGAATTAAAAGCAACAGTTTTGATAATTCATATTTATTTTGGATTGTATGATATATTTACTTTATGCAAACCCATTACTCAAGATCACTACTGCTATAACTGATTATTTAGACACCAATGTTCTCAATAAGATAAATAAAATAAAATAATTATTTTACAGAGTTAACAAAACAACTGATTACTTATTAACTGAATGAAAATGATTATAAAATACTGTATTAATTTGTATATTTTCTCCCTTTTCCTATTAAATTTACTGTTTGAAAAATTAAATTATTAATTTGGATGGGGGAAAAATTAATTAATTAATTTTTTGGATTAAATTGGATGGGGGAAATATTTATATTATTTCTGAAGAGATGGCTTAAATGCAATTTACTAAAACATAACATTAAGAAGCCCACATAAAGACACATCAATATTATAATATTATTAAAATTAATATTATTTCATTAAAAATCCCACATTGCTGTTATATTATGTATTTCAAAGAGCTTACCAATTTCAACAATACTCCTTTTATTTACACAAAATACTTTTTGATTTGTGCAAGCATTTTACATTGTTACCCTAAATCAGATGTTTTCAAATCATATATTTAAGAGTTGAAATATGCAAGCGAATACTGTAACTCATTTTAACATACATATATTATTTATTAAAACTGACTGTTTGGGAATAATCTAAATTCTTTTGAATCCCAACAAAGAAACAACAGAAATTTAAAATAAAAATATTAAAAATTAAACTAATTACTTGATAACATTTCATAGATTAAATTTATGATGATCATCCCCAGCATGCACTAAATCATTTACAAAAGAGTATGAATGACACAGAAATTAATGCTCCAAAATGCGAGCAAGATAAAAAAAAAAAAAAAAATTGTACAGAAATATTTCCATTTTTTTCCCTCTAATTGATGGTAATAGAATAGTGAAAATAATTAGCAAATTGATTATAAATTTATAAGTGATTCCACTAATTGTTTCCAATATTATTCTGCCACAGATCTCACCTTGTTCACAAACAACATTTGGATTGCCACGGAAACCAGGCAGACAAGAGCATTCTGGTTTGTGATTGATAGGTTTACAGACAGCATTTCGGCCACAAGCTCCAAAGATGTTGCATGGGTTCTGGCACACTCTGTTGATACAAGCTTCATCAGCACCACAGTTCTCATCAGTGCGACAACCAACTGCAGGTAAATAAATAATTACTTGGTAAGGAAAGTTCCCATAAAACAAATAATTACTTGGCAACATTTAAATACAGCAGAAAAGACTGGTTAAACTATTGGGGAAAATTAAAATTTTTGCTTACTTATGCATCTTTCATATACGCAAATATGACGGAAGGTGCATTGGCTATCGCTGCGACATTCTGGCTCCTCCACTGTTAAGAGAAAAATTATTATAATTTACTGTACAAATGTTTCAATTAATTATGACAACATTTATTCAGTATATTAGACATTGAATCCTACACAGTAAAATTACAGCTCTGTAAAAAAATAAATAAATAAATAAATAAAAATAAATAATTTACATATTAAAAATTTTAAATATTGTAGGTATGAAGACATCTGGTGGCCAAGAGAATATTTAAAATCTGGTTACTTTTGAGTGCAATAAACTGTCCTTATAACTATAAATTACAATTTACATATAACATTGACTATAATTAGAATACTCTCAAATTGTGATCAGTCTCATTCAAAAATACCAGTTGTTTGCTTTGCCTTCATTTTCTTTGAAATAATACCATTTCAGAAAATCTTGTTATATGTCTTAGAACTTAATAGTTGTTGATAGTCTGTAGTTCTCTTACTGTGGAGTTTTGCACTGTCTTTAAATCTAGATTCCATCTGAATACTTGGAAATGTTGGGTAAACAACTAGGTTAAGTTGTTATCAGAACCAGCAACATTTGCATCTATTAGCATAGAAACAAACACTGTACCATTTAGTTGGAAAAATGCATTTAATTTAAGCTTTCTTATCACATGTTTAACAATCGCCATAACTCTATACGAGTACTTTCTGCTTATCAACATCTCCACATCAAAGTCTCAAAAGAAATTTATGTGGCAATCCAGGTATACATGTAACATGTGAAAATTAATATTCTATGAAGTTGTGCTTCTTACATGACTAAATTTTATGAAAATACAATGTGAAAAAATGCATACCAAGTATTTGTATGCAATTTCAGAAACTGGAAGAATGCAGATCAGAAACTGGGTTGAAGAGGCATGTATCTCATTCACAATGGCTATTTATTTGTTGTTGGACAAAGGAAGTGAAATTCTGCAAAGAAAATCTGGGATTTTTCCCAAACTCAATTATCAATTCATGTAATTACCTCTAAAAAGTATGTGTGTCTTCTGTGGAAAAGAATATTAAAATAATAGGTGGCACTAGTTACATCACTGAAACAGACATAAGGAAACCCAAATGAGCATTTCTCTCTGAAGTTGGAAACAATTTTTTGCCTTTTCAGTCCAGACATGAATAATCAGAAAGCACCATACCTTACTATATTTTACAAACCCCTACTGATCTTTTACAATTTGATACAGTCTCTGAATTTATATCAAGTACTTGAGATAATAATAAAATACTTGTTTTTAAATTTAATTACATTTTTACCCATTATAATGAGTATATATTTTGTGATTTACCAATTTAATTGAATTATTAGTAAATTATACTCACCAACTCTACACTCAACTCTAGGATCACCAACATATCCAGGATTACAAGAGCAGCTTGGTCTGTGATTGTCTGCCAAACACTGAGCATTTGTTCCACATACACCCGGCTGATTGCAGACATTTTCACATCGTCGTCTTACACATGCAGAATCAGGAGCACACTGATAATCGCTTCGGCAACCCTCTAGTTGGGAAACAAAAATACTTGTTCAAATCTTTATGCAAAATACATGTATCTATCTTAATTTATATCAACTGAATTGTATTATTTATCATTACGAAATATATTAATATTGATCTAAATAATAATAATGAAATTTTTCAAAAGCCCATCATTCAAAATAACAATAATTAAGTATGCACAACTGCAGCAAAAATTAATGGATACTGTATATTTCCAAATATAAGCTAAGCAGTGGCGTAGCTAGGGTGGGACAAGGGGAGGACATTTGGCTCTGGGCGCAGCTTTCAGGGGACGCCAAATTGATGTTATGAAATTTTGGAATGAAATGTTTTCCATTCTTGGCACACAGAAAAGGGGGCAAAATTTCAGTTGTCCCCGGGCGCTGAAAACCTTAGCAACGCCTCTGAAGTGCATTTATTTCTTCAAAACTTTTACCAAAATACAAAAACTGTATGTAAGCAAAAACGGGGGAAAAAAATCCTTTAATATTGTAACAATTTGCCATGATGGTGAAAATATTGTCAAGAGGGTAAAATATGTAGCATATATTCCAGTCAAATAACTGTAAAACAAAATGGCAGATGCCAATGATGATAATTTTAACTCTAGTAACCCTAACTGAAGCTAGCACATTTACACCATTCATTTATTGTCTTGTATATGACCTCTAGTAGTCTTAATTTATGGGCCATTTAATTTTTTGTCTGAAAGATGAGCAGGAAAAGAAATTCTTGCATAGGCTAAAAGCCATGTGCAAATTTTGCAAACATCAGATCTTTCATTTTCACTAAACAATTTTGAAAATAAGCATTTCATTTCATTTAAAAATTTTTTTCATAACCTTAGAAATATAATCTAAAAAATAAGAAAGTGCAATATTCAGAAAGTTATTGCTTGTGCCTGGCTAATGATCGCTAGTTTTTTGTGAAATAATGGATCTGTATATAAGCTGACCCCTGTAATTTAGCTTTAGAAAAAGTTCCAAAAATTCTCAGCTTATATACGGAAAAATGTGGTAATAATTTTTACCAAAAGTAATGGGTAGTAATATTTAAATTATTTTTTAAAAAAATAAATGTTTAAATTAATACTTGCATTAGATATTATTGTCAACAGAATAAACATGAAGACTTAAACCTATCATTTTTAAAACACAAAAAAATCTAATTTATCATCAAAAGCTTCTTGCAAAAATTCACTGTATGTATCACATTGCTCATAATAGTTTAATAATCTCAATAACAACAAAAAAGCTGGATATTATTTATACATCAATATTATTTCAAGTTATCATAAAATAGGAAATTATTAAATGTCTAGGTCAGGGGCTCTGAACCGGTGGTATGCGTACCACTAGTGGTACACAAGAGAAAAATAGGTGGTACACAAAGAAACAAAGTATTTTTAACTATTAAATTCAAAAATTATAACCCCACATCCTGACTGAGTTATTTCTCTAGCACTCATAAATTTATGCGACTGCGCTTTGTTCAAGAGTAGTAGTACTTTGTAGTGGTGGTACTTAAAGGTTTTCAATTTTTGTTTAGATGGTATGCGTTAGTCAAAAGGTTGAGAACCGTTGGTCTAGTATTACAGACATAATGAGTATGTATTCAATAACATTAATTAAAAGATTAGATTAAAACTCACCATAACATTCTCCAGCTTCACAAATATAGCCAGATCCGCATTCCGCATCATCTAGGCAGCCTTCGACTGGTTGTGCGACTGAAAAATTTAAATAACATTAAAAATTTAAATTAGTCTAAAATTTACATGTCCAATCACAAAAATATTTGCATAATCAATATGAGAAATCATTGAATATACAAAAAAATTTAGAATGCACAATGTAATTGATTGAAATTGTAATAACAGATTGTAATACAGTCAAACGTCTTTAAACCGGACATCCATAATCCGGAATGATCTATAATCCGGACCTCAAAGCTACAAACTTTTTGCGCATGCGCATATGCGTTGACACATGCGCATATGCGTTTACACATGTGCATAATACGTTTACGCATGGCGCGTTTAATGTATAACGGACGGTATAAGCAAAGCTAAAATTATCTAATTATCTATTTTCAGTTAATGTTGCAGATTGCGTCGTTCCTTAATCTTCTAAATGGATCCCGCTTATTATTTTTTGCAGACTGTTAGGGCAATTTTATAAAAGTAAGCTTGAGCTTTCAATTATGTCAAAAAGAATTTCCGATTCTGGAGCTGCCAAAGGATCTACAAAGTTAAAGCATGTTTTGATGTCCATCGAACAAAAAGTGGAATTGCTGAAAAAATGGATAAGGGCATATCCTTTGTTTCTCTAACCATTCCGAAATCTGTTTATCAATTTCACGCAGCTCTGCTGTAGGGGGGGGGACGTCGCAGCGCGCAATGAATTGGAAGTTGATCTGTCAGCACTATCCTTGTCTTCAGGGCAGATGTTTTTTATTTTATTCGGCCTGTAATTCCTTACTAAATGTAGTATTTCAGCTCGATGTACTCTGTCTTTGATATGATTTAAATCAAATTCCTCGTCATTATAAATATCACGAATACACATTAAATAGTTTTCTGGTTGCAATTTTCTAATTTCGACAATGCGTAATGTATGCTTTACGCATGCACGTGTTGAAAGAAATGTTTAACAAAGTAAACAAATAAATATCAAGCTTTTTTTTTTTTTTTTTTTTTTTTTTGTAAATTTTGGTACTTTTAGATCATAATTGGGTTGATCTTTACATTATGGTAACTTGGCGATTTTTTGACGAAAATTTGGCAACCAACTCTCCTACAGCAACCCTCTATTTTTTTTTCCCCGCCGCCATTTTGTCTTCACGAAGTAAAGACATGTTTCTTTTCTTCTTATCTACTGAACACTTCTTCCAACAATCTACTAGCCGAATTACACTTATGCTAGAAATTTTATCAAACAAAACTGCTTAATCATGACAAATATTCACTGCAAAATTGGGAAAAAAGTGCACAATACCATACTCCTTACGCGTTTTTCAAAATAACACATACACATAAACCATGTACACGCCGACTTATTTTACTTAAAAAAAACATCCCAGAATTGCACAAAAATGGCATTGCGCACACTCTTCACTATATCCATGTACACTGCTTTTTTCTCATAAATTAGAAAAATTTCACGAAAATACATGACAATTTTCTCAATCTTTAAACCCGGTAAAAAGAACATATATGAAATTACCTACCTGATCGCGAAAAAGTATTTACCCTTTACAAATATGAACATTTCCACATATAAAATAAATAAAATATCCAAAAACTTTTACCTCTAAATCATCTATTACATTATACACGTCACCAACGTCCATTACGTGGCGGATACACTTTTCTAATTCATTCAATAAAATTATTGAAAGATTTTTTCTGCGAATTTTTCCTCCATACTTCCTCCGCTAAATAAAAAGCAAACTTCTCTTTATCACAATGCCTAAATACCCATTTCGAATTAACTTTAGTTAGGGCCATGGGATCCAAAAATTAAACAACACTGTTCACACAACACAGTATAAAGCTAAATACAAAATTTCCACATTTTTTCCTGATTTCCCCCCTTTTCCGATTAAAGAACCGTAATTCGTCCATTAATATCACATGACATATCCCATGATCTCTCATTTTCCTCACGCAAAATAATGCGTAATCGGAACTGAGTACTGCTCACATTATTACCTAAGTCCCAGGTAGTAACCTTTATCGCCTCCAAAATGTCGTCAAACTACCAGTTACCATATTGTAAAGATCAACCCATAATTGCTCTTTATTTCATAAATTACGGTTTCATATTTTTAATTTTATAATTTCTGCATATCTTACCAGATTTTAAATTGATGATCTATGATCTGGAAAAACCGATAATCCGGAATCGGCGAAGTCCCGACGAGTCCGGATTAAAGACGTTTGACTGTAACAATACAAACAACCACAGAAAGCAAAATGAAAACAAATAGTTTATGTATTTTTTGTCTCAGAAATCGGAATCTCAGATCTCAGAATCTTTTGTTTAATTGTTATATATTTAAAAAAAGGTTGTTACTTTAAGAAAATAGCACATTATTTAATTGATCAATTCTCTAGTTTTAAATTAACAAAATTATAAAATTGAACATTTTTGTTTAGCAGTACAATAAACTTATCTTTCCTTTTTCCCAAAACAATTTTATTTGAAGTCATCTGTTAAAATTTATATATGCACTAAAGGCAAAAAAAAAAAAAAAAAAAAAAAAAAAAATATGGCTTTTCTGATAACACAGTTTCTTCTAAGAAGAAAATTTAACATTTGAAGATAATCATACCATTACAACAGATACACTTAGTAAACTGAATAAGTTAATTAGTTGATAATTACTTCTTTCTCCCATTTTACATTTGTACAATAAGAAAGAAATCGTTTTATTACAAGGCTACACTGTAGACTCTCTTTGACTTTTTCTAAGAAAAGTTGTGCTAACCATAGTTTTCTTCATTAAAAGAAATATTGCAAGTTTTTTGCTGCACTTTGAGAAAAACAACAACAAAAGAAAGGAGAGTAACTAAGTTTTCAAATTTTCACAAGTATCACAACCATCATCAGTATAACACTGATCAGGTGAAACTAAAAAAAGAACATTTTATCAGATGAAGACAGTTAATAGAAAACCTGAAGCACTATATTCCATATTGATTTTTCCAATACTCAAAGTTTATTTATTTGCAAAGTAAACAATTAGCACAACTTTTATTTAAAAAAAAGTAATTGAATATTTGTTTAATAATTAATGCAAACATTATCTCAAATAAAGTCTTCAATAGTCTCAGTTTTTTATCTTTAATAAGTCTTTAATTCGCATTTTAATTTTAGGATTTTTTAAAAATTTTATGATACTGAGTTTGATTGATATGATTTGATTTTATGAATTTGAGAATTTCATAAAAACGGTATAATAGCTTACTAATCAAATTTAAAACAACATTTTTAATTTACATTAACTATAGTAATCCTAAATAATTTTGAAGCCTTCTAGAAATTATCATTTAAGTCAGAATAGTTTAAACAACATCATCATTTTTATCAGTTTTCTAATTAAGATAGCGATGTGAAATTTATAGAGTAGTGTTTACTAAACACAAATCTGGCAACAAATATACCAAAAAAAGACATGCTTTTAATTATGTTAATTAAAAAAATAAAGCTCTACTTCCCTCAATTTATTTTACGGATGTTAAAAAAATAACTATGAGTAAGAAACCAGAACTTACTTGGCACGCAACCTCTCTTTGGATCCCCAGTATGTTCTGATAAACATGTGCATACTGCTTTATGGTCACTTGTATGACAGAGAGCATTTGTACCACAAGTACCAAAGAAACTGCATGGATCTTGGCATCGTTTGTGGATGCAGTCCTTGTCATAGGGACATGAATGGTAAGTTCGACAAGCGTCAATACATCGGTTGTTTTCACAAATGTGTCCAGCACCACAACCATCGTCAGTATAGCAGTGATCAGGTGGAACTAAAATTAGAATATTTTATCAGATGAAGACAGTTAATAGAAAAACCTGAAACACTATACTCCATATTGATTCATACGATACTCAAAGTTTATTTATTTGCAAAGTAAAAAATTAGTAATAATAATTAATTTTAATAAAACAACTTTTATTAAACAAAAATAACATTTAAAACTTCCCGGCTATTTGAACAATAAACAACATAATGTTGCCATAAAGTATTAAGAGAAAACAATGTTGCTATTCAGGGTTCAGTTTACATTAACGTTTCATCACTGGACATCGTCAAGAATCACAAATTAGATACGAAATACATTATGTAATATTTTAAAGAATATTTAAATTCCTAGTGCGCCACATAGTATTACACAAGGTTAAGTGAAAAATACAATAACGCAACAAAAAATAAAACGAAATTACTAATTTCACAAATGAAAACATAAGAAAAAATATACAGAGAGAAGATAATGCCATTTAATCTCGAATAAACGCATGGAGAGGAAACTTAACGTTTAAAGAGTTTAACCAAGAAATGAGTTTTATCTTTCTTCTTCTTACTCCCCACCGAAGCTACAGGAAGACAGGTCTATATTAGACAGCCCAAATCTCTTCAGATGTGAGTGGAAATTACCAAGCCAGAGTTAAAAATTAAGTAATTTCAAAATTGCAGAAGAAATGTTTATTAGTCTGGCTGTGAGAAATAGGAAGAAAAAATAATTTACTTAAAGAAGCAGTGTCATTAGGATGTTAACTCGAAGGTTTGTAAAACTTGTTTTAACACAGATCGTATTTTATTCTCGAGTGTCAAGATGTAGAAACATCTTTTACTCGACTTCTGATAAGGATCAGGTGGGAGAAGAAAAAGTAGGGTGGAAGGAAGTGTGGGAGGCGGAAAAAAGAGAGTCAGGTCCGCACTTGCGGCGGCAAAAAAAGGGGGTGGCAAGTTCAGTGTCGTTACAAGATGCAGCCGCGGGTGGTAAACCGCAAAGTCAATTTAAGGTGAATGAGTCAATAATGAGTTTTAATTCTTATGTGGGTAGGATGTCACGTGGGTACCGATGTTTTTCACAGTGTCTGAGAGTGCTAATAAGGCTATTACTGTGGGTTTGTACTGAATAAAAGAAGTTGACCGCTAATCTTTTAATATACTCTTGAATAAATTCGATTTGAAGGTCTGTGTGAATGTAGATGTTTGGAATATACCAAGGAGCATTGATAATTTCTTGTAGAATTTTATTTTGTAGAATTTGTAATTGTTTAATATTGGTTTTAGCTGCATGTCCCCAGATTGGAAATGCATAAAGGAGGGCTGGGCGAAGTATGGAGCGATATAGAATTAATTTGTTTGTAGTAGATAAGTTGCTTTTTCTACCAAGAAGAGGTCACATAGTAGCTGTGGTGATTTTAAATTTTTGTACTACGGACTGGAAGTGGGTTCTGAAGGTAAGTTTTTGGTCAAGGGTGACTCCAAGGTATTTGGTTTCATTAATCCAGTCTATTTTTTCGTCAAATATTTCAGGAGGTGGAGGATAGTATTTAATGCTTCCTTTACGGAAAATTATTGTCTTAGTTTTATCAGTGTTAATTTTAATCCTCCAAAGGGTGAGCCATTTTTCCAGTTTTATGTGATAGTTTTGGAGTTGGTTTCTTACGGCGATAACTGTGCAGGCTCTAGTAAGTATGGCGGTGTCATCGGCAAAGAGTGCAAGATGAAAAGAAGGGCCTTTAGGGATGTCTTGTGTATAAATATTAAAAAGGTACGGCGAAAGTGCCGACCTCTGTGGGACACCAGCATTGATTACTCTGGTGGTTGAGTAAGCAGTACCGATTTGATTCTGATGTTCTGTTGCTGAGAAAGAGGCTATTAAGCGAATAAAATGATCCGGAAAATTGAGAGTGATTAGTTTGTAAATAAGGCCTCGATGCCATACCCTGTCAAAAGCTTTCGCGATATCGAGGAATATAGCACCGGTAGGAAGCTTGCAGTTGTAGCCTTCAGTGATAATGTTGATAACTCTAAGAAGTTGGTGGCAAGTGCTATGATGATTACGAAAACCGAATTGTTCTTCTGGGAGAAAATTCATAGAAGGGTGAATTTTTTGCATGTGGAAAAGTAGGATTTTCTCAGTAACTTTAGACAGATAGCTATGTAAACTGATAGGGCGATAGTTCTGTGGGAAGCTTGGAATTTTGTTGCGGTTTAGCAAAAACAATTATTATAGCTTGCTTCCATGAGTTAGGAAAATGAGCGAATTTGATAATGTTGTTGATTATTTTACTTAGGTAGGTAAGGGCTTTGATCGGAAGATGTTTCAGTGCTTTGGTCGAGATGCCATCGTGCCCTGTTCGTTCGTAAGTATCGTGCCCTGTTCGTTCGTAAGTATCGTGCCTTGTTCGTTTGCCGTTTGCTTTCTTCGTTTGTAAGGTGCTGATGGTGTTGGCAACGATTGTTGGAGTAGTCATGAAAGTTGTACGGAGCAGGAGTATTAAGTAAGTTATTGACCACCAGGCTGACCCGTTGAATATGGTTATTGTGGTACGGAGTGGGATTAAGAGTGAATATATCTTCCATATAGTCCGCAAAAGATTTAGCTGTATCTTCTTCTGTATATGAAATTCCACTAGGTCCATAGATAGATGGGATAGGTTTATAAGGTTTCTTGAATTTGCGGGAAATGTCAAATAGGGAATTGTCCTCTATAGCTAGGCTATTTAAGAAATTGGTCCATTTTTGGTTTTTGAAGTTCTTGATTCTTCTGTTGATTTCTTTTTGCATAGAGTTGAGTTCGCGTTTGAGTTGTGGATCCCTGGTGGTTTGCTTTCTTTTACGCATCCGGTTTTTCTCTTTAATACTATTTCTTATATCGGCAGGCAGGGTAAGGAAAGGCTTGTTCACATAAAAAGTATTGGTGGCTTCCTTTAAAGCAGAATTGACGCAGTTGGTAAATTTTGAGACTTCGTGTTCTAAATCTTCTTTGTTGTTGATGCATGGGTTATCTTTTATGGAGTTATTCAGAATTTCAGAGTATTTGATCCAATTTGTAACTCCTATACTTCTGTCAAGTGAGGGAGGTATTCATTAATGGAGATTTCAAATACAATGGGTTGTGGTCGGAAGACAGGGCTGAAATTACAGAGATATTGCATCTGTTAGTAATGTTATTTGAGATGAAGAAGTCAATTGTGGTGGCGCTATTATACCCGTAATGGGTGGGCTTGTCTAGAGCATGAATGAGTATTTGATTGAATGAGTTTAAATATGTCATTTCCTTTATTGTTAGCCCGTCCTCGGTTCCAGCAGGGGTGTTTGGCGTTGAAGTCCCCTCCGACAATGGTAGAAGTATTAGAATTAAGGAGGTGAATCAATTCTTGTGCGCTGGGATTATTAATGGTGGGATGTATATATTAGAATTTTGAACTTTTTATGTTCTATTACAATTTCTATTGTGTTACTTTCGAAAGTGGTGCTGGGATTAGAAATTTGAGGAGTGTTTTATGCTCCTTTTAACAATGTGATGATGCCACCGCCTCTTCCTGTCTCACGATCCGTACGGTAGGTGTTATAATTAGTATAAAGTACTTTGAGTGCTGGTCTAAGGTGAGTCTCTTGCATGAGTATTACGTCAGGTTCAATTTCAATAATGAGGTTGGATAATTCATCTTTTTTTATGGTAAAGACAGTTTGCGTTCCAGTAACTTGTTTTGCCAACCGGTCAGCCCTTCCATTTCCTAGATTGCCAGTGTGGCTACGCACACGTAAAAAAGATTACATGACCACCTTTATTATTAATTTCTTTAAGAATCACACGAGAAGTGACAATTAATTATCACAGGAGAAGATATTCATAAGAGAACATAAGTATGAAAGAGAATCAGTGCAAATAAGAAAGTTACCATTTAACGAACTATAATTAGATGTTCACTTCATTCATTCATTAATGCAAGTAATTCAGCTTGGAAAATACTGTATTCATTATTATTATTATTATTATTATAAGGGTACAGCCAGATCCTCCTAGCCGGCAAAAGCCGGCCGGCCGTATGATTAAAAAATGGGACTAGCCGGGAAAAAATATATATATATATATATATATAAGAAAAAACAAAAAAGTCCAAAATCTGAGTCTCAGGTGCAGAATTATGATTCTATCTTTGTTTGTATTTATAATTTTCATTATTATCTCTGTGAAAATTTTTCAAATTTGAATAGTTCCTTTTAAAATCTTCCTTAACCTTTTCCCGTGGGCTATAGAGTCCAATTTCGAAAGTATTTTGGCCATTTAGTCACTCATTTTAACTGAAAGGAACAGAAAAACAAATCGACAGAGTATTGCACTTCCTAATCCATATTAAGGAGTAAATTTTAAATCTCCATAGTTTACTGAAATTTCTTGAGACACATTTAAAGTAGTCAACGTGCGGGACATATATGTCCCAGCCCCCGGGAAAAGGTTAAAATTCTTTCTATATTTCCCTCTTGCACTCCGGGTAAGCGTACATTCATCGACGAAGTGCCTGGTGTCCCCAAACTTGTCACATATTAAGTATATATCATTATTCTGTAGATGGAACCGATTAAAATAAACCGGGAAACGCCCATGATTAGTCAGTACCCAGAGCTTAAATTGCGTTGGAGCCCAGCTCCGGTACTTCTCAGTTTTCGAGATAAATTATAATTTCAGCCGGAGCGCACGGAGCTGTAAATAAAAGGGCTCAGGCACTTTTTTATGCAAGTGAACCACAATTTTAGCACAAATTTTGTTTTAATAGTAAACATGTCTTAAAAATCCGATTCTAACATCTGAATGCAAGCCTCTCTTTCCATCGCACTCAAGCCTTGCACAGAGGATGAGACTTTTAAGGAAAGAAAAGCCCCCAATTATATGTCAAAGGCCTTATTCTCCAGGATATGCAATGAATTTATGAGAGCGGGTAAATTTTGTATTCCTTAAAGAACTAAAAGTGACACGCTGGTCGTGCACGTTCCATGCTAGTGACTTCCTTCTGCAGAGCTGTAGACTTTCTGAATGATGTAACCAAACGGGGCATCACTGCTCCACTTGTACCGAGAAGTCTTATATTTATTCTCACGTTGTATTCAGGAAAAGTAAACAGGGAAAATTTCTGCTTGATGGCTAGAACTATATCGACAGGGCATTGTGATCAGGAAGTCTTGAATTCTTCCCTCTTTATCTTCAAAGCTAAAATTTTCAGTTAAATTTCTTTCCATACTCTCATACTCTTTCTAGAATTCTCACTATTCTATCATTTTTCCTTGGTGTGCTGGGAAAAAAAAAAAAAAAAAAAAAAAAAAAAAAAAACAAGACTGATGTTGTCTGTCATCCTTTGGAATAGTACATTTTATGTATAATCAGGGCTTAAACTCAGACGGAGATCGACTGAGCTGCTTCTTAGCATCTAAGTGGAATTGTAATTCCAGACGATGCCTCAAATAAGACGAGATCCGACGCTTTTTTTTCTGTTTAACTATTCAAAATTGATTTAATAGTTTATTAGATTTCTCTTTCTCTTTATATTTTTCTTAATTAAAATTTATTATTTAATTAATTTAATTGAATTAGTTAATTTAATCAAATTAATATTAATCTTACTTTAAATTAATTATTTAATTATTAGCTATTTTATTTATTTATTTATTTATTCTTTCCTTCCTCACAGTCTTCCATAGGGCTCCACCACTTCTAATTTTATAAATTAAGCCCTCTCAGTACCTGATCTATATGAACATTATTTATAATATTCAACTTCTTGTTTAACTTTATGTTTTTCATTAACTCATTTTGCTTATTAGAAGACTTCCAGCAAAAATTCCATTCTGTATAAATCCAGTTTTCCCTTTCAGCAATGGTCTTATTTCTTGAATCTTGGATATCAAATTTGCATTCCAGTTCAGAACCATGATGAAAAACGACATAAGCTAGCCCAACTCGATAATTAATTTTACTGCCATTTGTATAACACAACTTCGAAATTATCTTCAATGGAATTGCCATAAACTACCTGTATAGTTTGAATTGGCAAACGATCAGCATGGAGAGGAATATCCTCAAACAGCATCTTGATACCGAACGTAAATTTGCTGATGGTATCTTTAAACTTTTTGCCATATAAAACACGAAGATTAATCGGAAGAAACCCTGAAATTGAGATACAGCCTTCATTAGGTAATTTTTCTGTAGCCACGCACAACTCTTAGCAAAATTCATCTTTGAATTCTGTGATGAATACTGGAATTAATCTTCTTCTTTTTTAAAGCTGTTATCCACATTTTAGAAAGGAAACTATACCCTGTTCATAAATCATACCAATATTATTATACTATTTCAAACCAAAAGTATTGCGAGAGTCAAGATTAAGCCCTGTGACTATATTTTCCTTTTTTTTTTTTTTTGGATAAATGCATAATATGATTTTTTTTCAGCTAAATGTATTATCACGATGTTTAATTTCATTCACCATTTTGAGTAAAATATTATCAAAATGCAATTGCTGGTTTGTACAATTGACACGTTTTCTTTTAATTATCATAATTTTAGATTTATTAGCATTGAAATTGAAGTTCTTCTCTCTAGACCAATCTAAAACCCTATTACGAGCGCTCTGAATCATATTAAAAAGAGTATCAGGACACTTCCCTAACAAAACAAATCAATGGATCGTCAGAAAAAGGAATTTTTTTACAGACCGGGCAATCTAAGAGTCCTGTGAGAAGATCATAATAAGATTCCACAGTAAGGGGTTTAGAAACCTTGAGGGCAACCGCTTTCCAAATTGTGGGAAGAAGAAACAAGGGAGAGCAATGCCGAACTGTCACAGAGAAAATCTTAATAAGGCGAAAAATATTACGCAGAACACCAGCTTTGCTTAAAAAGGCAAGTATACCAGGCAACCAGGTATGGTAAAAAACACATTTGATATCAAGGAACACTACAACTATAGGTAAATTCCTCTCTTACCTTCATCCACTATGTCTTTCAGGTACAGAAGAGAATCTTCACAACTCTTATGAGGACTATAACGAAACTGTACTTTAACAGTTTTTTTATTATGTAGGAACCAGGTAATTCTATTAACAAACACTTTTTCCAGGCACTTTCCTACGATAGGAAGATAACAAATGCATATCAAATTATCTAAATGCGGAATGCGAATACCACTTTCCTTAGGGATTAAAATGACATTTGCTCTCTTAATCAAGTAATTTGCCTGAAAACATCTCAAATTATCTAAATGCGGAATGCGAAGACTACTATTTTTATGGATTAAAACAGCATTTGCCCTCTTAATTAAGTAGTTTGCCTAAATTTCATGGTAAACAAAACTATATAGATTCTTTTTTCTTAATTATCTTCCCAATTGCTCATATTCATAATTGTTAATTTCCTATAACAAAAACTACAGGATGTCTCTTGAAATTTAATATACACGTTTCACAACTCTATGGTTAGACCCATCTCACTTTATGTTTAGTCAATCTGGGCAACTGAACATCTACAAACGATAAAAATTTCAGATGTCCGCAAAATAATACCGCAGAATAATATGTTATGTGCCGTTTAAAAGAGCCATTATCCGCTCATACTCTTTCAGTACAGTTGGGTTTAATATAAAAAGCAGTGATAAGCAGTAGATATTCAGTAGTGGTCAATGCAATTAAGTCACACTTATGGAAATGAATGATAAAGTATAGCAAATACCTAATGCCAGCAGCCCCATTTGACCTAAACTGCTTGAGGACTTAAATGCGCCAGATGGCACTTTTAGTGCTTAAGTTATTTGGTGCCTGTATGAACTTTTTGAGCACTTTTCATGAACAGTTGCAGTGAAAGAACTTATATCGATTCCTACTGATATCTATTGATTCTGCTTTCTTCCGTGAATACCCCAACAAAACTGCTAGCATTCTCAAAAATCTATTCAATAATATCATTTTGTATCTGTACAAAAATATATAAGAGACCTAGGAGATCATTTCAACAATGAACGAGTAGATAAAATTTCTTCTGCGCCTTAACAATCCTTCTGTTCTTTTAAAAGGCCCTAAGACATTAATCATCCTAATTAATACTGAGCTGCAATCGTTTTGAGAATTATGTTCATTTTTATTCCACTGTAAGAAAAATACATGCATAAAGAATTTTCCTTCAGAGTTAATGAACTTGCTAATATCAATGAAATAAATGAAAAATTCATGCATATTATAATATTTTTGACCTTGTATAAAGAGCTCAGCCCCCCAAAAATCATACTAATTTCTCGTTTTTTTTTTCTCGCTAAAATAAATTATAGAATTCTGAGCAAGTATTCTTCTTACAATATTCCAATTAAAGCAAAGCATTTTATATTACGTGCGTGCGTTAACCATGCTGACATCTGAATTACTTCATGCTTGTAATTCAGATTCTAGTGTGGCTAAAGCACAGCACTCTTCGGAACTTGGCAATAAATGGATATGCAGTTCAGATACTTGCACCATCAAGACATACCTGGGAAACATTGTATATTGGGATCTCCAGTCAGAGATGATTGACATGTGCATATAGGATGGTGGTTGTCCACAATGCACTTAGCTCCTATTCCACACACATCAGGATATGAACAAGGATCCTGACACTGTCTATTTACACATGCAGCATTATATGGGCAGTTTTCATTCGTTCGACAACCATCTAAAGAATGAAAGAAAAATACGCATGTCATAACGAAATTCCAGCTGAATACTGAAAGTTAATGAAATCATTTAAAAATGGATGGAATGTGAGTATTTTCATTAAATCCGAGAGCTATCCTTACCAACACAGCTTTGTGATTCACAGATTTCGGAAGAACGGCAGTCTGAGTCTTGCAAACATTCTACCCTTTTTCTTGGAGCTGAAAGTAAAAATAATAAGCACATTTTATTTCTTTTTAACGCAAGGATAAGTGTCAATATAAACATAAGATTTTGAGAATATAGTGCGCCTATTTGAAAACGAGATTGATTATATCAACAGAAAAAATTATCCGAAAGCTGGAAATTGGAAACGAAATACAGCTTCTTAATGAATGAAGTGTTATTATAAAGGTCGCATGTCTGGGTTACTGGTTTAAAGAGCAAAATGAATCAGACCAAATACATGTCGTGTTACTACGTTCTGTCGTATGATTGCAGTCAATGGGTTACACTCAGCTTTCTTAAAGATCATGGTTACATGTAACAAGACAAAATATCGATATAACTCTAAAATGAAATGGCAAATTCTCATGAGGATATCTATAAATGCTACAAAATCCAGCAAATTCTTCATTTGGAATAATAATCAAACAGTGCTCACCTACTACAACAGCAAACCAGTTATGTATTAATTAGACAAACTGTTACAGCACTAATTAGACAAACTGTTACATCTACATTTTACTTACATGTATCTATGAAAGAATACTGGACAGAACAGGATGCCGATGGAGTTTTTAAGTTAGGATAACACGCTGTAACACAAAGTTCTCACCATTCAAGAGTTTTTGGTAAAAAAAAAAAAAAAAAAATGCATCAACATTTTGTTATAGCTTGTTAACTGTTTGATTTTACTACTATTAAACTATTTTTTAAATTTACAGCATAATTTCAAAGATTCTGTTTTGGTGATATACTCACCACCAAAAAGCTTTGATGAATATTTCAAACACGATTTTTTTTATTGTTTGACAACAATCATTTCTAGCTCTTCATAAGCAGCATACATGCTTCACGAATCTTTAATTTTTTCAGTCTGCCTCAATCTCGTATTTTAAATTGTCGCATCTAACATTTAAAACAGGGGAAACATAGAGAACAAAGCACAACAGAAATTGGACTTACTCTCTTTACAGTAATCATTCGGATTTCCTTCAAATCCAGGCTTGCATGTGCAGTAAGGTCGATGCACGATCGGTCTACAGTCTGCGTTTCGACCACAAGGGTCTTGTACATCGCATGGATTGACGCAGCGACTGTTGACACAAGCTTTGTCAAATGTGCAGTCAGAATCCGTTCTGCAACCCACTATAAAATAATAATAATAATAATAATAATAAAGATTGATACACAAAAATGTGAAACTTTTGTTTCGTAATGCCAAACAACGTGAAATTACCAAGTTAGAATGTGGTAGTATAAAATTAAAAAACTTACGTATGCAATTTCTGTTCTCACAGATTTCACCAGTGTGACAGAATGAATCTGATCGACATCCAGTAACAACTAAAGAATAACAAAATTGAACAAATTTATGAGCATATAATTGGTATTTCATTGTACGATCTAAACTTTGCTTGAAATGAGATACCAAATAAACAAAACAAAAGTTCTTGTTCTATGAGAAATTCTATAGTTTTCGACAAAATTCTATCTATTAACCATGCAGTGAAATGTTGCTCAAGATCTACACCAAATAATGATGGTAAAAGAAAGATTGCATAAATGTTATATATGCTTTCTTCAGTATCTTTTACCATTCAATCCAACCATTGGTTAACGTACGTAGGATAGTGCAGAAGTAAATTATAATAGAATATTCATTTTAATTGCTCCCATCAATACAATAATAATAATAATAATAATAATAATAATTTTGCAATTGTTTTTACGGTAATTTGGTTATCACACTTTTTTACATCCGATAAATATTCAAAAGAAAATCCTTTGGTTATTCATGGGGTCAAAAATAAAAGTTAAAAGCAATACTAATTTTACTTTAAAAAGAAATTAATATTTTTTTCTTAGTAAATTGTAACAACTACTTTAAATGTTTTTTTCAAAACTGTAAATCTTGCTTCAGTAGAATTAAGAATCTTCGGCTTATAAACTCCATTTAAAGAAATTATTACTATATTTAACACATGTATGTTTATATTTTGAGGTATTTAATTTAACTAAAGTCCAATTTCCTTTTAAGATTTATTTTCTTTAATTTCTCAATCAAATCGCTTCCATTTAAAATGTTAAAATTTATCGCACATTTACCTGAAATGCCAAAAATGTTAAATGACAGATTAAGAAGTCAACTAATTGCCCAAACCCCATTTCTCTGACCAACTGCGAACGTTTCAACTCTGGTAATACATTTGCAACACTGGTGCTGGACGTCAGTCGATAGGAAATGAGTCAGAAGAGAAAATCGCCTATAAATTTATTAAACTTTCCTAGTGGCAAAGAAATCTCAGGAACTGAAAAGGTTCAAAGGAAAGAACCATTTCTTTTAGAGTTTCTGCAGGATTTTGGAACGTAGACTTCGATTTATTGATGACTGTTGTATTTCTGAATTCTCATTGTGCAAGCTGAAATGTAACATCGGGTTAAAATTTTAGTTTTTGTTTTTAGCATTGAGAGATTTTAAGCGACTTTTATTTTGATAAGTCTTTAGTCTAATCAGTGAAGCTGAAGTTGCAACAGCAGAAAAATCTAGCCATTTGGTTGGCAGCTTGTAGAGTCCAATAGGTAAGTCACTGTATGAAACTGGAGTAGCAGGAAACTACACAAGAGAAGGGTTAAAGTACCCTTTATTAAATCTTTGAAAATTTACAATGCGTCAACTCGACGCCTAACAAACTTCACCTCTGCTTGGGCGGTAACTGAATATCAAGTAACGAAACTAAAATTTTAAGATATTAACAAACGATAGAACTAGAATATAGGGCTCAGCGAGATCCCATAATTTAAACCCTCTTTGAAGCTAGTGGCAGTAAATACATGCAATTAAGCCACTTGAACCAGCAATAAACAAATGTATCTACGGCACAGGTAGTGGCTACAGCCTAACTCTCTCTTTTCTCCTACCAAAACTCGGCTTTTAAATACTTTCTTCAAAGTAGAAATTTGCATTCCTATACGCGCGCTACAAAATTTAAATAATCTGGCACTGACAATTAGAGGAATGAAGGCTTATGGGAAAGTTTAAAATAAAACTTTAACTTGTTAGTTAAAATAAATATATAAATACCTACAAGCTTATAGATTGAATTTAAAATTAGGAAAGAATAGAATTTTGTAATACCTGCAAACTATATTACATGAAAGACATCAATAAATGAAAAAGAGGAATAGCTACAGATAAAAGTCTTACCAATGCAATGGAAATTTTCACAGACTTCACCAGGTGCACAGTCTGAATTGTGCTGGCATTCATCCCTGGCCTCAGGCTGACACTGGACTTTAGCATTTCCTTTGTATTCACCAGGACATGTACATTCAGCTTGATGGTTGGCGGCTCTGCACAAGGCTTTTAGACCACAAGCACCGGGACGGCAGGGTGTGTCACAGCGGCCTTGAATGCATGCCTTATCGTAAGGACAGTGCTCATTATATCGACAACCCTCTGCAACAAAACATTTGGAACAATGAGTTAATTCAAGAACTGAAATTAAATTTGCTTTAAAAAAAAAGGTGGTGTGATGTATTTAATTATGGCAAAGCACACTAGGGCTATCTGCCTAAGGGGAAGGATGCTTTCGTGGAGGACTTTCTAAGGGAAACTGGCTCGTATACACGTTACACATGGGGAAAACCACGAAAACGAAAACATGCAGCCAGCCCGTTCGCGGGATTCGAACCTCGGACCGAACTACCAGTGTTCAGCAACTTTACCGCTCGGCCGCTGTTGGGCCTTAAAAAAAAAAAAAAAAAAAAAAAAAAAAAAAAAAAAAAAAAGTGAACATGACTATTGGGAATAGAAAAGATATTAGCTTTTAATTTTGTTATAGCATTTATACCTTTATTCTGAAAGCTGTCAAAGATGTTTTACTTATTTTGTTTAACGGCAAAATTTATACTTTCAGATTTAAACTTGTATTAATTAACTTTTTCAAACTATCAGAATATAGTAGGCGTACCATGAACTGTGACGATACTACGATACTAATAGAGGCCGTACTGTCGAGCAATACTGATATTGCGAAGCAACAGAAGACAACATATAGTCAAAATAATGGAATACTGTTCACATCACCAGTGCACAAGGTGCACCTGCTTCTACTCTTAGCAGTACCAATCAGTCACTACCAAAAATAGCTGCGCTAACTAAAAAATGGCAGTCAGATACTGGCAACGAACGAACGTTTAATTTCGTGATACAAATAACTTTACTTATAAATGTGATTCTAAATATGCAAACGGCCACCGCCTACAAAATAGCGATTAATATCAGAAACTCAAGCAAAAACCCAATTTGATTGGTAAATATTTTTTAATTCAAAAGTAAGGTAAAGTATAAACTAATATGTTAAATCAGTATCAATTGGAAAAATAGTATTTATTTACTTCGGCCCATCCTTCGCCACATTTTGCTAGAAATATGTCCCTTCAGTAGATGAAATAAAAATGAATAACAACAGTAAAGGAAATAACAGTTGTAACGAACTTTGCTGAATGACTAATTTAATAATCAAACTCAAAACTTACCCAGGCAACGTGTGCTGATACAAATTTTTCCAAGTTCACAATCATTGTCCACATGGCATTCGACTTGAACTACAAATAAACGAGGGAAAAGAAATATATATTAGGCATTTGTATTTAATAAATCTAAAGCTAATTGAAAACATTAATTATGAAATTTGCCCCATTACTCGTCTCTACATAGTGAATTGAAATTTCTTCTGTCGATATTAATAGGAAAAGTTGGGGTAATGATACATAATCATCTCATGCACAAACAACTATTTAATAAAGAAATTAAAATTAAGAACTTTAATTAAAAGGTTTAGCGCTTAAGCAGCTGAGAATGAAAATTTAATTTTTTAAAAAAATATAATTTTTCACATTAAAAAGATTATACTATCTCGGAAGGTGAAAAATTGGAAAATTACTAAATGTTGTTACTGGAAAATTATTTATTAAGTAAACAGAAAGCATTTTTATTATTAAAAGAAAATTGTTTAAAAAGTTATGATGAACTACATATTAATTATTAATTATTCATAGTCTAATGTTTAAAACAGACTCAGGTAATTATTTAAAACATTAATCAGGAACAATTAAGGAGTTCTGAAAACGTTATGTTACAAAATGTTATTCTACAGCATGAAAATTATCCTGTTAAATTTTTAAATAAAGTGCCTAAATTTTAGGGAAATTATTAATTTTGGCTGGTGTTTATCGATTTAACCTCTTCTGCAAATTCAACGGCAGTTTCTGCGAAATGACATCTTTCTAAGCTTGCATTCCGAACTGAGAGAAAAGAAGGGAAAAAAATCGGCAGCCGTACGCCAAAGCCTGGGTTCAGTTCTATTTCATGCCCAAACTCCTGCAGCTCATTCCTGTGCCACTTTTTCATCCGGTTCTGAATGGCGATGCTCGGTCTAGTATAACAGGTCCATGGTTCGAATACCGGAGAAATCATAGATGTTTGTAACTGTATAGCGTCGGTGCGGCATGGCGGCACTCTAAATATGCGGCGAGCCTAAATTCCTCTCGTGTGGATTGTGGAAGGGGAGAGGGGTGCTGTCCTTCAAAATTGGGGTGGAAAATAGATGTCCGACCTCTCTTCAGAGTAGGCTCTGGCAACCATTGTTCCATGGACAAGACAACAACAACAACTAGAGGACGCTCAGTTTTCCGTGTTTCTTTTTTTTTTTTTTTTTTTTTTTTTTTTACACACTCTCACGCACGGCGGGCGTGGACACTGCTACGCACGAATAATCCACAGCCGAATAACTGAGAGTACACTGTATTTATTTCCGTTGTTTATTTGATTTTATACATTATTTTTCTTACGCAGATGATAAGGCGCAAATTCACTATTTTTTTACCGATCTTACGTCTTCTCTTAAAGACTGTAATATTTAAGTTCTTTTAATTTTATAACTAAAGTGTTTGTATTGGATCTGTTTATAAGCTTTATATGAATTAATATATTTTTATTTACAGCACAAAGTTCCCTCAATGCGCGAAGTTCCCTCAATTTCTTCTTTTAAAAATCAAGGCATGTGAGCTTAAATGACCTCTGCTAATTGCAGTGTAACAAAAATGGTATATTCAAAGGCATGTTCAAACGCTTATTTACTCAAACATTATTCGTTTCTAGTGGCACTTACCTGCTCTACATAAAACTTTCGGATCTCCGGAGTGATCGGGTGGGCAACGACACAATGCTGCGTGGTTGATGGCTTTGCATTCGGCATTGATGCCACACTTTCCTGGCTTGCACGGATTCTGACACTGGTTCTCGAAACACTCTTGCGTAAAGCCACAATCACTGTGACTTCTGCAGCCATCTATCGAAATACAGGTAGCGGAACGTTTTATACATGCATGTGATCCATAAATAATTAGTACAGCGTGCAAAAATCAATTAGCTGACATTAGAGGCGGACGGAACTAGCCTGACCGGTGCACTCAACTTATATAAAGGCAAATTATGCTTTTGTTCGCCAAAGCACACGGGCAGCAGCCTGGCATTATTATGAAGTTTCGTTTATACCTTGAAAAATGCAACCTTCACTAAGATACCGGGACGTCATGAGAGGGGATCTAAGTGAATAGTCGTCAAATTGAATATAGATGCCGGCACATTTTGTGAAACTTGACTATTTTTTGCCAAAGATACGAAAAATGCACGGAACCTTTATGAAGTTTGGTTTATACGACAAAGAATGCACCTTTACTGGGGTTTCTAAATACGGAGACATCCAGAGGAAGATTTAAGTGAACAGTCACTGATTTTCATAAAGGTGCCGGCATCATTTTAGAGTTGTTGGGGATGGCGGAACATAAAATTTTTTCACTTTTATGCCATGGAGTAAAGAATCAGGTCCATCAGTTATGATTCTGCGATGAGCTAACGACGACAGGTTTCATACGTCTACCAGTAGTTTAGCTTTCGAATGTTTTAGTTTTAGTGTCATGAAATACCTTTCTTCCGATGAGTTTACTGCTTTTAGTTGGTGGAATCCTGCATTTATGATTATTGCTATCAAAACCTCGGGAATTCTTTCGAATTCGTGATTTCCGTCCGTCTCTGGCTGACATCATTTTATTTCTTAAAAACTAGGTTATGCCCCATTCCAGGTTTTCCCAGTTGAGGCCTTTTTTAAAAATCGTGCCATTTCAGCCTCCCTCGGTGAGATGGGTAAAAACGATTCCAATTTCAGCCTATGCATAAAGTGACTCTTCAACCTGTAAATTTTAGACACTGCTTAAATAAAACATTAATAGCAATCGTGGTTATACTTAAATAGAGAACAAGACATTTTTAAAATTTGAGTATGATACAGTATTACTGTCTTCTTGAAACATAATTCTAAGTACTGAAATTGAAATATTGAAATTAAAATATCACATCGAAGCAAAAAAATGACGGAAATTCGGCTAGTATTAAATCTGTATTAAAAATATAATGTTCTGAAAAATCATGAAAATCGCGAGTGGTACTACTATTATAGCTTTAAAAATGTGGTTTTCATACTAGGAAAGAACGTTAAACCATATGTAGAGGAATGTGTTGCTTATGACCATGCGCCTAACTGAGTTATTGTATGATGTTCGAACAAAGAATATGTCTAATAATTAAGACACAATAACACGCCGAATAAATACAAATTCAGAAGTCAAACAACAAAAATCAGCGTTATATTTACAAAATTTTCACAGGACTAGTTTCGATGGTTTTACCGAACCACCATCCTCAGCTGCAAAACCGCAAATGAACAAGATAGGAAATAATGATTAGATAAGATAAGAAAGCCTGGACAAGAATAAGCAAGTGGCGCCATCTGTAGGTGAAACCAGAACTAAAACATAATTTCTTTAAAGGCCGAAGGCAAATTTGGATTGGAATTAGGATCGTTAACTAGAACAGAAAGATTTTTATGAATGTGAAATGCATCTAGAAAATCCAGTTCTCTAATGGAAGATGTTTTTTGAATAATTTTGGCAGCAGAAAAATTGAAAGTGTGATTTTCGACCAACAATGTTGAGCAACAGAAGACTTCTGTGTTTCCTTTTTTCTAACATATGCCTCATGTTCCTTGACGCGAAATTTTAAGGCTCTCTTAGTTTGGACCAACGTAAATTAAACCATACGGGCAAGGAAATCCTATAAATACCCCAAGGAATTCAATATCTGGAATGGGGGTCCTTGAGTATGGAACTTCGGAAGTTTTATTTGATGGGAGAATAAACGACCCGAAAGTTAAATTTCTGCAAAATATGTGCAACCTTATAGCTAATTGATGGAAAGAAGGGAATGACAACAGAAGTTTTATAATAATCTCCTAAAACAAGAGTGCGTCTTTTAGTGTGTTGATATGAGAATTTTTTTAACTGCTTGATTAATAATGTTGGGTGAAAAGCCCCCTGTCAATAGCTATTGCTTTTAAATAATTTAGTTCTTCATCAAGGGATAGTTTGGAGGAGCAAACTTGAAGAGCACGGAAAACATAGGAATAAATGAAGCTAACTTTTGTTTAGTCGGATGGCATGATTTAAAGTGTGGTGGAAGGCAAACGGATGAAGGTTTACGGTAAACCGTAGTACTGAAGTTGGATGTGTTACGAGTGACCAGAATGTCGAGAAACGGAAGAGAATTGCAAGTCTCAAGTTCAAAAGTGAACAGCATAGCAGGATCAATAGAATTCATTGTTGAAAGAACTTTATTTAAATCATCTTTATTACCTTCAAACAGGGTAAAAGTATCGTCTACGTAGCGGAATTATGCCGGGAAGTTTAAAGTTTCAAACAATTTTGATTCATAATAATGCATGTAGATATCAGCCAGGATGGGACTCAGGGGGCTTCCCATGGCTAATCCGTCAGTTTGCTTGTAATATTTATTTTGGAAAACAAAATGTGTTTGTTTCAAACAGAGTTGAGTGAGAGAAATTAGCTCGTCAATTTCGATGCAAGAGAAATGAAATTCGCGAAGTCTGGTTTCTAGACATCTTAATGCACCCTCCACTGGGACATTGGTGAATAATGATTTTACATCAAAAGAAACCATGAGTAAATTACTAGGAGAAATGTTTTTAACCTTTTTCACAAACTCTATTGAATTTTTTATGGTGTAAATGTTATTGTCTAATAGAGGTGGAAAATCTAGAAACTAAATATTTAGCTAATGGATACGAGGCAGTACCTAAATTTGATACAATAGGGGGCGGAAAGGAATACCACTTTATGAATTTTGGGAAGAGCATATAATCTGGCACAATTCGCAACAGATGGAATAAGCGAATGTTTTAAGTTGCTTGAAATGATTTGCGAAGATTTGATCGCAGCTTTTTATTTTTGACAAATCCGAAGGTGAAGGATCTTTAGGGATCGGATTATATGGTCCTTCGTTTAAGAGTTTAGTGACACCATCGATGTAAGTGTTATCCACGACGACTATCTGGCCACCTTTGTCGGCCTTTGAAATGATAATATCCGGGTTAGAATGAATTTCGCGCATTGTAGCTCTTTCTCTCGCAGTTAGATTTGGTTTCAAAGGTTTATTATTGAATTTCACATTATGAGCGATAAGATGCCTAATCATTTCTTTCTGTGAATCTGAAACTTTACTGAATTTGAAAGCTTTTTCGATAGGAGCCAAAATCTTTGGAATCGAGGGTTTACAGGTTTGTGAGAAGTTAAAATTATATTTTAGAATTCTCTCTTGTTCTTCTGAAAGACTAACATTAGAAATATTAACTATTGGCTTGATATTTATAATGGGAAGACTTTTTGAACTACTTGAACTGGAAGACTGTAAAAGAAGTTTTTCGAATTTAACTGCAAGGGTGTTTTTATGACGGTTAACTGCATTCTCCGTTCTAGACCAAGACTTTTGTTCAAGGGCAGTGAATTTTGAATATGATTTAGCGAGTTCCAGATGAAGCTTATAGAGTTCATGTTCAATTTTGGATAATTGTTGACGTGTATCCCTTATGACAGACCGAAGTAAAGCAAGCTTGCAATTTAACTGAATTCTTGAAACGCGACTCGTAGGTTTTTGATTAGATTTGATTTGAATAATTTTTTACATCTACATTTAAGTAAAAAGTCAGGATGATTCAGGAATTTTTGCCGTTTCAGGCGTAATTTAGTGAAACGATTAACGGATGAGGGCATGATAAACAATGCAGAAAATCAAACTAAATTAACTAAGCAATAATAAAGCACACATAAAACAGCAGAAAAATCCCTCACTGAAATGAATAGAAAACAAAACGTTTTGTAAGCAAAAATGCATGAAATCTTACAAGCAAAGCACAATATCCAAATATACAAAACATAAACATAACTTGAAAATTGCAAAAAAGTACTTACCGAAACTCATGCAATCACAAAATGGCGGCCACACCACGTGTAAAAAAGAAGCAAAAAGTAAGCCTGTTTGGGGCTTCTATAATTAAGACACAATAACACGCCGAATAAATGAATTAGTATTTTAATTCAGAAGTCAAACAACAAAAATCAGCGTTATATTTACAAAATTTTCACAGGACTAGTTTCGATGGTTTTACCGAACCACCATCCTCAGCTGCAAAACTGAAAATGAACAAGATAGGAAATAATGATTAGATAAGAAAGCCTGGACAAGAATAAGCAGGTGGCGCCATCTGTTGGTGAAACCAGAACTAAAACATAATTTCTTTAAAGGCCGAAGGCCTTTAAAGAAATTTAACTTTCGGGTTGTTTATTCTCCCATCAATAAAATTCCGAGTTCCATACTCAAGTATCCCATTCCAGATATGAATTTCTGGGGTATTTATAGGATTCCTTGCCAGTGTGGTTTAATTTACATTGACCAAACTAAGACAGCCTTAAAATTTCGCGTCAAGGAACATGAGGCATATGTTAGAAAAAAGGAAACACAGAAATCTTCTGTTGCTCAACATTGTTGGTCCGAAAATCACACTTTCAATTTTTCTGCTGCCAAAGTTATTCAAAAAACATCTTCCATTGGAGAACTGGATTTTCTAGAGGCATTTCACATTCATAAAAATCTTTCTGTTCTAGTTAACGATCCTAATTCCAACCCAAATTTGCCTTCGGCCTTTAAAGACATTATGTTGTAGTTCTGGTTTCACCAACAAATGGCGCCACTTGCTTATTCTTGTCCAGGCTTTCTTATCTTATCTAATCATTATTTCCTATCTTGTTCATTTGCGGTTTTGCAGCTGAGGATGGTGGTTCGGTAAAACCATCGAAACTAGTCCTGTGAAAATTTTGTAAATATAACGCTGATTTTTGTTGTTTGACTTCTGAAAAAGAATATGTCTGCTGAAATAAATGTTCTTTATGAACCTTAATCTTCCCCACCAATAATAATGGAAGATTAAAAACAGAAAGGCTGAAATGTTACGATTTTTGAAGTTCTCCTCTAGACCTGAAATGACATCATATTTGTTGATTCATTCAGAAAGCCTGAATCGGAAAAGCCCGAAATTGGATATCACGGAAAATTGTTCTGTCACAAAATACTTACATAAACACTTAGTATCTTCACATATCTGGCCAGGATTGCAGTCATTGTCAGAGGTACAACCAGGTACGACTGTAAAAAAAATAGAGAAAGTAATTAGGGAAATGTTCTGAAATAATTTGCAACACTTCTTGACAAGATCTAAGAATTTGAAGTAATGCATGTTCATCCTTACCTGTGCATTTGCCACCAAGACATATTTGTCCAGGGTTGCAATCAGATTCTCTACGGCATTCAGGTCCAACTATAGAAAAGAGTAAAAATATACGTGAATATTGGAGTCTTCTCAATAACTTGATTGTATGGACTTTGCAAAATAATTTCTAACATTATGACACAGTCTAAAAATTACTTAGTGTATTTAAAAGAAACTGAAGCTATGTTTCGTGATGTGTGAACTGTATAATAAATTTTGAGCCGAAAAGGGACGTTAGTCCCTAATGGGATATTAGTTTCGAAACGGCATTTTGCGTTGAATCACTGAAAACAGCGTATCCCTTTTCATATTGTTGCCACCAAATATTATCGTCCTGTATTACATTTAAAGAAATTAAATAAAAGTATCTGCATAAATGCATGTTTGTTTCTCGCAGTGTGAAAAAACAATGGTACATACAGAAAGTATTCATTCATTTTTGTAACGAATTTGCAAAGCTTTATATACAAAAAACCTTAGATATATTCTCTAATGTGTTTAGTCTGATAGCCCTTTTGTTGAACTATCATATTGCATCTTGATTTCCAAGAGAAAAGTCTTTTTCTTGAAACATCAAGGTTGATTTTTATTCCACTCTTTTCACGATCTTCCAGAGTCCATCCAATATTTTGGGATGCCACTTATACAGAGCTTGTTTTAAAAGTCCAAATGCACAGTAATCCATATGAGACACATCATGCGATCTGGATGGAATGCGTCTAAAGGGAATAGCTTCAATTCCGGTTTCATGTCTCATTTTTTTAAAAAATACAGCAGTAGATTTAGAGGTATGGCTTGGAGGCTTATCTTGATGGAACTTAACACAGTGAAGTTTGTTTGGATGAAGAGATGGAACTTCTTTAAAAATAGGTGTTAAAACATATTTCTGATAGCAATTGGAATTAATTTTGATATTTTTTCTGTTTTTCTTATTTTAAGTTTTCAGTTATAAGAGAATCTAATAATAACTGTAAAAACTTTAGAAAAACTTTCCTTGTTGTCTCTAAACCAACATATTACGTCTTTTTCGGCAATAAATCGATCTTTTTCTATACAATCAGATAAGTATATCTAAGCCGCATCAATTATAACAATATATTTCCATTTCTCACCTGCCAAATCATTTTAATACAACAATCTGCGCATAGTCTTAAGTTGAGAAACATGTTTCGGCGTTATGCGACGAACGTCATGGTTTTTTTTTTTTTTTTTTTTTTTGGTCTTGTTTTGATTGAAATAAGATTTTATCATTTTGTCCACTGTTCCAACAGAGATATTTAAAAAATTTGCCATAGCTGTTTAGAGGGTGGGGGCTGGATTTTCCTTTAAGGCATGAGATGCGAGATTTAGTAAGAGCTCTACGTACCTTTGTTGGGTATGCATTTTTTTTCCTTCTTCCCAGTCAGATGTAAACTTTTGACATTTCTTGCCTTTCATATTAATTATGTCACTTATTTTACGTGTAGAAATATTAAAACCATGTTTTCAAAATTTTTAAATAATTGAATAAGAGTATTTCTCTTCGGGCAGCGTAAAAATACATCTTTCAAACCGTTATTTATTTTTCAGAGACGTTTTAAAGGAACAAATATTTTTAAAGCTGCAGACAAAAATTAAACCTTATTCTAATTTGATGCCAGTGGCGCGTGTATTTAAAAATTAATATTTAAATCGATGGAGAAAAGTAAAATTATTACAAAAATGTGTGAATACTCTCTGTAGAGGCATCAGATTTTGAATAACGTATTCCTCCAATCTTCCAGTTCTGAATAGTATCAATTACTGAATAAGTGGTAAAGATATTACTGAGTTCTTTCTAGGAATCTGAGACATGACAGAAAGTTTAATTGTGACGATACCTAAATGTTTTTGTGCACACTAAAAGATCACTGACGTGCAGCAGCTGGAAGAAAGGACCCATTTTGTTTGTCATCAGATTAATCCTCTTTTTTTGGTAGTAAATCGATCATTGTTATTACTGATTACATCATTATTATTACTGATGTGGCATCATGGATTAGATATGTGTGTAGGAGAAATAATTCTGGAAAGATTTCAGGCAGTCGTATGATGTTTAATTCAGGAAGAATTTTTTCCATTAGCAACACAATAAAGGTTTCTGTATTAATTGCATTACCTTTGCAGAGATTTGAACAATTAGCAAAATCTGTACAGCTGATTTATTGATTAACAAGCAACCAACCGACATCTCGCAACAGCGTTTCATTGCAGGGCTGAACACAATATATTGGTTCACATAAAAATAATTTGTAATCTACGAATCTCTTTGTGAGACTGGCTTCAAAATAATAAACACTTTTGCTGCTAAGTAAAGGTCTACTTACTCGTTCTGCATTCGATCTGAGGATTTCCTGTGTAGCCAGGAAGACACGAACACTGCGGTCTGTGGCTGATGGGTTCACATCTGGCGTTTGGTCCGCAAGCTCGTGGGAGAGAACAGACTCTCTGGCACTGTGAGTTGTAGCAGCCTTCGTCCAGCGCGCAGTTCTCATCGCTGCGACAGCCAACTGAAAGCACACAAGTAAATAATTGTAAGAATACATCAATACAAAGCGTAACGCATTTTCTCAATAGCAAACTTCATTATTAAAAAATCCGCAACTGAAACGCGTACGCTAATGTGAAGTACAGATATATAAATTAAAGCGAATCCCCAGTGGTATTATATCAGTGAATTTTGGCATTATAAAATGATTGTAAAGCTGACCAATGTGAAAAGATTATAAAATACACATTTCTATGTTTTAGTTCGGTTTGACCTCAAGACGCATTTTGATATTAATTCCCGTGTAAAATATTCTGATGTTCAGTTTTGTTTTCACTTGATGTGAAAGACATGAGGAAGTGTGTGTCTTCTGCCTCCTTTAATTGCTTATTTCCAGCATGTCTTTACAGTAATGTAGAAGATAAGGGACCATGGACGTCAAAAGAAAAGTGTTTTTGGAAGAACTGGAAGAAATTCTAGATTTGCACGTTTTCTGGAATAAATTTCAATAAGGAGAACGACGAGTTCGTGTTTTCTCAAAGTCCCAGAATTTCCGGAGAGTGTGAAAATTAATTTTAGATATAGTGAAAGAACACTAGAAAAAAATTATTTCTGAAATTCTTGCCTCAATGCCATAATATGTATCTGCTGTAACTGGAGGATTCCACAGGTTAACTATTTTTTTTTAATTCTTTAAATTTTAATACACACAAGAATACATTAAATTAGCCTTACACATGCTCTGAACGAGATAACATTAAATTACCGTTACAGTTTTACTCGTTTTAAACAGTAAGCTTGTAAGTACCACACAAAACTTACCAAAACATTTATTTCTCTGACATATGTGTCCCAACAAACAATCTTCATCACGACGGCACTCTACGTCATCTGGAAATTAAATAAGTTGAAATTAACCAATTGTAAAAGAAAAATTGCAAAGTTTAAGAAAGATTATATTCAACTAGTTATAAATTTTATTTTAATTAAAAAATAATAAAATTGAGAAAAATTTCAAACATCAACATTTTATATTTATATTTGAACAATAAATGAGAATAGACGAATTATATACCTTCACATCGGTTGTTAATGCACACTTTTCCTGGAGGACATTCAGCATTGCTGTCACATAAACCTTCAACTGAAAAAGAAACATTGCAACAACATGAACAAAAAGCACTGGTTACAGTTTGAAATTTAGTTTGATTCATTATGTAATCAGTACAATATTATTTCAATTGTATAACACATTTCTTATCGAAATGATATCTAATGGGCATCCAAATATATGACTCAGGAAAATTAAGAATATTTAACGGATGTCCAGAATATAACTAGTGGTCATCCGTTATATATCAACAACCAGGTTTAAAAAATAAGTTAAATACCGATATTGCATTCGCATATGTATTTATATATATATATAACGCCACATCACATTGCGACTAAAGTAGTCCTACTGGGACACAAATTGGACATCCATTAAATATCCATTATCAAGGTAGTTTTAAATTAATGTAAAGGAAACAAAATAAAGTAATATATATTTCATATATTATTGTAATTAATTAATACATAGTGGAAATGCTGACTTACTTTTTCTGCATTCGATGATGGGATTTCCTGTATATCCTAATGGACATGAACACTGAGCTCTATGAGCACTAGCTGAACATGTGGCCTTCACACCGCAAGTGTTGCTGAACATGCAAAGTTTTTGGCATTGCCGACTGATGCAAACCTCATCACTCAAACAACCCTGGTCTGATCGACAGCCGACTTAAAAAAAAAAAAAAAAAAAAAAAAAAGAAAGAGAAGTAACATTAATATCGATATACACGTATAATAAACAAAATCAGTAGGCATACAAAGTTATGCTCTTCTCAACGCTCTAGTTCAACGACGTCACTTGACTTGAAGTTGGAGAAACGAATACGCGAGATTATATTTAGTTCTCTAAAGAGAGTAGTTGCTTTGAAGAAAACTATAACGTTTCTGTCAAAGATTTTTGGTCGGGAAGAGCAAACTTGTAGTACAGTAATCTTGGTAGTAAAGTTGTTATCGAGAACGAAAGCATTGCAGTATTAGTTTTATCAGTGCAGTCATAACATGAATAATCTTAATAACAGATACATACAGAAAATTTTAAGGTGATGGTGTAAAAAAGGAAAAAGAAAAGAAAAACCCCGTTCTACTGGACCAATTGACGAAATTTGCCTTTTCTCATTCCTCGAAAGCGCGATTTATATATATTAGATTTATAGTATATAGTTCTGAAGTAGGTATTCTGACACAAAATCGGACTTTTTCTGAAATGGCATATTTATTTTTTTTCCTTGCTAAAATTTATTTCTTTCTTGTCATGATATTAAAGATCAATGAATATTATAATGCAACTGAGGCTCTAAATAACGCCCTAAATTCCTGAGGATTTTTTAATAGAATGTAAATTCCGGTTTGGTTCAATTCTGTTTCGCATGATCAACTGAATCAGCAGCATAAAGCTTTATTAATTCAAAATAGTGTACTTATGGAGTCTGACTAATCCAACATGAAATTAGTTGGAGGGTTTTTTTTTTTTTTTTTTTTAAATGAAAGTTCTGTGTTTCCAGTAACAACTGCACATTTTAATTTGTGCCTAAATGAAATATTTACTTAGATCAAAATTATTAGATTTTGTTCACCCTTTTGCTGCCATCTGCTCGTCTACTGAACAGCCACTCCATTTTACTCTCAAAATCATTAAAAATTCGATAATAGTACCTGCAAATTAAATCATATAATTAAACAAAATTCGTTTGCTTTTAAAATAGGCTTATGGCAACGCGTTTGTTTTCTGTAGTTGCTGAGGATTTAACAGAAGTCCACTTCGTTTCGGATGTTAGTAATAGGATTATATAAAAATGTTATATATATTTCGGATGTTAGTAATAGGATTTATATAAAAAAACATGCGTCTTTGGACCCAAGCTATACATGTTGTAATGTGACTTTATGTTCTAGTCAAAGTATTTTATTCTACTTTTTTTTTTCGGTTTTGATTATAGTTGCTAGAAAAACAGCCTTAAATTTCCTAATAACCTAGTACTTTTATAAGGAATAGAAAAATGTTTGTAGATAGTTGATTATAACTTTAAGTGAATAATACTTTTCAATGATACTAATATGAAACTAATTTTGCATTAATTGTTTTCTGAATGGAAAATTTCTGTACATAAATATGCTATTATTTGAATAAAAGTTTTAAATGTACACGGGTGATCAGGTATACGGACCAACAGCTCATATACGATAGGGGAACGAGGACTATATACCAGGCATTTGGTTATGCTAGATCTTTATGAATGGCAGCCATCACTCACATAGGTCTTACGGGCACAATAAATTAAAACACCCATTTCTGTAGCAAAATTTTATGTCTTAATAATACTTACCTAAACAGCGATAGTTCTGACAAATCTTGCCAGTTCCGCAATCCGTATCTATTATACACTCTACGCGCACACATTCCACTCTTGGGTCTCCAGTATGTTCTGGCAGACATGAGCACAATGGTCTGTGATTGACAGGCTGACACTGAGCTTTTGTACCGCATGCTGTAGGACTGGCACAAGGATTCAAACACTGGTTGTTGATACAAGCTTCTGTAAGAGGACACTCCCCATCTCTTCTACATCCAGAAATACACTGTCCATATTCACAAATGAAACCTGTCGGGCAACTCTTGTCACTCGTGCAAAAGACACTGCATCTCCTTTCCACGCACTTTTCGTTGTCCAGACACTCGTTGTCGCTGCTGCAAGTCACACGACAAATGGCATCTTCGCAGTATCTACCCAAACCACACCTGTCATCAGAGTTGCAACGTTCGATTTCTCGGTCACATTTGGTATTTGCGTCTCCGGTTAGTCCGGATGGACAAGTGCAGTGGACTAAGTGGTTGATGACGTCGCAGTTGGCATTCGTTCCACAGGCTGTTGGACTGTCACATGGATCTAGGTAACAAATAACAAGTTTAATAACGCTGAAATTAAGGAAACGCAAAGATATGAGATTTATTTAACTATGATTTAATTTAGGACAGACAGTTTTGCAACATCACGAGAGATTTATATTAATACTAAACTCTGTTTTTTAAAATGATAAAAATTACTGAAAACTTAATTTTGACTTAAAAGTCATAGTTTTAAAGCTTACTTATGCACTGGTTATTGATACATGCTTCATGGAAGGCGCAATCATTGTCGGCTCGACATCCCACTGAAAGACGGAAAATAACTCTTTGAAACAAAAATCGAAGCATAAATAGCATTGTTTACTACAAAATTAAGTTTGACACACTAAGACATGATTACATATAACTTATACTTATAGTTAATTACCTCTGCAGAAATTCTGTTCACATATCTCTCCAGAGTAGCAATCTCTGTCTCTTATACACTGTACGTGACAGCGACTGTCTATGCATTTTTCGTTAACTGCACAATCACGAACATTGCTACAAGGCACTGAAAAAGAAATCATAGATTACTTACGGAAAGCATCCACCAAGAGTAAAAATAAAACTCATATGTATTTATAGTCATTTATATACTCATTTGTAAATCCATATTTTTAACTTAATAATAAAATTTTTATGTTTAGTTATTATTTATGTTCATTAGAACAAAAGAAGACACCCTCAGTCTCAATCAACAATGGACACAGACAATGTTCCCTAAGTTGTTATCTCAGGAGTTAATCACTATTTCAATACACTGATTGCCGAACGAATGTTCACTGGAGCGATGGAATATAGACTTAATTTTATGTCAACGGATCACTTAAAAGTTCTTATTTTATGCCATAGTTTCCAGCAGCTGAAACGAAGAACCTGTTAATCAAGGCCCATTTAAGACTGTCAAGGCACAGCATTATTTCAGGGACTTCTAACATTCATTTTCCTTGTTTTTATAAAGCATAAACAGAGTTATATGAATAATAGGTCAATTCTGCGAAGCCTAAAATGCCTACGGCTCTAGCCAAAATCGTTATGAATCTAACTTGTGGGCCAGAGACTGTTGTTAATTTTACTAACACAATGGTCCTATCCACTTCAGATAATTATTATTGGAAATGCAGCACCAACCGCGTTTACGTTTTAAAAATAAAGCTAGAGATGTCATTTTGAACTGATTCCTTAAAAGTTCGCATGATGCATTGAATCATTGTACATCCAAAAGATTATCGTTTTGATAGAAAAACTTTTGAGTTAAAGCAATGATATTATCACTTACTTCTGCATTGTCCATTGTGACAAGTGAGCCCTGGTGGGCAGGGTTCATTGATGCAAACAATCTGTGGTCTGATGCATCCCACGTTGGCATTTGGACGTCCAACGAAACCTTCTCTACAGCTGCACACTGGGCGATGATCGCTCACCCTGCACTCAGCATTCGGACCGCAAGTAGCACTTCCTTCGCAAGGATCTGTTGCCAAAAATTAATGTTCAATTTAGACACTTTTTTTCACAGCTATGTAAGTCTTTAGAAATCATGTATAATACCTACATACGTCAATTCAGATTTTTATAACATCAAACTGAACTATTAGATCTACCTTTAAATCTTAACGGAAGTGTTATGTAGAAGAATACACGAGGTACTAAGAGAAATAATACTTTTTAAAATAAACGAAACTGGATTTCGGACATTGATTTTTAACTCTGCCTTTCTCTAAGGAAGTTCAAATAGATTACATACTAACTTGAAAATCAAATTAAATTCGCAGAACTAAAGAAAAATTGCTCATTTTTTTTAAAATCAGCGTCATTACATTATTGATTCATTATTACCAAACAATTTGGCACTGTCCTCTCCTCTTCAAACTATAAAAATATTCTGAGTATCTGAAGTTACATACATTAGAAAAATGAGCATTACCTACAATTCCTATTTTATTTTAGCATAATAAATACCAAATGTACTATTGTTCAGTATATTCAAGGGAAAGAATATATTTAATAATTTTCGGCATTGAAATAGTTAAAACAATATTAGAAAAATGTAGGAAAAACATGAAAATAGTTTTAGCACAGAGCTGACAGCATTAAACTGATGTCGGTTCAATGGACAGTTTCATATTGGAAGTTGAATATTAGTGTTTCTAAATGACATCGAACACTAAAAAATGTTTAAACTTTCAATCAATAACTTTTTTAAACACGCTTAACAAAATCTGATAGTCATTTGTGAAGACTTCTTTAATCTTATATACGGAAATATCGATAATATTTTATTTTGGCTCTTATGATTTTTTTTCTTTTGTTGCCAACGATTTGTGTCAATGATCTAAAATATCCGACATTTTAGTAATATGATGTGATAACGAGTTCAAGTAGAGTTTTAAATTGCTTTCAAATGAAACTGAATTATGGGTATTCTTTTTATCTTCCTGACATCATGTCATATTACTTTATTATCACATTTTTATTATTCTTATTGTCCAATTCTTTCGCTATTATTATCACATTTATTCATATGATTATTATTTATCAACTACAGCCTTATTAGATATAACATTAATTCTTATTATTCCAATCTTATTATTTATATTAATAAGAAACTCACCTCTGCACTGGTTGCTAACACATGCCAGCTGTTGTGGGCACTGATCGTTTGTGCGACATCCAACTATAAAATGAAACGAACATCTATTAAAACTGGAAGAACATTTTTCAGTGACGATTTAAATAAATTTTATGCTTTTAAATATGGCAACAATTTTACTTTTAAGTTCTATTCTATGTTGTGCAAAAGTGGAAAAAATCATCACTTGCATACAGCTGTACGCATTACTTACAATTAATAAACATGAATCAGAAACTAAAATCTAGTGCAAGTTGATTCGCGAGAGAGCACACAGAGAGAAAATTTTATAGATTCCATATCATCAAGTAAAAAGATATATTATTTAGAAATTTTCGGAATTCATAATATATAATAAAGATAAAAATATTTTATTTCTGGCCGTGGCAACACTTTGCTTTCACAAAGCCTAATCGTTAATTAAAACTGAAAGATAAATATTTTACATTTTATTTTATGGCAGAGGACCAGAGATTTTTAACACATTTGGATAAAATATTACAGCTATTTTTTAAGTACGTTTAATTTTTCAATCAAAACGAAATAAGTAAAAATTTCTTAAAAAAAAAAAAAAAAAAAGGGGGAGGTATTTATTTTGTGAATTATCTATATTTTTGCACAATTTCCTTATCAGTTTAAACATTTATCGAAACGAACAACGAGTTTTGGGATGCCCTCTTCATAGAACTGGCCACCTGTGAGTTATGCGGGGTAATTTTCACTTCTATTAGTCGCCGACCTTTCTTTGACCCCTTTACAGTCATTCATTGCATGGGTTACCGTACATTTCACATATTTGACGAAGAATATCCGATGTTTTCCAGTTTCTTGCTGTTAAAAACCGATGAATGAGAGTATTTCACATTCGACAAGGTGCTATATTTTGTTAAACATTTTCATCTCACCATTCATTCTTACACACGCGTGATATTTGCAAAAGACATTCACAAACGGACTTTACTTTAAAAACAACTTATTAATTATCGGGCTTATTAAAGAAAAGAGGAGATTCAAAGTAAATAAAATTCACTTTTAAGAACTGCTTACCTTGGCAATGGTTTCTTATGCATATCTCTCCATTCTGGCAATCTTCGTCGCGACGACAGAGCACTAGAAAATAGAATAAAATTTATTCAAAACTCTAATACTGAAGAAAGAGAAAGACTGAAAAGCAAGAAGCATAAATATAAATGAAATACCATAGTTATGAATTTGTTTATTAGAACAAAATTGTAATTATTCGAAGTATAATGTTCACTGCTATTATCTTGGACAACAGTAAACACGAATTTACAAAAAAAAAAAAAAAAAAAAAAAAAAAAAAAAAAAAAACTGCAGCCATTTCAAATTAAAAGAACGTGATGTATATTTTCGCACGTTCCTGCATAAGAACTGAATAAAGATAAGTTTCTTAATTCTTACCTAAGCAATGGTTGTTTACACATTTTTCTCCCGCGCTGCATTCGTTATCGGTGCTGCACTCAACTAAAAAAAAAAAAGGAGAGGGGAGTTAATATACTTTAAATGCCAGTATTTTCATAATCAGAACAAACCGATGTATCATAAAATACATTTTCATATTCATTCTACAGTTCCACTTTGCAATCATCTTATAGTGAATGTAAGATGACTACGAAGTGGAAGCTTGAAAAATATTACAAAATCATACCTCGACATTTTCCGTCCAGGCAGTAATGATTAAGTGGACAATCAGCTTCCGATACACACGATGGTAAAACTAAAATAAAACATCAGATATTAAAATATTATCGTATCACACGCTTTAAGAAAATATTCATTCATAACGTACAGCACTGGTCTCAAACTCGCGATCCCGAAGCAATTTTATACGGCCCGTGAATGCATTTTAATTATGTATTCGTTGCAAATATGGTGCCTATAATTTTAGACACTTAGAGACGTGGACTGAGCTCTTGTGTCGGACTGTTATTGAAGGAAAAGAAGATCGAATGAATAGGTTGGATTTTTGCTGTTGTATGCTTGTGCGCCAGGCCGCGTAACTAGGATAAGGTGGGAGTATTCCTATGCTGGTTCAATCAGTAAATTTAGTTTGCTAGCCGATAGATCGCGGCGCTTCAGTATTCTGGAATTTTCTGTTTTTTGGCTTAAGTTTAAAGTAAGTTACTTTAAAAAAATGATTTATTATTATTTAGTGGTTAATCAACATTTTGGAACTTATTATTTAGTGGTTAATCAACATTTTGGAACTTATTATTTAGTGGTTAATGAACATTTTGGAACTTATTATTTAGTGGTTAATCAACATTTTGGAACTTATTATTTAGTGGTTAATCAACATTTTGGAACTTATTATTTAGTGGTTAATCAATATTTTGGAACTATCTGAAATAAATGGCAGTCAAAAGTTTAATATTTAGCTGTGAATAAGTTTGAATTATAAAGCAATAACGAAGAGAAGTTTTTAGAAGCTCAAATAGAAAGATTATAATTTTTTTTTAAAGAATGATGCTTAATTTTAATAAAAAATATTCTGGTCTGCCAGCTGGTTTAAAATCTTGCATTCGACCCGCATGCAATTTGAGTTTGAGACCATAGAGTATTAATCCAAGTTCCAAAATTTTTTACTTTAAAAATTAACTTTTATCCCAAGCTCAATTACATAAATTTTTCCGTACTTTTCCGTTTTGCCGACACAGGCGATAAAGTCACGATATTGGTACAACTGATGCCAAACGGAATATCCTCGCTGGTAACCTTTTACTCCTCATTTTCAAAACAAGTCGCAGCCATTTCTTATCAGATTGTTCGTTTCTTTCAATACTGCATGCAATTAGATACGGAATTTTGCCAGATAGTTCAATTTTATGCCCTAAGGCCATTCGCGGTAATTAAATCAATTAGAGTGCAATCACACCGCTCACCCGAAGGCGAAAATATAGAAAAGGCAAAGTCAAGGGTTAAATTCATCCACTCTAATGAGAATGCACTAGCAAAGTAAAGCACTGCGGTTTTACATAATTTCTGTGTGAGCTATTCGTACGAGTTGAAATAATTCTTGCATTTAAACTTTTATTCCAATCACTTGGGATCACGTGATATGAACCGGCGAATCAGGATGTTGAACCATGAAAGCATAGTAAATTCTTAATGTGTTGCAAATTTATTATCTTTATTTATTGACTTTTTTACAATATTTTAAACGATATTAAAATAGTTATGCCTTTAAAATAAAAAAAATCTTAACATTTGTAAAAATATTTTATGTGTATACTGTATGTTGTCGTCAATAAAGTTTGCTTGGCGAGATTTGCGCCAGCGAAACGGAAAAGTACCAATTTTTCTAACTAAACTCTTAAAAATAACCGCAAAGATTTTTTTCATAAAACTTTCAAACTAAGAATTTATTGAAGAATATGAAACCCCGTCTGAAAAAAAAAAATTAGGACAATAAAAACAAAAACTATTTCAAACCCCAAAATATTAAAATAAAAATTACAATTTAATCCTTCCAGCCTATATTTTATTAAAAATATTGATATTAATATTTATCAAAATTTTATTATCATGAACATCATTATAAGTTAATTAAAGTCTCACATTGTATAGATAAATAAATCCCTTCTAATAAAGCAGTATATTTTTGTAATTTGCGAAGATGAATGAAAATTCTTATGCGAAACGGCCTGAAAACAATTTTTTATTTTTATCAGACAAAATTTCAATGCAAAGCCAAAAAACATCATTCTGTGCTATTATACTACGAAACAAAATCTAGGGCTTACTTCTCTGGCAAGCAATATTTGGATTTCCAGTGAAACCTGGTGCACATGTACACTGTTGACGGTGCTGGTGGACCTTACATAGTGTATTGGTACCACAGGCTGTTGAGCTTTCACACGGATCTGTAACAAAATTCGGGTAAGTTGTATATATTGTAAAGTTTACTAAAAAGAAATGTGAACTATCAGATCATAACGTACGTAATCAGTCGCTTTTACTGTTCATTTTCTTCTATGGACATACTAGTAAGCTCCCGATTCTCTAAAAAATCGAATAAGCAAACACGCGAAACTCATTATGCTATGAATTGCATGGGAATGAGAATGGGAGAATTAAAAATTAGAGAATAAAACGAACTTTAAATTGTATATACACTTGAGCATGAGCAGGGATGGTCAAATACTTTTAACCACGGGATAAAAAGGTAAATTTTAGTGCATCATGTTGGCAGGACGTCTCAAGGTACAACTGTATTTGCATGAGGATCATTTGCCATGGCCTTATTGTTTATCATGACGCAACAGTGGAGGAGGGAGCAGCCCTCTCCGGTAGAAATGTTTTTAAAAATACAATTTATAATAGCATCGTATGTACATAAATTCATATTCTTTACTTTAAATCAGGCAGTTCTTAGGCAGATGCACATACTTTCTAGCATATTGATTGCTAGTATAGTCATGAATATATACATACATAACACCGTAATATGAGATGCACACTCGTTCTGCTGATTTTGGCAATTTGTGTTCAAAATGAGGTAGAATGCTGCACAGGATTTTATAACGGGTCGCATTAAACAACTAAAAGCGCCACCTTCAGCCATGGTCTGGGTTTTGTCTCTATAAACTTTAGAAACGCTGGCTTAGCCTATAATAAACGAGACACTCTATCACTAACAAAAGCGCTAAATGCCTTTATGGTGTCTAATTATCTATCAGAGATTGTAGCCTAGTGAGTAAAATTCTTAAATATTTTCTATTGACTAGAATGTTGAGGGTATTCGTCTTTCATTTGAAAAAGGGACATTAGAAAGATTGGACCTACTTACTTGTGCAGATGTTGAGTATGCACGCTTCTGATGAGGCGCAGTCGCTGTCAGTTCGACAGCCCACTGTAAAGGAAATAAAACAGTTAATTTTCACTTGTAAGAAATTTAAGAAAGGAATGCATGCTAATAAAAGGTGTTAAAATTACGATTTTGAAGGTTAGCACCCACCAATGCATTTATTTGCAGCGCAGATCTCTCTAGAAAGACATTCTTTGTCTTCTCTGCATTCCAGAACACACTGTCCTTGATGACACATTTCTCGTTTAGCACAATCTTCATTCGATCGACAACGAACTGTAGGAGAAAGTGAAGTCATAGGTCAACATTATGAAAGAATTGAAATTAAAATAATGAGAAGAAATTCACAATATCAGATCAAAAATACATACATCCAACCGCTTTTGCGGTTCTTTTGCTTTACAAACTTACTTCTTAGCAAACATAACTGTACTTCGCAGACATTATGTTTTTTTAAAATTGAAGGTTTGTAGCGATTGTGGATTTCATTCCTTTTGCAGACATTTCCTTGCTTCTTGTCTCTATACCACATTTTGGTCCACTTGTATGAAATATTTTAATTTTCATTATTATTATTTCGAATTAGACTAATCGACAGCCGTATAATTATAGATTCTGATAATAGTGTTTTTTCTGTTATTTAAGCCTTAACACAACACATTGCTACATAATTTATACTGTTTAAATTAAAATTATTTCTCTTATAAATTATTTTTTTCCCTTGAATTCTTTATGATTTCTCTAAACATCTTACTTTTGCTACATGAACTATTAATTTTTAAATTACATAAGATAAACGAGACTCATTTTATAGAAGTTTTACTTTTTTTGAAATTGTTATTCTTTTATGTTTCTAAAAATGGTTCTGAATACTTGCTATACCAACAATAATACAATAGAAACTTCCACTTACGTTTGCATCTTTTGTTGACACACATATAACCAGATACACATTCCAGGTCAGATGAGCAATCAATAGTAACTAAAAATAAAGTAAAAAATAATTAAATATTAATCAGGTTTTGTACATAGCATCCAATGACATGTTTATTTCATTTACCCCTTCAAAAGATAATATTAGCTCTAGAATAGATTATTACGATTAAATATTAGCATTAAAAATATTAGCGTTAGATATGATGTTGCATAAAATGAAGTTTCATATAAATATATACATATATGCTACTGTTAAGAGGAAATCTATGTAATACCTGCCATTTTTGGGAAAGGTTTGATATTTAAAGTTTAAGACATTTTTGCCTTATTTTATATTAGTATAATAAAAATATGAAAAGGAATCATGAAAAGGTTCATTAGAAAAGTATGCCGAAGTCCGAATGCTGTACCGATTTCTACGCAATTAGAAATATCTCATCCAGGACAATAAAAAATCAGGACGGAATTCTGTGACATTTTGTGGTGCTTTATGCCAGAGTTTCTCAAACTGTGGTACGCGGACCACAAGTGGGTCTCGAAATCCGCCCTTGTGGTCCTCCTAAGTTTCTGAAAAAAAGACGAAAAGTGAAATTTAAATTAACTGTGCATACCACACTAAAGCCGAAAATCTCTGAATCTGGAAATTGCAAATGATAACTTTCTATCATTTTTAATCCCAAGGCCGACATCCTACTTTCTTAACAACAAGAGATTAATTTCAAACACTATGACTACGGTGCTTCTTACCAGCATATATCCAGCTACGCAAGAATCGGCAGGTTCATTCATCCCATAAATGTGAGTAACAATATTTATTTACTTTTTAGTTCGTAAAGTAAAGAGTATCCAAATTCTAATAGCCATTAATTAATAAAAAAAATTAAATGCAAAATCTGTTAACTTAATAGCGATATAAAACTAAATGAATTTTAATTAATTTCTTTTTAAAAATTTAAGTATACTGGCAGTAACATATGCTAAAAATGTTGCTTTCGAAGGAGACAAGAGCAAGATGGTCATTTAAATTTATAAAAGAGGTCCTCACCAGAAAAAAGTTTGAGGAACGCTGCTTTATATTGGCAGTCGCAAATACCGTATGTCAAAATGAATTTTGACAACAGAAATCCATAGTTCAATCTTTTCGCCATTAAAATCAATAAACATATGAATAAAATAAATATCCAATTCGTTTTTAAGTAACGGAAAGTGTTTTAAAACGTAGCTACATTGTTGCGGTTGTTGTCATGTGTAAAAATAATGTTAAGAACTTACCTCTGGTACAACCACGAACTGAATCTCTGGGATTACCAGAAAACCCAGGTAAACAATAGCATGCTGCACGATGATTTTCTACACGACATAACGCATTAACTCCACATACGTCTGGTGCTTGACAGGGATCTAGAAGAAGAACGTGCATAATATTTTTAGCTCTGTGAAACATAAAAAGAACGTAAATTGTTCTGCCAAATACAAAAATATTGTGAAAATAAATGTTGCTGTAATCCTTTAAAGTTTTATATAAACTTAAAATAATGTACACCAATAAAATGTTTTTCAAAGTTTCTTAATTTGCAAATGCAGTGGAACCATGCTGTAGAGAATCCGCTTGCAACGATTTCCCGGATATGAGTGAACCTTTTGGTCCCATTCAATTCCATGTACACTTTCTGTTATTTTATACGGCTATAGCGAACTTCCAAATGTATGAAAGTAGGGTATAATGAACTTTGTGGATATCTTGGACTGAGATATTGTTATATTTTTCAAACTGTTTTCAGCATTTCAGCAACTAAAAGTCCCTAACCCTTATAATCCTTCTGTTTAAGTTGTTCGAATAATGACAAACACCTGTAGATTACTACTATTTTATACGGTTATTCTATGTTTATAAGCTTATGTTAATGACTTACTGATCCTACTAGATTGGAAAGCGAATTATCAGAGTGTTATCTGAAGCAAAATTACCAAGTCGTAAGAAGATTAAAAGAATCTTTTAATTGAACTCTTTAAATCAACAGAAGACACTACTTGTGCTTCAGGTGAAGCTCCACTATTTGCGTGCAGTTAAAGTAACATAAGACGAAGTTTAATTTCAAATACAGGTAACGTAGTCTGAGACTATATAAGATACACAGCACAGACTACTATAAGCTGGTTCAAGATAATTAACGGCGAGTAATTTAAACGTCGTCTAAGAAGATGCTAAAATCAGAAACCGATGATCATATATATTTGCAAGTTGCTGCCACCAGAAATTCTAATTCTAAAACACCGACCTTCGGCTTAAGTGCACAACAACTAATTTACATTCTGATAAGGGCTACAGAAAGTTAAAATAAAGTTTCAAATTATAATAACTAATTAATTAAGATAAAATCCTACACTTTTTAATCTTCACCCCCCACCTTTCTCCGTGTTAAAAAAATAGCTATGCCAGACTGGTATAGAACTCGGTTCTTGGAAAATCAGAACATACAATTAACATACATTAGGAGATCTTAATGTGTCAAGCATTAAGCCAAAGAATATTTAACCTGTGGAGACACTAATTTTGCATCGGTTCTTTCAATCCATTCGAGTTCTTTGACTGGGCTCTTCAATAGCACTTTGATCTAGGTTGATACTTATTCACAATTGCAAATGCGTATTTTAGATGAAAATGTGTAATTGTAGGAAGGGGTAGAAACCAAGAATTTTATGGTAAGTAATTTTTTTGTACAAAATTAAAAACACATGGCAGTGAAAAACAAATTTAGTGATTGCACTTAACAATAATCGTAATTAACATCTTTTAGGACATATGACAATGCTAATCTCTCTTTCTGTGTGATTCGTCAGTCAAATTTTACGCTTTTTTGTAAGGTGATCTATTTTTCCTTATCAGATAGGAATATAGCATAGTAATTTATCAAAAGCGCTCCGCCTTCATGCACTACACTTGCTTACTCCTTTAGCGCATTCTGTATCAGGCGGGAGGTTGTTTGTATCTATATCCCTCACTTCCCACGAACTCTTGGGATCCCACCCTAAGGAAGGTGGACTTCTTAAATTTGAATTGTCTCTTCACACTCAATGCTACACCGGCTTCACAGGGGCACCACTCCCGGACTCCAAAGGATGTGGAGCTTAGACAAACCCTTTCTGGCCACCGCAACCTAATTGGGCGGCATACGCTATTATCCTTCGGGACAGCATAAGCTGTTCTTCTGGGTATTAGGAAATATACCATATAGGTTGATGGATTTTATGTCTCTAAAACCGCGACTGTCCAAGTATAATGCTAAGCTAACATTTGCAATCCCAGAGGGTAGTCAAATCGGACCTAGAGACTAAATCCATCAGTCCCCTTGAAATTCGTTATAACAGGATTCGATTGCATAGCATATGTATAAGTATGTTGTACTGTAGCAATAGTACATACTTTTGCACATTGGTGGAATGGTGGTGCGATCACAGTAGGCTGTAAATGGACAATCACTGTCGCCTTGCGGACACTCGTTTTCACCGCGACCTGAAAAGAGAAAAATTGTAATCAGATACAAGTCACTTCAAAACTCTGTGAATATTTATATTTCTTTTCTCGCAGTCATGAATGTGAGAAGAAATGTTGAATTTCCATTTCAATTCTTCCCCACTTTCTGGTTTTCCGGAAAGCTATTTAAAATAGAAAGTTTCTTGGCGATCCAAGTAAGGCGAACACTATGTATCACTTGCCTGATTATATTTAGCATTTGCTGAAATTAATACTCTTTTAACTTATTCTAAAATTGTTTTAATTAACCCTTAAAACATCGAATGGAAGACAAACATGTCAACTTAAAATTTAAAATAGGCAAAAATGCAATCTTATTTTAGCGAAAATAAATCTTACTGAAAAGTTTTGAATTAAACATGTCTGCATCTGCCTTGAAACAAATGTTTATAAAGCTAAAATTAAACAATTTATCAGTTCTTCATTCAAAGAATTTCATCGCGGTTACATAGAAATTTAAAACTGTAAATAGCATTTACTGTGGTGAAATACTTAACCCTTTTGCTCCCAGTGGTCTAAACCACCTATTCAAAGTCCAATAGAATGTAAGCCGTGTAGATTTCTTGCGAAACAATATGCATAAATAGGTAGCATAGAAACGGTATCTTAAATGGTGCGCAGCGGAAATTTCAGAATAAAATGCAGCGTTTCATCACTATCGGAATTATCTTGCCACTTGTAAAATGCCATAAACTTTTTTTTTAATGATTTTTGTGCAATAAAATTTCAGTGTCGCGTGTGCAATGTGTAAGTTATTTTCTGAACATTGGTGACTTCGTATACTTTGGCATTTTGTTAACGTGACAATTACAAATTCGTACATCTCGTTCTCTATGAAGAGTGAAGGTCAATCCTTACGACTGACTCTACTTACTGAAAGATTTTGGAATTTCTGTAACGAGAGGACTAATAGCAATGCGGAAACGTGAAAACATCAACAAACATGCCAAAGAATACAGATGGTCTGTTCTATCTGAGATTCAACAGTAAGCAGTAGCGAATATGTGAATATATGGATTACTTTTGCGATGTAGTTTATGTAGTCTGAAACCTGAATTCCGCTGCACAAAATGTAAGTGTGTATGGCCTCTGCTGCTCTGAAAAACTGTATCAAAAATAAATCAAGTTGTGGAGTCTTAGCTGTATCGTAATGTAAGCACTATATTTTCTATAATAATTAAAAAGAGGTCAATGAAAATTTTCTTGTTTACATTAATCATGACCAACATGTTAACAATGTGACAAACAAAAAATTAAAAAAAAACTTTCTTACTGACTACTTTTTCTTGGAAAGCAAAAGGTTTAATAGGTAAAATGACAAGAAAAAGAGATGATACTTGATGTCAAAACATAACAGAATATTAGAATTGTAAAGAATTACACATCAGCAACGAATGATGCAATACAGTAATAATCAGGCTGAAATATCAGGTCGTCATCATACTATAGACTGAAATTGCTTGTATTAGGAAGATATTACGTTATTGAATGATGGATAATTAATGTTGGAGAATGGATACATTGCTGTGTTTGCATCCTGGATCCAAACAAATATTTTCAACATTTTTCTCTCACTTTAACTAAGAAAATCTCGCTGTGTCCGATAGGTTTTGAGTATTTGAACGATCATTTCTAGATGGAAAATAAACAGAAGATATAAGAAAGAAGAACATGAAATGGGGAAAAGCGATATGAGTAATATTCGGAACAGAAAGGAATGGTTTTGCAATCCGACCTGATTTTTATAGGTTTGAAATGTACCGGAGCTAAGAAAAAGCAATCTATATCCTTTTGTCACTTAATTTGACTAGGAAGCACTAAGCTCATTATAGACACACTAGTTCGAAGTCATAAGAGTAGCAATAAGAGTAATATTCGGGGAAAAAAAGCAAAACTTTGCAATCCGACATGATTTTTCTGAAATGTCCAAGAGTTGAGGAAGGGGAATTTGTACTTTTTTGTCACTTAATTTGATCACATCAGCGCTAAGCACACTGTAAACGCATTAGTTGTAAGTCATAGGAGCGGTGAAGAGTTAAATTTATTTCTGCTTTTGTTTGCGAAACAAATTTCAAGCAAGGTTTCGTATGTGAAAGTGGATATAAGCTTATCATTGTTATACTTACATCCTGGATCTAAGTAAGGATTTCCAATGTTCTTTTCTGGTGGGCAGAAGCATTCGTAGCCGCCAAATTTGTTCTTGCAGATAGCTGTATGATGGCATGGTCTGCTGGCACAATAATCTTTCGGGCGACATCCAACAATGGCGTCACCTTCATATCCTTCGTGACATCTACAGATCGGTGAATGATTTCTGGATTCGCAGTAAGCATTGACTCCACAGATATTCTGCAACTTGCATGGATCTGCAAATTACCCAAGAATGTAATTCGTCAGAGAGGACATGATTGGAAAGAAATGTTTAAACTACAGTATAGGTCTCTGCAAATTAAGGCAACTACTAAGACTCTTGATACTCACCGACGCATTCATATTTCTCGCAAACTTCTGGATTTGGGCAATCTTCATTCTTTAAGCATTCAACTAGAAGAAATAAAACAGTTTAGAAACTCAACAAAAGCAGTGCACAATTACTCTGCAGGAAGCAGAATGAAAAATAAAAATAAAATATTCTGAGTGGCACACTAGTCTTCATGACTAGAGTGGTAATGATGTACTTACGGTTGAATGGCCAGTTTCTACCATTCTGCATCTGACTAAATGGTCTTGTTTAGTGACTTTAGGTGTTGGAGTCACCAATCTAAGGCTACATAATATCTTTTCATAAGCCTATTTAAGATGGCCTCTCGCTTTAAGTCTTAGAACACATGACCTCTATGAAAGTCAGCATTCATAAAACTTATACTTTCTAGCTTCCCATGGCAAGTGAATGAGTGTGATCAAATGCATTGAAATTAACTGTATGGGTAAGTAACATAATCTATACCATCCTATGTTTAGTCATAACACAACCATAAATACAGAGACTTCTATCAAATTCCACTTTTGATTTATGCTATATAATCGGGTGATGGGTATTTTTAAAGAGGTAATGAATCAAAAACTTACTTCCATAATATACGGGAGGTGAACTTGACTCAAACGTTCCGCGCAGAGGAGTTTAGCATTAATCGTTGCCGCAACGACCCTGGGTTCCTAATCCACAAGTGGCGAACTTTTTATATTGAACTCTCTCTAAAGCACCATTTCGCTGAACCGGCTTCGAAAGGTCATCACACCCAGGACCACAGAGACGCGAATTTTGAGTGACATACTGAAACCATTCAACTGGCCATCACGCTATCCACTCGGATGGCATCGCCACTACCTCCAGGACAGCATAGGTTGTCCTTTTGGGTATTATTAGTTCAAATCTGGTCCGTATATTTTACGGCTCCAGAGCCGAGACTGTCAGACGCTAATTTTGAGCTAGTATATAGGACTTCGGGGAGGTCTTATCGAGGTAAAGCGTGTGTATTTATACGTGTAACTCAATATGTATATATGAGAAATATGTACGAAATACATATTAGATAAAAATGCATAACTATGTGTTACTTACCAGGCTCACACCCTCTGTCAACTGGATCTCCAATGTAGCCTTGTTCGCATTTGCAGACGGCGGAATGCCCTCTAGCTTCGCAATACGCATGAGGAGCACATAAAGCCAAATCACATGGATCTAAAGCATAAATGAATGAGAGTACTTAGTGCACATAAGGATAAATTTTGAAGAAACTTTATGCAGTTGAAAATATTGCTCACGAAATTAGATGAAACGTCAAAAAAATCTACATTTAACTCACCTACGCAATCATTGTATCCTTTTACACTGGCTCTGCAGACATGATTGTCACTGCACTCGTTGTCTCTATTGCAACGGTGATCTGAAAAGTAATAAAAACATTCGTACAAAGCCGAAATTCTTATTTTTTATAATGCTGAAGCCAATAGAGATTCAAATATACAGTCCAAGGAAACACGTTTGCTTTTTCTCCATTTACATATATTTTTAACAAATTCCAATTAAAAGTAAATAAGGGAAAAGTCTGAAAGAGTTCAGATTTTTAATGGGTTCTTTTAAAGTTTAGTTAGGTTTATCGATAGAGATGCCCCCCCCCAGGTGGAAGAACGAAACATTTTAGAGCAGAGGTTCTCAGCCACGGCGAATTTAACCCTGGGGGTTTTCACTGCTTCAGAGGGGGGATGCAGGCAGTCTTTTATTTAGCTAAACATCTTGCGTTTTACCGAATGGCAACAGTCTCGAATGAAAAGTTAAACAACACATAAAGTGAATCAAAGCAAAATCAAGTTTCGAGACTAATAGTCTTTTTTGGCCAAATAATTACCTAACTTGAAATAATGCTTTCGATTCTGCAGAATCATCTGACTGTGTATTTAGAGCTATAATTAGAGCTCGTATGTTAAGGTTTTTTTAAACTAAGTAAGTACAAGAAGCGTAAGGGTCATTGGTTTTACTGAGTAATATAAATGATCTATAAAAATATTTCTGTAATAAAATTGCTTAGTATTTTAGAATAAACGGTAGTTTCAAGCTAATATATTACTTAACTTTTATTTATCTGATAAAACAGGACTAATTTTCACATGTTTAATATAAAAAAACCGATGAGAGCGTTCTAGTTTACTAGCAATTAAATCGAAAAATTTCACAAAATTCAATAATTTATGAGAGAAATTTGCGGTAAAATCATTATCCCTCTGATATATCCGTGAGCAAGTTATTCGGCTATAGAAATTCGTATGTACTATTTGAATCAAAGCACAGGTATTTTCTAAACACCTCTATAAAATATAATTGACTAAAATTTTACTTCTGCGACTTCTTACTTACCAACGATGCATTTTCCAGCACTGCAGATTTGATACTCTGGGCAATCACTTTCCGATAGACAAATCGCTGCAAAAGTGAACATGATTCAGAACATAATATAATTCCACATAAATGTTTATATATTCAAATACTCCTAAATATGTAAAATTATAGACTATAGAAGCTAGATATTGAGAAGACTAAACAGAAAAAAAAGTTCATAGCTACAAAGTTGTATTAATGATAGTAATAATATCAGGAATTTTGATACTTACAGACACAGCGTCCTAATTCGCATCTCTCTTTAACTCCACAGTCTCTGTCCCTGTTGCAAGGAACTGAAAACAGAAAATACGGAAATTAAGAATGATTGTAACAAAAACATCATATATGAGCCCGAATATAAATATATTTAAAATAATTTCTTAAAATGTCTTTCGGAAATTAGAACTATATATAGATGATATGCGCAGCCTAATTATTGAAAAAAATATATTGTCATTTATTTCTTATTCTTCACATTGAAATAAAGCTTAATCAACTAGTTTTAGCTTGGAACCGGTACTGGAACATTTTAATTATATTTCTTGTACAAAGTTTTCAGTATTTTGTACAGCATAAGATCTTTAAATGATTTTCCACGTGGCATAACAAATAGCTAGTTCTCAATGCGCTATTATGCAGCAAAGATCTTCAAAATGAGTTAATCATTTTAATTAGTCTGGAAATGCTTTAGTTCAAAATTAACTATTTTGCACAGTCAGTAAGTAAACTAGTCGGCAATCATAAACGGTTAATTAATCTTAAATGAAAATTTAGTTCATCAAGCAAAGTTAATAAGTCTGCAAATGCTTTTAAAACTGACAATAAAAAATATAAAGACAATAATTTTTATCTTTATTTCATTTTTCAATATTATGTCTATATAGTTTAAAATAGTTAAATATAGAGTTTATAATAGTTAAGATATAGTTTAAAATAAATTTCAACTTCTAACCTTTCCAGCTAATAATTTTCAAAAATATCACTTGTATTATATAATAAATATTTCAGTACGAAAGTAGTTTATTTTCTCTTCTAAATCTTTAATACTTCATTATTGTTCTAAGTCTTGTTTAATATTAATTCTAGTACTATTCATTCACGCTTACCGTTGCAAACTCCCTTTTGACACAACTCTCCTGCCGGGCAATTGATATCAGTATCACAAGGAATGATTTCTTGAAAAATAAAAAAAAAAAAGTGATATGTCAAAATTTAATAACTTCAACATCAGCTCTTATAATAAACTTTATTATGATTATATTGCAAAATTGAAAAATGATAATAAAATTTACATACTTCTGCATCCAGCAATAGGATCTCCGTAGAACCCATCACGACAGCGGCAAATGGCTCCGTGATTTTTAGCCTGGCAGACTGTATTTTGGCCACAATTGGCTTGGCTCGAACATGCATCTGAAAAAGAATCGGAGATATATTACATATTGTGCTATGATGTAAAATATTTTAAATAGCGTCTTATAAGAAATTAATACTGTATAACTGTACATTTTATAGATTGTTACACAATGAAAGATACTTTGCATTATACAGCAGATGACGCTTATTGTGATTGCGGATAATGTTGCCGAAGTGTGGAAGTCCTGTTCGTTTGCATACCAAAATGTCGAAAATACGTCGCTTATTGTGGTTAATAATTTCAAAATATTATTAAAGTTTTTAAACTGAAGTAAAGTCGTCAAATAAGCTTAAAATTGATTACAAAAATTTCCAAGTGACAAAGAAATGTCGTCGAGTAAGGTACTAATTAAGTGGCGAAACAGCTTAGTTTCAATTATTTTACAATAATTGAAAATTAGTTTGAGGAAGATTTTAAATAAAGTTATCGATTTTGAAATTAATTAGCAGATCGGATAGATTTTGAGGCAAAAATATTTCTACAGAAACAGAAAAAAAACATTCTTAGAAATCAACTGCGGCAAATTAACGTTGCTTTTTTTCGCTTAATTTTAAATTTCCTACTGGCAAGTATTTTTTTCAGTGAATGATGCTCTCCGAATATTAATATAAGGGGAACAGCATCGAACAAATAATTTAAAGAATAATGCATTAGAAAATTTGATCAGTTCATAAAGAAAATTTTCCTAATTAAAATGCTGTGAAAATGTCTATTGATATGTTTCTAGTCATATTTACATTAAATTAGTTAAATTCTATTTCTATTTTGAAAGATGCTTTTCTCATCGTTTAATGTTCTCAAAACACCCATGCGTAAACGTGGTCCCATTAAGTTAGCACCAATTTTAGTATAATGTACAGTACACTTTACACAGTCGTTCGATGTAATATATAACTTATACAAATAGTACATCGCACATACAATATCACTATTTCTAAAGTATCGGCAGCATTAAAAAAATTACAAGGTAAATGAATTGCTGTCTTACCTATACATTTATTCTTTTCACACACTTGATTGTCTTTACATTCTTCATTAATAGTACATTCGACTGAAAATGAAGACCAAAAAAATATTGGCATTTGTGTTTATAGGAAGTTAAACATATATTATTTTCATTTTCCAATGCAACAGAAAAAATAACTTTTCCAAAATAAAGAAAAATAAAGCATAAATAAAAGAAAAAATTTCATTTCGAAAATATTACTTTACAGTATAGCATCTTTAATATTACTTTACAGTTTATTATATTACTTTACAGTTATTATATTACTTTATTATTCTTACAGTTTATTATATTACTTTATTATATTACGAAAATATTACTTTACAGTTTAGACACTAGGAATTCAAATAAAGTAATTAAAATACAAAAAGGTACATAAATTTTAAAATCTTTGTCAATTCATTTTCATGTTGTAATTCTAGTTTAACTTTATCCAATTTTAAGTAGTTTAAAGTAACCCTACCTTTTTAAAAACGAACCTTACAAGTTTACGAATATAGAGCATATGAGATAATGCTTAACTTTTAGGCAAGTAATTTAAGCAACCTTATCTTAATTCAGAAGTCAAACAACAAAAATCAGCGTTATATTTACAAAATTTTCACCTGATTTTTGTTGTTTGACTTCTAAATTAGTATTTATTCGGCGTGTTATTGTGTCTCAATCTTATCTTCTTAAAAGTGAAGCGCAGCTGTGGGGTTTTTTTAATTAGATCGCTTGCGCACAAAGCTTGCAAGATTTATTTCCGGCAAGTGAAGCAAAATTCTTATTTTATTTACCTTTAGTACAGCGATAACTTGGATCGCCAGTATAACCAGCTGGACATGAGCACTGCACTTGGTGGTTGATTGTTCTGCAATCTGCATTGATACCACATGCCGTGGGAGATTCACACGGATCTGGTAAATAAATGAAAACAATAAATTACAAAAAAGTTAACGGAGATTACGCTAATTTTCTGAATACCAGCGATGAATAGAAAAATCAGCAGAAAGCGTAAAAAAAGTGAAAAAAATACTAATTAACGCTTCTTACCTCTGCAATAGGGATCACCTTTGACACGAATGCAAGCAGCTGAGTCTGCGCAGTCGGAGTCTCCGTTGAAACACATGTTTGGATCGTGACCTGGAATTGATGTTATAGTTAAATGAAATCAATAGATGCTTATAACTAAAACGTCCAATAACAGTGATTGGCGGAAATGAGATGGCAAATTTTTCAATATTTTTTTAATAATTTTAATAGGCAATTTTTATTCGAGGAATTTAAAAAAGAAAGAAGGATTTTGTTAAAATACAATTAGTATGTTTCTGTGCTTTTGAAGTATTTGCATCTCAAAAAATGTCTATTTAACTAATCGATGCCAGTATATAATTATCATATATGTTAATATCACATATCTCCACAAAAAGCTGTCAAACTCTCTGGCGTCTGATAAAAAATGGGAACAAAATAATTAAATAAATAAATTAAGTAAAAATTAAATTAAATTATAAATAAATAAAAATATAAAACAACATAAAATAAATATGTAAAAAAAGTAAAGGGGCTTTACTGTTCTTACAAGTCTTACCCCGAGGAACCTTTTAAAACAAATTTTAGTAAAAAACTTTCTAAAGCCGTTATTATACACAAATTACTTTGGGTAACTAAACGTTCAAGACGTTGCGCCGGTCGGTATTGCGGTTACAAAAGCCGACTGCTATATCTTTGAGAACGGGCTCGAATTCCAGACGACGGATAGACGTTTATAAAAGTGTAGTACCTTTGCGGTATGGGGGAGTTAAAAACTTATCCAGACGAAAGTGGCCTCGAGTGGTATTAAGGAAAGGAGCGAAATGGAGAATGGATTTCCTCAATGGAGAACATGAAGTTGATTCCAAACAACCGAACCGAGGGAATCCCTGAATTCTGTTGCCAGAGGTTCAAACTGAGAATGGAAATTGGGATGGAGCAGGACATCAGTTGTATGCCAACTATTAGAATTTAAAGATTATGACCTTGCGCAACCTTTTTCCTGCGTTTCCAGCCAGCATGATGGCTAAAGACGCTGACTGTTATACCGATGAGTCCAGGTTCTAATCCCAGAAAAGGCATATATTTGTAAGCGTATACTGTCTGTGCAGCAAGCAGCCACTCAAAATAAACGGCAAGCCCAAAGTCCTCGAGAGGTTGGTAATAAGAGAAGAGAGGTGGGAAATCCTCGGACCGCCCTCGGGGTGTTGTTCCTCAATATTGGGGGGGGGTGAGGAAGCTTAAAGTCAATTGAACTAAAAGTTCAGTAATACCTCAATCACCTGTGGTAGTATAGAAGTGCTGCCTAGTTTCTACTTTTGCCTCTCTGCCTCTTACCATTGGTTATGATGAAGTTTATGGACACCATCTTATTCAAATCAAAAAATAAGCAACATCAAATATATTAAGAACACTTTTTCCAGCGTTTTTATCACTAAAAGGAAAGCATGCACCTCATATATCCCCTCCCCGTGCACTGTTGTAGACTGCACATTTTCTGTTACACAACTAATTATTATAATCCACACTTTCGTTATCATGTTAATCCAAAACAACAGTTAAAACCATTTTTTGTAGGTTTGGTAAACCTGTATAAAAGAAAATTGTTCATTGTCTCAAATGTTCTTGTTTTGGTATACTATGCTAACTTAACTGGACATCATCGTCTTCAATCTCATTTGTTTGAAACTGGATTTAAACACTCGCCTCTGGGATTAATATCTTAATGAATTATGACGAAAAGCGAACTTGGTGTAGATTTTGACTCGAAGAAAGATTATTTTCCTCATTCCATAATTAGAAACATTTCATTAACAGATGAACGTTGATTTAGGATTCGGTCCGTATTATCTATTAAAATGCACAATAGCAAAAGTCTTACACATTCGTCATCCATCACAAGTGACTCCAAAATATACAGCCATCGTCATAAAAAGAACCAACACAAAGAAATATCATCAATATAAATGAATACGGTAACAGATATATTCACATATTTATGTCATCCCCTGGTGATGAATTCTTCATATGAAGATAAATTCCAGTGCACCAACAGTTCTTTGCCCTTTTTCGTTTCTTCTCCGAGCCTTTTGCACGTACAAAATGTGTTTAAGTTATTGATTTTCATTTTACAAGTTCTATTGTAAACTGTATTCCAAGCAAGTAATCATCAAAGTAATTCATCGGAAGCGCTGCAGATGCGCTGTCTTGTCAAAAATAAAAAGCTGTACAATTCGTTCTCACAAATCTATTAAAGCTCTGATGCTGGAGAAGTATTGAACTTAAAAATCGTTAACTCAGACAAAGTTGTCAAACGGCAACACCTATTGAGCCCCAGTAAAGCCATTGTGTTCTCACCCTATCTCAACTATCAGCTAACTATTGAGATTCTACATCTGGCAAGGGCTGTTGCGCTGTGAGGCGTAAAACGGCCACAGTTAGACTTTGGCTAAAAGAATAGTAAGACATAACGCTTCTCAGTTTTTCTTAAGGCAGACTCCTCTGTGTGCTTTATCATGTAGGTCAACACAATGTAGTCTTTTGAAACCACCAGAAGACGATATTTTGGAACTAATGAGTGTACTTAATAGATTCTCAGCAATGCACTTGGTGATTTTCTGGTTGTACATCCTTTAACATATAGTTAGGAATGTCTTTTCCTTAATCTTGCCATGAAGGCATTCCTACTTGAATTGGTAAACCTCGCATAACATATCAACTCTTCTAAAAGAATTTTTCAATAGGATAATGCATTTAATAAATCTTACACAAATGGAAATAAAATATCTTCAAGTACTTACATCCAGGATGAATCAATGGGTTCCCAGTCAGGCCAGTAGGACAGCGGCACGAAAAGCTACCTGGTGTATTCTCGCACACGGCTGTTGCATGGCAAGGATGCTGTCGACACTCATCCACATCTGAAAGAACGTTGGCCACATTAGTGTTTCAATATTTTCACAAATTAGCAGAAATGCGTTAATCTTCCTGTCAACAATATCGACTTAAAAAGAAGTTAAGAGCAAATTTTGCCTCAGTTTATTCGGCGATGATATGTTAATCTGTTGGGTAGGATTTTATAAATATATGTAAAGGAGAAATTCTATATAACGGTACATTTTTTTTTCCTTTTTATCTTTTTTCTTTTACATAGTGTTCTGTTTATTTTTAACTAGTTTGTTAAGATTACAACTGAAAAATAACCCTAAAACTGAATTTTTAGCCCTTAATTTGAATTCTTAATAAAATTGTACTATTTTGGGGGAGGAGATAACGTACGGGAGTTCCTATTGGCGATGAAAGAGGAAATACTATGTGCAGTGCAATTCATTTCCGTGTTTTTATCATTTAATAAAAATGATGAATAAATTTGTTCCCTGTTTTTCCTTTTCGCTTCTGCATTCAAACGTTTACGCGTAATTTCGTTGCATCATCGTTTGACGAGCAATATAAATCATGTCCTATCAACTCATCGCCTAGATAGAAACTTTTCAATTTGTTTTACTTTATTTATTTACTTTTTTATTTTACTTGCCTTTATTTTTATTCATTTATACTTTTATATTTATTTTTAAAACGAGTTATTTTTATAGTTATTTATTGTTTTTTAATTTTTTATTATTTTTATTTATTTATGTATTATAATTTTGGCATCTAATAAAGTTAGGTAACTTTTATAAAACCTGTGTTTACCTCTAACTAACGAAAATGAAACAAAAATTGTTTAAAAAAATGGTGTCTCGACAGATTTGAGATTCAAATTATTTTAATTTTAAAGCAGAGTTTTAAAATTTTTTTTATCATTTTTAATTCGATTTAATTAATCACTATACTATTTATGTTTATTATATCATTTTAGTTTAATTAATATAATTAAACATTAATTAATTTTAACGAAAAATACCCTTTAATAGAATGAAAGGCATAAAATGATGTTTAATAATAAAAAAGCACAACTCTATTTATGACCTAGAGCTTTCTCATTAGACATTTTGTGATTAACAAAATATAGTTCCAATATCTCTACCTACCAACGCATGTTAGACGTCCATTATTTTCATAACCAGGCTCACATCTGCACGAAGCCTGTCGGTTTCGGACAACACATGTACCATAAGGACCACAGTTGACTTGCACACAAGGACCTAAATGCGAAAATAACGTAAAAATAAAGGGACTATTGCGGTAAATAACGTATAATCAAGGAAATATGTTCTGAAAACTAACGTAAAAATTAAGACAGTATATTAAGTAAAATAACCTTAAAATTAAGAGAACATGTTACGAAAAAATAAAGTAAAAAATCAAGAGAATATTATGCTAAATAACGTATAAAATAAGGAAATATATTATGCAAAAGTAACGTAAAAATGAAGAGTATATCGCAAAATAGCTTAAAATTTAAAGGAACATATTACGCAAAAATAACGTCAAAATTAAGGAAGCATATTAACAAATATAACGCAAAAATTAAGGGAGAATTCAAAGTATATCTTTATTCTTTTATACGAAACAGCAAAAATGATATCCTTAAAATATATTCAGGTCCATATAAATTTAGCAAAATAGCAGGCTCTTTTAGTAAATAAAAATTCTACTATCATTCAAAATATCTTACTTTCACAAACAAAGTTTATACACTGACGGTCAAAATTGCAGTCGCTGTCCTGCAGGCAGTCAACTGTGAAAAAAATTAATAATCTTATTAGCATTTTATTCTTCTCCACATCATGAACTGAATATCTAAAAAAAATCTATAAATTTTTATTTTTAATTTACTCCACTTACCTTGAACACAACCTCTGGTGGGCTCGTATGGATCCCCCGTGAAAAATCCAACTTTTGGACAGAAGCACTGAGGCACGTGATTGGACACGCTACACTCGGCATTAGGTCCACAAGGCTTGCTATCACATGGATCTGAAAATATATAAGTTTTTAGCATTTGTTATTTCAATTTTTAAAACTTTTTTTCTTTAGAAAAGTTTACACAGAATTAAAGATAAATTATTTCTGCTTCTCTGTAAAAAGAAAACGTTTGCATTTGATAAGACCAAAATCAAAGCATTCGTGAGTTTTGTAAAGTTAAATGAATAAACTACGATCCGTTATTAAACGGAATATAATTATTTTATTTCAAGTTTTGCATAGATTTTAGATTGATTGCTTCAAATTTTTGTCATATACAGTAGACGTCGCTTAATGTTATCATTTGGATACTATATATCGAATGCCAAAGTACCCCCGTTTGTATACGAGAACATAGGAAATACACCGCTCAATGGGATCAAAAATTAATTAATAGTATCAAACTATTATAGAATAATTTTTTAAGTAAAATAAAATCGCCAGATAAAAGATTAATAAAAGATAAATTCGTCAAACAAAGGGGAAATAATCGCAAGATAGGTTTGTTTTCATTTAAAGCAACCGTTTTCATTTAAGCAGGAAAGCAACCTTCGTTTGATGCATATTTTGAATAACCAATTTGAGGGCGAACTCTTTCTTTTTCTTCTTCTTCGAAAACAAAAATCTCTTCGGCAAACTAATGTCGCTTTTTTGCTTAATTTAAAATGTTGCTTTGGCATGTTCTCTTCCAATGAAGGATGCTCTCGGAATATTTAGATTAGGGGTACAGCATCGGTGAAATAATTTCCACAAATATTGTAAATAAAATTTCGTATTATGAGCAGTTCACGAAGAAACTCTTGCACTTTCCTAATTAAAATTGTATGAAAATATCTATTTATGTATTTCTTGATATATTTATATTAAATAATTAAAGATGTAAAATAACCATAATTAGAATAATTTTAACTATATTTTTATTTACGCGTTCTGCTGTATTAGACTGCGGATGATACGAAACCATCCTTACAGTCCCCAAGTTCTGTTTTGTTGGGCACTGTCTATATAATACTACGTTCGAACAAATCTTTATATCAGTAATAAAGATATCATTTGTCATACTTATAAGGTAAGGGAAAAGGTAATTATATATTGCAAGAAAAACATTTATTTTCACTTACTTATACACTTAGGAACTCCTTGTTCATCAATGCCACAAGCAGCAGTTGTAGGACAATCTCTGTCTCCATTTGGACATTCTCCTTGCGGTCGGCCTGAAAGACAATTTTACGATTCAAATATGCATCATATAAGTTTAGTTAATATATATACATAGAAAGTATTTACATTACAGGCTAAGTAGAATACAGTGTCACCTTTTGTAGAGAAAGAAAACTTGTCATTTAGCCATTGGATTAGTTTAAAGCAAAATGTTTATTATGTCCATAGAATGTTTATTAGTAATTAGCATTAAAAAAGTTGTTTTGCTTTTCTTAGTACAGTCCATTAAACTAATTTAGCATAATAGACACGCCACTAGTGTGTCTATTATGCTAAACAGTGTGTATATTAAGCTAAATTAGTTTAACTAAATTAGTCTAAACTAGTGTGTCTATTATCTATTATCTAGACATATCATTTCATTATAATGAATATTTTAGGAGTAATAAAAATACTTAGTAACACGTAGAATGTCGTGCGAAGGAGGCAAACAAGTGCATGACGCAAAGTGCGTAACATATTGTTTTTTGCCTGATGCCTTGTACCTCTTCTCTTATATTCGTTACATTTAAAAATGTTAAATTTAAAATATGATGGCAAGCAAAAAAATGTGTCTATGTCTCTTTTTTTTTTTCTTTTGGCAACCTCTCTGCAATGCTTCGTTTTGAAACCAAGGCAAGATTAGGATTGCAATTTTGCATTTGGTTTCCTCTTCCATTTTACCGCCTCCGAAAAGAAATGCTAATTTTTCAAATAATTTAGTTAAAAGCTTCAAACACCAGAAGAAAATCTCGCTAATAACTGACCAAGCCTTTCGCTCACCTAATAAATAATAAAACAATCCGAAACATCTTGAAAAACTTCAATTAAAATAATATAAGAGTCTTGTTTACTTTTCCAATCTTTTTTATCTTATAAAATAATATATGAATCTTATTTACTTTTCTAATAATTTTTATTTTATAAAGGAATATGTGACTCTTGTTTACTTTTTTCTGATTATTTTATCTTATAAAATAACATATAATTCTTGCTTATGTTGCACCGATCTCATTTCATCTTGTGAGCCCCGGTAGTGCAGTGGAGTAGCGCATCGCGCAGCTGCACCACAGCTCCGGGGTTCGATTCCCGGGCTGGGCAAGGTCGACTTAGCCTTTCATTCCTTGATTTCCATCACTTGGGTCTATAAAATGAGTACCAAGTTCGATTGGGAAGTAAACACTGGAGGTCCTGCGATAAATTACCATAAGTTCAGGGCCTATGCTTACGCACCCTAGGGCCCACGGTCAAGAAAGCAGATTTCGGGCACAGCAGGCTTTGGCCCATTAGGGCTGTTACGCCACTGAGTTTTTAGTTCATTTCATCTTGTAAAATAGTATATGTGCTTTTTTATTTTTTTTAATAATATGAAAGTTTATTTAATTATGGCAGCACGACACAAACTCAGTTCCACTCCCAAAATATTGAGTGCACAGTAAGAAAATAGTATGTTTATTTTTAGAACATTTCTCATACATTTTAGCTTTAAAAGATTTGTCACCAATGGGTTTTCAAATTACTTTAGATGTTAAAAAAAAGCATTATTATTATTATTTTTAAAATTAATTAAGATTTGGTGTTTTAATGTAAATAATATTAGTTAAACACTTTTGGACATAAAAATCAGACTTACGCAAAACTTAATTTAATTTTGTTTTTAGTTTAAAATTTATTTTTTTAAAATTTCATTTGTTTTTAGAAGTATACTCTAAGAATCACACATTCTATTTCTAAAAGATTTGTGGCCAATTAGTATTTTTCACTGGGGCAATCTACATGCTAAAACCAATTTAAAAAAAAAATTAAAAATTTTTTTTATAAAAATTGACCATTCTAATTTGAATCATATTAATTAAATATTTTTAAAAATAAAAATCAGATTTATATAAACATTCAGTATTTTGATACTGTCATGCTAGTTTCAGCGCATAATCTTATGTGCTTTTACTAGCACTTCGGCGAAGTCCGAATAGGAGAACTATGCATACGGAATCCTAAGCGAAGATCCGAAGTTGGAGAAAATGCAGGAAGAAAAATAAATAAAACGAGGCTAGGCTTCGTGAATAAAATGTAGAATTGCCGGTGAAGAACAAAACTTCGCAAAATTTAATATGCTTTTCAAAAGATACAAAGAATCAGCTTTAACTAGTTCTTTATGAAAACTGTAACACTATCATAAATACGTTTAAATATAAGTTTGAGTATTTAAGCTTATATGCTATCTAAAGTAATATGCAAATTAATTACATTCTTTTCGATTTATCGGCTATATGAGAGGAAAACAGACTTTATAATTTTTTTACAATAACAAATTATGCCGTTCATATGAAATGTCTATTTATACGAACAGTATATTCACTCGGTCCTTTCCTTGAATGCTTTCAAAAGAGAATTTTACAGTTATGTAAAGCTGAACAATATTGTATGAAAGACGTAGTTATCAATGAATAGGCTAATAATTAAAAATGAAACTCACATCCAGTGTACCCATCTCCTATATCACCTTCGCGGCACTGACAGTAATAACTACCAGCTGAATTCACACAGAGTGCTGTAGGATGGCAAGGATTGGATAGACATTCGTTATTATCTGAAATAAAAATATATTATTAGGCTTCCAATTATCATAGTAATTAAAATTATAAATGAGGATACTGAATTTAAAAAGAATTGTGTTGTGCAATAAAATGGTAAAATGTACAGAATGTTCCGTAAAACGGGCATAAGAATTAATCGGCAGTTTCCAGAGCAATAGCTAGTTCACAGAACGAATGCTGAATGATTCACTGAGCTAAATAATATCAAGCGGTGCCAATTGTCGATCTTATTTAGAAAGTTAAAATCACTGCTTGTTGGGTCAGAGTTACCCCTTAATAAGTGGTTTAAAATCTATATTTGACATTCATTCGTGGGGAGCATATTATTGAGAGAGTCTTTGCTCTTAAGCACATCATTCGGGTTTCGAACCAATCAATGCCTACATGTTCTGTTTTTAGTACTATAAACCATTGCCGAACGCGGATTTGTGGAACTTGATTTCACATATGAGTGGTATCTTAATTGTTTTCATTTAATTTGTCCAACGCTAAATTTCATTTTTACGCGGTTTACCATTCATTCATCAGACCTGAATGGTTAATGGAATCAGATTTGGGCAGAAGTTATCTACAATTTTAAAAGATTTCCATGGATTGAAAATGAAGCCAAAGAAATCGTATAAATTGCAAAAATAATTGGCAACGAGTAAGTTTCAATTACGAATGAACAAGGTCAAAGAATTACTCTAAAATGATGAATGAAGAGTTCGATAATCTTATAACACCATCTGACAGTGAATGGGGATCATGTAGGCTTAAACAGTAATCAGAACCTGCCTGAGGATTCATTTTAAATCTTTGGTATCTTGGTTTTTCCCTACACTATAGTTGGCTCAGCATACCGGGATATGTTTTACTTGTCATGCTGCTGATCCCACAATCGTCTATCATGTCTTTCATTAGATCAGCATCATCGAGTGGACCTACGAACATAGCAGTCATTTTGAATAGATTCTATAAAACTGCCTATGGCATACTGGAGTTACGGGATGCCCTGCATATTTATTATATTAAACCCAACATGAAAGTCAGAGATTACAATCTAAATTCTTACCTTCACAGCCCGATGGAGTTGGATTGAAACCTGGCCTGCAAGTGCACCTATTTGCTCCGCATACTTCATTCAAACGACAGTCGCCATCGGCTCTACACCCAACTGAAATTAAAAACATGATAGAATTAAAGGGCAGAAATCAGATGAAGAGATACAAAAAACAATCTTCAAGATACCTAAAATTAATTAAATTAAAAAAATAGATCAAATAACCTACCTTGACAATATTGATTAATGCACACTTCGCCAACTGGGCAGTTATTATCTGTTGAACAGATTACTGGAAAAAAAAATAAATAATAATTTAGCATTTACACAAAAATACAAGAAAATAATAATTTAGCATTTACACATTATTTGCAGAAACCTGCAATGATTGTACTTTGTTTCAATATAGTGTTACTTTGAAAATTATAATTTAAAGTTTAGTCATGATTACAGATCATCAGAAACGTCACTTACCCATGCATACACCATTGACACAGACCTCTCCATCAACACAGTTACTACAAGGTGCCCTGCATCTTTCTCCAACACAGTTCATACCAGGAGGACAATAAATAGTTGGCGAACATTCTTGGTATACTCTCTTGCAGCCTAAAACTGGTGACGGCGAACCTTCAAATCCTGTAGGGCATTCACAAGTAGCTTTGTGATCAATAACAGTACACAAGGCATTAGGTCCGCACACACCTTTGATGTCGCAGGGGTTTTGGCAACGATTTTGAATGCAAGCTTCTTTGTAAAGACAGTCATTATTATCTCGGCAACCTACCTGACAGTACCCACTAGGCACACAGGCTTCTTTGGCTGGACAACCAGAATGGGCAAAGCAAGGTAACACACAACGCTTATTGATACATTTTTCACCAACTGCACATTCGTTATCATAGCTGCAGAACAATCGACACTGACCATCCACGCAAGCTTGATTATCTCTGCAATCTTTGGCATCTTGGCAGAAGACTGAACTACGAATGCAGGCGCTATCTGGATCGGGATTGCCCCGGAATCCAGAAGGACAAGAACATCGAGGACGATGATTGACAACCTCACAAAATGCATTTGGTCCACAGTTAATTTTATCGCATGGATTCTTACACATGTTTTCTCCACTGATATCTGGTAAGCAAGCTGCATCGGGTCGACAGTCTTGATCTCCCCTTGGGCAAGAATTGGGGTGTCTGCAGCCTTCGCGGTATGGGTCTCCAATGTAGTCCTGGGGGCATTGACACTTATAACTTCCTTTTGTGTCGACACATTTAGCCGTTGGATGACATGGGTGGCTCTCGCAGAATCGGATTGCCTTACATCCTCTACCATAAGCATCTCCAGTCATTCCAGCAGGACACTGGCAAGTACGGTGATGGTTTTCGGCCACGCAAATGGCATTCTTTCCGCATCCGTCCAAACATGGATCTGGAAGCAGACAAAAACATTATTGTGACTTCAACTTTTCGAGATCAGCAATGCAGTCTTAAATAAAATAAGTTTAATAAATTAGGTACATTTATTATTTTTTCTGCGGTAAAACGTTAATAGTTACAGCAAAACTATTTTACTTACTTAAACAATAGTTTTCAGGAGCACAACTTTTATCCAATGGACAATCGTCATCAACTATGCATTCAACTGCAATAACAAAAATAGTCACATTTAATAAAAGGAGAGAATAAATGTAAAGTTTAATGAATAAAGAAAGACATAACAGCAGGTAGAAGTTCTCATCAAGAAAAAAATTTCTATATCTGTTTAGGATCTTATGTAACTCCTTAAACTGCTAAAAAAAATTTTTATTCTTCTCGGAAATAATTTTAGTTAAAGATTTTGAACTTTTAACAAACTATAGAGGAGTCGCAAGGAGTATTTAAAATCAATCCGTATCATATGACTAAATTAGTCATCATTATAGGCAGTAAGTCTTAAACAACATGTGAATTGTTAAAGAATTAAAAAGAAGAGTTCTTACCTCGTTGGCAGCCTCTGACCAAATCGTATGGGTCTCCAACGTATAACCCTTGCGGGCACTGGCATTGAGCAACGTGGCCAACAGCAACGCAGACAGCGTTAGGTCCGCATTGAACATATTTGCAAACATCTGAAAAAAAGACATTAGTAAATCCATTAGCAAACTCTTCAAGAAATCATTTCAAGCCATGCAATAAAGCAGAAATGTTTTCACCGCTAATTAGCCCTGTATTTGTTAAAATCAAACTCACCAACACACTTCAAGTTATCATCCGTGTCAGACCGTCGGCATTCTGAAGCGGAAGAACAGTCGTCGTTTTGTTTACATTCATCCCGACTGATGGCTGAAAAGAGAATGAACACTATATCATTACCAGGGTTTAGCAAAATAATATCTTTAACCGTATAATTAACCTCAGTACATGATGCTGAAAATCATAATGAACCAGTCATCATGACCAGTGTTAAAAATGCTTGATAATATTAGCCAGTAATGTTGCTATTTCGGAGCTCAAACAACTTGTTAATGTCTATCATGTTATAATGTACTATGCTAGGTCTTAATAGATGGCGATGGCAATTTTAATTCACAACATCAGCTAGATCAGTAGACAATATATAAGATTAGTAGATCAGTGGTTCTCAAACAGGGGGGTATCCCCTCCGGACAAGATTTTATAATTCAAGTGGTGAATGCGGACAGCCTTTTATTTAGCTTTTAAGTAATTAGTTTTACTTTCTGAATATGAAAAAAAAACTACTTTTATTCAAGGTTTTACAAGAAAATAGTTAAATTAAATTAAAATTATTCTCTTGCGCTATTGCTGCAAGGAATGAAATTTGAATTTAACAAATATTCTCTATTCGTACAAAGCAAATACAAAATTAAAATTTAATAAAAAAATTTTAATTGCAAAGAAAAAAATATTATTGCTGTGAACTAATTATAATATCATTTAAATTCTAAGAGCATATGCAATTTAATGCACTTATTTAAACCATGAAAAAATATATTATTCCAAGGTTTGGTATTTATCAACATTTTCTATATTTTTCGTTCTTTAATTTATGAAACGCATTAAAATAATCTAACTCCGAATAAATAAACATACATATAAATTTTTCGAGTTTTGAAAAGGAGGGGGTAGATGATTCTTGAACGGTGAAAGGGGTGCATGAGAAGAAACCGGTCGAGAATCACTGACATAGATACTGATATCTGATAGTTTTTCATAGTTTAGCGATCTAAAAGGTAGAAAAATTTAGGGTACGAAAAGTCTCACGAACATATAGTTTTCGAATACTTACGTATGCATCCTCCGCGCTTGTTGGGATCTCCTGTGTACCCTTCTTCACAAGTACACTGACCTTTATGTTGTATAGCAACACAGTTTGCGTTCGGTGAACAAGAGAAATCCAAGCAAATTTCTGGAATATCAAAAATATTTTTAAAAAAATAATCCCTTAAACAAAGCTAGAGTAACATAAACAAATGAAAACACTTATTTAAATTTAAGCATATGCTGTGAATTCACATTATTCTGTTATGGTAATTATTAACTCCCGAATACTATTAGTATTCCCCAAGTATCCTTCAAAAGAATGCAAACAAATTTTATGCTTGTTCAATTAGCATTAAATCATAGGAAGTTTACAAGAAATGTAAATTGCAGATACGGAACATCCGTACATCTAGCAGATGGCAAGTATTATAATTGGGATTGTGCGTTTGCATGCTTTAACAGAGGACCACTGGGTCCTTTTCACTAGGTCAACCAATTTTCCAGTTGAGTGCGGTTTGCACGTATGATCTCAGTCTTAAGACTGCATATATTTGAGCAGACAGCGCATCACTTGTTTGGGTAATTTTGGTAAGGGATCCGAAACTATGTTTCCCTGCAGTGTTCTTCAAAGAACAGAGCAGGAGCTCAAAAATATAGACAAAAAGATGCAATTCGGATTCAAAATATATTTGTTGCTTAGTGCAACATTTAGCACTGGACATATAAATGTTAACTAAATTTTACAATTTTACAAATTCTCGTAAAATAAGTCAACATAAAACTCACTGCACAGAAGGACTTTTTTATCTAATGCTGTTATTATTCGGACGCAAAATTTCTTAAAAAATGAAAAAGAAAAGAAAATAGGGTTAAATTTCACAGCTCCTGAAGTTAAAATTCACAGCTCCTGAAGTATTTCAAGTATTTCTATCGCGTATTTTCATCTGTTGGTTGAAACGCGTTTTTAAAAGGTTTCAGCCTCCATTCTTTTTAAGCAGCATTATTTAAGCGGTCACAAAATTTATTTAGCATAATTAATAAAACTGTCTATGTTTTGTTAGTTTTGATGGCGTCTATTAGATAAGTGAAATAGCCTGCATTTCAGGATTGAGCATTTTCCATGCACGTACTTATTACTATTACTTTTTTATAATTTCGTCTATCTATTTACTTTTGTAATGTTTTGTTTCACTATTTTTATGCCTTTAATGGTTGTACTTAGAGAAAACTTACCTGCACATTTCAAAATACCGAGGTCGTTTGGTCTGCATGTGCCGAATGTCGGACACTGTATATCTTCTTTACATTCATCAGGTTCTCGAGCTGAAAAAGAGGAAAGAAAGAAGATATTTTCAAATGTTAAGTATAAACTAATTTAAGCTGATGTAGAAATAGAGCATCTCAAATAAAACGTTTTTTCTTTAGTAAATAATGACATGCCAATTAAAACGAGTCGATTCCAAGAAAATGACGAAATTGACGTACTGATAAATCATAAAATGGCATTCTTTTGTAATCTTCCTTTCACTGCAGAGGGTGTTGTTGAAGCTAATGTAAGGTTTTCGAATATATTCTTATCTCATTCTGCTTGGAATCCCATATTTTATTTAGGTTTAAATTAAAAAGGGCAATGCACGAAAACTGTAAAAAGCATTTATGCTTTAATTAAACTCTGCGCAAATTCTGTCATTGGCTTTCGAGAGAATGGAAATAAAACGAAACTTACTGATAAAATAACTTATTTTGTTTTACAGCCTTAAACTTCATTATACAGTAGACGTCGCTGAATGTGACCGCAGTAGGATATGTTTATCGAATTGGCGAAGTTCCACGCGTTCGTACTCGAAAACTTGGGGAATACACTGTTTGATTAACTATTTGGGTAATAGTGTAGAGACATTAGGATTTTTTAGAAGCCAGAGATATGAAAAAATATGCAACCGCCTTCGCCGGGAATCGAACCACGGACCTCTGAAATAACGGCTCAGTGTGCAGAACCACTACACCACGAAGGCTCGCTAGGGAAGTGGGAGAAATACCTTATAATAGAATCAAAATATTTACAAGTAATACGTTTTATAAATTAAGGTAAAGTCCCCAAATAAAGTCAAAATCAAGTTTATAAAACTACCAAGTGACAGAGAAATGTCGCTAAGTAAGTCGCCAAATGGCTAGCCAAAAACTAATCTGTCATTTAAAATCATATATCATTGAAATTTTCTATTTAGTTTGATGCCAAATAGAGATTGAAATTTAGCTGTCCTTTCCCCCATTTACTGATTTTTGTATTGTTTAAAAAGTTTAAATTACCCGTTTTGTGAATAAGGTAAAGTTTTTTTTGTAATTGCAGAGCCTATGTTTTGGGAACAGTCAAAATTGTGAAATAACTAGTTTGTGAAAATTACTAGCAAATAAAGACTAACTATTATGAAAAAGTACTATATATCTTGATAAAATGCAGTCATGGGTATTACTAAATGAATATCGAAATGATTAATTACGGGTACTGATTAACCATTGATACTGATAAACCACGAATATCGGAGTGATTAATCATGGATGTTGGAGGGATTACATGGATACTAATAAACTACAGATACGGAAGGGAATAACTATGGACACTGATAAACCACATATACCGGAGTGATTAATTATGTATACCAGAATCATTAACCGCAGACACTGGAGTGATTAACCATGGATATTTATACACCATGGATACTGAAGTGACTAACCACGGCTACTGGAGTGATTAACCAATCATATTAATAAACCACAGATACCGGAGTAATTAACCATGGATATCAGAGTGATTAACCATAGATACTGATACATCATGGATACAAGGATAAGGATCTAATGATTAATGGAGCACAATTTTACTGCAATTCTGCAGAAAAAGATAAAGAAATTGCAATTTTTTAAAATCATCATTACACTTACCGATACAAGAAGAATCACTGCTTGGATCCCTGACGAAACCTTCTTTACAGCGGCATTCATAATGATGATCAATAGCAACACATTCGGTGTTGAAGCCACATGGGTTGAAAGTACATGGATCTGAAGTAATAAAGAAAACAATGCTCGTGAGAGACATATTAACATCTAAGATAACATTACTTCAACAGTAAAGCATTGATTTACAATTAGAAATTCAGTTAGAATAATCAGAATGATCTAAACTCGATATTAAAAATGAGCATGCAAGTGAGCTTGAGTCTAGCAACGGAAAAAAACACAGCCACTGAAACGTGGATATACACAATTTAAAATTTCTTACCTATACAGTGCTTAACTCCAAAATTGTCTGGTTTACAGACATCGGTATTCCTTCTACAATCACGATCAACCTGGCACTCATCTCGCACAGGAGCTGTAAAATTTGGGAGCATTTAAGTAATAGAGTACGCATTCGTAATTCGCAAAATATTTAAGTAAAGTAGAGACAAATTTAATACAAAAAAAATTGTCAATATTATTATGTTTAGTTAAAAATTTATAAAAGAATTTTATTTGGAAAATTCGATATACAGTACAGTTAAAATTTCATTTTTTTCATTTATTATTCCAGTACCATCTAAGTACGGAAAAAAATGATTATTTATGAGAAGAAAGATTTTGTGCAAGTTATTTTTTATCAAGTGGCGATTTCAGTCGTCATCTGAATAGTCATTCGAGTTCCAGTTCACACATATCCCTAGCAAATATTTATACTGAACTTTTATAAATATAACTTGGACAAGATTCATTAAGTAATCTTATTATAGATTATTTCTATAGTCTATATACCAAGAAAGTAAAAAATAAAATAGAAGTTTTCGGTAGGTCATTTATAATAAATGTTACGTTTCCACTAAAAAAATTGTTTAAAAAATCAGTTCATTTTAAAGCAATAAATGAAATAAACGAGTTGTTACACAAAATCTAAATAAATATATTGTCGCTGAGTAATTTAATTTTATTTTGAATTTTTTTTATGCTCCCTATGTGACAAAATAGAAAATAATAATAAGTTTCTCTAAGGATCTCTAATATGTCAATTACAACAAATAGTAATATGTTATACTTTCACTAATAAAGTTATTTAAAACATTGGCTCCCTTTTAAACAATAATTGTTAAATAGCATCTGAATAATAATTATTTAAAAATTTCTCAGAAGTATTCCCATATAGGTATGCTATAAAACAAATGACTAAAAATTATAAAAAAAGACTCTTCACCACTTTCAGAATAAGACGTTTAATAGTTAATTTTGGAGGAAAGATTTTTATGCAGCAAATCGTGCACTTGTAATCGGTAACAGGACTAATGTACACTAATCTTGCAATACTTTATTCACATATTAAGAATACCTGAATTCTACACTTACGTTTGCAACCGTTGAGTAGATTGTAAGGATCTCCCACGTGATCTGGCAAGCATTCGCACCTCGTTTGATGGTTTCTGGCAGAACAGACAGCATTTGGTCCACACTGAACGTACTCACAGGCATCTGTTGGTGATAATGAAATCGAATAAATGCAATGAAATCATTTAAGAAATTTATAAAGTGATGCTTCAGTATACGTCATTAATCCGTTCCAGAGCCTTGGATGTATACCTAACGGACTTTTCCAATAAGAAATAAAGGGAGAATAATGAATCCGTTCTTATAAAAAAATCCTACTGTTATTATACTGTTTAATACCGAAATGAAGTGGGTGAGATTCCTACGTGCATAAATGAAGCACTGCACATACCTTTTTTTCTATCTAAATCAAATGTAATTTTCCAACGTGCTTTAGTGTCTCTGATCTTTGTTGATAATCGATCTCACGCCATTTGCAACCGATTTAGTAGCATCTTAGATTTTTCCAATCCTTAGTTCTAAATATTTTAATACCATAACGAACAATCCTCACTGCTGTACGTTTATTATAGTCTTGATAGTTGTGATAATATAAGCTTGAGTCTTGTTAGTTGTAAACTGCTGTAAGTCTTGTTAGTTGTGATAAAATAAGAATCATTTAAAAAGTGTGCCCCACCTATAACTGTATATTTTGTATTTAAGAAATGTTTCTATATTGCCTACATAACAGCAAATGGGAGCAAACAAACAGACCTCTACACTTTTTATACGCACAACAAAAGAGCAAAATAATAGTATAATTTTAAAATGTTGGAATTAAAGTCGTACTTCAAAAAGAAACGTATAGGTTTTAATTTATTTTCCTATGTGTCATTTTGACGTTTTTAGTGATGCATCGAGAGAGTCGGAAAATTCTAGGACATCACCGGGTCCGAAAGGTTTTGGTTACGTCGCTGGGAGCCGAAAGGTTGATTAAATAGGGTGCCAAAATGCTGCAGACGGACCTGAGAATTATTATCAATCCTGTTAAATCTAGTGGCATATTAAAATTACAAGCTCAACAAAACATAGTAGTGAAAAGTTGTTTTACTAATCAGTTAATTAGTGGTAAATACCTCTGCAATCTAGATAACCGTCATTCACTGGTTGGCAAATTTGTTGTGATCCACAATCCCTGTCTTCTTCACACAAGTTAGGATTTCGAGCTGGAAAATAAATAAAAAATAAGATAAGATAAAAAAAATTAAATAACCTGAAATTATATATTGTCATTGACTGGGTTGTAAATATTATGCATAATTTCTTAATATATATAGCAGAAATTCCTTACGAATGCATCCAACATGCGGATCAATTGGGTTGCCTTCGTATCCGGATGGACAACGACATACTGCCAGATGATTTTCTCCGAAACATTCTGCATTGGGTCCACATCGATCGAATAAACAAACATCTAAAACGGAAAGAAAATCATGCGATTACAGGATAATGAGCATTTCCGCCATATGAAAAAGTCAATTTAAGGTTAACATTTATAAACATATTGATGCTGCAAACATCATTCGCATTTTGTTTATCATTGTTGTTGCAGAAAAGCTAAATTTGACAAAATGTTTCATTAATTTTTTTGGGGGGGGGCGGTAAGAAAAGAATACTTACGAACGCATTTTCGAATGGAATCTGTGTGTTTGCGACAAACTTCGTCTGTTTTACAATCTGCATCCGTGTTACAGTCATGAGGAACTGAAAGTAAAAATGGAATTTTGTAATTATATGACTTATTTAAAAGTGTTTCTAAAATACTTTGTATACATATTTCAAAAGTCTTATAAGCCATTCATTGGCATTCATTATTTGCTGCATTATGTTTTGGCAGTATTATAGAGGCTTTTGGCAGCAACAGAGGGAAAAAACACAACAAAAGACTTATCCTATCTATTCTCTTTTCAATGCCTTATTATAGTTAAAAATTTTTACAATAAAAAAATAGTAAGTTTTAGTAGTGAAATGAAATTTCATTTACAATAAACAATAAATAATTATAAGGTTTTGTGCTCATTAACCAATTATTATGATTTAAAACATTACTATAACTTCTCCTTTTAGTAGTCCTCCCCAGACTGCAAATTAGTTGTTTGCGAATTTAAGCTGATGGTTTGAATATTTATATCAGAGCTTCTGGCATCTTCATCTCGTTGTCGCCAGCTCTCCTAAGTTTATTTCCGGCTTTATCACCTTGCTAGTCGACGTTTAAAATACACGCCGTAATTATCTTGAACCAACTTGAGTAATCTCAGACTATGTTATCTACACTGAAATTTAACCTTTTTGGTAGTTTAAATATCACAGAGGTATTTAAACTACCATAAAAGAAAATTAAATTTAGATCAAACCAGTAGCGGAATTAAACCAAACCAGTAGAAAACCAGTAACGGAGGTTCGTCTGTTTCACAACTAGTGCCTTTCTGTTCATTTAAGTTTTAAATAAAAAGGTTACTTTAACCTTCTTTAAACTTTGTGATTTGTTTCATACTAAGCGATAACTCGCTTCCAACCTAGTCAAGGTCTTCAGGACATTTACATAAACTTCTAGGTACAACAAAGCCCTACATAATAAATAATAATATCGCATGTATATTTAGGTGACCACCTCAGAATTCTCGGATCCTTCCACGAGCATTGAAAGAAACAGAGTAGATAATTTAATGAAATAAATGAAAAATAATTTCATTTATACATTTAAAAGCGGTAAATGTATGTGCCCTTCGGCATAAGTAAATGCGTATGTGCAAAATGTAAATTATAAATTATACAGCAAGAGATGAACTGTTAATTAAAGAATTATTATACATACGATAAATTAAAATGAAAATAAACAGTCCTATCAAACTTACGTTGGCATCCTTTGATTTCATCGTACGGATTGCCCTCATAGTGCGGCAGACATTCACATTGGGCCACGTGATTCTTCGAAACGCATGTTGCGTGCGGGCCGCACCGTACATCATCACATGCATCTGTAAACATATTTAATATCGTCACATCTCTCATACAAACATTTAGGATATATGTTAGTATTTTGTGTTATTTTCAAACGTCATAAACTCTACATAATAGAAATCAATATTTTGAAAATACATGCATTTTTGTTAATTATCATACTTTCACAAAATTACTACTAGAAATGTACATGTGAAAAGAATGCTGGATATTTATACAATAGGGGCTTTAAGGAAAGCCAGTATGGGGTGATAGCCCAGGGCGCCAAATAATCAAGGTTTTTTAGGATACCAAAAAGTATGTTTTGCGAAACGTTCTGATCGTTATTTTCGTTTTTAGAAAAGGGAGCCGAAAGATGTTTTGTCTAGGGCCATCAGTATGTCTGACCTTGTGCTTATGGAACTGAAAAATTTATGAAATTTTAAATTCACTCACTTGATCTGAAAACTTCTTATTTCTTGCATAAAAACTGCAAATATTTTAATTAATATTATGTTTTCCAGAAAATTTCGTAACGAAACTAAATTAAAAAAATAATAAAAGGCTTTTAAGCATTTACAAATATAACTAAGAACATTTCAAAATTTTGCAAAGCAGTTAGAAAAAAGATGAGAAATAGGGTATTTTTATATGCTTCATATCATCAGCGTGAGTAACAATATGTGTATAGTAAATTTTCAGTTCAAAATTTTTCAGTTGGTGGCAAATATATTGTTGAGAGAAAAATGGCAATTTAAATCATACATACTTATTTACCAACTTCTGAACCTTTCTGTTGACAAAACTCCACAAAATGCCCTCAAGGACGTTCTCATTTAAAAGCAGGGAGAGGAGAAACGATAGTCTATACCTATTACAATACTCTTCTAATTTAAGAGCATGTATTTCAGTATTTTTAACTACTGCGTATATTTTTAAACATATGTATATTTCACAGTCTTTCAAATTATATTTTGGCCGCCCAAACAGGAAAGTGGTTAGTGACTCCGACGGCTGCACCAAAGGGGCCGGCTTCGCATTCTGGAGGCGGCATGGATATAAATTGTTTGTCCCTTCATAGGAAGCAACGGTGGACCACCTAATAGGTGCCTGCATAATAAAGTTACCACCACTTCGGACCTTAGTAGTGACCAATGCTATTGCCCATTATTGGAAAAAAATTAAGTTTTTAAATAAAGGATGTCCTAATAAAGGTTCCGAATTTTATGTGCCCAATAAAATACTTTATTTTTAGAAAACAGAAAATATTTTTACATACTTACAACTAGTAAATGTTCTGATTTAAAAATGAAAACTATGATCCGGAATACGTCCTCCACGATTTGTTCTACAACCTCGTACTCTAAAAGAATGAAATTCATAATCACTTTCTTATATATCTGCCTATCGAGGTGATAAATGAAACGGCCCATTTCCTCTTTAACTTTGGATTCTTTGGGACTTGCAGTAACACTCTCATTCGTAATAGCGATGTTTTCAACAAACTGGCTGGATCGACAGCATGGTTATATCTCTACTGCTGAACCTGTGCCCTCAAATATCGTAATTAATTTGCAATTTGTTGCTCCATTAGGTACATTTACACGCCCAAAGATAGAACGATGCTTCTTAACAGTCTGACCATAACCCTCACCGTTTTTACAATTAAGTTCTTAGAATAAAAACTCGCTGTTCCTTTGTGTAGCGCTCCAAGCCGACTAAGCTTCAACGAAGTTAAGATGTGAACTCACAATGATAAAATACCAGTCTTGTCTGGTCACATCAAACTCAGCATTCTTATCCCAGAATATATTCTTGCTGTAAGTATGTAAAAATATTTTAATTTTCTGAAGATAGTATATTTTTGTGGGCATATTAAATCCGGTGCTTTTCTAGGACATCCTAGATGTCCAGACGTTACAGATTTAAGGTTAAATCAGCATGTTTTGTGGCTGAGTATGTAATAATTATATAAGCTTACCAAAACAGTTCCTTAATCCTGTTATGTCTGGTCTACAGACGGCATTGGATGCGCATTGTGAATCACTGGTACACAGATCTGGTGCTGTAAACAAAAAGATTATATGTCTCACTTCAATTTTTTAACTTAATCTTATATGTATTTTTTGTTGCTTAAAATACTTGCTACGGAAATGATATTCAGTAATAAAACATTTGTTCTATTAATTTTTAAAACATTTGTTTTAAATTTAAAATTTAACTAGTTTCAAATCAAATGATTTTGTTTAATGGTTTTGCATTTTAAATTAATTATTTGAAAATACTTATGGTAGTAAAATTATTCAGTGTAGATTATTTTATAATTAATTACTAAAGAATTAAATCTATTATTATGAGCGAAAATATATTAAGCCTTGATAAAAAATTATTATATAATCTTTAAAGAATTGATTATATATTTGAAAACGTGTTAGCAAAAATATTATTTTATTTATAAATTTATAAGAACAAATAAATTATGTATACATAATCTTGGAGTACTAGTTAAAGGTAAACATTAATATTTTCTATTACTCTCAGTCTTACATAATAAGATTTTTGTGTTAGTTTTAGTTTTTTCCCAATGAATCACCCTGAATGAAAAATGCAAGAGATAATACAAAATATTCAGCTGCTAAAGAAGATATTTAATATACTTACGTCTAGCCTCACAGCCAACGTTTCTATCGTATGGATCTCCGATGAAGTCGGGTGGACAATTGCATACAACGATATGGGATGAAACCGAGCACAATGCATTTCTTCCACAAAGTACATCCGAGCAGCCATCTAAAATAAAAAATGTTTTATCGTTATTTTTGTCAATGGCTGTGAACTTTCGATAACGGCTTTTATATATTTTGCTATTTTCTCAATTCAGTTTACCGTTCGTGGATCATGTTGAAATAATTTAACAAAATCTAATATTATTCTGAACTTACCAACACAATCTTTCACACCCTCTACGTTGAGGCGGCAAATTTCCCGGTCGCTGCAATCGCTGTCTGTTTTGCATTTATCCCTCGCTGAAATGAGAAGAAAAGTTATTTTTTTAAAGAAAATTTGGTATTTATTTAATACTTTATTTCAAATTATTGCCATAAATGAAAAAATTAAGATTAAAATATTGCTTACGTTTGCACCCTCTTTGCATATCGTCTCCGTTGCCAACAAAACCATCTCTACATTCACAGAAAGCTGAATGTCCGGTGGCAATACACTGAGCATTGGGACCGCATCGTTTGCCTTCACAAGGATCTGCAGAAGATAACATAAATAATAATGTATAATAATATATGGTTCTGATATATACAGAATAGTGTAGGATAATATAAACAGTAATTATAATATGGGATTCTTAACATAAAAATAATTTAGGATTTAATACAATATAGAATAGTAAATAATATAGAATTCTTAACAACAGCAAAAGAAGAGAGTAAAAGAGAGAGAAAGGAAGAAGAATGAGTAAAAATTCAGAAATGATTAAGATTTTAACAAAGGGTTTTTTTAAAGTTCAATACAGTTTATCAGTAGAGATTATCAATAGAGAAAATTGGTGAAATAGAAACAGGTGAAATATAAATATTGTACAGGATAGATGACTATGCATTTAGACTGAAATGGAAAAGTTCTATAACTTCTGTATATTTAAAAAGTGAAAAAGCAAATAATGTAATTCTATAAAAATAATTAGCTCTATCATGAATTAAATGCATTTTTATTTAACTGAATCAGATTCAAACGTAAAAAAATAATATTCTGAAGAACTGCATCTGTTGCTTTTAAATAGCTTAATTTGTTAATCAGTAGCAGACAAATTCAATTAGAAAAATAAATATCTTATATTTTGCCGGATGCCAACAGATTTGAATAAAAAGTGAAACAATGCATTATTAAAGGGAAGCAACACAAAATCGTGTTTCAAGCCAAATAGCTCTTTTGGGCTAAAAAAAGCAATGTAAATTTTTACTATAGGTTTCGTCTTGCACTAAAATTTCATGACAGTTAAGGTTGAAAAGACTGCTATAGAAAATATCCTTTATAATATTCTATATAATCTGGACTTACTTATACAGTCCTTTATACCATCTCTTGTAAGAGAACAAATTCTGCTGTCAGGGCAGTCACGATCACGGTTGCAGTGGTCAGCTGAAATTAAAACAATTTCAAATTAGCATTAGAATTTTAACAGATTAAATAATTCATTTTGTGTCATATGTTTATAAAAGTAAAAATACTGAATCAATTAAAAATAAATTAAATTATAAAAATTGAAATAGATCACTTTAAATGAATAACTAAATTTAATAAATCTTAAATTACTTCATTGATTTAATTACTTATCGCTTCATCGACCTTTACGAAAAGATGCCAAAACTATATTTCGATATTCAGTTTGTATTACCAAAATTCTCCATTTTAATAATCGAGCAGTTATCTAAACAACTTTTAAAAATGTAAGATTTTTCAGCTTCTTACTGAGAATAAGTAAGTTAACTCCATGATGAAAATCTAGACGTCACTAAGGAATATTTCTCTTCATTTTGAAATACATATTCATTTAATTCATATTCATTTCATTCAATTAATACAATATTGCAAAATTTTAAGTTGCACTAATAGTTTGTTTCCCCGATTTCTTCTTTTGTTTCGTTTGTAGCTCAACCCAACCCATAAATATTTTAATTTCATTAATATTCAAAAGGCTATGATAGTTGGAAGTTAATTGCCAGCAGTCAATATGAATTTCTAGGAATAAGTTCTACTCGAAAACTGACGATATTCCAGGGTCTGTCATAAAACTTATTGCTAATAATTCAAGAATCATTTGCATTTAAAGCAATAACTACATTTGCTTTAAAAATTTTAGTTAGGAGACCAACGAGGCATAAGCCAGAACCCCAGTAGCTGCTTCAGAACTAACCACACCTTCTTGATTGTTCTGCTAATGGATTATACAAAGTTTCGTTAAATGCAAGGAGTTTTGAGTTGTTCAGTAATGCTACCTGAAACAGCTAAAGGTAGCTATTGATCAGTTCTATTGCCAGAGTTGGAATAAGACCCTCAGTGTCACTAAACATTAAAAAGATTTTGTGAACTCATGCATGTTTATTTCTTTTTAATTCCTTCTCTTTCAGTTTTCTCGTCAGTTTTCGAGTAGAACTTCTTTTAGCTGCATCATGAATTTCACGGTAAAACCGGCAGTGGGAAATCTTTAGTGAACCCTTTTCTGAATATCCAAGGAACTTTCTGTAGTGTCCCCTTTATTTGATGTCCTAAGTAGGTGCTTATATTGCTTAACGGCTAATGCAGCCTTCTCCTTTGCATTGTTTCAGACAGCTTTATGAGTTTACGTTCTATTAGAAGAGTGTCCGATGGAGGTAGTCTGATCAGCGTGGCCAAATTGTATAAAGGTGCTAGTACCCTTTTGAAAATTGGTCATTGTTCGCCAAGATACAGGAATGATTCAGTGCTAACACATAAAGGAGCCCGACAGCCTTGTGAAGTTCAGTTTATATCATGAAGAATGCAACATTAATCAAGATGGCAGGATGCCCAAGTAAAGGTCTTTATTTAAGTGAATAGTCACCGACGTGCATAAAAGTGTCAACACCCTTAAGAAATTCGGTTTTCAACTTGAAAAAAGCAACTTTAATCAAAGTTCCAGTGCTTTTATGATGGTTTTTGTCTTGTGGAATCCACATCAAAAAGTTCTGGAACCTTTATACAAGTCGGCCATTGTTTGTTAATTATGATCTGGCATAAATGTGCCATTAAAAATTTCAGTGTTAACACACAAACAACAAAGTAACTCAAAGTACCGATACCTTTATGTCAGAACACATTTACCAGGTTTTCTATCTTGACCAAATCCCCACCATAAAGGTGCCAACAGCTTTATACAAGTCAGTCACAGTTTATCAAGATATAAAGTTGTCCCACGCGCACAAAGTTATTTATAACGCGAAGAAAGAAACTTTCGTGAAAGTGCGAGTACTTTGATGTCAGAGAAGCTTTATGATGTTTTGTCTTGATAAAATTCCCATCATAAAAGGGGACGTCACCAGTACGAATATTTGAGAAAAAGAAATATCTTTGAGAGTGTGACATCATTGACTCATAGTTTGCTCACTGCAACTATTTCTTATGAGTCTGTCTTCGGTTTTTCTAGTTCTGTAAGTCAAGTGAAATGGCTGAAATCTGGCGTTGGAAGTAGCATAGCCTTGTTTGTCAACTGACCTTGGGCGCATTATCAGGCTGGTTTGGTCATTTGTGTCAGAAGTCTGTGAAGACAATAAATCACGAACTTTCTAGCCACCTAATGCACAGAAATACAAAAATATGGTTATCAACAATTCCTATGTCTCACACTTCCAGACACTATCTGATAACCCCCTAACACGTACCTCTTTAGCCTACTATAAGGTCTAAGCCCAGGATCCCAAGCATTTAGAAGGGCTCAAAATTCTCCTCCTCTGCTTTCTCATAACGATACTTTGTTTCTCATAAAATCAAGTGAATTGAGCGCTGAGATCCTCTGAAAGAACTCGACGCTTACTATTCAAAACTGACTAAAATGCAGTGCTACCATCTAAGACATGTTAGGTTAATAAAAGTTTAAATTTTGCTTACCTTGACATCCTCTGTTAGGATCACCAGAGTATCCTTGAGGACACTCACATTTCGATCTGTGATTCTGAGCAACACATATGGCATTTACTCCACAGCGTTTCGTCTGACAAACATCTATATGAAAGAATTCATAGTTATAACAAACATGTAATTTCTGTAAAATTGGTCATAATCATAATAAATCCATTAATTATACAATATATTATATATATATCTGTAAAATCCAAAAAATAAAATGAACTGATCGTGTTGTTTGAAAGCCAAAATAAAATGGCATGAAAAGAATATCCTTGGCCATATCGACAAGGAATAACCCAAGAAGAAAATCAAAACCATGATAAATTCACCGTGATGGTTAAAGATTTTAATATTTTAAATGTTAAACCCTGGAGAGCCATTGGTGAAAACGAAGAAGAAGGAGTGCTTTGTTGAAAACTTCAGATCACAAAGATCACAATGAGCTGATATGCCAATAAAGGAACAAAATTATTGAATAAATGAAAATTAATCTCAAAATTAAAAAGTGCATTCTACTGTACTGTGCATAAATGCATTTGCTTACCAACACAGTCTTTGATTCCAGCCGGTGTTTGCCTGCAGACCCGGTCAGGTGGACAGTTGCTATTTGATTTACACTTATCTTTTGGCACAGCTGAAATTAAAAAAAAAAGTCTTGTAGATGTATCTATTATTTCAATTTATCATTATTAAAATGAAAATTAGTTTGTGTATATTCATTCTAAAAATCAAAGTTCATCAAGTATGATGCCAAAACAATGCTCTCAAAGAAGTTATAATTACTTAAAATGCGCTTTAAATTCTTTAAAATTGCGTTTAGCTAGCAAACTAAACAGTGATTAGAAACGAAAAATTTCTAATCACTCTGTGATTAGAAACGAAGTGATTAGAAAACGAAGAGAATATGCATATCACTCTGGAGTTTAGAAACATGGGCTCGATGAATAAAAGAAACTTGTATTTTTGACTTATTAAATTTATTCTTGCATATAAAACATCTATGATTTGATTGGAATAGAGAAAAACAGTGACCAACTGCATCTTTTATTTCACGTTCTCTTTGGCTGAGTAGATCGATAGTAGCTCTATTTTTAAATTTTATTAGTACACAGAAAAATAAGGCTGAGATTAGATCCTGATTTGGCAAGTGTGTGTTAGAATATCTGTTACGGTCTAGACAATCTTGTAGCTTCTACTCAAATTAAATTGTTGAATTTATGTTCGTTTTGAAAGGAAGCTTTTGGTTTAACCTAGGTCTAATCTGGATAATAATTTTATGTTTGTATTAATTTAATCACTCTCAACTGGAAGGATGAATAAACTTGAGAATTATTTTAATTTTGTGTATTGTTATATTTCTGGTGGTGGTAATTCACCTCACAGAACAATAAGTAGCATCTTATTGTTATTGTTATTGTATTGATTTAGCTAAGTTATTTGGAACTTGCAGTATATGTTACAAAGTGAAGATGGTTTTCTGGAAGAAAGAGAAAGGAAACGATCATGTTGTAGGGAATTTTATATTAATTAACCAGTTATTTATAATTTCACCTTTTACTATAACTTATTCTTCTTGTATCCCTCACCAGAATGAAAATGAGTAGCCAGTATGTAAACTAAGTTATTGGAATTTTTGGAGTATATTGCTGGCATCGCATGCATGCTACGTATTAGTTTCTGGCTAGCTCTCATTAGTCGAAATTATTCGGTTTTGCGTTTTCTGGCAGCCAACATTTTGATTCTGACACTCCGGTAGAGTAGTGAGTCAACTTCTAATATAGCAATTAAATGTGGAGTCTTTGAATACTACGTTTAACTAAAATTTGATTTTTCTATTTATTTTCATCACCAAGAGTTGTGGAATTGTAGCATAAGAGAGTGCCTTTGTGTTCTAAATTCTGTTTTAATGAAAAGGTTATTTTTTACTTTCTCGCGATTTTGTTGTTGTTTCAGACATAATGATGATTTCCTTCACATCTGTCAGGGTTATTAGCATTACCAGAACAAGTGCAACCCTATAATATTGTCCCAACAGGTAGCAGAACAGAAGGTAGGATAGACATAAAGTATGTTTCTGCATTAACAAAGATGAGAAAAAGGCGGCATTTGTAATCTATCCAACAATGCAGAATTGAATCTCACTTGTATAACAAAATTGAATCTGACTTTCATATTTTATATATACCTAAATGTTTAATATTTAACAATTTTAGGTTCTAATTAGAAAAAAAAATAACATCCATAATTTTCGTCAATATACTTTTTTAAGGAAAATTACAAATTGCGAATAAAATTTAACTTTCCAAAATGTCTTTTCTCCAACATTTTTCTTGTCCAGCATCGTAAGATTTGTACAAAATGGGAATTATTAAAAGGTTGTAAAAGACTAAGTGTAAACTTACGTTGGCATCCTACGCTGAAATCTGTAGGATTTCCTGAAAATCCTGGCCTGCACTCACAATAAGCCGTATGGTCTTTTCCTCGGCACAAAGCATTCAAACCACACTGAGTTGTCTCGCAGACATCTGTAAAATAACAAGCAAACAATTTCGCAAACCAAGCAGTTTCTATAAATAAACTTCTCGATATTTCTTCATTAACAATAACATTCGAAGCTACAACTGCTATAGTAAACAGCATTACTGACTTATATTATTCTACACAGAGTTCATCTTTTAAGATGCTGTTTTACTTTTGAAAAATATTAAGCTGTAGCACAATGAATTTTATTTAATTTCAATGCCAATTGTTGATATTTAATAAAAATTTAAATTTTATTAGTCACTAAAATTAGCATTACAACTATGCTTAGTTATCAATTAATTGCCAGCCTCAACAGAAATCGATAGCTGTAATTATCGCTGCTTAAATGTAATTCATTAAGCGAAATACAGTTTGACGCTTGCATTGCTAAATATTACTCACACTTAAATCAACTGAATTAATCAAACCATAATTTAGGTTTAAATTAGTGTGTATTTACCAAAGCATTCTCTGTATCCTTTGTCCCCAGTTCTACACACTTGGTTATCTGCACAAGACGAGCTGTCTCGGCACAAATCTAATGGTGGTGCTATTAAATCATAGAAGAAAGGGTAAGTGATAAAGTACTAATTTTTAATGTGAAGATTTATAAAATTAAATGATTTCCTTAATCAGTGAACATTAGTATATTTTAAAGATTCTTACGTTGGCACCCTCTTTGAATATCGTAAGCATCTCCAGTGAAACCTTGCCTACATTCACAAACGGCAATATGTCGACGTCCTTCGCACATGGCGTTCGGTCCGCATTGTACACCTTCACATACAACTGCAAGAATAAAAAAATGTTGTTGTTTAGAGGCAGCAAAACTATTATTTAAAATGTTTCACTAAATAAATAATTAACAGTTTGAAGTTAAAATATTAAATTAATATGAATTATTTATCACATATTTTGATGAATAATAAAATGTAATATGAATTAACGAAGAAATATAGTATGATTTGTGTATTACTTGTAATAATAATTATCAGAATAGCAATAATAAATTATAATTTTTATTCCAAGGCAGATATTATGGAAAAATCAAAAAGTTTATAGAATTTTTATTTATAATCAGCAATATAATACAATAAAACTGTTTCATTTCCTTACTTAAACCAACTGTAAGATAGATTAATTTTGTTATTTTTTTATCCCCTCCTTTTTTTCTTATAAATTTCGTAGACTATTTTTCGGAAATTAGACTACAAGACTACTTGTAGAATAGAGAAAGCATTAAAAAAACATTGTTATTTAATCACACGCTGCATTAAAAACATTTTCATAGATACGTAAAGAAAGCGTATAATGATAATCATATAAACCTGTTATGATACGTTAGATAATATATTATGTGATGTCTAATCGGAGTGTATTATGATATGTTAGATAATTAGTAAAATCAAACTGATTTTATCAGTTTGAACAAATTGCCTGTACAACGCGTTTTCTTGCGGTCAATATAGCTATGCCGTGAAACCAGACATACAAGGGTGCACTTTAAAACACGTTCTTGTGATAACATTTGCTGGAATACATTGAAAAATTTCATGCATAAAAGGAAATTATTCAACAAAAAGAACTAAATTAAAAATAATTCCTTTCTGTTCTCGCGAGCTCTTTATTATTTTCAATAAACCGCTATGAATATTTTTGACCTTGAAAACTTCAAGTGCAGGCACACTGTTGAAGATATCAAAATATAATATTAAGTTTTAATTCAGTTCATAATATTACAGAGAAACAACATTCTGAATTAAAATAAAAGAATATTCTTTGTACTTGTAGTTAATTCTGCAGTTTTAAGCCATGTTTTACACACAAAATGATTTTTCAGTTCATAATATGGCAGAGAAACAACATTCTGAATCAAACGAAGAGTATTTTTTGTACTTCTGCAGTTTTAAGCCTAATTATTTATTCTGCAGTTTTAAGCCTAATAATTTAATTCTGCATTTTTAAGCCATATTTTACATACAAAATGATTTTGCAAGTTTGAAGATAAAATATTATGTAGCAAATAATTTCATTTCATTATTCCTTTTTTCTACGCCAAGAGACTATAAATTTAAGTTGACTCAGCAATTTCAGTATGCTGTATTTATATGTATAAAGCATACACCTAAAGGCATTTTTTTACTAAGGTTTCCACTTTCCCTAAGCCATCCCAAACTAATGTAAAATTTTATTTTGAATTAAAAATTAAATTTAAAATTCCTTTTAATTTTCCAGAATACTAATTTTTATTTCTGAATTTAAAAAGAGACAATCTTAATTTTTGGTTAAAATAGATAAATTAAAAAATTTCATAACCTTGTTATTTTGTAGTAACTGCTCAGTACCATATTTAAAATCCAGTTAATACCTTAAAGTAATTTATTCTGGAGTTCATTCTAAATCGAATATTTTTCATTTTTATTTTTTAAAACTGATAGATTTTTATTAAATGTTTTATTATATTCGAAAACGTGCTGTATTTTATAAAAGAATGTAGAGCAACATATTTAATGCTTTTGACAAAAAAAAAATCAAAGCTTTTCATCAGTTATCTACTGAATTATGTAATTCGAATACTTAAAATTTTGAAAGTGACAAAATTGATTATTTGGCATTTGAAGCTTATTATATATAAATAAACACCTAAAATTGCTTACTATGCGTGGATACTCATGCTTGGATAAGCATGTTTATTTCAACTCTATAATTAATGTAAAATTTACCGGATAAAATGTTTAATAAATAAATAACATTTCGTAATAAAATCTGAGAAAATGATGTTTTTTAGTTCTGACAAAAAAACATTTTTTTTCTACATATATTTGAAAACTTCTTTAAAATTTTGAGAACTCTAAATTTCTGACGTAGAATAAAGATAAAGCTGCCGTAAATAAGAGTAAAAAGCAAAAAGTTAGCACCTTTCTTTAAAACAGGTTATGTAAATGATCATTTGAAATCTAAATTATTAACCTACCAACACAATCTCTGATTCCCGTTTGTAAGACTTTGCAAACTTCGTCTCCACGACATTCGTCATCGTTCTGACAACGGTCATTAGTATGAGCTAAAAAATAATAATAGCATCTTGAGAATATAATTAGTGACAAAACATAGGAAACTTACATTTTATAAACTATCATTGAACTTAACAAATGATCCATGTTTAAAGAAATCAAATTGAAATGCGACAGAATAGTGATGATAAAATACAAATAACTTTTTTATCAAAAGACAGTATTAAGTTTTTGACTTTCTGATAGATAATATTTGAAGAATTATAGTTATTAAATGCTTTCTTTCATTTATTTAATGAATAATTTATTCTTAATTGATCTTAATTGATTTTATGATTCTCAGCTAATCTTAATTGATTCTTAATTTACCTTAAATCTTAATTATTTTATTAATAGTAATTTTTCTTGATTGATTCTTAAGCTTAATTTATTCTTAATTGGTATTTTTATTGATTAACAATTGATTAACTTTAGTTGAATAACTGGTTAGTTTTAACCTATTGAGTTAGTTTTTGATATTATTAATGCTTTAATAATATTAAAGTTTAAAGAATTAATTAATCAACAGTCTTGAGCTTTAGTCCTTTTGACAGGTGACTGTTGAAAAATTATAGTTTATAAATCCATTCTCCCACTGATTAAAATAATAATTGATTCTTATTCTTAATTATTCAATTAATCTTAATTTTTCTTGATTGATTCTTAACCTTAATTGATTCTTAATTGAAATTTTTATTGATTAATGATTAATCTTGGCTGAATAACTGATTAAACTTTCTTTCTTGATTAATCTCATTGACTGAGTCTTAATTAATTTTTATCTCAAATTATTTTTAATTGACTGTTTGAACTAATTAGAAATTTATTAATTTCGATTGAGTAATCGATTAATCTTAATGATTAAGCTGAATTGATTGATTCTTAATTAATTCTTGATTGATATTCATTGACTAAACTTTATTGAATAATTGGTTCATATGAATAGTGTGATTCTTAATTTAGTTTAAATTCCTGATTTTAATATTATACTGAATTCATTAACTCATTCTTAGCTACTATTAATTTTATTTCACAATCTTAATATTTTCTCAAATGACATTAATTATCCTTAACTGATTGATCTTAATTTAATTATCCTTAATTGATTGATCTTAATTGATTATTTTTTAATGATTCTTAATCTTAATTTATTGTTAACTGATATTAATTAATTCATTTATAAACGACTCTCAGACTGCTTAAAATACTTACGATGGCAGCTGCTCGAAGGGTCTCCACTGAAACCTTGTGGGCACTCACAAACTGGTCGATGCCCTCTTCCCTGACAAGCAGCATTTTCGCCACATGTATGTTGCTGACATACATCTGAAAGGCATGAGCAATAATTGCGTATTAATAATAAAAATGTAATCAGACAACTAATAAGGACTGAATACTTGATGTTCACTAACAGAGTTATTCATCAAGAAAGAATGAGATATTTTCTTACTTAAATAACATTAGAAAAGCCTATGAAGTGTTAATTTTTTAATTTATTTTTACTCAAAAACATTAAAAGTTTTGGCTGTCAAAATTATTAAACAATATTCTAAAATTATTATTTTTATTTTGTTATAAAAAGACTATCCAGCGTGATGGAGATACTGCAAGTTTTGCAAATTTGTAATAATTTACACCAATGGTCTCAAACTCAAATCCCCCGAGGGCAGCATCCACGATCTGAAAACAGCTGATGGGCCAGAAATCTTTTTAACAAATTTTTAATTAAAACAAAATTAAAAAAATCTTATTAGCAAAATAAAATATATTTTAAAAGAATTTTTAATTTCGATTATTGAGCATTTTTCAAAGCATACATAAATAATTATAATAATAATAGCAGAAAGGAAAAATGAAACAAACATATATTTATTTTTTATCTGAAATCGAAAGTTTGGTACTTGCTTGTTGGTTATATGTAGGTAGATCCAAAAAAGTTATAAGAGCAGTAAAAAATTATTTATTGATAATAGACAGAAAATACAAAATGGAATTAAGAGGTATACTTGCCTATCATTTTTCCACATAACCATAAAATCTATTTAGACATTTATATCTAGGCAGGACTAACATATTTAACCTGGCTTTTTAGAAATCACTGAGACAGTTCTCTGCAACTGTTTTCACATTACTGTCTGAACATGACCTCGTTACAGATAAATATTCTTTCAATTTCGGAAAAATAAAATAGTCACTGGGTGCAAAATCTGGGCTATATGGAAGGGGATGACTCCAGACTTCCCACTAAAACTTTGCACCAATTCCTGAATTTGGCGACCAATGTGGGGCAGGACCCTGTCATGCAGGAGGATGACACTATCACGCAACATGCCAGGGCGCTTGCGTTGGATGGATTCACGTAACCTTGTTTAAGTACCACAATAACTATCCGCAGTAACGGTATTAACATGCTCCAGATACTCGAAGGATAACGGATCAAGGCTCTTATCTCCAAGCGAGACAACGTTTCTAAACGTCTTGCCATTTCAACTGCTCTAACGCGCCTGCGAAGTTATTCTACCTATCCACACAACCGCTGCTAGACGTCTAGTGCCATCTGCCTACACTCCGAGGATAAAGTACTCGCTCCACAATAAATACTTTTGAAATGCTAATGCATGTAACCTTTTTTCCTGGGTACCTATGTACTTTGTAATTCAAATATATTGACAACTAAATATGTTTTCATACTGGTGTTTCAAATAGTTCTAACATGTTTAATGAGTAATTAAATAATTTACTTTAATTTAAACTGAAAAAAATGTTATGAAAACTTTACTAACTTTTCAGAACAAAGTTTCCAAGTAGGACAAAACTTTGAGAATAAAAAATAACAAATTTAGTCTATTTCTCATATTTATTAAATTTTTCTTCCACGTATAAGTAAAAATACATATGTTTGTATATAAATAATTATAAACTTCTTTTATTTCTTATGAAAACTTGACATTTGATAGCGTGTTGGTTTTGATAATGTTAATAGCCTCGGAAAGAAATTACTAGAAATTATCTGCACCATGGATTGCGCATGCTCATTGGTCAGTCGGGTTCTTTTCTTATTAATTTTCAACTGTGAAAAAAAGTTATTCACATATTATTCCTGAATAAAGAGATTATTCTTAACACAAAAATTCTGAACTGAATTTATTTACTTTTTGATAAGCACGAATAAAAGTTAATCAAATCTATATCTTTAAATTTTTAGATAAGATTTTTATCACATTATAAATTAGTTAGATCCATTTATAGATTTTCTAATAAGTTATTAAAACTAATTTTAAACAAGGATTTCAAATAATTATAATCTTGAAATCTTTCTAACACTATATTTGCACCAAATTCGTGATTGAAATATCTTCACGGGCCGCTTAAAATTGCTTCTTGGGCAGCCAGTTTGAGACCACTGGTTTATGCTACACGATGAAGCATTTCATTTGGTTCCTAATAGTGCCTGGATTAGTTAAATGCTAAAGAAGAATTGAAATGTTAAACATAATAAGTACTAAATTTAATTAATTAAATTCAGCAAGCTATTCGAATAAAATATTGTTTAGTTATTGCTGCTGAAACCTTAAAACAGTGAGTAATACTGGATAATATAAAGGTAAAAATAAATGGAAACTTACTTTCGCAAACTCTAAATCCTTGACTTCCCATCTTGCAAATGTGTGAATCTGGGCAATTGGCACTAACTTCGCATTCATGAGGACTAGCAGCTATGGAAGAAAACATAATAACCATAATATTAACTATTTTTAAAATGTAAAAGAGGACAAAGTTTATATATAATGGATGATAAACTAACATAAAACAAGTATGCGTTAATAATAGTAAAATAAGGAGAAACTGGTCATCTTAAATGATAAACATGCGATTAGGAATATAACAGTGGTAAAATGTGCTTCAAATACTCACTTTGGCAACCTTGTATGAGATCATTTGGGTCTCCAATCATACCGTCTGGGCATTCACAAACAGCTTGGTGATTTTGGCCGGTACAAACTGCATTTCGGCCACACTTGACATATTCTGCACCGCATACATCTGTTCCAGAAAACAAATTTGTTACAATTTAAAAAATAATTCTAGTTATTTTAAGACTATTTTTACAGAAGCGTCAGGAGAACTGTAGTGTCAAACTGCTAGGAAACAATTCTGCAAAGCTTATTTACGGAAGATCTGGTTCAAGCTTTCTCTTAGTTCAGCTGGAATTTGGGGCATTTTGGTTAGTAGGGATTCAATTTTGATAGCTTTTCCTCGAAGCAAGGACAGTATCTATGAAGCATTTTAGGAGTGAGAGGGGCGAATCAGTTTTAATCAGTTATGATTAAACTTTAATATATTTTTCTGAAGGCTACACTAGTGCTTGTCAGAAGCCTTTTGTATGGATTTGGAACAATTTTATTAGTTAGGATTTAAAATTAGTATCTTTTTCTCCAGGTTAGGGCAGCACCTGTCCCAAGCTTACATTTGCGGCTTGGGGCGTATTAGACACCTGGAATTCAACTGTAAACTTATCCTGCGTATTAGAACAACTTCCCTTCCCAGCATTCACTAAGGCCTGTGATAATCTGATCAGTTTGAACATTTATTTGCTAAGGCTTGGGAGAAGGAAATAGATTTTGTTGCTTGGCTGCTCAACTTAAAACCCTCAACAGGCAAGAAAAATATTCATCTTCAATATGAAAAAGTTAAAAATGGTATAAAAGAATTTAAATAAAATCAGGAAACTTACCGATACACTCTCTTATTCCGTCTGGGTTGGACTGACAGAAAGCGCCACCATCACAACCCTGGTTGTCTACGCATTCGTCGGGAATACGTTGTGGTGCTTCTGTTGATGCTAAAAAGTTTAAAGAATTTTTAGAGGTTTATAATTACACAAATAAAATAAGGTACTTCATAAGACAAATTAAAAACAATGCTGACAGAAGTTGAAGGGTTTGTAAACACATCCAGAAGAAGAAATGACATACTCTTGAAAATATTCAATGTTAGAAACATCATCATTTGTAATAACATTTAAAATAAGAGCAATGCAGAAGAAATCTGACGTTTTGTTGCAATGCGGATATTTGCTATTTTTAGTAACGGAAACTCTAGCAGGTGGACTATCTTACTGATGTTCAAGTTTGCGTAAGTTGTGTTCCAGTGAAAATTAGATAACTAGAATGAAAGAGCTTGCATGGTTTTTCTGCGCCTTTGGGCAATATTTGGGGCAAAACTTTAAAATATTAGTGCATTATAATTGTAAAACAGCACCAAATAATGCGGAAAGTGGGTTAATTGGAATATGGGAAATACGCATTCTTATACGCCATATTTTATAAATTGTAGCTTAATACAAGAGATGATAATAGTAGAAGTAGAAATCCAAGTAATTTCCGTAAAAAGAAAAGAATTTTTAGAGTAACATACAAGAATTCCTTCTCTTCACAAATTTGTGTTGCATTAAGAAACCCGTTTGGGTAAACTTTCTTGGCTTTCCAATGCAGGAACAAATTAACTTGTTGCTCAAGTATGCGTCGAATAAATGTTTTCAATTAAAAGCATTGTTATGATATATTCCGCAACTTGCTTTTTTTGTGGAGCAGAGTTACAGTGAAGTTTACGGTATGGTTATTTTTACCCTTTTAAAACATTGAAGAATAAGAGTTTATCTTTAGGCTCCACAAATAAAACGATATTAAAGTACTTAAAGATCATTTTAATCGAATAAACATTTACAAGGTCGAAGTTTATCGAAGGTCGAACTTAGGTCTAGAAATTTAAAAGAACTTTCAAACTTTCTCTCCTAAATTAGATCAGTAGACCTGCCTGGACATGTAATATGAATTAAGCAGCTTTTTGTACTAAATCCATGGACAAAATGTGCAACAAGTTTGACTAACAACATTAATCAAGGATGAAATCAACTTACGACTGCATCCGACTCCAACATTATTGGGCTGACCGGTCATTCCTTGCTGGCACAGACAAGCACCTCTCACGCAGTAAGCATTTGGACCGCAGACAACGTCTTGACAGGCATCTGAATGGAAATAAAATAATGTGAGTTTTCATGGAAAATTGTTCAAGAAATATTTTATATTTATTTTGAAAATAACGATTTTTTTGGAGGAAAATATAAAATTCAATTTTTGAAGCACTATTTCTATTAAATGAGAATCGCAATCTAATCATCGCAAAATCCTCCCCCAAAAAAGCTGTGCATAATTAACGCATGTGTTTTCCATCGTGAGATATTTCACAGACAACTTCACATTCACCGAAGGCGTACTGAGTGAGTTGCGGATTAACTAGGCTCAATCTAAACCAATAGGATGACGCTTCGCAAGATAATTGATTATAAGATAATTGATTGAAAATCAAGAAACCTCAGACCCCCTCCCCCCAAAAAAATTAACCAACTTTCTTATGCAAATTTGAAATCAATGATATCATTCAAGTTCTTTTGTAAATATTGTTCAACAGTGCTATTTATAGCTTAGCTTGTTTATTTCCAATAACTTTTCCCTGATATTTACATACAGTTATCCTCGTTTTGAATAGTGATCCGAGTTTCATAATCAAGTGAAATTATTCAGATTAAACTGCTCGAAAATAAAGGTAAATTGCTTATAGCATTTTTATCTTAAATAGAATACGAATTATTCTATTTTCTGAATTGTTTTTAACTGTTCTCAGACTACTCGTGAATTTAAGTTAAGCATAGACGTCGTCTCCGTAATTTATTATTAAATAATAAATTAATTGCATTTACTGCATTGGCAATTATTATTTCAGGTGAATCATATGTTTTATTTACATCAATTTAACATTTATAATTGTTAAGAATATCATCTAAATACTTCTTCTAAAATACATTAACTGCAATAAATACATTTAATGTAATGAGGTTTTAGATATAATGATTTAAATTATGCAATTAAATTAATTTAAGCATGGATTTGAGCAAAATTAATTTAGGGAGGATTTGTCTTCACCTTGACATGCACCACCAGGTCCGCAAATTTCTCCTCCGGCGCAGCCGGCGTCAGAAGAACATGCGCATCCTTGTCCAGGTTCACAAGGTGTATTGGCAGGTGCTAAAAGAAACACGTGAATTAGACAATGACGGTAATAACAACCGGATGACGTAAATATGCACAGACAAGTGCATGTTGATAAACTGAAGCTTAAAAAACTTAAAAGGATACATACTGCACGAAAATAGAGGATTTCCAGTCATTCCTGATGGACAAGCGCACAAGAAACTGCCTACGCTGTTAATGCAGTTTGCACCACCTCCGCAAGGATTGCTTCCCAAACATTCGTTGACATCTGCGGGAATAAAACTTAATATTAATTAACTAGGAGTCCACTTATGGGGAATGAATGACGATATAAAATGGTGATATTGTACCCTATTAAGGAAGAGAGAACGATATCATTCCTTACACGAATATAATTACTGCGTTTGTGGAAAAATATTTTTATACACACTATCTGAATAATATTTAAAAGATTGCAAAATATTGTTTTCAAAATAGCTGCCGAAAATGAGCTATCATTCAAATAAAATAGTGTAAACACCCAATTAATACATATTGACTTGCAAAAACATCAGCAGTCATTATTTGGAAACATATAACTCCAAACTAATCAGTAATTCCTCGCGTGAAAAAATATGACATACACTACTCTGTACATTTGGATATGTTCCTCTAAATGTTATACATTATATTACTGGAAAGGCAATATATAGTGTTATTTATAGTGTTCATAGTATACGGTATACTTTAATTAGTTTATTATGATATAAAACATAAAATAGTATGGTTTGGTTTAATTAAACGTTACTTTTTATGTTGAATATTTCCTTTACTTCTACTTTCTGTCAAATTCACCACAGAAAGAGAAAATAAATTAGCAGCTTCCACCAGCAGCTCTGCATTCTCACATTATATGTACCATAGTGTTGCACTTATTTTACTTGTGAGATTTGGGCTTTGCTTGTAGTTATGCAGGAGCATTACTGTAGGCGTCAGATCCTTTATCTCTAATCTGACATTTGTTTTGCAAATACTCGTAATTGAAATATATTTAACTTTCAGTCTACAAGAAGCCAATCTTCAGTTATATTACATTTTACTTTCTGAAATTTCAAACCTAAATAGAAATAAATTTTTAATTAATTTTTGAGACTGCTTTAATATGTTTGTGTAACTGTTATTCTATGTTAAAGGTAAGAAGAGAATTTATCTGGAAGTTTAAGGGATTTATCCAGGGTTTAAATTTAGTACGATTAAGATTAAACTTACACAGTGATTTAAAAAATAATTTTACTTTTGCTTGTATCTCCTACATTATGCATTTTTTTTATATATATATATATTCGTTTCTTTTATTTTCATCGGTTTAAATTTAAAATTTTACTTTAAAATTTTTTACGTTGATTATTGTTATTAGTGATATTTTATACAATTCAGTTACCCCACCTCCAATCCAACTCATTGATAACTCGATGAATTGGTTAAAAAACTTTTATTTGGCGATTTTTACGGCTCACAGATAATGTTTTGCTAATAAATTGTGATAAAAAGAGGCATTTTACAAAAAATAAGACATTTAATGAGAAAAAAAAAATTATGGTCGATATTTACATTTCTACAGTCAGTGTTAAATGTTCAAATCAAAGCACGCACGTGCGTAGGCTGGCAACTGTTGCACGCATATTCAAAAATACGCCCAAAAACGGCAGTTATACGTAATGCTGAAAACGGGAGTGCGGATAATCAGAAAGCACAGTTTTTTTTAACTCAAGGCAGGCTGATTTTTGTTAGGACTTCGGCATATTTTGTTCTAGAAATCAAGCTTTTAACTTGAACAGTTTTACAATTTTAGAATTATTAAGATTAGAATTAATAAGATTATTTCGAACTATTGTAAGAATATTCGATAAATTAAACTTGCCTTGGCATCCTAAGAAAGGATTTCCCTGCATACCAGCTGGACAGACACAGTCTACCCTGTTTGGACCTTCGATACAGTTGGCGTTTGTTCCACAACGTACTTCCTCGCACCTCTGGCTTGTTCCTGAAACGCAATAAAATAAAAATCATCATTGGGAAAATTACTCTCAACCGTAAAGGGAGAATGATGCAACTCATTTACGCATTTGTTACGCATTTTTTACATCGTTAAGTACTTACCGCATACTGAATATGGATTACCAGCGAATCCAGGATTGCACTGGCACTGGTTGGGAACTCCGTACGTACAATGGGCATTCACACCACATCCTGGCACGCAGAGTGGTGGCAAAACGGCTGAAAAAAAAAGTTTTTTAAGATAATGATTTGAGCAATAACATGTGCATAAATACTTCCAAATTAGCAGAAATAATAATTTTGAATACCTCTAACACTTTTAGAACACTTTTAAAATCTCATGAAACGTTTAAAAACTGAATTATAAGTCTATATTCTGAAATAAAAAAAACGAATTTCGAAATGAAAGCTTAAAATATTACTTGGTTTATGTACCTAGCTCAGTATCACGAAATGCAAGATGAATTTATATAACCGGGAAATTAGAATTAAAAAGTAAATTTTATATTATGTTTTACAAATTACAGAAACTTATTTTTAATCACTGCGTAATCTGAATGACATATTGGCACGTAAATAGCGACTAAATAATAGATAATTAGAGTTAATTAGAAATTAATCATTAAATCATAATCAAATTAAATTAAATTAAATGCATTTTAAATCTTTATATTAAACGCATATTATACTATATTAAGTTTTATTATACTACACTCCATTATATTGAAAATTATTATATATAACTTATAATATATTATTAAATTATATAGCTTATATAATAAATATTGTATTAGGTTATATTAAGTTATGTATGTTATTTATTTCTTTATACTAAACTTATATTAAGCATCTTAAAATTTCATATTTTTGAATCTTCGGTATTTTAATGAATGGAATTTTTACCTATATTAACATAAATTCACTAATAATCATCCTTTTTTCATATCGAAAATACCTTAAAATACAGTTTTATTAAAAATACAACTCTCCATGCTTGTTATGAATTTAACCTTCTTTTACTCAATACTACTTCAGTAGCTAAACGATGATACATTAGTTTCCTTGTTCAGTATTATCTACTGGCGAATATGGAATAATAATGCTTCCCTCCCATAGAGATGATACTTTTCAGCCCTCCTATCCTTGTTGCATTAAAAAACCTCAACAACGCATTAAGTTATTGGCATTTCAACTATAAAAATTATCTACAAATAATTAAAAAAACTGCAAAGTTCACCAGCTTTTCAATTAACTTTCCAAATTTTGTATCTGAATGATATGACACGGATAGGATCTTAATTAAAGAGGAAGAAAACATTACTTAGGAAAAGGTAAGAAAATATCAGAATAAAAAATAGCCTATTTGTTAACACTTACGTGGTACACACAAAAATGATGGATTTCCAATGAAATACGGTAAACAAACACAGTTGCCAGTGTTTTCATCACATCGGGAGCCAACGCCGCAATTCACTCCTTGACAACGTTCTGCAATGATATTTAACATTAAAATGATGCAACAATAACTCAAAGAATATATCGATAAATTGGAGAACATCACAATCAATAACGAGTGACTATTTAAAATGTATGCTTACCAACACAAGCACCATTTTGACAAACTTGAGTGGATCCACAAGGTCTAGACACACTACATCCTCTGTGTTCTGAAATTAAAAATAATCAATTAAATATTCAGTAATCTCTCTACAAAGAATCACTTCTGTAATTAGGCTTCAATTAAATGAATTTTAGATAGGACGCCAAAATTTAAAATGTTCAATAATTTCGAACTTGGAGTATTTTAAATTACAAAAATAAAAATTCTGTTCTTCAAAGATAACAAAATTTACTTTGCGTTAAGGCATACAGTTTTAATCGAACTTTGACATGTTAATTTAATTTTAAACTAATGGCCTCGCTTAGGGTATATATAAATTGTTCTAGTAGCCTCAAGAATTAAAAGGTAAAATTTTAAATAATTTATGACAAGAAACTAAAGATTTGCCTCTTTATCAACAAATTTTAAAAGGTTCTTGACATTTATAATTACATAATCAATTGGATGCCTGGAAATATTATGACTCTATTCTATTACTTCTACTGCCCCTTATTTACGTATTTTCCACCGTCGGCCATTTTAGAAAAGCAAAAACTGTCGTCAAAAAGCGCGATTTAGCTCCAGTAATAGATAACAGTTACGTCATTCCAAGTTCATAAGGCCCACGAGCGGCCGAGCGGTAAAGTCGCTGAACACTGGTAGTTCGGTCCGAGGTTCGAATCCCGCGAACGGGCTGGCTGCATGGGTGTTTTCGTGGTTTTCCCCATGTGTAACGTGTATACGAGCCAGTTTCCCTTGTAAAGTCCTCCACGGAGGCATTCCTCCCCTTAGGCAGATAGCCCTAGTGTGCTTTGCCATAATTAAATACACCAACACACCAACCAAGTTCATAAGATCTTCTCCTTGTTGTGGTTCTTATATAACCACAATTCTTATCGAGCCAGTTAAGTTGCTATAAAAGAAGCAAATAAGTTTTTATTTATTTATTTATTTATTTATTATGGCTCGCACACAATGGTACACAAAGGTAGGAATGTCCCGTGAAGGACGTTTAAGGGAAACTCGATCGTATTCATATTACACATGGGGAATCCCGTGAAGGACGTTTAAGGGAAACTCGATCGTATCCATATTACACATGGGGAAAGTCATTCAGCCATCCGTTTGCCGGGATTTGAACCCCGGCACCGAACTACCAGCATTCAGCGACTTTTTCTCGCCGGAAAAAGGGCTACTGAGAGACCAAGAATATAAGGTGACAGTTTTTTTCTGTTTAACACTTTCATTTTGAAAGGAAAAATGACTGAAATTTTGGACTTTCGATAGTATAGTGATGTGTTTCCTAAACTGCGGTAGTAGTGATGCTAGCTCGAAAATTAAAAATTGTGAAAGCTTCTGGGATTTGGCAAAATAACCGCGTAACATTAGTAAAATTTATGGGTATTGATACTGAGCCTAGTACATAAAGAAAAATGACCAATGTTTTGCTATTTTTAAGTGCCATTAATGAATTTTGGTAGCCGCAAAAAGTAGTGCAAGTTTTAGCGATTTTGTTTGTCAGAGAATCTAAAATTTCCAGCTCATATTTATTTAAGTTTTTATACACTATACCCGTTACTTGTATCTATTGATTTATCTCTGTGATTATCGAACTAAATAAAGAGCGATCTGGGCCTCTAAACGTTCGTCAGAATGATTGGTTAAGTTTAGCAGAATCCCACAAACTTCCATGGTCAATGAACTTGATAAAATGTCTGATTAACGAGAATAGAAATACTAATCACATCAATTTATTTGTGCTAAGATCTCTCCAGTAGTTTGATGTATAACTCAGTACAGTATGTTTGGATGTAAATCATTCGTTGGTAATTAGAAACTTGGATCTTTCTTACCTGGATGGCAACCTCCGCCAGCCCATGGGTTGCCAGAAAATCCTTCCAGACAGTGACAGACGCCCTGATTGTTCGAGTTGACGATGCAGTGAGCATTGACACCGCACCATACACCAGAACATGCTGTAGAAAGCACATAAAATACAGTAATTAATTTTGCATTTAAAAATTTCTTTTGATAATAATATTTATAATGTATGGAAAATTATTAAAAAGATTTTAACAACAAATATTATATAATCTTTATTAAATTTAATGTTATTGCCCATTGTTATGAAATAAAATTAAAAAACAATATTCTTACGTGAAACGCATCCTCGCTCTAAATCATTTGGATTTCCTGTATATCCGGGTCTGCATCTACACACAGCTTTGTGCTCATCTCCGAAGCAGTCAGCATTTGGACCGCACCACGCGGTAGAACATGGATCTACATAAACAAACATAAAAATGAAAGTTTCGTATAAAAACCTACAAGAATTTAAGCTTTGATTAGTTTTAAATTAATGTGCATTAGAGAATCTAACGAAGAATAGAAAATAGAAAAAAGGAGAAAGAAAAAGAAAAGATAAAAAGAAAAAAAAAAGAAGGAAGAACAAAAGGGAAGGAGAAAGAGATAAGAAAAGTAAAAAAAGAGGGTAATATTATTATTTATAAACCTATTACATAAATGTACAATAAAAGGAATAATAATATGTTATAATAAGTTTTAGGTATCATCAATAAAAATAATAGAATCGTCGCTGAGTTTTAATAAGAAAATTATATTAGAACTGCCCCTTTTCTTTCATTAAATACTCACCAACACACGCTCCTCCTCTAGCATCGCACACAGCATTACGAGGACACTGTCTATCAGATGAGCAGCCAGTGGCACCACGACCTGGAAAGCGACCAAAATACGATATAAAGTCGAATATAACAATGTCGATTTTTAGCATACAGAATTATCGATATAAATATTTTAATCGCACAGTTTCCAATTAATAAACGATAATTCAAATATTAATAAGCAGAAATTATTAATTACTTACATCCACCCTTGTAGGCATCACCAGTTGTTCCTGGAGGGCATTCACATTGGTAACCACCAACGATATTGATACAGGTTGCCCCCACGGAGCATGGACCATTGGGATCCATTGGAAGATCCGCTGTACATTCGTTTATATCTGCAAAAAAATACCAAGGAATGACTGTTCGTAATATATTTGTATCTTAAATAAATATGCTTTACATAAAAATAAATATAAAGTCTTCAATGAGAAAATGCAATGGTCCTCCGATATTCTCCCCTTAAAAAAATTTCTTCCAAGAAATCTGACGTCTTTGATTCGGGTCAAAAGCTCATGGTGGCGTATATTTATTGCTTTAAGCAATAAAATGCAATTAATGTAAATGCTATTTATTTGTTTTTGTTTTTAAAAAGGAAAAATTTACGTTTTTTTTTGGGGGGGGCTGAAACCAGGATTTTTGATGCCGTGAAATTCACTGCTAAGCTAAGAACCAAATTAAATAACCTACATTAGAAAAGCAGAGAAAAAATATTTTGTGGCGTTGACGCACTCAGATGATTATATTTAACAACATTTTACCCGAAACATTGTTCAAAGTGAAGTTTTTGATTAATGAATCTTTTGGCAGATTTCTTTGCTCCTGAAATGAAGAGGGACCTGTACCTGTTTGCCCTCGAAATCGATAACCAAATTTACGCCAAACACAAGGTTGTTGCTTTGCTAATTTTATGCTTTATTTTGGTGTGTTTCTCTTCTGTCTTAAAACATTTTTTCGTATTTAGAGATTTGAAAATAAAACAACTAAATATTATGACGACTATAAAGATCTTACGACATCACTTCATTTTGGATGCAGTTAGCTCAAGAGGTTTCTGTGAAACAGGTAGAAGAAGAAAATGAAAAAAGAAAAAAAGAAGATGGGCTGTCCTGGGGAGCTGAAAGGCACAGACAAATTTCTGAAAGATGCTATGAAATTGTTCAAACGGAGATGTTAACATGACTTATAGAGTCTTAAGTGTGTAATACTACTTAAAATGTTCTTCAGAGCCAATTATAGTTTCGTATTCATAAATATGACAACGTCTTATGAAGGTTTCAAATAAATCTTCTTTATTAAGCTTTAAGGCACAACTTGTGAGCATAAGCACAGGTACAGGTTAAAGCAAGGAATCCAAGTAGGCATATTAGATACAGCCGGGCCTTGCTAACTGCTAAGATTCCGCCGCAGACCGAATTTCGGGGAAGATTACCCTGGGGGGGGGAGCGTTCCGAGAGTCCTCCACCCGTCTTCTCCTAGCCCTAGCCTCTCGAGAAGATTTCGGCTCGCCGTGTATTCAGAGTTCCTCTTGCCGTACAGACACTATACGCTTATAAACATTCCTGCCTTCTCCGGGACGGAACCCAAGGCATTCGGTAAAGCAGTCAGCGACACTAATCGCTATCCCGTCTGCCCGACAACTTGTGCGTACAAAGGCAGAAATGAGTAGGGCACCAGGAACTTCATTATTAGATTGTGAGTACAATCAAATCCACCACTTGACACTTGTATTAAACAGAAAACTGAAAATATAATCTAAAATGGATTGGTGGTCTGGGACTACACAAATTGGCCTAACGAAGAGTTGGCTCAGAATTTGAAATGGTGCGATTTAACTTAGCAAAATGACTAATACTTGGTATTCTAACTGACACAGCCAGACGAGAGAAAATAAAGCTGTAAGCGTCTCTGGGAAAAATTCATTGTCTAAAACATTCAATACACCAGCTTTAAGTAGTTTTTAATTCATTCGCATCCTGGTGAGGGTTAATAAGAAAAAGTTTAGTACAGATTTAATGATAAAACTGGGTTACTTAATATGAAATACCTTACATAGAAACAAAAACAATTATTTTTAGGGAAGATTGACAATATACACTAATTTTAATTAAAAATTTCTAAATTTTATTACATTTTTAACTGAATCTTATTTGAAATAGTATACTGTATGTCATTCATTTAAAACGTGGTGTTTTTCAGCAACACCCGAACACTTATTAGCAAGATAATTGGACACTCAGTGTACATTCTGCCAGTGTGTTTTAACCATCATGATTAAAGTAGACTTACCTTGACAAGCGTTATTCGGATCTCCTGTGCAACCTGGTATGCAAACGCATTTTGGACCATTCGGTGTCAGTTCACAAGTCGCGTATTGTCCGCATGAATACCATTCGCATGGATCTATAAGAAAAAAAGACAAATGAGTTTATATTGCTTCAGTATTTGCCATATATCACATTATCTTCATTTACTTTCAAAACAATTTACTATATTTCGGAAACTTCGTAAATAACTTACGCAGGAAACTTATTTTTAGCGAATAAATTTTCGGGGTTGCAAGGTAACTCATTAATGCCGTGCGGAAATTCAATTTTAAAAGACTAGATATAATCGAAACTGTAGATGAAATATTTTGAAAAATGTTTAGGTAAGTAATATTGTATTTACATGCGTATTTTTCCCTTAAGTGTTTCAGGATAAAGTTCTGAAAATTATTCAAGTATTCAAATAAAGCCTTCTCCTTCATGGAGTTCAGAAACGTGGACGCCGTTTAAAATCTAGGAAAGCGAGTTTTCCTAGATTTTAAAGTGAATTCGTTCACGTAGTGATTGTTTTCGTCTTACTAACTGATTTGCTCGTGGATTTTGGGTGTACAGGCAGCGATTGATAAAGCGTTAATAGTGAAGTGGTTCAAGAAAACGAGAATATATAACACTTACGATGGTTTCGAAGATCATTGTACGAGGGATGACAGACTGAACGGTGACGAAGACAATGGTGATGATTTGGAAGCTGTAACAGACGACACAGACAGAAGCTCCAGCAGCATTAAACGATTTAAGGCCCAGGGAGTAGCAGTGGATAACAATAACAAAGTGCGAGATTCACGGTATAAGGAGTAGAATAGATATTGGTAATGTTAATATTACTATGCATTCCTATTGGAATGTAAGTTTCTTTTAAATAAATAGTATTGCGTTAATCAGTGGTAATTTAGCCATGGATACTTTTCATTTGCTATGTTCTTAATGTAATCACATCTTTCGGAAATTAAATTATTCGTATAATTTTCCCTTCTTGATTTCCTTTCGTGGTAAAAAAAAAAAAAAAGGAGAAAAAAATGCGCGAGTAAAATGCGGTATACAAGTTTTTATTTTGTAATTGGAAGCATTTGCTTTTAACTATGAATTATCACCCTGTGTAAGTTCATTCTGTATTTTGTACAGCGTGAAGCTATTTTCAAAACAGTCAGCTTGTTATTATATTAGTCATAGTTCTATCCCTTTACTTTGTTATTTGTTGGTTTAGCTAATATTTACACGAAAGTGTCTGATAAATATGAAACTGTAGGTAACTGTCTAATAAATATTAAAACACCTAGAATCAGAACGCTTTGAATTATTACTTAGACCTAATTTAATAAACATTTGAGCAAGATAAGGAACATTAAAAAATTGCGCATAGCCGGACATGAAATTTAATATTTTTATTTCGGAAAGAATAACTATAAATGCAATCCCTCTCAGCAAAGCAGTTCTTACTAAAATGGTGTGAGTGAGGCATGGACCTTTTTACCTCTAAGGGAAAGAACGTAACATAAAATTCGGCAATCCAAAAGTATCCGAATCCTTTCATGTAGTTAATAACAGGATGACCGCTTGGCTATTTAAGTTTACGAAATTATTGGTATTTAATTTTATGAAGCCTTAGATAATAATTTCTTGGTCATCTAAGCTCAAAGTAGGATGATGATGGACAAAATTTACATTGTCAGGACAAATCTGTTGTCAGGAATCTGTTGTCAGGATTGTCAGGACAAATCTGTTCAATTTGTTCAAAATCTGTAGCTACCGAAAGGTGCATTCAATTTTTCTAGGCTTGTTTCTGATTTTCTTAGACAATTGAATTTGATAACTTTCACTACCATTTGCATGGTTGATTTTCAGACGCAAGGAAATGATCGAAACTGACTGGGTAATTAAATGATATTTATCATTATCACATGATTTCCTTTCATATGACAAAGGATTTAGAATGTATTCAAATAAAACCCAGGTACTTTTGAACTTACGTTTGCACTGTTGTTCTTCTAATACATAAGGAGCCAAGCACTGGCATTGTCCTTTCACGCATTCCATGTTTTGAGGACAAGTATTTTGTCCTCTGCATTCGATTTCTGAAATAAAAATTAGGAAAATGGTTAACTTGAGCATTTCAAATGAAAATGTTGTACTTAATTGATTTTACCTCAGTGTTTCAATATTAATTTTTTTATAGAAAAGAAATTGATTTACCTATTCGACTACAGCCCTGTCTGGGATTACCAGTATATCCTGATAAGCACAGGCACTGGTAAGCTCCTGGTAAGTTAACACATTCTGCATACGAACCACACAAAGACCAGTCCTTGATTTCGGTACATTCGTCAATATCTATTGGGACAACATAAATATAATTGCAATATGTTTCATTAATACATGTTCATAAGTTTCCTTAATACATTTTCAAAAGTTTCATTAAATCATTGAATAAAAACTGAGATTTATCCAATGATGAGATGACGCTTCTAACTGTTAGGCTGAAAATGAATATGTTAGCACTCATTTGAAAGAGAGATATATTAATTATCCCATCATCTTATTATTAAAAATAATAGAATTACTTTGATTATCTTTTAATAAATTAATCAGGATAAGCAAAACTGTTTATTTAACGTATTCTCAAAGAAAAAAAGAGAAAGAAATGGCATAAAATGTTTCTTCGTCTAATCGTTTTACTCGTTATAATCCCCTTTGATCATAAATCGAACCAAGAACTTCTCGATCTGCATGTCTATTACTCTACTTAGGTTATTTATGTTCCTCGTCAGACAATAGAGTGTCAAGAACAAGCTTGTTCTATCAAAATATTGTTGTTTATTGCTTGCTCATTATTTCTTCATAAATTTCGAGCATCAACCTTTGTAACTTAAATTTTGGTTGCACAGTAAACCCTTGCTAAACGGGGATTTGCAGAGCACGATTTCGCCCGCACGCGTTATCATAACTGTTTCCATTTAATTTTGCCAGTGCTAAAATTTCACTCATACCCAGTTCAATATTTATTTAACAACGCTGAATGATTGCTGACGTCAGCTCTAGTCAGAAATTATCAACAATTTTAAAGGATTTCATCGATTGAAAACAAAGCCAAAGAAATCGCACGAACTCTAAAAAAATTGGCTCCGAAGAATTTTCAGATATGGAAAGAAGAATAAATTAAAACATTGTTCGAGAAATGACGGAAGTAGAATTGGATGATCAACAGCATCTGATGATGAAAGCAGTTGTAATGAAGAAGAAGATAAAGTGGTTTACCTTACAAAAAATTAAGCGAATTGTTAAAAAAAAAAAAAAAAGAAAAAAAAAAAAGAAACAAGAAATGTGCAGCTTTGCAATGAATTTACACAAATGAAGAAAGAAGAAGACGCTTTATGAGAGGTACTTAAACTAAAAATTCCGCGCTTCTTACAGCGAAACTTTTAAAAAGTTGCGACTTCCCCAAGTAAAAACCACCAGCTTTTTAAAAAATAATTATATCACAGATTTATATAGTAGTAATACAAGTCCTTTCAATTAGCATTTATTTCGTTTTCCTCGCAACAATGTTAAGGTTTCTTTAAATTGTACATACTTTCCTAATCTAAATTATTCCTAACGAATGTTTTCCATAGAAAGTTAATTAAGTGTAACATGATTTTTCCGTACGTGCCAGGTATTAATTGTTGAAGGTATTCGTGGTTCATTTTTGTTTACTGTTACAACTTCGCTAAATCGAGACGAGCAGATGAATAAAACAGAATTAAATTTCTTACCTTAATAAAGTGTAATCCAAGCTGCGGAGGTAAGGAACACGATCATTATATTAGCAAACACAAAAATAACATATTTATTAGGTATTAGAAGAAAAAAAATATAGCGATGATTACAAGCGTTGTTTACTGTCCATTGCATAACGCGAGAAGTGAGTCATACAAGGAGAGAATGTTTCTCCTTCTTTTTTTTTTTTTTTTTTTTTTTTTTCGGGGGGGGGGGGGATCAAGTCCAATCACAGTTAGCGGGGGTGAGGGAAGAAACTAACGTCGGAGTTGTACAGCCTCATCACTGTCGTTATGAATTGCTCCACATTAATGACGTAACCCAAGCAAAGATTTACTGTAAGTAATATTTTCCTTGTTGTCAAAGATGTGTTGAGATTATAAATATTTTAAAATATAAAATTTTGTTCCTACATTTAAAGATTTTCAGTTTATTTTTCAGTCTATTCTCTGTAGATGAACCTAACTATAACAATAAAATAATTCTACGTTAAGCTTTTTTAAAAAAAGGTGTGAAAGGATTCAAATTTTTTACATAGCACCAGATGGTTTGCTAAGGTTTTTATGTTCCCAATAATTTTAGAATTCTGGATAGAATGCCACTCATTTTTCTACTTTTTCAGCCTTTTCTCAGTTTATCCTATCAATGGTCAATTTTATTAACAAGATTACCTGTACAACATTTTATTATCTTTTTAACTTTATTATTATTAAGAAATCTTTCTTCACACTTACGCTACATAATACTCAACAACAAAAATCACAAAATTTTTAAAAGTAAGATACGTTTACATTCTTGATACAGTGCCACTAATTTCTTTTCAATCTTTTCTAAGTTCATCATATTACAGTTCGGCTTCACTAAGATTACTTATCACTTTTTTTCTCTCCTTGTAGTATTAATTTTTTGCCTTTTTAATTTATTTATTAAACATCCCTTTCTTAATATCTTTAAATTTCACAAAATAAAAAAAATTTAAAAAAAAAGCTTATTTTTAGATCACAAAACAGTAAAAAAAACAGCTTATTTTTAGAATTCTCAATAGACTGCTATGTCTCGCTGTGCATTTTCTTATATTCGCTATACTATTTCTTTAAAATAATGCATACCCATAACACTGGGTTCACCATCCTTTTATTTGAAAAGTGATACAGAGAAAAATATATTACGGGTCGCAACATTATCAAAACTACAAGATATTACAAAATTATTCAAATTCAGTTTTGTAGCATTATTCAACTATCCTGGAAGAAACTACTTCGAAGCGAAACATGAAAATTACGCGAGAAAACATAGCGCTTACCTCTGCAGAATCCAGTAGCATCCATTGTGTATCCTCTTGGGCAAATGCAGAATCCATAGCCATTGCCTGTGTACACGCACTCTTGATTTTCAGGGCAAGGGTTCGTGGTTGAGCAGTTTCTGCTGACCACTGGTTAAGAAGGAAATAAAACGTGAGTAAAAACTAACAAAAACCTAAGTATTAAAGATGAGAAAATCAAATTTAATTTTTAAAGATTATACTTAAAAGGAAAGAAGTTCTCTGCACTTACATATACAGTATTCTCCATCTTGTACAAATGGAGCTCTGCAACCACAGTGACGTCCTTGGGTTCCATCGTCTAAGCATATAGTGTTGCCTGGACATTCGTTGTCTCTTGTGCATTTTATCACTGGAAGAAAAATACAGCCATGAGCTCGAAAACAAATTAAAATAACAGTCCGAATAACGATTATTCGAGATGTTAAGGCAACAAGATTCAATTGAATATTCTTAAATTTGCAGAAATAGTTTCGAAAGTTTATCCAGTAACAGTAAAACTTCGTAAATTTATCTCCAACTTTAATATCACATTTAGACTTAAATTTATCCTCTTACTCTCAGTCTTAACCCTAATATTCACTCTTAATACTATGAGAATCTAAAGTTTCTAAATTTACAATTTTAACCCCTGTTCACAATATCGTGGAAATCTAAATTTTCTAAATTTGCATTTTTAACCCTGATTTGTGCTTTTAGTATCATGGAAGTCTAAATTTTTTTAATTTACATTCTTAATACCATGGAAGTCTATATTTTCTAAAATTACTCTCTTAACCCTAATTTTCACTCTTAATACACCAGAAATATAGGTTATTTAATTTTGACACTCTTAACTCTAATTCTCACTCTAAATGACACGGGAGTCTAAACTTCAAATTTACACTCTTAACCCTAATCTTCGCTCTCAATGGTATGCGAACCTACTTTTTTCTGGGGAGGGAGGATTTACGCTCTTATCCTTAAATTTCATTCTAATTTCCACTCTTATTACCACAGATCTCTACATTTTCTCAATTTACACTCTTAACCCTAATTTTCATTCTTAACACCATGAAATCTAAAATTTGCACCCTTTACCTTAGCTTTTAAAGCCATGGAAGTCTAAATTTTCTAAATTTAAGCTCGGAACTGTAACTTTCTTTCTCAGTACCATGGAAATCTACAATTTTTTCTTTAAATTTACGTCGCGGAAGGCTAAATTTTAAATTCGTGTACTTAATATCATACTCAAGCCTAAATTTGCACTCTTAAATAACATGGAATGATAGTCTCATTTTGTTTGAAAATTCCGACTTTTGATTATCAAATATATCACATAATTTTGGATTTTGTTTAAATGTGTGCTTTTTAATGAGCTGTTTCTTCGAGTTCCAAGAAAAATGCTGTTCATGAAATAACATATTTTTTGTAAATAAAAATAATAATAAAATAAAATCTGAAAATTTTTAATCTTGAAACAAACGAATTTCGTCATCCGAGAAACGATATTAAGAAACGTTTTGTAACACATTAGGCTAAATTGTTACTTATTTGAGTAACATCTTTTTTTTTACTATAACGTTTTTGAAATAAAATCCTTGTTTTCGAAACCCCTCAGAACTAAATCAAAAATCAAAGACTTTTATATGAAATTATGAAAGATATATTTCGTTTTGTTTTATTTAAGTTTGACTTCTGACAGGAAGATTTGAGATTTCAGATACAAAGATTATTTCAGACATTTTTTTTAAAAATTTAATCGGTTTAGCGCTATTTGAGTATGTTTTTTTATATGACCATTGAGTACACAAGTTAAAACTTGCTTTAACAAACTTGTTAAAACAAGTTACTTGTTTTAACAAGATAATATTCATGAATTCACTTAACACTATAGCATTTCGATACATTTTTATGCTCTTCATTTTTTTAGAACTAAAGTATGTCGTCAACTTACTTTCTGGGTAGCAGATACTGTACGGATTTCCGATATGGCCAGGTGCACAGCGACATATGTAACTGCCTTCCATGTTCAAGCAGAAAGCACGCTGACCACAAGGAGACTTATCGCGCTCTGCACATTCGTTGACATCTAGGGGGAAAAAAGAAAATTAATCAAACATATCTTTCAATCATTCAACAACTGAACAAATCAAAACGTAGAAAAGGTGTCAAAACGTAGAAAAGAACTTAAAGAATTATATTGTGATGTGAAGTAACGTAAAGTCCCCCCCCCGTAATTCAGACAGTAATCAAGCAAATTATAATCACTTAAAGGATTAAATATGTTTCTTTTTTCTAATCATAATGAAATGCCTAAAGAGGATAAATTTCAAAAAAGCTCAACGGACTCAGATTTTAACGGTCCCCGAGCTTTATTAAAATTTAACATGTTTTATCAGTAAGGATTATCCATAGAGATGGCCCGGGTGAAAGAACGAAATAAATTATATGATACCAAAAGAACATACATTTAGAACAAGGGAACGTTTTATATCTTCTGCCTTTTAGAAAAGTGCAAAAAAAAATTATAACGTCACTCAGTAAAAATATTGAATGTTTTTAATGAGATATATTATGAATGAAATGCATTTTTATTTAAATCAATCATATTAAAACAAAAAAATAATTTGTTAAACACTCCACCTTACTGCTTTTCAGTAGCTTAGTTTGGGAATTCGTAACAGATTCCAATGGAAAAAATAAATATATTTCATTTTTTCAAATGGCAACATCTTTGAATGAAAAGGGAAACAATCCATTAAAAGTGGACAACATTTGCAGTTAATAAAAGCAAAATCGTGTTCCGAAACAAATAGTCCTTTTAAGCTTATAATGAATAGTCTTTTTTCCACGATTGATAACTATTCTTTACCATTACCATTTTGTTTTAAATAATTAAAAAATGATATTCATTATGCTTATAAAAGCTACAGTACCTCTGCATTTTGAAGATCCCGGATCTCTAGTATATCCTCTTTTGCAGACACACTGAGGAGTTGCCCCGACGGGCACACATTCTTCTTTGGGTGCACAAGGCCTCGTTTCGGAGCAAACTATTGTCGACGGTTCTGAAACACACAATTTAATACGATAAGACATGCAAATAATTGTGAAATATAAAGGTAGCAAAATTAATTTCAAGGAACAATATCCATTTGTAATTTGCAGTTGGATGCAATATTGTGATAACTATGCTATTTTGTCAATAGCTAAATTTCCCCACTGTCCGATTTCTTCTTGTCTTTCGTTACAATATACACTTTAATAGTTTATGCAAGCGTCATTATTGTACAGTACGCTAGAAGGTAGAGACTAACCTGACCTAGACTGTAGAACAGCCCTTAACATGTAGTAGCAGCTCAACCTTAGATGCGATCCATGGGGGCGCAAGATCCCGGTGGTCAACTCCGGGAGACAGTGAACAAAGGCAGGTATATGAGCGAAAGTCAAAGGCAACCAGGCACCAGCTGGTCACCGAAAGAAACAACGTAAGTTCCCTTAAGCTTGACAAATGGAGGTGACATACCAAGGACAGCCTTTGGAAATCCACCATGTAGCGATCACATAGCCCGAGACACACTTGACAGGATCCGTACGGTTCCTGCCCAGCCGAAACGGACCACTGAAGAATCAATCGGTGCCTATAGTCCTGTGAAGACAATGTGTGTACCACACGTGGCGATGCTGTCTAAGTACATGTCTTAGCCAGCACGTCAAGTGTTAACCCTTGTCGATCCCCGGGAGGAGTCATTACGATACAGTAAAATTTTTAATTCTTTGATTTCTTAATTGCAACTGATGCTGAATCTTGATGAGATTTGCTGCAGCTGAGGAAAGAGATCATCGGGGCCTGACTGCGCCTATGCCTACAAGGTCCAAGCTTAGACGCCCAATTTTTAGATGTTAACGTAATCATTTTAAAAACGCCCATAATTCTGCTTCTCCTGTGGCGGACCGCACAAAGACAAGAAACTCAAGTTGTAGTCCCTTCTCATATTGCAATCTAAACGCCGATGCCAGACAGCAGAGCAATAAGAGGTGTGAAAGACAGTAAAAGGTGTGAAACTATATCATCTGATATTTTAACAGCGATAACTTACTCAATAATTTCTCCACTTGATATTATAAAAATCATTATTTCACAACCATTATTGGAGTATTTGAGAGGCCTGTATTGTACCTGTCATCGAAGCCTCTCTATTTCAAAAGGCTGCTGGACCAATGATTTTTCAGCTCCTCTAATATTGTCTACAACTATAACAAATCAGAGGGCATAAAACGCAACTCAAGAACTAAAAGGACATGACTAATTGACTCACCAAAAAGTGCCAGACAAAGAAAATACGACGGAATGGCTATGAAACTCTCTACAATACTTATTTTTGAAATATATCTAAATAACTGCTTTTATACATTTAAATATTGATCATTAATTTGTTGTTGGTGTTGTTAGTAATACTGTTATAATATTAAGCTTTTCATAGATTTACAATATGTTTGAGTTCGATGTTGCACTTGTATATGCATGTACAGGTAGAAGTGGACAGCACACCATTACTATTGGTCCTAGCGGTATAGTCCCGCTGCACCAACTGTGCAGTTCCACCCCAATTTTGAAGGGGAACCGCCAGAGGCGGCCCAAGAGTCTTCCACCCCTCTTCCCTAATACGATCTATCGGAACTGGTGGTAGAACTTCAGCTCGCCGTTTACTGTGACTGCCCCTTTCCACACAGAGACTATACGCCTTCTACGGGATTCAAAGCCGGACCGTTTGATACAACAGTCCATCACTAACCACTATACTGGTTGGGCAGCCCAGAAAACACCAACCAGATCATCTTCCCTCCAAAGGAGTCGCTCCACTTTCTTTATATAAGCGAGCAGGCTGAACTGAGGACCCTAAAATGTCCTTGTCTTAGACTGTTTTAATAGGATCCTAGGAATCATCGCTGTTGAGAGTGTGCTTCTAGTCAGCCATGATCTGAGATCCCATCTGTGCTGGAGGATGTAAGGGGAAATTTAACCCTCAAACCGGCAGAGGGTTTCGCTACAAAACCCAAAATTTCCCAAAAATGTCATGAGAAAGAAGTATTTTCTAGATTTATGACAGAATTCCTCTGGTACTCTGTATGCAATTTTAATACATTGCCTTAACTTCTTGAATCTATTTCAAGAAGCGCCTATATGTATTCTTAAAAACTAAAGTATTCGAAGCTGATCAGAGGGTTTTAAGGGATAGAAAGCTTCCAGACATAAGCCTTCTAAACTGAACTACAATGGATTCAGTTCTAAACTACTACGGATGTTAACTAAAATGTCAGTCACTACAATGACCTAAATGCAATGGATTCAGTTGACACTTGTTTCAGTGCTCAGAAGTAGAAATCATTGACGACTTTAAGCTCATCGTGTATGATTCGCAAGTTAGCGGAAAATTTACAAAGTTACCAACCTGATTTTATGCATCCTCTGTATGGATCGCCTGTATAGCCATGAGGACAGATGCATTCGTAAGAGCCTGGACCGTTTCTGCAGAGAGCATATTGACCACACACACGAGGTTCACTACATTCGTCAATATCTGTGAAAACAACATACCATTCAATCAAAAGAACACGTAACTGCGGATTAGCACATTATATACTTGATTGCTATCATTTTGAAATGATTTATTTCTTGCCTCAAAAGAGGCTTACCAATAAAGGGCACCATTAAAAATAAATAACTCACCAGTGCATCCCGGTAAGCTGTTGCTGCGGCCTGTATAGCCTGGAGCACAAACGCACACTGGCTCCTTATTCAAGTCCAACTGGCAAGTGGCATGATCGCCACAGAATATGTCATCGCATGGGTCTGTTTAAATGAGAGAACACATTTATAAAGTCAAATAAATTTAAACAGTCAATAATTTTTTTTTAAAAATTGAAGCTTTTCGCCAAACTAAAAGGAATTATTGTTAATGGAAATGATATTTTAGCGTTTTTCTTTTGCTGCACGCTTTATTTACTAAGCTTATTTTCCTATTGTACTAGATGAACAATTAATACACTTTTTTATTCATTCTAACTGCCCAATTCGTTTTTTTAATTTGTTGGTTGACAGAACAACATTTAACAGAGATTCGTTCCAAATTTCGATTTAGGATTTTTATATTTGGTATTAGAGATTTTTATGAATTTTTTTCCTCATATCCTTGCTCAAAGATAAAAAGTACTCAACGTTGAATTTTGATGACGATAGTCATCAGTTAGACTGACGGATAATCTCACCAATGAAGCTTTTTGTGGGGGTGGTTAATGTAATTAACCAATTTGAAGGAATTTATGCAAAATTGGTCAACGAACTGCTAAAAGATTATCAGACAGCATTACCTTTTTTCCACAATGTGAGGAACATATACACATATAGTAGATGCAGCTCAGTATGATCGCGGTTGATGATCGCGGATATTGCTACTAATTGTTGAAGCCTCGCTCATTTGTATACGAAAAAGTCGATAATACATCGTTTATTCGGATCAAGAAGTCGGTTAATATGATGAAAATTTTACAGATTTTTTTAACTAAAGTTAAGTCGCTATATAAGTTCAAAACTGATTATAAAAATTGCCAAGTAACAGAGAAATGTTCTTAAATGAGAAATTAATCACCAAACAGCTTGGTTTCTATTTTAGTCAATCTATTTCAAATTAGGCAAAAAGCAATTCTATTACTGCCGTAGATTTTTAAAAATTAGAATTAGAGACAATCAGACACAGGTCTCATTTTTCCGAAGCAAAAACATTTCTATAGTATTTCCCCTGCCCCTCGAAAACATCTAAGTCGAGCTATTTTTTTCTCGAGTGCTTTGCCATGATTAAATAAATCAAAAAATCTAGATAACTATCGGGTTATCATCATTCAAAACTTAACAGGAAGTTGAACTAAGAATTAAAACTTGACACTTACGTTTACATTCCTCTCCGAAGTATGGGTCTGGACAATAACATTGGTTTCTGCTGCAAACGGAATTTCCTCTGCAAGAGCTGTCATCTCTGCACTGTACAATTGCCGTACCTAAAATTAGAAATCATACCACAGACAGTAAATTAGTTTTCTTACTTAGTGTATAACTGCACCTTAAAAAATGCACAGAATGTATCTTTCTAAAGATAAAAATGGAAACTAATAAAGCGGAAAAATGTAATTCCCAAAACGATATGAGAATTACAATAAAAGAGAACATGTTACCTTAAAATAATTACAGCAATAGGAACCACGTTACCTTAAAATTTTATAAGCAGTTATTTTAATTTTAATATTAATTTGAACAAGTAACGAGTAATAATGAACAGCGAAATAAAATTCGTAGGTTTTATAAGGAGAAGTCTAAATTAATATTCCTTTTTGGTTACATGAATGCAGGAAACGCGAAAACTTTAAAACTTTGAAGCACCCTCGTTGGGATTCAAATCACAGATTTCCCAATTACGCCTCGGACGTGCTTCCAGTTACACCACGAAAGCACGCGAAGGTGAAGGAGAAAATTCCTTATAAATGGGTCATCGGATACGACACATCCCTTATTCGCATAAGTACAACGAATTTTGGTGATTCGCATATATACAAAATTTTTAATTTATGCTAATTCAAATTCGCTCACATTTGAATTTATGTTAAAAGAATTTGCTGTCAATTAAACATAACATTCTGTAAGCACACAAACTCCAAAATATAAAACTTCCTTAGAATTTTTATTACTGCTGCTTTTACGATAATTAATCAAATTTAAATAAACAAATAGGTACACATTTTTTTTCATTTTAGAACTATGCTTCAGTTTTTTAAAGGCAATTAAAAATTAAGAAAATCCGAAAGGATTTAGATTTTAACGGTCGCCCATAGAGGCTCTTTTAAGGATTTATAAGTAGGTATTATGCGTAGAGATAGCAGAGGTAAAATAGCAAAACCTTTTGTGGCACACTAGATGTTTATGCATTGAGAATAACATGGGAATATTTTATATTTTTTGCGTTTTCAAAAAGGAAAAAAATAGAGAATGTCAATCCATAAAAATGCTGAATGTTTGTAATATGACGTATCGTCAATGAAATGCATTTTTATTTAAATCAATCCGATTCAAAAGTAAAAACAAATATAGTTACAAATTTTGTATAATTGTAAATAAGTTTATTGAAATTATACGTAAATTGTACTATGTAGTAACTTTATACGTAAATTGGATTGTACTATTAATTGTATTTGCAGAATGCAACATGAAAAGGCTCAAAATGCTTGGCAGGGCCGGAAATATAGGGTTAGAGGGGTCAGTCAAGTTAACATTGAGGTAAATGGCTATCTCGCCAAACTGGCAAGATAGCACTAAGCTGACGATGATTTTGGCGACTAATTTTATCTCCAAATTCGGCGAGAAATCGTCAAAAGTCGAGAAGCTCAGCGACCATTTGGCGACATTTTGGTGCTAACCCTTTATAACTTTAGACGACTAATTTTATCTCCAAATTTGGCGAGAAATCGCCAAAAGTCGAGAAACTCAGCCACCATTTGGCGATATTTTGGTGCTAACCCTTCATAACTGTAACTGTGTATAGCTTCCAGGAATTTCGGGAAACGAAAGTACTGAAAATTTCCTGGCAACAGGGAAAAGCTATATAAGACCGGATAGAGTATCATTTTTAGTTTTAGTTCAGAGTACTGAGTTCAAATTATTAAGAGATCACCGTGCGATCATTGCCTTACGTTTACGAACCCGTATGCACGTAACCAACACTAAGAACTGCATCTGTTGCTTTGAAATAACTTAAATTGTTAATCCACAATAGAAAGATTCAATTGGAAAGATAAATATCTTACATTTTACCGGATGGCAACAGAGTCGAATGAAAAGTGAAACAACGGAAAATTGTGTTTCGAGACTAATAAGTCTTTTGGGCTAAGAATTATAAATGATAAATTATAAAATTTAAGTGTGTAGGATCTATAAAATTAAAAAAGTGTAGAATAGTATTCTATTTTTCTACGTACATCGAACGAATGGGTCTCCTGATGTTCCGGGTGGGCATCTGCATTCGAAACTTCCAGGTCGATTGGTACACACAGCTGAAATGCCACATTTGCCATTCGGTCCAAACGCTTGAGAACATTCATTAATATCTGTTCAAAGAATTATAACATAAGTTTAGAAAAACGGCTCAAGCAAAAAATATTTAATTTTCAATATTACCAAAAATATCGACATTTTTCGCCAGGTGTGTTAATTAGCTTTTTTCGTTACCTTGGCATTTAACTCTTCCGTTTCCGGAAAACCCTGATGGGCATGTGCAAGTGAAACTTCCCAATGTGTTTGTACATGTTGCTCCTTCTCCACATTGGCCACTCGGTCCGAAACGTCTGTCGCACTCATTGATATCTGAATTCAACAACAAATAATTTTTAATACAGCGTTGAATACATATGAACGCTTTTCTATAGAAGAATACATTTAAAGTCATTGAAGTCGTCTACAGTCATTAATAAATAAAGGTAACAAAAATGCTATTAAAAATAGAGTTCGCAAATAAGACATGCAAGTATTTTATGTCAAATAACCAATTATTATGATTTGTAACTTTATTATAACTTCTCCTTTACGTAGTCCTTAATATAATGCAAATTAGTAGCATGAGTATCTAAGCCGAAGGTTTTAATGGATTAAAATTAGAACTTTTGGCAGCCTCGTTTGCAGTTTACGTCCTATCGCCAGCTCTGTAAAAGTTGATTCCGCCTTTAACCGTTTTGCTAGCCGACGTGTAAAGCGCACCTTGAAATGTTTGACAGGTTAAGTAGACCATTTTGTGTAGTCCTTCGGCTGAATTTAAATTGTAACTTATGTTATTTCAAATGCCTGCAACTAGTGTTCGAGAACAGAAATGTATTCTCGAACAAGGTGTATGTGAACAGCTTTTTTTCACAGTTGAAATTCAATAAGAAAAGAGCCGGATTGATGAGTTAGCATCTATAATCAGACGAAGATAGTTTATAATAATTTTTCTCTGATGCTAGAAAATTATCAGAATCGAAAGGCCCGCCAGTATCAAGGTGAAGTAAGAAATTAAAGAAGTTTATAATTATTTACGAACAAACATATGCTTAATTTAAATTTTAATTAAAACTTATTTAATGATTAATTAAATATATTAGAAGAATTTTAAACAAATATCAGCTGAAAGTTTATATATTAATTAATATTAATATCTGAATATATTATTAATATTTAAATATATTTAGATTAATATATTTGAATAACAAAATGTAGCTGACAAAAATATCTTGCAGATACCAACTTAAAATTTCAGACGGATAATAATAAATTCCTTCCCCCTTCGCGATTTTATTATTATTATTATCTATTTGTATTTCGATGAAAATTTATTAAGAGAAATTTAAAATTATTTTAAAACATTTTTGTTAAAAAATTCAAAATTTAATTAAAAAAAAAAGGGGGGGTCAGCGTTTTCAGAACGTGTGCAAGTTTGAACGTGTGGAATTTTTGCCCGCCGGCATGTACGACCACTGACATGCAATATTCGGCATATATGAACGTTTTCTATTGAAAAGTTAGTGGACTTTCCGAATTGCTCGATATTCTCGGTATATACATAAATTTTAAGGTTTTTAGCAAATTCATCAGATGTCTATGCCCACCTTTACTTTTATCTACGACTTCTGATGCCCAATATAAATTCTCGTACATTCATCTCATAGCATACTTATTTTTTTCTTTTAACAAACCGTAAATTATAGAAAAATAATATAGAAAACGGAATTATAGAAAAATAATATAGAAAACCGTAAATTATAGAAAAACGTCAGTGAAAACAGAAAAAAAAATAAATAAAAAAAAAATAAAAAATAAATAAATAAATAAATAATAAAAAAAATACGAGTTCGTGACTTTGGACTGATGTCGGAGAAATAAAACGCCCAAAAGAGTCGAACAACAACCATTCAAAGCAAAAGAAAAAGTAACTTCTTTTGCTTACATACACTACACACATATACATACCTTCACAGTATCTGAAAGGATCCCCCGTGAATCCTGGAGGACAATAACAATGGTAACTTCCAGGTACATTGCCGCAAATAGCCCCTTGTCCACACAGACCTGATGGACCATGGATGACATCACATTCGTCGATGTCTGTAGGTTGGAGGGGAAAATATGAAGTCAGGGAATCATTCATGCATACAGTGCACAAACAAACATTAACTGCTGTTACATCAAGATGAATATGCGAAAAGGAAAAAAAAAATTACCTTGGCATCCAGCTGCGATGTTCTGTGGATCGAAAGTGTAGCCCAGATTGCAAATGCAGGCGGCTTCTTTTCCATTGGCTTGGCAGGTTGCATGTTCGCCGCAGTCCACATCTGCACAAGGAGCTAAACAAAGAACAAATATTCGGTTACAGAGAAGACGTTACAGCAATTAAATTCGTGGGTTTAACCCCTTAAGTATCACCGATGTATATATACGCTCTTGTAACTCTACACCAGAGGGAGGGGATCAAAGTTCATGCCAATACAGGCGCATGTTGGAATTCAGAAAAGTTCTCGTGCCGCAACTAGATTTTCCAAAAGTTACGAAGTTCATATTTACACCATTTTAAGAGTAGTGAAATAGGTTTCAAATAGAAAGAAACGTCTAATTCTAAGCAATCATTCGATGGCAGTTTGCCTTCAGCATGTGATAATACATCGAAGACAAGGCGAAATTTTGTGATGTTACAATATGATGTAGTTAAAAGTACTGCTTTTCAAACTATGACTGAAGTATAGTGTACCTGATATAACGTATTGCATAATGTATTCTCCAGAGTAAAGTTTCATCTGTAATTACTATATCATCTAATAACAAAATTTAATATTCTACAGTGTGCCTGCATGCTTTATGTATGTTTATTTGCGCATTTTACATGTGATATGTGATCTAAATGTGTCTAGATGATCTAAATGTGTCTTTAGTGTAAGTGTATACTATATATTAGCTTAAATATGTTTCATTATAAGTATTGTGTTTTACTTGTATAATGTGTGCAAACTAGTATCTAATTTCTATTTTTATATAATGTGCTTACATGTTTTATATGTGTTATATATGTGCTTTTATATGCGTTTTACAAGTGTTTTGTATGTATCTTTATATGTGCAATTGTATGTACTTGTATGTGTATGTATATGCTGTAATTAGTGTCTAACAGTGTCTAAAAACCAAGATGTAACAAATCATCCGCCTATCGATCAAAACTAATGTATTCCTAAGACGCTTCTGTATGGCCATGTACAATTACGTAAAATTCTTCAATAAACTCCCAAGGTGGCCTCATGAGGCTCCTGGGAGTTGCTGCCACTAGATAGGGGAGGGCGCGGGACATATGCCTGTTTACCTCTGTTAAACATCAGGCGTCCCCGTCCTCCGTCACCTGTCACCTGTCATCAGATTTATGAGAAATGAAGGATAAAGCATCTGCAAGCCTCCATCCATCCATTTGTCAAAGCATCCACAAGCAAATCTAACTTTTAAAGGTTTTCGTTACAAAATTGCTTTATAGAATTGGTATAATATTTTTATTTATTTACTTATTTATGTTTCTAAATAAAATATTTTAGTTTCATAACTAAACAAGAAATGCAAAATAATTACGTTTGGACATTGATCAGTTGAAGTTTACTAATAAATTTTTAAAAAGAAATGAAACAAATTAATTACTTTCTTTTGAACATTGAGTAGTTTTATTTTGCCGTATTTCATACATACATACTTTATTTGCATAAGAACCGCGCCATTCGCCTGCAAGCCAACCTCTTCTGCTCTATACATAAATTGCCGCCATTAGAGGGTTAATTATCCCACAAGCCTGTTCAATCTTCTTCTAAATAAAGAAGAGAATACTCCGCTTACTGATTTGGGAATCACGGGCTCTTAGAGTTAAATACCGCGGCTTCAGATATGTCGCTGGTATAAAAATGTTCTCAAATATTATTGGGAATTATGTCGTGGTACAGATATCTTAAAATAGGGAATCTAGTTTATGTTCTAACTTCTTTTACTTACGACCTGTAAACATTTAATTTTTACTAAGCAGGACTCTTTGAATAAATGATCTCAGCAGTTTTGGCAAACCACCTCAGAGATTTTCTTCCAAAATGTCTAAAAATTGTAGCAAATTTTGATTATAGGTCATCATTTATGCCATACTTACTATACTACAAGGTTTGCTCTTTTCGACCAAAGTCAACCAGCGTGATGAATTTGACGTCTTGCTCCAAAGCAAGACCTACTTCTGCGCGTAAAGAAATGTCACTGAGATAATAGATAAGACACGTCAAAGTCTCAAGCGTCGAATATTGAACCTTGTCTCTCTGTTGACCTTGATTTATACTGCCGTAGAAAAGCCAAGATCGTAGCAACTTTTCCCGCATTTACTATCGTAAGATGTGTCGACAGTACGGTACAGGGATCAGGGGATTTTTAGCAAATTAAGAAACTCGATAACCTTCCCAAACAGTTGTTACCATTTCTACGAGGTAAGCTTGGAGGATGGGAAAAAGATCTTGAAGTGTCGTTTCTAAAGTAACAGGCTACAATAAAAGCAAACTTATAGAACTACGTAAATACTACATACATTAGTGTGATAAAAGGATGTTAAAATGCATGATACAGTATATGTAGTGTCATATAAGAATAATTATACTTCAATTTAGATTAATTCACTGTAACTCAGTTAGCTGATAATGCGGTTGTTAAGACTGTTTCAAAATATCCGTGGTACAGCAAACCCTTATTCCACTGAAAAGCAAAAATTGAAAACAGGGAAATGTGTCATTTTGATTTAAAAATCTTAAGGAAGAATTCGGAACTTACATTTGCAAGCGGCTGTCGGGTCCCCAATAAGATTGTCAGGGCAGACGCATTCGTAACTTCCATCGTTGTTGATACATTTGGCATTCTGTCCGCAAGGGAAACGACCGAACAAACATTCGTTGACGTCTGTAAATAATAAACAATATAAAGCTCGGGCCAAAGAATTAAACTTAGTTTGTTGAAATTAGCAATAGCAATAAACTGTCTGTAAAGAATTCTTCATCTTATGCTTTAAGAAAAAAAAAAAAAAAAAGAAAAAAAAAAGGTATTCAAAATGTATCAGCACTTATCGGTCCAGTACAGCACTCATCTTCAATCGCGTCAATTATTTTGAATAACTACATATATTATCCGATTAGAAATACTTTACCTCGGCAGTGACTTTCAGGATCGGAAGATATTTTTTCGTAACCCTGCTTGCATTCACATCTGTAGCTTCCAACGACATTTTTGCAAACAGCCCTACGACCGCAAATGTTAGGTGTTCTGCACTCATCGATATCTGAAGGAAAACATAAAAATAAAGTAAGCATACATAAACAAAGGTAAGTAAAATATATATTTAAAACCTCTCTGACAGTTGCTATTTTCCACTACCAATTAAGCGCGTCAGGAAATTAAATTCACGATGATAAAGAATATTAGTTGTATTGTTTTCTGTAATGGCTTGGTGATAAAATGGATTTGACGCCTTTTCATATTGGTGGCAAACAAAAGGTTATCAGCCGCTCAGACGGTGTAGTGGAGTCTACCGCGGTGCCGAAGGGACCGGGTTCGAATCTCGGAGCAGGCATGGATGACTGTAAATGTATATTGACTTTGCGGCTTGTGGGTACTCTAAATATATGACGAGCTGAAAGCCCTTTTGTGTGTAAATCGGACCATCAATTTTGTTTCGTTTGATTATAGCAAAGCACTCGAGGGCTATCAGCCTAAGGGAAGGGATGCTTTGAGAAGGGCTTTCTAAGAGAAACATATGAGAAATATGGAAGAAACCCAGAAAATGCCTATACAGTCAGCCTGTTTGCCAAGATATGAACCCGGACCGAAATACCAGTGTTCAGCGACTTTCCCGCTTGACCACTGGTGGGCTTTGGATCCATCAGGAGCTGGCAAAATTTTACGTGTGGAACGAATGGGAAAGCTACACAGGCTGTCTATTTACGATATAAACAAAATGAGAAATTAGAATATTTTTTTTATTTGTGTGCATAAATATTTAGGTTAATTTAATTTATTTAGCGGCGTTTGTGAATTGGGATTAAATATTTATGAGAATAAAAAAAATATAATTCAACATTGGAACTGCGAGACAAAATTCTGTTCTTGCACGAAATTGATTCTTTTATTCATGTTTTAAGAACGAAAGTATGAAGTTTTTTATTCGGTGAAGATTATTTTATCATCTTTTGACTTACCAACACATTCAATGCCGGAAACTTGAAATCCAGACTTGCACTGGCACCGACCGCGAATACACTGAGCGTTTTCAGTACAGTCGTAGTTGCCTTGACAACGGACATCAACTTTAACTGAAAATAAAACACAGTGAAAAAATAAATTTTATAAAAATATTTAGAATCATTTTGAACAAGAAGACAAGAAGTAAAAAAAAAAAAAAATCTGAAAGGTTTCAGATTTTAAATTACTTCCAAAAGAGCGTTTTTTTTAACGATTTGTGTTATCTTTATTTATTAAATGTCATGTTCTTCGCCCTTAAACTATAAAATTCTGTTCAACAGCAATATCGCAAAATAATTTTTAAATGATCATATCTTTAGAATTCTCGACACGCAGTCTCGCGCACTGTAGATTAAAATGTTTTTTTCTGTACAACATTGCCATTGCTCGCTTTGAAATCCTTGATTTTGTTAATCAAAAATTAGTTAAAGTTTTAAAAAATATGAAATCATTAATAAAACAAATTCCAAAGTTCAAATTTGGGTTTCCAGATGCCTATATTCGCAGTAAGGATTACATCATTCAAAATTGGATGGCTCTCTATTTATTGTTCTTATCCTTGAAAAATTCCTTTTAATTTGAAAGGAATTAGTTTATCCGTTTTATAACAGGCACGAAGAAAAGACAACTATTCCTTGTAACTTCAGTATTTTGTCTTTCTAACCGAAAAAGATATGCTAAAAATTTATTTATTTCAATGTTGAGAGTTATGATACGCTTTTCGATATTCAAAGATTACTGTGATATAAATTCATAGCAGCATACCTCTTGTGCAAGCTTCTCTTGCGTTGCCATCGTAACCTTCAACACATTTGCATTCAAAACTGCCTGGAATATTTCGACAAATGGCATTTTCTGGACATGGATTTTGCAAGCATTCATCAACATCTGAAAATAAAAAGTGAATAGAAGCGTATTACAAATACAATAAATTCATACCGTAAGAAATTGAAATGTAATGTGCAATACTGAGAATAACATTTTTACAGATAATTAGTCTTGACTTTAGAAACCGTATACGTATAATCTATGAGTTGTATGTACATCTGAGGAAAAAATTGTGAAATTTAAAAGCGATGAAAGTGCTCCTTAATATTTTTTTATTTTTATTTCATTATTTAATAATATGTATAATTTCTAAGAATCATGATCCTTTTTCTGATAATTTTATAAACGTTAATGTCACTGACATTATCAATGAAAAGCGTTGCTATCGCCATTATTATGTACATTGCCACAGAATATTATTATGTATATTATTATGTACATTGCCACAGAATTTTTGGAAAACAGCGATTATCATCGAATATATTGATTTCATTGCGATAAAATTGTTCGTTTCTAATTCTGCATCATATATTTTAGTGGCAATATGTTTCAATTGATATATCATGCGGTTAAAAAAAAAGAATTTATTAGAAGTATCACAAACAAATAAAATCCAGACAATTAGAAGTATCGTAAAGAAATAAAGTCTTTCATTCTAATCTACTATATCTAAAATGCAAATAAAAAAAGAATTTTTTCCCTGTTGCCATACACAGTTCATTAAAGTCAATGATTCTTTTACTATTTTTTTCACTTGCCACTAAGCGAAGTGAAAAAGTCTCTTCATATCGGAACACAATTATTGTTTTCATAACCTCTACAACGGCAATAATTTAATTAATTTTAATTATTTAATTTATTTTTTAAATAACACATCCGTATGATGCAATTTATAATATTCAAGCAATTTTTATTTTGTGTTCTTATATGGCCATATTTGATAACGTATCTATATAATATAATTTATATATTTATTATGTATCTGTACGATATAATTAATAGCCATTATAATATTATAATATAATTTGTAACATTTTAAAAGTCATGTATTTCATTAATGCAAACACAAAAAGACATTAAACAAGTAGGGAAATTAATACGTGGCATTAGCAGAGTTCTTACTAAAAAAGAAATAAAAATATTTATGATACTTTTAGGTTTAAGCAATTAATTGATGGTTTGGGAAATGAGAAAATTTTCTGATACCTGTACAAGCTTTGAGTGCATTTCCAGTGTATCCCTCAAGGCAGCTGCAAGTGTATGATCCTATGTTATTAAAACACTGTGCGTTCCGTCCACATGATCCAGGCTTCAAACATTCATCCTCGTCTAAATTTATTAAGAAAAAATTAAGTTTCGGTAAAATGGGTAATAAATAAATATAATAGTTTTACAAAAGCTACAGAACATAAGATACACAATCAAACTGTTGTTTTACTGCATAGAACTAAATTATCTTTAGTTTTATTATTTATTTATACTGCTACAATTTAAACTAACTGCTAATATAATGAAGAGCCCGTAAAATCAGCATAAAAGCTTTTATTTTGAAATTTTAGGCTAATGCGAATATTTGTTTAGGCATATATAAAGAACATTTGCATTATGAAAAGGCGTTTTCAACGTTATTTTCGTTAAAACAAGTAAAAACAGCTTTAGTATAAAATAAAAAAAGTTTTCCCTCAAACAAAAATATTAATTTTTTAATGACTTTAGTAAAATCAAGCGATTTTTTAAAATTAAAGTAATTTTTAATAACTTAGATATAATCTAAAACCCAGAATTGGCTAAATAATTAATGATATATTTCTCTAATAAAATTATTAAAAAAATATTTAAAATGTGGTGATACGATTCATATTTTAAGTAGAGGGAAAAAAGGAAAGGAAACGTGTTGCTGACTTCCTTACTTAAAAAAAGGAATTGCTTTTAAAATCTTATAAAGTAAAAAGAAATTCTGTAATACATTATATATTATTTCTAAAAAATATATATATATTTCTTAAAAAAGCACAGATTTCTTTAAAATTATATACATTTCTTTAGTGAATATCAAAAACGTATATATTAGTTAAATTGGAACATTAATACCTTATTTTTTTCCCTCGTGTATTCTTCTTCTTTTCCTTTCCTTTTCATTTTTTACACTAATTTTATTGTCCGATAATACAGACAGGAAATTTATGCGAATTATGTAATTTCATGAGACCGCGGTTTCGTAACAAATGAAAAAGAGTCATAGATAAACTAACAGTAACTATCACAATATTATTTCTTTAAAAGAAACCTACAGCCCAATAAGAATACACAGTTTTATTGGCATTTCAATAGCTAATAAAATATTTTCATTTGAACCTCCCTGTAATTTCAATCTCGCCCGTTCTTATTGTCATATCTACTACTTCTTAAGCCTCAAATCATCCGTAAATAATTAGAAGAGGTGAATCGGCAGTCGAATCGGAAACATGGTTGACGGATTGTCAGTTCGCGATCCCTTCGTCGTGTTGGGTTGGTTGTTGTAATAGACTGGTGTAAAGTTCAACAATTATAAGAGAAGTAGATTACGACGGCTTGTCTTTGTGATTAAGACGAAAACAATCCCCACTTGGGCAAATCCATTTTAAAATTTAGGGGAGCTCGTTCTCAGAACACATTTTGGAAGAGAAAAATTGCTTAAATATGTTTTGTATTTTCACAACCTAATGCTAAAATCCTAGGGGGGGAATACAAATGCTAGGGGAGAAGCAAATACGGCATATAATTTTAAAAACAATGCATTTTCCCTTGAAATCATATACGATTCTTTTATGGATGCTAAAAAGGTATACATTTTTTAAAAAAAGAACATACACATACATATACATATATATTTCTTAAGAAAAATGCATAATTTTAAAAAGAAACATATTTCTTTTTAAGAAAAAGATCATAAACATTTGCTGTAGTATTTTCCCACCAAATTGATTTAGAAAAAAAAAAAAATAATAATAATAATACTAGTGAAATCATTCAGTTAAGCAAAAATTATCTAACTTCAATAAATAAATAAATTAACAACATACGGTATTAATACCATTTTATCGCAACTAAAAAATAAAAAAAAAATAGTCATAAAATTTACACACCGTGGCATCCAGCTGACAAGTAAGGATCGCCTGTATGACCTGGCTTACACCTGCACGTGTAACTTCCTGGTGTGTTGGTGCACTCTGCGTTGACACTGCAGGCGTGCGGGCATTCGTTGATGTCTGCAAGGAATAAGAAAAAGCATTTCTTTCGAGCTCGTGATTGCATATTTTTTAATTTCTTCACAATCTTGCTTCATCCAAAAGTCAAGCGTTAACCTTGGGTATTACTCAAGTTCTTCCGGAACAAGTACTAAAACGTTTTAAATACTTTACACTCGTGCACCGAAGATGTCTGATGAATAGCAGTTGGTTTGGTTTAGGGGATCCGTTTTAGATTTATTTACTGAAACTAAATGGCAACAGTTTGGCCTTAAGGAAGGGACTGGGTTTACTCAACTTCTTTCTCTAACTTAAGAAAACTAAAAAATTATTAAGTTTTTAAGTAAATGTATTAATAAATTTTGAGTTTCCTTACTGCTGTAATGTATCTTTCAGTTATATGGCTTTGAACTGCCCGGCTGCATTCACATTAGAAATTATTTTTTAGTAATTTTTTAGTGCCGTCTTAACAGCAATATGGACTCCTGCGCAAACCAGAGTACTCAGGCCCCTACGAGAAACAGTCGCAGAAATTAACTATAAATGAAATGTAAATGGATTAAATGGATTAGCATGGGGCCCTTATTCTCATGGGGCCCCGGGCGAGTGCCTGGCCGGCCCGTGCGGTATGATGGCCCTGAGTATTGTATGAAAAGTTATCAAAGGATCCACAGTAATGAGCAATCATACTATATCGTCACTGACGGTCCCAATCAGAATTGCTTTGCGATAGGAATGTTGTATTGTATTTTGTTGGAGAACAATCTGAAACAGATTTCTGAATTATGAATAAATCATTTTCAATACACTCCTATTATGATTACTACTGCCATATGACACATCGTCTTTTATCGGTGAAAAGATAAATTAAATATTCATCCTTTGACCAATAAAAAACTCTCTTCTATCAATTCGTCTCTTGAAAACCACAGATTCTTTACCTATTTGTTTACTTACTTTTCTAAATTTTTTAAGATCTTTGCGCACTTTTGAATTACTTCGTACATTATCTCTCATTTTGTTTACAATGCAGCTATTTTTAATCAGTTTGTCAATGCTTATTAATTTATGCAATTTACGATAAAAACAGGTTAATAACAAATGAAGCAGAGATAGGGCTTAAACCTTCAGTGAAACTTCTGTCATATATTAATTATTATCTTCAATGTCTAACGTCTCCTATACAAAATATAGTGTATATATTGTGAAAATATATAGTGTTTCCTATACAAATTTAAATCTTGAAACTGAACTCGCATTCTACGTATTTCTATAGTCAACCTTTTCTACTAGCAAATGAAAAGGCAAAAGAAGCTGCCATGGCCCCGGAAACTCCAGAGTCACCCCTCCACTTGCGGCTTCATTACTTAAAAAGCGCACATGGCAAGACCTGCTCATGCAATGGCAATATAGCTGGAACTCCGAATGTTCAGGGAGACGAACCTTTAAGTTCATCTCAAAAGTCTCAACTTTCCCTCCTCAGCTCTACATATTTTATCACCTGGTTCATAACAGCCCATGGTCCTTTCATGACCTATCTTCAGAGTTTCGGTCTGAATCAAACATAACCTATGTGACTGGGGCCAAATAGGACACCTAAACTACTATATATTCCGCTGTCAACAATTGATCGAGGCTCAAAAAACAAACCCCACAAAATTTTGCCAGGTTGGACGAAAAATCTAAATCGTAGCAAATCAGCTCTCAGAAAGCCACTCCAGACATTTAAACAACTGCAGTTGTAACTCAGCAAGCATTTCCCGAAAGAGCACATCATAACAGGATCCTGCTGACACAACGTACTTCTTTATGCTTTTATATATAAAACATCAATATGAAAATTATATATATATATACATATATATACATTTATGTCAAAATTATGAATTAAACATTAATGTACAAATCACGAACAATTTATTATACGTATATATTTCAAAATTATGTATTGCTCGAAGCACTAAAAATGTAACATGTCATAAGAAATGTAAGAATGAAACCACGCAATTTTTTTAACGAAGACAATAAATACCGCCAGGATGACTTCAAATCCGATTGGTCTACAAAACCGTAGGTCGGATGTCATCTCGGCAAAAAGTTAACTTTTCCTTTCTACTTATTCCTCTCTATACAGAATTTTATGAAGTGTGAAAACTTACCCAAACATCCTGTCGTCGGATTTCCGGTGTATCCTTCCGGACACTGACAGTAGTAACCACCCACGGTATTAACACACTGGGCCCCTTTCCCGCAAGGAGGTTTGGGCCCCCAACATTCGTCGATGTCCACACATCCGGCTTCTGGAGTCGGGTTGCCTTGATATCCTCTTGGACAACTGCAAGTATAGCCGCCTTTCGTATTTGTACATTGAGCTCCAGCACCACATGGGTTTCTACGACATTCGTCCAAGTCTAGGAAGAGTCAAATTACGTCAGATAACGATGTAAGAATTAAAGTGTTCACTTATAGTTATTAAGTATACTTTGAAATTATAACGCGTAAAACAAAACATTTCCGCTTGATTGAGACGAACTAATTTATGTGATGTGTACTATGTTCCAGATAAGCCATAATTGTTAAGATATCCACTGCAATAGAAAAATACATGCGTGATAGATATAGTATTTATGGCAGCAATGGTATCAAATTTATTTACATAGTATAAGCAGCTTTACCTTTTTGACAGCTGAAACGCAAACGTCCCAATTAGTGGATTTTTATCTACTACAAGCGATGGATGCTTATGTGCTTATTTTCCAGGTGCGATATGCAATTAAAGTGAAACTTTCTGGTTAATGTCCGTAAAAGGTTTAAATGCATGACAATAGACTTCCTCAAATTGTTGAGAAATTGGACTTTCATTTTAGAGACCTCTTAACTTTCGATCTATAGTCTTGCTATTTCGCTCGCCAATTTGTTAATCTAATACTTTCATTTGGTCCCCGCGTAGATTTATCTGGTTCAAGCGTCATCCAAGAATCTGGTCCAAGGTTAGTTTAGAATGTTGAAATACTTTCATCTGGTCCAAGCGATGAATTCTGTTACTTCTTGTTTTTTAGCTTTGAAATGCAATTAAAGCGAAATGTCCTGGTAATGTTCGTAAAAGGTCCTAAATCAAGATAATACGCTTCCTCGCGTAGTAAAAAATTTCGCTATATTTTCTTGACTTTTTGCTGCGCAGTTTTCTCCTCTCCACTCTGCTGAATATATTTCGCAGAGGATGACAGTTCTAGCTAGATATTATAACTTAAAGACAATATAGACTTTGCTATACAGCAAATAACAAATTTTTACCTGAAGGACATTTAACCTGCGTTAACATTGGTATTTTTATCTTAACTCCAGTAGCAATTTCATCAAAGTAAAGTATAACTATCAAGTTGTTTGTACAGCCCTAAAGCGGAAACACTTTTCTTACCTTTCATATTATTGAGGAATATAATCTTAAAATGTTTACCTGGTCAACAACTAAAAACTTACCGTAACATTCTCTGAATGGATCACCATCATAACCCAATGGACAGAAGCACTTATAGCTGCCTGGTATATTTTCGCACTGGGCACCGTGGCCACATGCATTGGGGTCTAAACATTCGTTTATATCTAAAGGAAGAGATAAAAATGGTTACAAAAATTTAATCATAAAATTCATCTCTGTAATGAAATGAATAATATTCATATTTTCAAGATTATGAAAGACCGTATTTTTCTAAGAATCTTCTATAAATCAGTACCAGTCTTCAAAAAATCTGAATAATAGCCATCTCTGTAAAACTGCACAATATGGCCATTTTGCAGATTCTTAGAACTTTAAGCATTAATTCTTTCTAATGAACACTGAGTAATCAATATTCACATTTTCAAGAATCTGAGAGATGACCAGTTACTTTTTAAGGAATTAAATAATATCAGTTTTTCTAAGAAGTTGACAGATAGACATTTTTGTAAATATCTGCAATGTCGATATCCATTTTCATAATAATACAACTTCTAAATCTAAATTAGTATTGTATTTTTTAAGAATCTGAAGAATTGATGCCCATCATTCTAAAAATCTGAAAGAGGGACATCTTTTTAAGCATTTGGAAAATCTACATTCCAGCTTTTTTTTTGGGGGGGGGCAATGATGAATGTCCATCTCTCTAAGAATTTGTAGTATTGATGCCCATCTTTCTACAAATCAAAATAATCTTTGTCTTTTATGTGACAATATGAAAGATGGCGTTTTTCTAAACATTTTTCAGCCAGAATTTAGTTTGTAAGTTCTGTTTATTAAGAATATGAAAAACGAACATCTTTTTGAAAAACCAGTACTCATTTTTCTGAGAATGAGAAAAATGGACATTTATGTAATAATGTACAGAATGGACATACGCATCTGTTGATGAAGCTGTAAGATATTAGAAATTATTAGAAAGACAGACGTCTTTTAAATAATTTGACTTCTTTTTAATTTCTGATGAGATATAAAATATAAAGATTTACCTGTACAAGCGACTGTTGCATTTCCTGTGTATCCTGGACCACATTTGCATACGTAATGTCCGGGCAAGTTACAGCACTCAGCGTTTTCGACGCAAATGGCAGCAAGGGATGGTATTTCGCATTCGTTAATATCTGTGGGAAAGAAAAAAAAAAAGACATTTGAGTTGTAAGACAGCCCGCTGAGTGAAATCTTAAAAGGTTGTATTATATTTAAAAGAAAATAATTGCAGGAACATCCGGTGAGTGAAACGTAGGGTGGTCGACGTCTACAGTCTCAAGGACATCGTAAAGCAGTTAAAGAATCCTTTCGTTCTCAGTAAGTTAAAAATAACGAGGTCACTTTGCAGTATGTTGGATATTCTGAATTAAGACTACAGTACAATTTTGCATCAAAGGGTAATCAATCAATAGTTAATTCCCAAGCAATTAACAAGAGGTGGATAATTAAAATTACTGAACAGACACGTTAGACACTAAATATTGGTTGTTCGTTGCAAGGAATGTTTATGCTAGACATATTAGTATCAAAATGGTATATAGGACTGTTGTTCTTAAAAAGTTAAAGAACGAAACGAATGATTTGTATTCTGGTTGAATAGCATTTTCATTTATAGTTAATTTCCCGATATGCCCTACAGAAATTGCGATTTTAACTCTTTTAGGTTACTTTTTGTGGGATTATTTGAAATCAATGGTCTACGTCAGGGGTTCCCAATGCTGCCGGTATTAAGACTTCCCCTTTGGGGGTCAATAAAATTTTAAAGGAGATCAGTGATGATCAAAGGGGACGATTGTAGATCGGTAGCCAAATATCCACGTGCAATTGATTGGCAGAACGAAGATCTCATTGATTACAAAGAAATATTATTACTATTATAAAATTGATAAATAATTATTTATTCATGTAAAACTGTATCATGCAGCAAAGGAAGAAATCATATAAAATAAGTCCAAGGAAAAAAATACAAAAAAATATTTAGTCTATTATAAAAATCAATATTTTATAAAGTATACAAATTTTTTATGGAAAAGGTGCAACAGAAAAATGTTAAACACAGGAACACACGAAAACGTAAAAAATACGAAGAACGTCAAACTTCCTCAGAAGATATATTGTTATATACCAGCCGCTTACAAAATTTAAAAAATAATAATAATAATGTTTGCTTCCAAGGCATTGAAAATTTGAATATGTGACCATGGCTTATAGAATTGCGATATATTCATTATGATGCAAGAAGAGTTGATCGCATTGAAGTAAGATGTTAATGCACAAGTCTTACTCAAAATACACGTGTACGCAACATTGTGAAATTTAAAAGTTATTCGATAGAACTCCTCCCTAATAAAGGTTATTACCGAATAAACATTACTGACTTTTCTCTATTCTCATCTTTTAGAAGGAGGCTTTAAACTGTCTAATTGTGTTTGATGGGAGTCCTGTCAACATCAACATCACCAAAAGAAATGTGCAGTAATGAAGACAATTTCAAAGTATGATTACTTTCAGTGCTGCTAAATTTATCCTTATAATTACAATCCTTAAAGAATTCCACCGAAAAAGTGTCAATAGCCATTTGAAAAACTTTGCAGAATGGGAAATGGCACCATTAGGGAAGCCAAAACAAAATAGAAACATCCATGATTCGCATATTCTAAATTAACTATACAGAATTCGTTTTGAATCATTTGCCTTGAGTGTAAGTAATATTTTCCCGTGTGAATGAAATTTTAAAGCACTAATTTGTTTGCTAAAATTGAATGCTACTCGAACACTTTACGAAACAGGAAACTACAGTCATTAGCCGAAAAGAAATAATATGAAGTCTATAATGCGAGAACTTGGTCGATTTTTGAATCGCTTGTGTCAAGTAAACAAAATTTTCAATATTGAATCATCTACAAGCTATTAACATGAATTTTATCGTCACCATCAAAGCAAGTATGTATGAGAAAAAGTATAAAGATTGAAAAATACGATCAAGAGTTCCAAACTAAGCTTCCGCGATGAATTCTAAAAGCGCCATTTTATGTGGATACTATCATAAACCATTCCATTCCAGTTTTAGCTTTCAAGAAAACGAGTTTAGGATACATTTCAGACCACAGGTATTAAGCAAGGAGCCTGCAGGCAAAATTCATAGCAGAAAAAATGTTATAAATTCAGATGGTGTCGCTTTCAACTGGTTCTTCCGATAGCGAAACCGGATCGAAGAAGAAGAGTGGGTGATCTGCTTCAAAAAATGCGTCATCATCATCATCACTTTGTTTCATTTAAACTTTACGCATCGTTTATTGCTGAAACCTAGCCAGGCGACTCTCATTAGATGATTTTTTTTTTTTTTTTTTTTTTTTCTTTAATTCCACCGCCCAGACAGATCTTTTATATTTTGAAACAATTTTTCAAAAGTGAAAAATAAAAGAAATAGGCTTTGAGTATTGATTTTTCTGGTCAGAATTCTTCTCAATAAAAATATTTAATTACACTAATAGTTTCAGTTGTTGCAACGAAATAAGTTTACTATGAATGAAAATTAAGCCGTTTTAGCTAATTCGTGAAAACAATGAATTCTGAGACAGAAATCGTTCTAATTAATTTTATTAAAATTTTTACAAAAATAAATGAAATAAAAAACATAGAAACATTTCGCTTCTCTTCTCGAATCAAGAAAAGTCTTCACTCTTGCCAAATCACAAAGGTAAAGCTTTACTATTGAATAAAAATAATACCCAACTCGAATTTCAATTTTAAAAGGGTCTGTTTTATTTTGCTTATCTTTTTTGAACGTAAAATTGTAGAAAGAGAGAATATCAAAACATTAAAATGGTAGATCTGCGATTGGATAAAATTAAAAAGAAAGAAATATATAGGTAAGTGCACATGACCGCAATCATAATCATCGTTTAATTTTATTTTCAATGCAGACAATAATGTACTCGAGAAGTTGAGTTAGAAATTTTGCAGTTGATCTATACAGGGCTAAAATCTTACCTTCTTTATGAGATTCATTACATAAATTAGTACTTGTTTGCAAAATATTGTTTAGAAATTCCTTTTTAATTGATTAACTTACACTGTATTTAATAATACATTTTTATAACATCGAAAAAAAATGAAAGACCTTACTCATCTTCGATCGGCAACAGATCTATTTATAGTAAAAGTGTTTTTATCCTAAAATATCGATGGTAAACTTATTCGAAGCTTAGCTTTTTGCTACCATCATATTAAAGTTCTAAACCTGAATATTTGATGAATTAAATACTCTGTTCTTCATTACAGCACTCAAAATTTAAAATTTATTATTTATTTTATAACATCCAGAATTTTATAAGTAAAAATTCCGCCATTGTTATTTACAGAATATACATTTGAAGAAAAAAAAAAAAAAAGAGGTAGAATTTTAAGAACATATTTTTCTTACGCGAAGAAATAAAATCAAAAATAAGCACGGTTAGAGTTAATTTAAATATTCTAAATATTATTAAATATTCGAGATAAATAATACCAAAAATGTTCTCTTGCGCATTTTTATTTAAAAATAAATGGCTTGATATTTTAATCATTATAACTGATAGGTTATAGAAAATGTACATTCAGATTAAATCCTTTTATGATATGTTGCCCAATCCTTGTTTTTCAAATCTTGCTTCCAAAAAGTATGTACGATACTTGTTTTGTTTCTAATTAAGAAAGAAAAATAAAACAATTCCATACTACACAGGAGAAAATGATGAACTGCCAAACATGTAAATTTAAGACAAAAACTACATATTGTTTTTCGGATCCATCATAATTTAGAATCCAAACTATCTAATTTTGAAGCCTGTATATCAAAACAATTCCCGATTTTTATCTCGTATGCTGAAAATTTAGAATTTTTAACAAGTATTATTAAAATAAACAAAAACTCCGATGTATTTATATTTCCGCCTTAGCAGCTTTTCATCAAGAATGCGAATGAAACACATTTTTATAGATGTTTACCCTATAATCAGGTACGTATATTTCGGAGATGCTATGATAGTTTAATTCATTTAATTTTATTTATTTTATGCTTCGTATAGTAAGATAGTTTAACGGACCATTTTATTCTTAAAATCTGAAGATAATAAATGATGAAAGTAAAAAGAAAATTTAGTTAGTATTAGGGAACAGTTATTTGAATTTCGTGTTTTAACCAACATTTTACATTTTTATTTTATTAAATTTAACCAACATTTCTATTTTTATTAAACTATTGAAAAAGATAGAAACTTTTCTATAAATTAAAAATATTTTAGTGTGATCACTTAAACTTTAAATTTAAGAATGCAGAAATATCCATAATTAAAAAGAAAAAAAAAAAAAAAAGCCTCAAAAACTCTTATTTTGCAAAGCTAAAAGAATTATTTTAAGAATATTTAAAATTATTTAAATATTTTAAGGCTTTGAGTTTTAAATAACATAAAAATTATTTTGATGCTTTAAGTATGGTTGTAAATGTTTGAATCCTTTCTGACAGTATTTTTTTCTGTATTGTTGTAGTGTTTTATAACGTTTTACAGGTTTATTTTATTTATGGTTTTTAGGTTAATAATTTTGGGTCCATTTAGTGCTTAATCTAATTTACGGCCATATATCTTAGATTTAAGTGTTTGCTTGTTTATACAATTGTAGATATTTTAACTCTGAATGCAACTGCTTTGGAATTGCAAAAATAGTACAGCTAGAAGGCGAGATATAAGAAATTTCGTTCCTAAAAGGCTTTGGCGGTAATTTTTGTCGACGTTTGGCTAATTCTCCCCAACTTGCATATATAACTATAGAGACCGCAAGATCATGTAAGATTTAGTATTTTATATAAAATTAATTTTTTAATTCAAAAATACGAAAACATGAAATTTCGCATCATTAAAATCATTTCTGTGATTGAAAATATACGTCTACGACCAATTGTTGCGAAAATAGAGGCTGGGTAAGGACTTCTGTGAACACTGTGTTGCCCACCAGCGGCCGAGCGGTAAAGTCGCTGAACACTGGCAGTTCGGTCCGAGGTTCGAATCCCGCGAACGGGCTGGCTGCATGGGTGTTTTCGTGGTTTTCCCCATGTGTAACGTGTATACGAGCCAGTTTCCCTTAGAAAGTCCTCCACAAAGGCATCCCTACTCTTAGGCAGATAGCCCTCGTGTGCTTTGCCATAATTAAATACACACACACGAACACTGTGTTATGCTATATAATACTACTTTTCCTAGAACTCCTTCTAAAAACGTTGGCTTATTACTGTGATATTTTGAAAATCTATAATACTCATTCGAAAGTATTTCTAAATCTGGCGATGATAGATATTTAAACTCGTTTTAAACTCTCGTTTTTTTTTTACTCGTAATAAATACATCACCCTTGCCAGCACTGGTTTTCCACCCCGTTTTCTTTCCTCGCATTAATTTAGAACAAGGTAATGAGGTCACGTGATCGGCCTTTTTCAAACCAGATGACATTTGCAGGATTCGAAAGCTTCTCAAATGCCATAAAGAAAATGGTAGCTTTTTCTTGGGAATGGAGAAACTAATGCAATCGGATTGATACTATTAGATAATGAAAAATCTGCTCGTATGTACTTTTGTATGTTCCTTGCATTGCAGAAAAACGGCGACACCTAGAGCCATTCATTGAATTTTTAATACACCTAGTCTTCCATAAGATAAAAATGTTTTGTTTCGAACAGTGTTGCCACTGCTCGTTTCCAGATCGTTGAGTTTGTTAATGAAAAATTCATTACAGTTTTACAAAATGTGATATAAATAATAAAAGAAATTCGAAATTCAAAATTAAGGCGTCCAGCAGTGCATGTTCGGATGGAGAACTACGTCATTTAAAAACTGAATGACTCTAGGTTCCGCCGTTTTTTCATAATGCGAGGAACATACATACGTACATGGAGTTTCTTCATTATTTCATTTCTTTAGAAATAATACAGAGAGATAATATTAAGTGGCAACACGTTAAAAAATGATGAGCCGTTTATAGTGAACTAACGTAAAATCCCATTTCCAGACTAATAGCCTCTTTTGGACTAATAATAAATTTTGAATTTCTTTCAAATAATTCTTTAATGAATCAAATTTTTAAAGTTTTAAATATTTATCAATTTTGCTTTCTTATGAATTTTAAGCTTAACGCACAATTTTAAAACAGCATAATTGAAATTATGTATCAATATATAGGAAATCGTTTTGAATTTTCTCATAAATTCTAATTCTAAATATATTAATCAGTCTAAAATCACGGAATAATCAATGCAGTTCAGCATGGTTTTTGTGGGACTACATTTTGATTCCTTGAGTTTAACCGTAAGAGTTTGCAACATCATGCGCTCAAGGACTGGCTACATACTTCTATATCAAAGTACTTTTATCATTACTTTTGATAAACAAACTGACAATTACTACTTACATGTGAAGTTTCTTTACCTTTTTGACATTACAAATACATATCGCCTAATTCACTTTCTGTGTTTATAAATTCGAAGAGATATTGCCACTGCGTATGGAATAACTTTGGTTTATGTAATAGAACTTTATATGGTAACTTTAAAGATGTCAATGATTTCAAAGAATGAAATAAAAAACAAATAATTCCTCATGAAACATATAATGCTTTTTATTAATTACAATATTTCTACTGTAAATACCAATAATATTATTAAGTGGACAAATTAAAATTTAATATACGCTTTATAAATCAGCAAGGTTATTATAACTAAAATAAAGCTGTAAACTATTGAAAAGTACGTTTATTACTTTAAACTGCGTAGGCCATTAGACAATTACAAACTGATTAAATTTGAAAAATAAATTTAAAACTTTATGTTCTGACAAACGGCAACACTGTCAAGAATGATTATTTGTGAGAACGCGAGGAAAATGAAATAAAATCTTCTATTTTACAAAATGGCAACACTCGCCAGGTCGCATGGATAGTAGCTGCATGTTTTGCAAAGATTCGAAAATCCTGTAAGCCTTTTTCAAAGACATTTCTATCGCCAAAATTCCCATTCTGCTCTTAAAATTAAACTTGAAAGAACAAAACTGCCGGTTTTCTAACTAATTTCAAGCGTGATATTTCTGAAAACGATTAAGTAATATTTATTTAAGAATAAGGTTATGTCAATAAACACTAACCATGGCATTCGAATCCATCGCCTTCGTATCCAGGGAAACAGGAACAATAGAAACTGCCCATTGTGTTTGTACAGTGCGCAAATACATCACATGGTCTGTACTTGCATTCGTTTTCGTCTGAAAAATAAACACAATCATTAGAAAATTAAAAACTTATTCGCTGGTTTATGATCATAATGATGTTTAGATTTTTATTACGATTTATATTTTCAATATGGCAACACCAAAAGCTATTCTAAAATACTAAATCATTTTAAGGTATTAGTACAAGGGCAATATTTGGAAATTAATTACTTCCCGTAAAATGCGTAAGGGAAAAAAATACATAAGAAAAATAAAAACTAATTAATCGTTAAAACATTTCATAATTCATTATATTTGTGTTGTTCGTAAGCAATATTACGTTCTAGATAACATCGAATATAAATAAGTAATTAATTCAGGGAACATAAATTTATTATAAAATGCAATTAAAGAAAGGTTTTTATATAATAAGCATTCATTTAAAAGTGTAAGGTGCCTAAATAGTGAAATCTTTTAGATTAATTGCATTAACAAATGTATAAGCCATTTTTTTAAATTTATCATTACATCCCGCGCTCATATGATTCGCGTTATAAAACTGTTAATGAATTCTGTTAATAGAATTACTTAATCCGTTATTCCAATTAAACTATATGATAAAATATTTTTCCCTTTTTGTTTAATAATTATCATATCAATTTTTAAGTAAAAGCTAATGTTATAAAAAAAATTTTTAATTGTGTATTAAATAGTATTTTTAGTCTCAAACACACGCTATCGATGATGAAATATTTAGTCATTATTAAAACACAAGCAATAAATTAGAAGAAAATTATGAAATAAAGAAAAATGACTAAACATTCAGAGAATGAAGAAATCGCTTTGAATATTGAGTTTCGGAAACTGGATGCATACACAATGTTAAAACGAGACTTTATTTAAAGCTAAATTTAAAAAAAAAATCTCATATAGCCACGAGACTTCCTTGTATGTCCTATTAAATTATACTATTAAATTATACTTTATTAATTAAATTAAATTAATTAAATTCCTATTAACTTATACTTTATTTAAAATGCTGCCCTTCATTTAAAATTATTTCCACCAATTTCATTAGGAATATATTTCACATTCAGTCAATGTATTTTTCACTTCGCGGTAAGGCAAAATACATAAAGACTTAAAACATCTTCATTAAAAATTGTAAAAAACAGAAAAAACTAAGACACCAAATACAGATAAAAACAGTTTATTTTTTTCCCTTTTGCAATTAAATTTAGAGTTTCTAGGCATAAACAAGTAATTCAGTCAATGGGCAGAAAGACAAAATTTTCGGTGCACGCGAATCTAAAGTTAACTTTTGGTCAAGTGGACAAAAAGACACTGAAGTTGTTCCAAGTGACAGAATCAAGGACTTAATTTACTATACTACTAAGAGTTTCAAATGTAAACAAATTGCCGGCTCATTACGCCTAGCGAAGCTAACATTTTCAAACTGTTGATATTTTTACAGCTGTTGCATGCAGAATACCTAAAGGCATAAAAACTTTAACCGGAACAGAAAAAGAACATACATATATATGTTTGGAGCGGCCGATTGCAGCAAAAAAAGGAGGCGCCCAGCTACCAGCTAGATGTTACAGAAGTTCCATAAGCAAAATTTAAACGTTCTGCGGTTAGTCGTTTTTGAGCTATGCGAGATACATATCCTTCCGAATCTATTTTAAATACATTTTACAATATGTTTTGGAAGGAAGAGTCCTTTATTCTGTCGGTAAGTACAGATGTTCTGCCAAAAAATCGTTTAAATGGATTCAAGAGCGTTCAAAATGGATATTTTCTTAGAAATATGATACCCGATGAATTACAATGCTTCCTTGCACCGAGCTAGTAAACTTCGTCATTAAGTGAGCCAAGATGGCAAACTCAAAATGCTTTTATGCTCCGAATGCTCATAAAACATCAAATAGTGCAAAACATCGAAAAGTTTAAAAAATCCAGCAAAACATCAGAAATTAAGTTACAAATTTCATTGAAAAGATGTGTCTCCGCTTTATTCGATGTTTAGTTTGTTCGTTAAACGAAGATATACGCGAAAAATAATTTAAATATTAAATTAAAAAATTTAAATCGATTTTGAAAAAGTCACGCCCCGAGATTGTATTGTTATTGGCAACATTGTGTTCGATGTCTATCAGAAAGCAGAGTAAAAATCGATGGCAAAATTCGTAAACATGAGTAACATCATAAGTAAACTAAATAAAAGCTTAAAGTAATTTATTATATTTCTATTCTTCGCGAAGAATATTGCCAATTGGTAACATTACTTTCAAATGTAAATAAATAAATAATTTATATGAAACATAAATGTATTATAAAACGTAAATTTTTTTAAAATATATCAAAATAAATAGATAAAGGTCATAGATAAAGGTTTTTATGTATTTTCATAAGTGTGAAACATTTCACCAGATATATTTCCGAGTTTTACGACTGTAAAATCAAACTGAACACTTACCTGGCATTTCGCAGCCTTTTCCTCCGAAACCATCGTTACAGTAACAGAGATTGTCCAGACAAGCTCCATTAATGCACCGAGGCATCTTGGGATGGCAAAAATCTGTAAAAAGAAAATACAATATAATAAAAATAGATAAATACATAATGTTGAAAAAGAAATGTGATTACATTATATATTAAGATAAATAAGCATAAGTCTTTTCATATACGTAGTTGCATAAATAGTTGCATAAATCTGATGTGGATACCACATAACTTCCATGTACGGCCTATTATACACATTTTTACTGAACTTCATTTAACCGTATTTGCTCGAATTATTCTAATTAACTGAATTAAATTGAAAATGACATCAAAAATTGCAAATTTTCAAATTAAATATCCTGTTCAATTATTGTCGTATGAGAGTACGTACTTCTTGCATTTTATTTGTTCATAGCGAGTATAAAGAGTTTCCCAAAGATAAGAATAGGAATCGGGAGACAATATTAAAAGTTAGATTTAATTTTTCGTCCCTAATATTGTTTTTTTTTTTTTTTTTTTTTTTTTTTTTTAGTCCAAGGGTCTTAGACCCGAAGGACTTATTTTTCGTTTTGCATTTTGCGTCGGACTCATAAAAATCGGTTCACTTTCAAACTGTTGCCACAAATGTTAGAGTCCTGCATTATATTTGAAGAAATTAAATAATGAAAAATCTGCATAAATGATTGTCTATTTCTCGCATTGTGATAAAACAATGGTACATAGAGCCATCGAATTTTTGAATGACGAAATCCTACTGCGAATATGGGCATCTGAAATCCCAAATTTGAAATTTGAATTTGTTTTATATAAGATTTTATATTTTTTAAAACTTTAACGAATTTTTGATTTAACAAACTCAATGCTTTAAAAAGCGAGAAATGGCAACGTTATATAGAAAAAAAAACTTTTTTTTCCCAGCTCGCGAGACGTGTATATCGGAAATTCTAAAGATATGCTTAATTTAAATATTTTGCGATATGCCTTGACTGAATTTTAGGTTTAAGTGCAAAGAACAATATTTAATAAATAAGGTAACACTCAAAAACGTTAAAAAAAAACGCCCCTTTGGACGTAATTTAAATCTGAAACATTTCAGATTTTTTTTTTTTTTTTTTTTTTTTTTTTTTTTTTTTTTTTTGTTTTTTTTTTTAAATTTGACACTGGCGAAACAGGAATATTTTTGTCATTCGAATCACGTCTGTAATTAGAAGTATGTGTCTACGACCAACGATTACGAAAATAAAGACTAGATAAGGATTTTTAAGCCGGATAAGGGTAGTTGGTATATATATATAGCTTTGGTTACTTCAAAAAACAAGAGAAGGCAATACTAGATGTTACAGCAGTCCCACATACAAAATTGCAGCAGTCTGCGATTAGTCGTTTTTGAGTTAGGTGAGTTACAAACGTCATGAAAAAATACATTTGAATTCATTTTACAAACCGTTTTGGAATAAACGGCTCTTTATTCTGTCCGTACATATAGATGTCTCATCTTTTTTTCCCCTTTTTCTTTCACAAGAACTACTTTTAATCATTTTATTTTTATATTTGGATATTTAATTTTCTTTAAATCCTTTCAATTCTCTGATAATCTTCAGCTGTACTAATTTTCTAATAATCCATATTTATTTTCCTTATTTACCTTCTATTTACATTTCCCTATTTATTTCAATTTAAATCGTTAAATTAGTTGAAATGTGTTCATCAGACGATAAAATTTCCTTTTAATCGAGATTTGCCGAACAATGTAATTTACCATGTTTGTAATGTACCATTTTATTCACATTTTATTTTTTTCATCAAATTGTGAAAAAAAAATTTTTTTTGAGGAGGATCATCAGACAATAGTATTCCCTTTGAAATTTAATATCTTCATGAAACTAAAACACTTCCTTTTCATCATTATTTCTTCATCAAATAATAACGCTTCGTTTTAAACGTAGACTCTTCATCAAAAGATGACATTGCACTTTAACCGCAGTTCTCCATTAGATTTTAGAATTCCACTTTAATCGCGTTTTTTTTTCGTCAAATGTTAACATTCCATTTTAATGGATTTTTCTTCATCATATGAATATATTGCATTTTAATGGGAGTTTCCTCATCAGACGTTAATGTTCTATTTCCATGGCGAACTCTTCATCAAATGAGAATACTTCGTAGTACTCTTGATGTCTTCTTCAAACGATAATGTACCATTTTAATCGTAGCATACTCTAATTGTAGTTTCTTCATTAGATGTTAATATTCCACTTAAACAGTGGTTTCTTCGAACCATAATGTTCCATTTTCTGAGCAAACATTTCAGAAAGAGAAAATATACTGTTTTACTTGTAGTTATTCTTCCAGTGATAATATTCTTTCTAAATGGGAGCTATCGTATTTTTTTGCATATTTCCTCCCTTTTTTAAGTAGTTTTACCGTCTGAGAATCGACAGGGGAACATTACACGAGTCACTTCGTTCCTACAGTAAAATTATATAACAAATGAAAAGGAGTCGTGGATAAGCTACAATAAACTACAGGCAAACTATCACAATATTATCTATTTAAAGGGAACCTAAATTCCAGTACGAATACATAGTAATATTAACATTACTGTATATGATGGATAGAGCCGATATCTAACAGTAACTGAGCAGCCTCATTTACTTTATAAAGCTCCAGAGGCACCTCACACGAATGAATCTTGACCGCAGTTCCCAATTGGTACATCGAAGGAACTAAAGAGAAAGCGAAAAAAAGACCTGTATTTTTAAAGCTCGAGCCCATCAGCAGTCGATAAGGCTACATTGAGTTGGAACATAAATAAGAGAAGTAAGGTAAATCAGATATTTGAAAAGTTTCGTCAATGTGAAAACAACTGCCACGTCCAGGTAGCTTGAGGAATCTGCGCAAAATACATTTCAAGTAGTAAATGGAAAGGAAAATAAAATGGATGAAATGTCATTACAAATTGAATACACTGCAAAAAATAATCAATGGAATAAATACAGTTTACCGATAAATCTGGCCTTAGAAGTAAATCTATGTACAATAGAGGAAAGAGGAAAATAATGCAAATATTTGAAAAATTTTCAGAGCCTAACTCTAACCTGGGAGAAATACGCGAGTAAGTACGATCAATACTTTTTAATTGTTCTTAAAATGATCCAAGAAACAAAGTTGAAAAGTCTCGAAAATTCTCATTAGTTTATCAAATTTTGTTCTCTGAACTGAAAAGTGATTTAATTTAAGTTTATTACAACTAACCAATGGCCAAGCGGCTAAAATCGCCAAACACTGGTAGTTTACTCCCAGCTTTCTTTCCAGCTATTGAATGCGCTGTCTATGAGAACATTTCGTGATTTTTAGTCCATGTAAAGTAAATGCAGAGCAGTTTCCTTTCAAAAGCCTTTCAAGAAGGCATCCTTCGTATAAGCGTCAGTATAATGCTGTTCCCCATTATTTTTTATTTATTTATTTGTTGATTAGATACGTGTAATTTATTTTAAAGAGTCCTTAGCACCAGAGATGCTATTAGTCTCGAAACTCACTTTTCATCTGTATCGGTTTTTAGACCGAATCACTTTTCAAATTGTTCCCACCAAATGGTATCGCTATATATTACTTAAAAAAAAATTAAATAATGAAGAATCTGTACGGATGTATGTATGTTCCTAGCATTGTGGGAAAGCGACGTAAGAGCCACTGAATTTTTAATATACATAGTCCTCCACCTGAATATGAGCACCTCAAAAACCGAATTTGGAATTTGGATTTTACTTATATTTTGAAAAAACTTAACTTAACTTAATTTTAACTTAATATTAACTTAACTTAATTTTAACGAATAAACGAATTTTTGTTTAACAGACTCAGCGATTTGAAAGCGAGAAGAGGCAACGTCATTCTAAATAAAACATTTTTATCTTCGACTCGTCAGACTGTTGCCATTCGGCAAAATATAAGATATTTATTTTTCACTTTTAATCGACTAATTCGGCTATTCGAAAGCGATATGTTGCCATTACCTCAAATGGAATACTTATTATTTCCACGTACCAACGTGTTGGCGTTCAGTAAAACGTGGGATGTTTAACTTAATAAACTTAAAAAATTTAATCTTTCTATAACCTAGTAGCAAACCAAATGACTGAAAAGCAGTAAATGCACTTAAAAATATTTTTAACATTTTATAATCCGATTGATTTAAATAAAATAAAATTTAAATCACGAGATGTCTAATTAGAAATATAAAATACTTTTACGAAACGGCAATAGCTGGACTTATTAAAATCTTAATATAAATTTTTCCTTTTTTGAACCCTATAAGGCGGCTGGTCCCTCGAAAGTCTCATTTTCAAAGAAATAGTATAGCGAATATAAAAGAATTTGTGGCAACCCGTAACAACCTATTGGGAATTCCAGAGATATGCGTTTTGAAATATTTTCTAGTTTTTAATTTTTCTAATTTTGCTGTTGAATTTTATGTGGCGTAAATACGAAGAAAGCGGTGCTTAATAATAAAGCTAAAAAGATTTTTAAAAAAGTGTTATCAGAAATGAGTCAAAGAGCAGATTAGTAATCTACGATGCTCAGCGAAAGCAAAAACAACTTCAAAGGATCTTCTGGTGCGAAGTTAAAATCTGAATCCTTTCAGATTTTCTCTCTTTCTTTTATTATGGTTATTATTATGTTCATTGATTAAGTGCGTGCAATTTATTTATTTTTTTAATTCATCTTTTCTTTAATAAACCCCAATTTTTTTAATGTTAATATGTTGCAAATTTTTAATAAAGTAAGACTTCACTTAATTGAGGAGTGGCTGCGAAAAATTCAGAAAAAAGTATGAGCGAAAAACATTAAAAAAATCTCCATCTAGTGTTATTGGGAAAGAAGGATTTAAAAAGGAATATTTTTTTCATTCGAACGTGTCCTCGGCGCCGAAATGGCGTCACTTTCTTCAAAGTATTCGAAGAAACGAAACGTAGGCCAGGGCCACTCAGCCTACAGGAGGGGGGGGGTACCCTCTACCTAATTATTCTACTCATGATTTGAAGTGGCATCTGGGAACGAGGTGGGGACTTCTAACCAAGTCCCTCCCTTTATCCTTCCTCCTGGAAGGCAACGCACGTTTACGCATATAATAAAATGATCGCTAGGAATAACTGTAATGATTATACTTGTGAGGAGAAAAAACTATCACGACTGCTGGCAACATCACGCCGTATCGTACATTATATCAACAAAGAAAAAACAAATGGAGTGTTTGTTCGTCGGCGGTGTTATCACAAATTTTGCGGTTGAATTATGCGCCTCTGGATACTATCGGAAAGAAAATTCGAAGAAAAATAAAATATTGTTCGTAAAAATTTCTGATGATCGGTGTAAGAATGGGAAGATTTTTGAGGAATAAATTGTTAGAATTTTTCAACCAGTTGAGTGTCACGGCATGGAATAATGACTGGGAATTCCTGATTCGAAACATAATAATTAAAGTATCGAAGAGAAAAAGGGAGGGTCTACGTGCGGTTGCAGTTAATGGTTAGTGTTACATACTTGCGTATATCCGCAACTTGCTGGGGAGTGGTAGTTAGTTAATAAAAGGCCTGTTAGCGTTCAATATGTGCACCATTAACAACATGACAGACGATATGCATATTTTGGCAAGAACATCTGCAGCTGTTAGTAATTCTATCCTCTAGATGTTCAAGATTACCAACTCTTTCGCTGTAAATCTCATTTTTTATGTAGCCCCTCAAAGGACTCTCGTAAGACCACGAAGCAGTGGCGTGGCTTGAGGAAGGGAGGGCAATCCGCCTGCACGTCACATTTTTAAGGGTGGCATATTTGCTTTCTCGAAACATTATTTCATAACAGTTATTTAGGCGGATGGTCGAGATAGGGGAAAACAATTAGATTTTAAATTGCCATACAGAGTTAAACTAGGAACAAAAAGAGTTTTTACTCTAGATAAAGTATTAAAAAAAATCACAGCAAAATTTCAGTAGCTATCTGCGTCGAAACTTGTGAATCGAAACTTCGAATATCAAGAAAATTATAGTCAGGGGGACATTCGTAAGGCAGAATTCCTCGTTAAGAAAGAGGTATTTCAGAGTTTTAATTCCGTTACTCTTAGGAAAACAAAACGGGAACGTGAAAGAGCGGTTGTTTTGAATTCTTTGCAGTTTATTTTAAAATACAATCTCCAGAACAAACCTTGTAATACCAGTGCAAACGTTCCTTTCAATTGCTAAGTCCTTCTATAGAGAAAAAACATTTTCGGCAAAAATCATTTTACGCGTGCAAATGTATATTATTTCGAATTTTGTATATATGCAAATAATTTTAGTGAAAATATGCGTGAAATTGTAACATTTTGTGTATAATGTAACACGAATTTTTGAAAGAGACGAAGCTCGTCAGAAACATAAGATCGTAGGAGAAGCCCACGATCTGCAAGCCTACGACTGAGTAAATACAGTCTGTCTATCATAGGAAAAGCTTTCGCCAGTTAGTCTGCAGCTGTCTGTTGCCGTAGAAACGAGCCTTGACACATTTTCGGCAGGGGTGTCTTGAAGACTAAAGATAACACTTTTCCCCTCAGCCAACAGTCGCCAAAAACAAAATAACAATTGGTTCGCCTCTATTTAAAATATACTAGCCCTGTTGCTATAGCGATTGCCATCCGCCAGACACTATGGAGGGAGTTGTTCTCGTAGACTGACAGTAGTTCTGTCGTTAAATTGGCAAGATATCGCCAAGCTGCAGCTTGTTTAGGTGACAAATTTTTGTGAGTTTCAGCTGCCCTGGCCGATTGAAGAAAAGATTGGTCTTGCTGGGGATACTTTAAGTTTAGGATTAGACCCTGCTTTGTAGGTGTGCGTTCGAAATTTTGTCATTATATGGGCAATCTTAGAGTCTCTACACATGTTGAAATTAAATTTTAGAATTTTTATATTTTGTGAAAGAAAGCGTCATGTTAAAACCAGGTCCGGACTGCCCACGCCTTGTAACTCACAAGTCGGTTATGATAGGTTTATTTTTAGGGCCTCTATTAAGTGGCCCTAGAATCACAGCAAAGTGGCCACAAACGTGACCACAAACGTGAAAGTCCCTGTGGATCACAGCAACGTTGACGTTTGCTGCCGCATGGTCATCTTTCCTGGATCATATTTTCTGCGGTTTAATATGCTAGTACAAACTTCTTCGGTCTCCAAATTACTCTGTTGAAATTAGTTCCAAATCACAAACGTCCATAATTTCATAAATTTGTTTCTTTATTACTCGTAAAAATGTATAAAGTTCGAAAATTTTGGAAATGATATTTATATTGTTTTAAAAAACGGTCTTCAAAATATACGACACTACAACAAACCAATAGGCTGAAATGTTTTGAAAAGTACAACGCATTGTTCAAAAGTAATGAAAATTGATACCATGTTGCGTTTTAACCACCAGTTTTTTTTTTTTTTTTTTTCAAATTTACCTTATAAATTAAAAATATACTTAGGTTTGATATCTGTAATGATCTACTACGAATATTATGTATATATTTCGAAAGAATATGATGAAAATGCACTAATCGGGACCCGAATTATACATGAAGATAATAGTCTATACATGAATGCCTAACATATGCGCATGCATTAGCATATACGAGCATGAAACAAATATTAAAGATTCCAGTTTTATTTTTATTTCCGCTATAATGATTTAATTACTTTATGGCCCGCTCGTGCAGTTTACCCTTATGTGTGTCGGCAGACAACACGTTAAAGTGTTGCCTGTTTGCTATTCTGGTGGTTATGATTTACTGTAAAGATCAGACTAGCACCTTGAAGTTGTATCGAAACAACACCTTAATACAGATACAACGCTTTACTGAAGTTTTAATTGTAATAGTGGTTAAGTAAGTGAAACTTACATATGTATTACACGCTGACCTTCAGATAATCTCGAATGTGTTTCATTTGCCAAGAAATTCAGAACCGCAAATTCCACAATTCTAGCTTATCCTTTCGAGTGACTGAATAAAACGAGCATTTTTAACATTTTCATATCAAGACCGCATTTATAAATAACATTATTTCATTTGATATCGTTTAAGAAAATCGAAGGTAACGTGAGGTAAAGGCAGTTAGAGAAAATTTTGGAATGAAACTGAATCACAAGAACTTACTTCTGTCTCTGCATTTTAGTTCGTCGGCCACCTCGTCTGACCCGAGGAAACACTGAGGTACGCCGTCGCAGATTTTGGATAATTCGAATAGCTGAAGGACGTCGACGGATTCGTTAACTTGGCAACCAAAGAAGCCATCTTCTAAGTTCAGCACGAAGATTTCTCTTTGCAAGTATGGATGTGGATAATTCGGTCGGTATTGAGCGTGTATCTGAAACGAAAAAAAAAATTATTTTAAAACAAATTAATTTCTCAGAAAATAACAAGATAAATTGCAAACTTCTTTTCACATTCATCACTCAAAATGCCAATAAGCATTTTGGGATGCTAGTTACTATTCCAAATTACATATTTCCTACAGAAAAAAACAGTTCTCTTCCTTTCTTTGAATGAAATTTGTTGAAAGAAATAATGGTTCATACCTAAAATAGCTTTATATAAAGAATGCTTTTCCCGCCATTTCTTTTTAAGAAAACAAATGAGTAAATAAATAATAAAAAAAATTAAATTAAATTTTAAAAAATTCTGAAAGGTTTTAGATTACGTCCAAAGAGGTGTTTTTTTAACGTTACCTTTATTAAACATCATGTTCTACGCACTAAAACCATGAAACTCAGTTCAAGAGCGATACCGCGAAATAATTTTAAAATGAGCATATCTTTACAATTTTCGATACAGTCTCGTGCGCTGAAGATACTCCCCCGCCCCGTACAGTATTGCCATTGCTCGCTTTGAAATCGTTAAGTTTGTAAATCAAAAATTCGCTAAAGTGTTACAAAAATGAGATCAATAATAAAACAAATACCAAATTCCAAATTAGGGCTTCCACATGCCAATATTCTATGTAAGATAACGTTATTCAAATTTTAATGGCTCTAGATGCCTATTCGAGAATCATACATACGTTCATGCATATTTTTCATTATTTAATTTCTTTAAATATAATACAGGGCGATCATGGTGGCAACAATTTGAAAAATGAAACAACGCTTATCGTGAATCGACGCAAAATGCCAAAGCGGAATTAATAGTCCTTTTGGGCAAATTGCCCTTTGGACTAATAATAAAATTTTAAAAATCAGAAAGAGTTGAGATTTCAATGGTTGTCCAAAATAGCTTTTTTAAAGTTTTAATGTGACTGACTTATCAGTAAATATCAAGAGATTTGGCCCAGGAGGAATAGTGGAACATTTTATAAGCTACTAGATGAATACACATTGAAACTAACTTGGGAACGTTCTATATCTTCTGCAGATATTAAAAGCGAAAAATACGACTAATAGCCAGTATGATCTAATAAATAAAAGTAAAAACTAACTAACCAAATAAATAAAAATAAAATTAATAATAAAAAATAAAAGCAAATAGAAAAAAATTTAATACCGTCTTTTCAGTCAAAGTTTTTCAGCCTCTCTTATTGGCAAAAAAATTTTTTGTTTTCGGAAAATTAAAGATCAATTCTAGATAAAAATTTGTAATTCTAAAAGCTTCTTTTTTTGCTCTCATTATTAAGTAATTTAAAGTTTCTTATTTGAATATATGATTGTTGCTATTTTTTATACAGTATAATTCAGTAGAAATGGGAATAAATTCTTACACCTTCAGCAAAGTAAATTTTTTATTTGTGAAAATGGCAAACTGAATAGGATGAATATTTATTCTTATCGTACTAAAAAAGAATTGTCGTTGATTTATTTAATTTGTATACCTCATACTATTATTATAAATAATGTCATATATATGTATTTTTTTAAATCAATGATTCTATAAACAAGTATCTAATCTACAGTATTAGAAACATCTTTTAATAATTATAATAATGAGGCAGTTCTTAAAATTATCTGCTATACAACTGACACTTGTTTTTATGATCCCTTATGTTTTAAAGGGGGGGAGTAGAATAGAAAATGATCTCTATAACGAAAGTGGATTCTGTAGAGAATTATAGAATTTTAATTCTATACATTCTTTCTTTTTATAAATTTTATAAGTTCTTTTATAAATAAACAATTTATAAAAGATATATCTTTTTATAATTTTTGTAATCAAATATGGATTTTTGTCCCGAAAATTTGAATCGAAAACGTCATAACGAACATTGACTATATTAAAAATCAAACATATTTTGATTATAACAATGTATTACAAATATTATTACTAGCATTATTTAAAATAATAATTAAGTTATTAGAGAAATCTAGTTCTCTTAAATCCCTTTTACTTGTTAACAAATAAATTTGAGAGTTAATTTGAATATTTGAGGCTTTTCCGAAAGGCAGAAATATGAAAATTATACACTATTTGAATGACAAAAGCATGGCAGCGCAAAGTGAAATAACGCAATAAATTAAATCATCGAAGAATTTCGGAGGTATATCTGAGGTCAAAATAAAAAAATGACAAGAAGACTAAGAAGATTTCTATGGCTATTTATTGATCAGGGTATACTTAAATGTAGTATACTTTAATGCTGGGAAAGTAATTAAATATCTTTTATAGCAAGACTAGCGACAACTGGTTATATACCAAAAACTGGTTACATAACAGACAATGCGAATGATGATTATGAAATGATGATAATGAAATGAAATGTGATTTGGAAAATGAAGACAGAGTTTGTGAGGACAAAAGCGAGTTTTAGAAATTATTTTTTGAACTTGGCATGCTGTTCTTCATAAATCTGATTAGCCATTTTATGTTATAATTAAGTACTAATTAATAAATTTCATATTTATCGGTTCAAGAAGCTTATTATATCCGAAAACAAATTTAGCTATTACACTAGCAGCGCTTAAAATGCAAAGAAAAAATTACTAGCCCATCAACTTTTTAAATACAAATAGAGATTCCATTAATTAAATCCGGCAGAAAAAAAAATAAATTCGTTTTATAGCCCCCTTAGCAAATCGTGAATTGAATAATACATTCACCTTTAGTGCCCTTAGTTCAAATAGCATGCAATAAAACGCGTATTCCTTTAAAGAAGGCTTTGTTACCCATGCAAATTACATAAAATTTCTCTGCACTGTCCGGCGATCAAACATTTTTTTTCTCTTGTTATTATTGTACATTTCAGTTACTAACGAAAAATTGTTATATTCAAATTATTTTGGGTAAAATATACTGAATACAATAACAGCAAATAGAGAGGAATAGTCGTAAAAACGTGCTTTATAAAATGAATCGTGATTATTCTTAAAGCTACGACGCCATTAATGTTTTACTTTTCTGTTGAATTGATACGTCTCATATAGATTCTAACAGAGTGAAAAAATTAAATAGAAATAGGATAAAGATATAGGTGAGTCTGTGGTGGCAATATGCTCCCCTTTCATTCTTCTTTTGTTCCCCCCCCCCATTGCTTTTTGGATGTATGAAGGTCATAAAAGGTTAATCCATTTACGTCATGTTTTCTGAATAAAAAATCGTTTTCTATATTGCTAATAAAAAAGCTTTATATCTAATTAAAATTAAACGGTTTCGTAGTATTATATTTAAGAGCAAATATTTACATTTTATAACTATACGATATTTTGAATTTTTAAAAAAAATTTGCCGAGAGTTTCGAAATTTCTGCAAAATCTCCATTTATAAAACAATCAGTTGTGGGGGGGGAGGATTGAAATAATGACGAAAAATATTTTAGTTTCTCTTTTTTACGAAAAACTTAAAATAGCCGAAGAAATTTTGATTACAATGCTAACATTCTTATGGATTAACAAAAAGATCATCTTCGAATCTATAATTCACTGACATTTGTAAATCGAATTATTTTTATTAATAATTCGAAGAAAAGTGATATTATTTTCACTACACAAATTTCATGCACAGGCAAAAGAGAAACTGTTGCCACATTTGTTATGAAAAATATTTGATGCAAACAAATGGATTAGGGGAAATGGGGAAGGAAAAGTTGTATCTTAAATACTAAATTAAGTGTTTTCTTTATTTAATAATTGTACAAGTCTCTGTTAGTTTATAACTGAATACATCACAGCAAATTTTTTTTTAAAGCTCAAAAGGGGGTATTAGTCTCGAAACACGATTTTTCTTTGATTCATTTCAAACGTCGTCCACTATCAGTACGTTGTTTTACTTTTCATTTGAGTCTGTAATGTTAAGATGTTAACCTTTCAAACTGTAGGTTGTCTGTTATTAATTAAGAAAACCTATTTAAAAGTAATTTAGATGGGTCTTAAGAAGATTATAATTTTACTTTTCAGTCGGATTATATTGATATAAAAATGCATTTCATTCACCATATATCTAATTAAAACCACTCAGTACTGTTATAGAACGATGTTCTATATTTTTTCACGTTTCAGATGCACAGAATATGTATGAAGTTCACTTGTAAATCTAAATGTATATTTATCTAGTATCCAATAAAATGTTTCGCTACTCCACATGGCCCATTTTTGTTAATAATCTCCACTGATAAACCCTGTTAAACTTTAAAAGAACCATTTTGAAGGACCGTTAAAATCTGAACCGTTTCAGATTAATTTATTTGAATTTATTTTTTTTTCCTCATCGTTTGCGGTGCAATTTTGAAACCCTCGACACATAAGGTTTTGCCTCTTGAAATTCTGAGGATTAATTCTGGAATTAATAGGCATCTTACAACTCCCTATTTAAAGTTGTTTTAGGTGTTAAACTGATATCTGAATTAAAAAGGATTTTGAAAAAAAAAAGTATCATTTAAAAATGTCTTTTGAGTTTTTAACTGGTAAATTCTTTTTTTAAAGTGATCGACTGCAGTTTAAGTTCCCAAATTTCTTTCTTTCTTTATTTATTTCAGTTCTGCTTTGTATTCTTTGATTCGTTTATAAATAAGGAAATATTTGTTCAATTCTTTGTAAACACGTCTGAAATCAAATTTGTCGTTCAATGGAAAGGGACAGAGATTTTGCTGTTATTTTATATTTTTTCCTCTAGACAATAAAATGCTGCCCCTTTTCCACCTGATTACATGTTTCTACCTTTTTAGAAAAGGCCAGACTTTATTATTTGATTCTACGTAAAGTCGTCTTAAATAAAATTTCTTTTTTTACGGTGAGTAGAACGAAAAAAAAAAAAAAAAAAGAGTTATTCTTCGAATTTGTGAATTCCTCCGTTTCCAGTTTATTTAACTTACACCCCTTGCTGTTCGGTTAGGTAAGCACCATTCAAATACGATCGTTACGGAGCCTAACCTTGATGACCCCTTCA